GGCCTCGGGTAATAGCTTCAAAGTTGGACAGCTGCTGGAGCGGGAGAAAGTTTTCTTGATATACTAGCTTGAAAGGTTGCTAGCCGTGGTGCAAGAGACGCAGACAGAATTTCCTACTACTTCAATGTTCTTGAAACAAAAAAAAGGCTTTTTTATCTAGTTGAACTACTCGATGCCGTACGCCTTCAGATCCACCATACTCGGTGAGGTGATACGGAACTAGCCTCAAAATTGAACACTCGCAGTAGATGCACCCCACGATCTTCTAATCCCAGCTTCTCAAGAACTCGTCGGCTCGCAGTATTCTTAGCGTCGGTGAACCCAAAAACCTCTTTAACGCCCAACACCTCTGAAGCATAGTCGAGTAGCTTCCTAGCGGCTTCCGTCGCATATCCCTGCCCAGACACCTCGGGGAGCATAGCAAATCCCACGTCGGGTACGGGATACGACTGTTCGGGTGAATCGCCCTTCATTAGGCTCACAATTCCAACATGTTTTGAGGTCTCCTTGAGCGAGACCAAGTACTGGCCGTGCCCGTGGCCGGGCGTGAGTAGCTACGAAGCGCTTTTCGATGAAGGCTTTCGCTTGTTCTGTAGTGGTGATGCCCGTGTTACCACAAGTGGCAATGAAGGAGGGCGAGTTATAAAGTTGAACGAGGAATGCACAGTGAGTGGGGGGAAGTGGGAAGGCAGTAGGAGATATATAGACGATCGGTTTCGATGCGGAAGTTTGGGGTCAGTCATGGCGGTCAATCGTTATCAGTGATTTGCAGGACCATGTGCTCTTTGAGTGAATTAGAATCAAAACGATACAAACAGGAAAAAAGAGATAAGAGATAAACTGACTCTTCACAAGAAACTACCACTCTTCCCAGCGCCGAACCGGTCACCGAGACTCTTTGCATCTCGCAGCATTTTCTGTCGTGTACTGTCATCCATCAAACGGCCACCAATGGACATGTCACGAGTGTGGTCCCAAATAGCCTTGGATGGATCCTCTTCGTCATCATTCTTGCCAGCTGACTTTGCATGAGCATCGACCAATGCCGAGCCGCGAACTTTGCGCTAGAATAAGAGTCAGCGGAGAACGAGCAGATGAGAAAAAGACGCACAGTATGCTCCTCCACGCCCTTCCGGATGCTCTCATCCATCTTCTGCCTCTTCCTTGCCTCTAATGCCTCGTTCAGCACTCATACTGTTGTCAGCATTCACAGCCCGCCGTCGCTTCCCAGACACTTCATCAGCGAGTCGTTGCTGCCTCTCAGCAGGTGTCTCTGTCCACAGGTTATTTTCCGTCTCTTTTGCAGGCGCAGCGGACCGAGCGAACTGCCGAGGTTTGTTGAGTTTTGTGGGGTCCAAGGCTATGGTGGTGATGAACAACGAAAGTATTATAAGACAAGGACAGGCTTACTCCCGAGTAAATCAGAGGATGAAGGAGGCACTAGCATCCATTCGTCTCTTTTGGGTGCTTTAGGCCGAGATGCTTCCTGCATTTACGGTTAGGCACTGGACGTTCAATAGAGTTGAAGGGAATCGACGCACCTCTATTTTCTTCCTACGCTTTTCTTCTTGTTCCATAAATTGCTTGACGCCGTCCGTTTCGTAGGCACTGGTTTGTCCTGTTGATAGCGGTTTCGGTCCTACATCATCATCCGAGTCGTCGTCGTAGGTTGGTAAAGCTGGGCCTTGAACTCGTTTTGGTGGGCCTGATTGACGCGCAGCGAGGAGCTCTGGTGGCAGGGCGGGTGCATAATCATCTTCGTCATCCTCATCATCTTGTTGCTGTTGCTTCACTAGTTCCGGAGGTATTTGAGGACCCACGACCGAAGGGCCAATATCTTCTGCGTCATGTTCATCAGTGTGCTCGCTCCGGTCCAGAAGGTGGGGAGGAATTTCGGGGCCCTATTGAGGACATCGTGGTCGCAAGTCAAGAAAGTCACGGTCACGTGGAAGAGATCAAACATCTTAGTCTAAAGTTATTCTAGACTTTCCCATATGTGCATTCGTAATGATACGTATACTATCTGTGCCGCAGTATATCAACCACCAGCTACCAATCGTAGGCGTCAGTCTGCAGATACATCTCCTTACACGTCGTCCCTTGTCTGAGTATATCGATTTGTACGCCAGCAACGGCATTGCTAACATCAGAAATCATCGATTCCGACCCGCACGCTAAGAAAAGATGTCAGAGAATCTTAATAAGACAAGGGCATTACGATTATTAAAACCTACTGGTTACTGCAACACGTCCTTCCCATGTCTGGGATTTTTCCCGGATAATGTCAAGAAGCTTCGGGCGGCCAGTGTTCCAAAGCACCGGCAGCTCCTCAGAAAAAGACTTCTTCGTGTCACTTGCAAGGACATCATCCGAGCCGCTCTTCGATTCCATCTCCTCTGGTCCGGCACCTATCCCAGTGACGAAAAAGCTTACAGAAACACCGTCGTCGTCGAGGCCTTTAATAGTGTCAGAGATGTATTGTTCCATCTTCTGAAATTGATCTATAGGACACTTAGCAGTCGTTGGATAAGGAAGAAGTGTGATGCTTACCTCTAGACCGAACTGCCCAGACTAACTCAATTTTGCTGCACCGTGTCTTCGCATCGACTTCGCCTTTACGGCATCGAACGAGATCTTGAAAGATGGGCAGAATATACGCGATGCCACTGCCTCCAGCGATGAGCAAAGCCTTGTCGAAAGCTCGGAGTTCTGGCGTTGAATGTCCGAAGGGACCATCGAGGAGAACAAAGAGGTCGCGGCGACCACCAGCTTGTTTACAATAATCTTTGAGAGAACTGGTAAAACCCTTCATAGGCACGATAATGAAAGTCATATCGTTCGGTTGATCGTTGCCGCTCGGTATACTGCTGATAGAGAAGGGGTGGGACTCCAATGGACGTACGCTGAGGAAGCGGATGAACACATGCTGACCGGGGGACCATCGAAGTTTCGTAGGAATACTGAGATGTAACATGCCTGATGGTGTTACATGGACACGGGCAACGTGGATATGGAGGTTGACATATATCATGTAACCAACACGAAGCACAACGCCCCAGGCGAAGACTGCAAATGTCGCGTACATGTAGTACCTGATATCTTGTCATAAGCCGACGATTCAGGCAAATTCATGAATAGGGCTTACCCTCTATCGAGATACTTCCAACAGTGAAGCCACAAGAATCCAAAGTAAACTAGAGAAGACTTGAGAGGCCGTAAACACATTCGAAAGTGTGGAGCTCACCCCCAACAGCGGCAAGATGGAGAATCCAGAAACACTCGTACCCGGCCTTGCGGAAGATTGGAAGGCTAGCACAGCAAAGCCAGATCAATGGTGCTAGAGCGACGAAGCCGGTCCAATAGGCACACTGAAACGATATTTAGATCCAGACTAACAGACTGGCTTGTGCTTACATTGTTGTGAAAACTATAGTTAATTCCGCGTTCCCTAAGAAGACTTTAAGCTGTTGCCATAGCTTATAACGGATACAAGCTTACCGAATGGAGCGTATCGTCATGGAAATGGTGTGTACCAAGGGCATATACAAATGCAAGCCCGCCACTCCTTGATGGAGTACCTGCATCTTCTCGTGGGAGCTACCTGTGCCAGAACATAAGAGTATGTTCAAGAAGGGAAGAAATCAGATCCACCTATCAAAGTACCAATGAAGTTGATTTTGTGTCCGAACACAATAAGAAACGGGAGCATTGCCATGGCCGGCCATTCGCTTCGCAGGCCTAAAGGAGAAGCTCCATCTAGTAAAATTGGTTGGCGAATGTCGAAACATAAAGGATCAGAGCCTGAGGCGTACAAAACGGGGGCCTGTAATAATATGTGTCTGCGAAGCAGTAAAGAGTGGTGAAAAGAAATCCCGCAGCGAGAAGTAACGTCTGGCCCTGGTTTCCTGCAGTGTACCATGGAGAGATGAACCTGTTGACTGAGGTAGGAATGCGAGGGTACGCAAGCAGTCGAAAGAGGGCATAGAATTTATCTTGTAGGGTCAGAGATTGCGACGTTGACCCAACAGCGAGGCTATGGTATAATCTATTAGGATATCTACTCACAGAAGAGGACTGATTACCCACCTGCGTCGCTGAAGAATCCTGAAGTGAATATTAAACAAGATCGCAATGAAGATGGTGACGGCAAAGAAGTATAATTCGCAATGGCCGTATTCTACAGACGAAGCCCAAGGTTCATGGGTAGATTGGTACGCCGTCTTCTCTGCGGAGGTAGGGACGTAATGGCCATTGTAGTACGACCCCGCCGCTGGATCTTGGGACATTCGAGCATGTAGAAGTGAATCCATAGCGACTGGAACCCCAGAGAAAACGCTGAAGCCGGCAGAGAGACGAGCAACAGACGTCTTCGACTACTTTGTATGGTGCTGAATTTATACATCCAGATAATCTAGGCGAGGTTTCCATGGCCAGCCAAGCCAATTCAAGTAGCACCGAAGACCGAGATTTCCGCCCCTGCCCAAATGCGGCAATGATCGGGACCTAGAAATTAGAAAATTTATCGCGTGCTGTGACACGGCATAGGTCGGCACAATTTGACGAAGGGATTCCCCATAGACTTACCATTAGAAACGCAATGGAGAATCCCAAGAGGGCGATACCATGAAGTTAGGAAGTAGGAAGGCTCTGGGATGTCTGTGGATGGAGAAGGGGAAGGGGAAGAGTAGCCTGGCATGGTAAAGGACAAAATACTTTGCCGACAAAGATTTGTATCGGAACTGAAGCAGAATGAGGCAGTTTTTTTCTTAGTCAGCGTCACTAGGCCAATCGCAAAAAGGCGGAGGGCGAAAATCACGCAATCGCCGAGCGGCGAGACCTATATAAAGCTCTATCTAAATTGCTTAACTTTTCTCTTCCCCTCACTATGCTTGTCGCCTGCTGCGTTTCTTTCTTGTCTTCCTTGGGCTGGTCTCCTCTTGCGACTTCGTGGTTAAACTCTCCTTCACTATTTGAGGATTCGTCTTTATCACTACTTGGCTTTCTCTTCGCACTATTTCGTTCATTCGACGTCTGGTGCCGGGATGATGGTGGCAGTCCTGGGTGTACTCCCTGCTCTTGCTAGCTCTCATTGCCATCTTCAAGATGCATAAAAGGTCTTGCCCTCTATTCTAGCTGTTCATTGCGCTTACCATCACCTGAAAGTAACCTAGTTATTGTACCCTGTCCAAGTGTCGTCATTCCCGACGGTCTGCATGATCTAGCTTTATCCATTAAAGAGTAGCTCGCCATTTTGTTTCTCCGCGCCAGTGTTCCTCGTGGACTTCTCCAACTGCTTCCATGTTGATATCCGCTGTCGTTACAGACCGTCTGTGACGCTCTAATCGATGCGCTTGATGGCGCGATACCGCATGATAGTTACAGAAAATCGTGTGTTGCCAGCGGGTCGCCGTTCCATTCGGGTCCCGCCCAATTCGGGGCACATTCGGAGCCTACGCCCTCCGTAATGTATCTGGGTGTACTTACCAGGTGATGTCCCGCCGCCACTGTCATTCCGACAAATTGGCAATCCTCAGAAAGGAAGAATTTTTATTCTGATCACTGACCCTAAGTGTTCCACTTCTGTGAGTAATCAAAGTTCTTGACACCCTTCCAGGTTATGGCGGTCTTGACATTGAATCATTAGGATCTATGCTGTACAGATTCACTATTGTCGTATTTTCCCGCGCCTTTACAAGTTTTTAGACCGACATTGGATCACTAGACGAAATATACTCAGACCTATCAGAGTGGATGGACACACTTCTCAGCGTTGATGATACATAAGCAACAAGACAGCAAACACGCCGTTATGAACCGACGTTACTTGCAGTACTATACAAGTATACCGCAGGATTACGCCGAGATCTTGGATCCGGGATGTCACTGGGAACTATCCTTTGCTTGCTTGACTTTCGGTTTTACACCAACCGTCACGCAAAGACAGTACGCGATTTCCCTCTCAGCCTCGCAATCATTGCATCATCCAATCAAGTCAAAATCCTCGTCTTCATTGGTGTGCTCGCTCCGATCCAGCATCGGGGAATAATTTGGGCCTGCTGAGGAAGTAAAACATTGACGGTCTAAACTTATTCTAGACATAATCTGCTTCTCCATACATTCATAACGGATATGTATAATTTACCAGCGCTACCAACCATAAGCGTCAGTCTGCAGATACATCTCTTGACATGTCGTCTTTCTTTGGAGTATATCGATTTGTACGCCGGCAACGGTATTGCTGACATCAGATATGATCGATTCCGACCCGCATGCTGGCGAAGGAAGGAAGGAAGTTGGTCTTATCAGTGTGGCTAGCGAAATAAGCATTATCAAAACTCACTGGTTACTGCAACACGTCCTTCCCATATCTGGGATTTTTCCCGGATAATGTCAGGTAGGTTTGGGCGGCCAGCGTGCCAAAGCGCCGGTAACGCCTCAGACAATGACTTCTCTTTCGCATCACCTACAAAGTCATCATCCGAGCTGCTTTCTATCCCCTCTGACCTAATATCTTTCCCGGTGACGAAAAAGCTTACAGAAACACCGTCGTCGTTGAGGCCTTTAATAGTGTCAGCGATGTATTGTTCCATCTTCTGAAATTGATCTATAGGACACTTAGCAGTCGTTGGATAAGGAAGAAAGTGTGATGCTTACCTCTAGACCGAACTACCCAAACTAACTCAATTTTGTTGCACCGTGTCTTCGCACCGACTTCGCCTTTACGGCACCGGACGAGATCTTGAAAGATGGGCAGAATATACGCGATGCCACTGCCTCCAGCGATGAGCAAAGCCTTGTCGAAAGCTCGGAGTTCTGGCGTTGAATGTCCGAAGGGACCATCGAGGAGAACAAAGAGGTCGCGGCGACCACCAGCTTGTTTACAATAATCTTTGAGAGAACTGGTGAAACCCTTCATAGGTACGATGTAAAAGGACATCTCGTTCGGTTGGTCGTTGCCATTCAGTATGGTAGTGATGGAGAAAGGGTGGGACTCCAATGGACGTACACTGAGGAAACGAAGGAATATATGCTGACCGGGGGACCATCGAAGTTTCGTAGGAATACGGAGATGTAATATGCCTGATGGTGTTACATGGACACGGGCGACGTGGATATGGAGGTTGACATATATCATGTAACCAACACGAAGCACAACGCCCCAGGCGAAGACTGCAAATGTCGCATACATGTAGTCTCTGGTATCTTGTCATAAGTCGAGGGTTCTGGCAAGATCATGAATAAGACTTACCCTCCGTCGAGGGAATCCCAGCAGTGAAGCCACAAGAATCCAAAGTACACTAGAAAGACATGAGAAGCAGCGGGAACATTCAATAACACGAAGCTCACTGCCAACAGCTACAAGATGAAGAATCCAGAAACACTCGTACCCGGCCTTGCGGAAGATTGGAAGGCTGGCACAGCAAAGCCAGATCAACGGCGCCAGAGCAATGAAACCGGTATAGTACGAATCCTGAAACGGAATTTAGACTCACGACTACTTGTTGGCTTGTCCTACTCACATTATTCCAAAAGTCATAGCGAATTCCGCGTTCCCTAAGAAGACTTTAAGCTGTTGCCATAGCTTATAACGGATACAAGCTTACCGAATGGAGCGTATCGTCATGGAAATGGTGTGTACCAAGGACATATACAAATGCAAGCCCGCCACTCCTTGATGGAGTACCTGCATCTTCTCGTGGGAGCTACCTATATCAAAATCTAAGTGTATGTTCAAGAAGGCAAGCAAATATGTGCACCTATCAAAGTACCAATGAAGTTGATTTTGTGAGCGAATACAATGAGAAATGGGAGCATCGCCATGGCCAGCCATTCGCTTCGCAGGCCAAGAGGGGAAGATCCGTCTAGGAAAATCGGTTGATGAGTATCAAGTCGAAAAGAACTGAATCGACAGCGTACAAAACGGGGGCCTGTAGTAATATGTGTCGGCGAAGCAGTAAAGGGTGGTGAAAAGAAATCCCGCAGCGAGAAGTAACGTCTGGCCCTGGTTTCCTGCAGTGTACCACGGAGAGATGAACCTGTTGGACTGAGATAGGAATGCGTGGATACGTGAGAAGTCGAAAGAGGGCGTAGGATTTATCCTGCAAGGTCAGCGCTTGAGATGCTGACGCAGCGGCGAGGCTACGGCACCGTGTATCAGGAAATTTACATGAAGAAAATGAAGATATTACTCGCCTGCGTCGCTGAAGAATCCTGAAGTGAACATTAAACAAGATCGCAATGAAGATGGTCACGGCGAAGAAGTATAATCCGTAATAGCCGTATTTTACAGATGAAGCCCAGGTTCACGGGTTGATTGGTACTCTGTCACTTCTGCGGAGGTAGGGACGTAATGGCCATTGTAATACGTTCCCGGGACTAGATCTCCGGACATTCGAGCATACAAAGGTGAATCCATAGCGACTGGAACCCCAAGAAACACAGTGGTACCAGCAAAAGGATAATAGGGATTTGTAACTACATCGTATGGCGCTGAATTTATATCACCAGATAAATTAGGCGAAGCAGCACCAGATGTAAACTGAGATTCGGGCAAGATTCGGGTTTCCGCCCCTGCCCAAATGCAGTAATCATCGGGACCAGAAAATTTGTAGTGTGACTGTGACAAAGTACAGGCCGGCACCAATCTGACGAAGGGATTCCCCATAGACTTACCATTAGAAACGCAATGGGGAATCCCAAGAGGGCGATACCATGAAGTTAGGAAGTAGGAAGGCTCTGAGATGTCTGTGGGTGGAGAAGGGGAAGGGGAAGAGTAGCCTGGCATGGTAAGGACAAAATACTTTGCCGACAAAGATTTGTATCGGAACTGAAGCAGAATGAGGCAATTTTTCGCTTAGTCAGCATCACTAGGCCAATGGCAAAAAAGCGGAGGGCGAAAATGACGCAACCCAGACCTATATAAAGCTCGTCTATCTAAACGTTTATCTTTTCTCTTCCTCCACTATCACCTGAGCTGCGTTTCCTCCTTGTCTCCTTGGGTTGGTCTACACCCTCGGCGCTCAGCTCGTATGCAGGACATCGTTAATGTTGCCTTTACTTTCTGAGGCACTGTCATTGCCGGGTTATCACCTCTACTTGGCTTCCTCTTTATCATTGAGGTCGTTTGAGGTCTAGCGTCCGCGAGCCGTTCTATGGCATAGTCTCTGTTCTAGCTAGCTCCCTTCACCATCTTCAGGATGTCTGAAATACCAACTGTTCGTTGCTCTTGCCATCACCTAAGATTAGCTGGCACCACACTCTCTGTGCAAGTCCTCCATCTGATTTTTGTGTTGTCATTCCTGAAGGTTGACTTGATCCTTTTTACATCAAAGAGGAGATCGATTGTTTGTTTCTCCGCGCCTTCGTTCCTCGTGCACGTCTACGTCTCTGCTTCCGTATCAAAATCTCCGTCTCCGCTGTCGTTACAGACCGTCTCTAATCGATGAACTTGATGGGGTGATATCGGATGCTAGTTCCTGGAAACCGTGTGTTGAGCAGGAGGCCGTTCCAATCGGTTTTTGCCTTCATCCTGGGCACAAGGTCTTCGCGATCTGTATCCATGCGCCTGCAGTCAGTCCTTGATGCTCCGTGTGATGTTTTATTGCCAGTAACACCGACAAATTGGCGATCCGCAGTAGTGCTTCCGCTTTTGTGACCTTTGGAATCGGAATGTTTTGACACCCTCCTAACTGAAAGGGATTTTGAATTGAATCATTGAGATTATTATCGGGTTTAAATAAGGGCTGTTTACACTAGTCTAATTGGTACGAGATCGCGTAACTCAGGTCTCCCCCCCATATCTCACGTTTTTCCGCAGACGTCGGGCCGCTCCCTCAGCGCGTAGCCTTCCATTGTATGCGGTCTCAGCCTCCCACGGGAGCCTCTCCCGGAGTCTCAACCGTCTCACCAGTGAGTACGTGTCACCTGAATGCCGGTGGCACAGCGGAATCTAACGGGCTTCTAGTTTCTTCGCCATGCCTCTCTTTCTCCCGGACTATATCTCCCTGGTGGTCTCAGTGGGAGCGCTTATCACTCTCGTTGAATCACCAGGTACGTTCCGTCTTTCTCGTAGTGTTTCCTTTAGCTTACGTTTCGCTCTCGTCGAATCGACAGAGCTTTCGTGTTTTTAGCACCCACCCTGGACAGTACTCTTCTTACCTTCGACATGGACAATTCGGACTAGCGGACGGACTTATTCATGAACACTTGCTTCGTTTACAAACTCATGTACAGTACTGTCTCCCTCCCAGCGCTCACACACGCGGAGGCTGGTTTCTCAAATTGGACTTGTGCCAAAAGGGTGATTTTTTGGTAAACTCGTACGATCGGTCGGACACTCGTCGACCAATTAGCACTGTACAGATTCACTATTGTCGCGATTTTCCTGCTTTTAGACCGTTACATTCAAATGATCACTAAATGTAATCAATGGAATGAATATACTAAAACCTTTTAGAGTACACACCTCTCAGCGGCGATGATACATAAGCAGTAAAGCGACAGACACGCCGCCTACTATGAATCCCAACGTAGCTGGCAGTACCGTGGAACTACCATGGGGACTGCATCAAGATCCTGGCAGGTCGACTGAGGGTTATCCTTCCCTTGCTTGACTTTCGGTTTTCCACCAACGTCATGCAAAGACGGTACGCGATTCCGCTCCCACCCTTCATCAAGCAACCTCGCAATCATTGCATCGTCCAGTTGAGTCAAATCCTCCATGTCCCACTCGTTGCATAGTTGAGACATCCACTTCATCCTGCGTCGACTAACAGCTCCTCCAATGCCAGGTGCACGCTCCTTCAGGCGGACCCTCAACTCTCCAACTCGCCTGATGGCCTCGCCTTCATAGCCGCCTAAGGCGGCACTGAGTTTTGACTTGAGTAATGCTGCTATTCTGGGACCAGATCCGTTGGTCGATATCATGATCTGCAAGGGACCATCGCGTATCTGAGCACCAAAGTAGAAGTCGCATAGATCAGGTATGTCTGCAGCGTTGACGGGTATTCTTTGCTCGCGGCACAGCTCGACGATTTGGCGTGAACTGCTGGGATCGTCGAGAGCAGTAAGGACCATGTCCATCTTGTAGAGTTCTGCGGGCCCAGAGAAACGACGGTCATAGTATGTGATACGGTCCGGATATAGTTCAATGAATCGCTTGGTTCGAGGGTGAAGGGCCCTTGGCTGGAGCGAGAATAACGATCTTTGCGTCCGCGGAAAGAACGGCTTCAATGCGTCCTGACGCGACTTCTCCCCCGCCGACGATGAGAACAGTTTTGCCCTTGAGCTGCCAGGCGACGAGCAGAGACAACCCGCCGAGATTTGACGAGATGGATGGGTCCGAAGGAGAAACAGAATATCTGCAAAGGACATTGGGAGGAATGGACGACGAGTGGACGACGAAGTGAACAGAAACTGGACTAGACCGCAAGTGACGATGACGTCATAATTTGCATGTGATTGGCATCACTTTGAGTGGCCCCTATTCTCGCTGCCAGCGGCTGCGCCCGCCTAGGCTAGGAGAGGGAATATAATGACAGGCTTTGGAACAGCAATTGCAAAGGGCCAATTGCTGATTTGTTTCCTGGCTATTTCTCGTGTCTTGGGCCTGCTTTTTGAGAAGATGCGGTGCAAATTTGGAAATCAGAACGCTCGCACTGCCGAGGCTGTGCTTCGGCATTAGGTGAGCGCACCACAGCGACCACCGACAGGCCCCTTCAGCTTTCTACCTTTCACTCCCATTCTGCCCCTACTTCTACTTGATATCTAGTTTTCTCATTCGTCAAATTTCTTCTGTATCAACCACATAATCCTTCCTCATGGCCTATCGAGACCCGTACGCTGCGCAGTACGGCCGGTACGAGCACGACGCCCAGTACACCCAGCCCGACTTCAATCCTTACGGCCATCAGCAACCATGCTACTTACGACGAGGGTGCTTACGATAACTATGGCTCTGGCTATAGAGATGAACCTACAGACGCCCGTGGGCCGCATCGGCAAGCCACTATGAAAAGTCACATCACCACGGATTCTATTGACTCACCTACGGGTATCAGAGCCAGAGACGCTGCTGACAATACTAGTGGCTTTGACCGTGGAGAGTTTCCACCCAAGGAAAAGTACGTCTCTATGGTCCTATTTCCCCTTGGTTACTTAGCTCCAACCAGAGTTCCCCAAACCTTGAAGAGTTATCGATATGAAACGCAGGGAAATCTCTGGACAAGGGTAAGCAAGTTCATTTATAGTGAATATTTTGTTGATGTCAAATAGGGAGGTCGTCCAAGGTGTATTGGGAGGTTCTGCTGCTGCACCCTTCTGATTGCTGTTTTTCTAATAATCAGCATAATCTTGTCCCTGCATTGGTTAGTCTCTCATTGGTTTTCCACATCAATATTAACATGTATGCAGTGGATTCGGCCCCCCAACGTCAGCATCGGTGAACTTCAGACAATGTCTTCCGGTGGTAGTGAGTTCGAACTCACCAACGACGGTGTCAACATAAACCTTGGCAACATCTCGTACGTATTCTAGACGTGGATTGCATTTCATTTATTGACATTTTCTCATAGGGTTGACAATCCGAATTACTTTTCAGTCAATCTGAAGAAAGTAACGGCCGAGGTAAACTTGTCGCAATCTCCGTTGCCGATTTGCCGCTCACCGCTGTACCTCAGTTGTTCTACCCTCTCAACAGCTCTAGCACTGGTACGGACATTGGAGGTGGCACCTCCAGCAACATCAATTTCGCCTCGCACTCGCAGACCAATTTTACCTTCCCGTTCGCGATCGAATACACCACGGCCGATGACCCCAACAGCGCCATCCTCGTAGATCTCCTTGAGAAATGTGGGGTTCTCGGCACAAAGACTAATATTGATGTCAATTATAAGATAACGGTGAGCCCAGCCTTTCTGCCGTACTGCAGTGCCTCATAATCGTTTTTCAGCTCGCCATACGCATTCTTATAGTAACGGTTTCACCGGTCATTTCCAACTCGTTCAGCTTTGCATGTCCCTTAGACTCGTCATCGCTTTCGGTGCGTACTACGTGCAAGTTATTCGTATTTCAGGACCTAACTGTTTTTCATCCAGGATCTCATGGGCAGTTCTGGCCTAAACCTGACCAGTATCGCCGGATATTGGGAGGATCTTAGCACTTCATTTTTCCTTGCATTGCACGTGTATCATATATTTCAAAATCTGGACTATATTTGCTATGAATCTAGTACTACTCAAGAGACATGGTCCATACCAATGATTTTGAACATTCATCGATTCACCTATTGTACCAATAAATAGCATTGCATTCCAGCTCGTTCGTCAACGAACCATTAAGCCTGCAGTAGCTTCAAATGTGCCATCCCACAAGCACCCATATCCCAGTTTCTAACGAGCCTATACTTTCTATTGAGTTCGCAGCCTTCCACATTGCACTGGGGTATTGGCCTTGGTGGTGCAGGAGGGTGCACTTCGCCCTCTGGCAGCAAAGACGGCGGAACTGAGAACATCAGAATCATCTTCTTCTCTTCGTTACTATCGGTTTTCTCCTTCTCTGCCGCACCATCAACATCCATCTTCTCCTCCGGGACCGTATCATCGACGTCCATTTTCTCCTCAGTTCCAGGACTAGGATCAACTTGGGGAGGCCGCGACGAGGATATCCATCGATACATGACGGGTATTATAGGTGCAGGCGCAGGTTCCTCTGTACTTCCCTCCACCTCCATGGCCTCTTCATCGCTATCGTTCTGCACCTTGACTCCGGACGGGGTGCCCGTTCCAGTAGTAGTTCCGTTGCGTCTACCGCCCCGCGGACGTGTTTGTTTTTTGAGTAGCCGGTTGATAGTTTCAACCTTTGCAAAGAGCATGAGACAACGAATTAGTACACTGACAAGACGCACCTTTTCATCCTCCAACTTTTTCTCAGAAAGATTCTTCCTCTTCCTGGCTGTCTCTTCCCGACGCAAGGCTAACTCGGTCTCGTTGAGTTGCTTTTTCCTACCCTTGCCCACGGATACTGCAGTGTCACCATCTGCAACTTGCAAGTGAATTACGAATAACGTGAATGGGATAACATGCCGCGTACCCAAAGAAACATGCGAAGAGTCGACCACATTGGCCAGAACGGCCTGCCTTGACGTGAGGCGCTTCTTCGAAGGACTAGCTTGAGGTGTCGACTCCGATTCAGGTGACATAGACCTCTCATCGTCATCATCATCATTATCGTCATCTTCTGAGCTCTCAAGGTAGGAATCTGCGGCAGACAATTAGGCGCTGTGGCTGATTGAGGAAGAGACATCCAACCGTACCCGGTACTATCCTCCTTGTGCGAGCAGAAGCTCTCTTTGGTGGACGGTGATATTCTTCCGGTGCTGGTGTCGCCGTGTTGGACGTTGAGCTCGGTACAGTGGGGAGTTTCAACTTGATCTTGAGTCGCGATGATTGTGCTGGTTGCGACGAAGTATTGCTGAGCTGGTCGTCCTCTTCTTCTACAATGGCGTCGTCATCATTCTGGCACAGAAAGATGGGATTCCAGCGCGACGTGAAGGGACATGGGCACGTACAGATTGAGCATCTTCCTCGTCTAGAACGGTAACACCGACCTGGTCGTCCTCGTCTTCCTCCTCCGGATCATCGCCATCCTCCTCCTCAGGAGAATCGCCCTCGTAACGCTCAGCGTCGTCGTCGGCGCCTTCCATGTCGACCTCATTCTCAACTTCGTTGCGCCGCATGGTGGGAAATTCCAGGTGTCAGGATTTGGGAATGACATCATGAGAGCAGTTTCGCCTTCTGGTTATGACCCTCACGATGTCAGCTGGTTGCATCTCTCTGCAGCACCACCATGTCAAGTAACCTCGTTCAGCTCACGCCGCCCAAACAGCTAACGCAGCAAGAACGTGAAACCGTTTTCCAGCATATCTTTCGCCGTCTGGCAGCCTATAGAAACACCCCGAGCTCTACGCCTTGGCAGAATATTCTTTGTCGTCTTTGCCAGAAAAGGCGAAATCCGATAGAAGAAATGCGTTTAATAAAGGGTTAAATGCATGGGCGCAACAGCTACTAGAACATACGTGGGTTGTATGCGGAGAGCCAGACGGAGGTACGGTCGACAATGTCGTCTGTACGTTAACATCGCTGACGACAGGTTCAGAAAGCTGTCCTGAACTAGATCCTTATGCCGATACTTCCACCGGTCAACTGCTTAAACTACCTCATGAGCGGGACCTTAAGAGAATCCTTAACGCCATCCTTTTCCTGCATATCACAACGTCCAAGGAGTATTCTGCTAGGACGCGGTCGTTTCTGAACACTTTTGGCAGCATGGACGAAGACATCATAGTGTCTACACTTAGACATCCAGACCGTGCCATCGAAGAGGCGCAACAACATACCCAGACTACTACCAAAGATCACGCAAAGAGAAATAAAGTGCTGAGAATGGCCGGGATGGGCCTTGGCGCAGTTGTTGGGGGCGTATTGGTCGGGGTCACTGGAGGTTTGGCTGCGCCGCTTGTAGGTGCTGGAGTTACAACTGTCGTTGGGTGGCTCGGCATCGGTGGGACGATTGCAGGTTTGCTAGCCAGCGGACTAGCAGGATCTTCTGTCGTCTGTGGGGCACTATTTGGCGTGTACGGCGCGAAGTCTACGGCAGATATGGTACAGAGACATACGAGGGAAATACGGGATTTAGCTGTTTTGCCGGTGGGCGTTCAGTCCGAAGAAACCCTTGCCGTCCGGCTTTGTGTTAGTGGGTGGATATCGTCGCCTATCGTAACGTTCGTAACGCCTTGGACTGTGTTCGGAGGCCATAACACATTTGCTTTGCAATGGGTAACTCCTTTAACTCCTGGTTACTGGCGTTTCTGATGCTTACTAGGAAGTCCAAGCATTGCAAGAGCTATCAGATGCGCTTCTCACTCTTATCAAATCTCACACCATGAAATACATCAAGATTGAAATTGTCAAGCGCACCGTCTTTGCGAGTTTGATGAGCTCTTTGGCGCCTATTGCGTGGCTGAAGATAGGGCAAATCATTGGTATGGTGAAAGATTTCAGGCGATCGGACCCGTTATGCTCACTTCGGCACTTCTGTTTACAGACAATCCTTGGATGAACTCCAAGGCATTGGCTATCAAGGCTGGGGCAGTCTTAGGAGATCTTCTAGCTAAACGTGCCTTGGAAAGCGGCCGGCGACTCTGGCTGGCTATTCCTTGGGATCCTTGGTAATCTTCGAGGCACTGAAGTACCTCACCACCCTTCCACCATCAAACACTGGGGATCTAATTGAAGACGTCTTTCTTTTCGGGACTCCCGTATCAACAGACCAGGCGACGTGGGCCAGTATAAGACGGCTAGTATCAGGCCGACTCGTCAATGGTTATTCCACGAACGATTATGTCCTCGCCGTACTTTCACGCGTATCGAGTGTGACTTGGAACGTTGCAGGTCTTCATTCGGTTGATGTCATGGGCGTAGAGAATGTCCACTGCGATTTTGTTGATGGGCACACCATGTGGAAAGAATTGATAGGGAAATCATTGCAGCTTGTCGATGCTCCTGGATTGGTCGATTCTGAAATCTATCTTCGGACGGAGGATATCGACAGGCAAGGGGAGGGGGATTTGGGATCAAGCCAAGAGGACTTGCCTCAGAAGGGTACAAAGTAAGGTTGTATAGGACATTATGGATTAGATTGTTTTTTAGAGTTCAAAATTGTTGCTATCCTGTCCTGCGAGTTCTGCACGACCAGGAACCAGCAATGACTCTAACGATGATAAGTTGTCAAATATTATTAGGATGGATTTGCTACGCACTGATGATGGCATCAACTCTAGTAGTTAGTCCTCGGAAAATGCCGGCTCAATGTTGACTTCTGTCTCCAAGCATCCATCGAGGTTTTAATGCCATCACAAGAGCTAGCTGACTTTGGATAAATTTGGTACCGTAAATTCGATACCTGCAATCTCCTCGCTGGCTGGAAGAATGTTAGCCCATTTTGAAGTTGTGGCGAAAAAAGTTCAGAATCTGGTAATGCAGCGCCGTTGACTTGGCTATACTCAAGTTCTGCGAGAGCAGCTCGCATATTTCCCTGTCAACTAGTGAGTGATTTTCCCTTGCTAATCGGCATTCCAACCTGTGACATCAACCACGTAGTAGGAAGTCAACTTTTGTAATGCACTCCTGAATAATTCAAGATGTGGATCAATACCTCTACCGCAGTCTATGTTGGTGCGTAACGTATAGAGACTAATGTCATCGGTCAACGGGCTGATTCAATGTATCATTTCAAGGCTATTAAAAGGCTCTATTTTGGATCATCCTACAGTCCGAGAATCCGCGGAGAGCAGCTGAAAAGACGCGGACGTATCCTTGACAGCGTGCCCGTCACTTAGACTTTGATTATCCTCGAACGGTTACAGGGTTTGCTTCACTCCTATCAGCCCTAGGGACATCTTGTATACCCCTTTCCGGCTCCCTGCTTGCGATGAAGACAGGCGCGCAGTCGTGCCAGCTGCTGCCATTCGTTCATGTCGTCTACGATTTTGTTTGTTAGACAGACGTCGACAGTACCGGAGGTTTCACTTTCTCTTCGACGTAAAGGCTTCTTTAAAGTTTGCCTGCCGACTCAACGTCTTCATCGGTCAAACGTGCAAAATTTCGGGATTGTGATATCCCAAGGCTGGGAGGAGCCCATGCGTAAGTGCTTATTAGCAACATCTTCATCAATCCGTAATAAACTTACGAATCTTGCGTGACCTTGTGGTTGCATTCGGAATTCACCTAGAACGGGAACTGTCTCTAACTATACCAATCTAATGCGCTGGAATGACCTCCTGGCAAGTGTTCAGCTATCTCTCAGAGGTACTTTGTCGCACAGAATTCGCTTGGTGGGACGGATCTTGCACCCTCCATCCCACTCTATTCTTGCTGTCAATTCCGAATATCAGTCATCGCACGCGGGCCGGGACTCGGCTGGATTGTTCCAATCACGTGATAGATGATCGTCATATGTCTGAGAAGAGGTATATAACTAACGATACATCTTCAAGTTTCCCAAGATCACTGCTCAAAAATTTCTCTCAGTCTGATGTTCTAGCAACCAGCATGTCAACGCCTACACCCCTCAGATCCCTCATTGGCGGCTTTGGCCTTTCTCTCCCAGTGCATGCTCTGTTGCTTTTGAACGGAAATGTCTTCGGAATATCCGGTTTCTTTCACCGCGCAGTAAAAGGGAATATAGAGGCGTTGGCGGGTGTATCCGGGCTGCTCGCCGGAGGACTTGTCATTGGAGCTCTCGAAGGCGCAAATACAGCAGTACTTGGTCTCGAAATACGACAAGTTCTGCTATCCGGTTTCCTTGTAGGATTAGGAACCAAGGTATCTCGCTTCTATAGATCCTGTTCACATGAATTAATAGCCTATCTCGTAGATGTCTAATGGATGTACATCCGGGTTAGTAACTCCGATTACCGCTTGTGCCTTTGATTTACCGATAGTTGAACCGATAGACATATGATTTGCGGCATTTCCAGACTATCCAAGAGGTAAGAAATAGTTCGAATGTAAATATATGCATGCCATTCTCACGCTTTCAAGGTCAATTGCCGCGACCGCAACTTTTTTTTCCACGGCAGCGGTAACGGCGCGTCTGTTACATGGTTCAAAGTTGGGCCCCTCAAACCCATCTTGGGACTGGAGTTTAGGGTCGATGGGGAAAAAACTTATTGCCCTACAAGCAATCCCTCTAGTGATTTCAGCGTTTCTTTGTTTCTACAATGTCAGTGTTCTTGCCTTCTTGCCCACTCAGCCGTGACTAACATAGGACAAGCAGAAACCAAAATCAGAGGATGTCGCTCCGAAAGAACCGAATATTTTAGCCCGACGCGCTACCTACTTCAACAACGGATTCAACTTTGCACTTGCACTTTCTCTATCTAACCTCATTGACCCGATCAAAGTATTGACATTCTTACTCCTACCTATCCATTCTGCTTTCGATCCATCACTCGCTTTTCTCGCTATGGGGGCTTTACCTACCTCGATCATCTTATACAACTTCTTTTGCGGGACGCGGAGGCCCATGCTCGGTGGCCCATGGGCGATTCCAACGGGAGGAGAGATTAATATAAAAATTCTGACAGGAGCAGCAGCGCTGTTCGGGGTGGGCTGGGGAATTTCAGGCATCTGCCGTACGTTAACCAACTCGTGCCAGCCGTCTCATGTCTGATAAAATCCTTTTAGCTGGGCCAGGCCTATGAACTTCGGGCGTGCTATTACGTCAGGTTCTGACGTTGCGCCTCTGGCTGGCTGGTTAAGCGCTGTCGCCGTGGAGGCTTACTGGGTTAGAGGTACGGAATTGGAAGCTAGCTTAGAGTTACGATGACACGGAACAGGATTAATAGCTGCTACGTTAAATAATAATGGATGTTTAATCAGACAATGACATTTACCTCAAAGGCAAAGGACGCTAATACTCGTGCAAATATCTATCTAATAATACAAGACAACGGGAATGAAGTCTACGACGCGGCCGCCACTGCGGGTCGGGGCAAGTGGCTTCGCTTTGCTCCGGCCCCATTTTATCGCTATTCGTTCTCCATCAATCTCAAGACCGTTAGCCCACGCCTCAACTGCACGTTCAGCGATACTTCGCTCCTTAAAGTTGATGAATGCCACCTAGATAGAAAACGATAAGTCGCCATGTTTGCTAAAGTCATGGGGAGATGTTATAACCGTGACTTGGCTACATGAGACAACAGAACGTAGCTGCGTTGGCTCAACACTAGTAGTGACGTGAGAACGTGGTGCGTATCCTCAGTTCCGTGGATTCGGGGAGAAAGTGAAGATAAAAATATTGATGTCTGAAAATGATGTCAGTAGCGCTTCAATGAAATAATGGAAGAGCATACAATAGTCTCGTCATCATGAGGCTTCAGGCCCTGATTTTCGGCGTGGTGTGGCCATAATTTTAACGGGCTACGGGTCATTTCGCCCGTGGTACCGATCCTGCAAATCTGGTGTGACAGCGCACTCTCTACGGGTTTCTCATGTCGGTATGGGCATTCAGATCCGCGTTTGCATTCCCCCTTGACGAAAAAGGAGCACACATGTGGTCGATTGCGCTTATAATAAGGATCTGTCCGCGCCAGTTTGCTTTCAACATTTCCTTCCCTGCAGACTGCGTTCGTCCGCTGCTAAGGCCGGACTTGTCACCTTCCAGCTACCGATAAAGGATTTGAGGCGAGAATAATGAGGTAAATGATAGTAACGCACCTTGGCCTCCATGTTCTGCGCATAGTATTCCCGATTTATATCACTTGTAGGCGCGTCCTTCTCCAGAGCCAAAGCGGTATCACGGACTTGCGTGGGTAGACCATATTCAAGATCGAGAAGACACGTCTGGCAGACATTCTTCACTTTGGCACACGTTTGACAAATGACGGTGGTTTTGAAGCGCATGCCAGAACCTGGATTCCATCGGAATACTGTGAACGGTCGTGCACAGGTACCACAAGAGCGTCCGTACTCTTGCTTCGACTACAATGAAATCAACAAAAAAGCGATTGAAATGGTGAAAGAAGCACTGACCATGCGAATAAACGGATTATCACCTAAACCTAGAATACTGTTGAACAGGCAAAGTACGATTTCAGACGGCAGGCACATACATGTTTCGCAAAGAAATAGGAAATTCGCTCTGCTCCCATCCTGCTTTTGTTGATATCGGCTTTGGGAGGCATTCTGGGTATAGTCACTAGGTAGTGGTCAGTCCGTAAGTTGTGAAAGTTGTCAGCGATCAGTCAAAGTTTGGCAAATGCTCTCAACACAAATATACACACGTGATGTTAATAGGAGCTAACTAGAATGGATGATGATCTAATACATCATAGAGAAATTTGGCGGAATACACAACGAGAAACTCCATCCTCCTGCAGAACCCAAGTCCTTTCTAATCTATACCCTTTCTTTCGAGGTAGCCAAACACACCAAACACACCAATACCCCACACCGATGAGAGATAGAGCAAAGGCGACAACAGCATGAGACTGAGGAGAATAATTAGCTTACAACTTGCGTAGGTGTGGACAGACTCACCCAATACGGCAGATGCTCGTATGTTCTTGATCCAGGTGCAGGAGGTATTAGAGGTACGAGTACCAGGAACACATTAGACAAGAAGAACAAGACGATTACAATCTTGGGTGCTCGAAATGGTGGATCCCAATTCCATGCTTTGTACGCGGAAGTATACAGTAGCAAAAGACCCAGGGAAACAAGAGCATTAATAATAGCAAGGCAGTATGATGACACTGATGGAATGTTGAGAGATTACAAGTGTTGAATCCGCTGAAAACTCACGGCTGATCATGAACAGGTAGGCGTCTCCCGGTGGAGGCAGAACCATGAACATGGTAGAGAAGAACCAATTCGTAGCAAGCCCTGCCAGGGGCGCATTAAATGGCTTGTTGCTGGCAAAGAACCATGATACCGGAATCACCCCCTCTCGGCCCAGTTCCTGTATGACTAGAATCGGCGCCTGAGAAAAGACTCGGATCTATTCTGGAGAATGACCTACTGCGCCCTTGACTGAACTGGCCAGTGAGCAGATTTCCTAGCGTCGACAAGGCAATAAATACGCTAAGAACCTACAAACTGTTAGATTTAGAGGAAAGTTGGAGGCATCAGCTCACTCGCTCAGTGTTCGGTCCAAATAGGTTTCGAAAGAATAAAGCTCTACAAGATAACTTATTAAATGAAAAGGAGTCGTGTATGGATCCACTAACGCAACAATCCGCCGGCTTCCTACTATATCACCTTTGGAAACTACAGCGAAGTAGCCAACGTTGACAAGCAGGTAGACCGCAGTTACAGAGATAAGTGCCAGAGGTGCCGCTCTCTTGATCGTCCGAACAGGGTTTCTGACCTCAGATAATGCATAATTGGCCGTAGAATAGCCAACAAAAGACCTATAATCGAGAAAATCAGACATTAAAGGACAGAATGCAATAATAGACCACACCAAATGATATTGTATAACCCAGATATCAATGCGTTTGCATCGGAGTTACTGCCTTGCCACAGCTGATCCCACCGGAGATTATCGGGAGCTTCGTATTCGTCTCTAACGCGAAATCCGGGAACACCGACCAGACAGAACAAGCCCGCTATACCTATCGACGAAAGGAGGAAGAGTTTGAAAAGACCTAGTGTATTTTGAAGACGGAGTCCCCACTTGAATGTGGTACCATGGAGCAGGCAGCAAAAAGATATGCACATGAATGCTACGAAACGAGTATTCCATCGGGCCGGTTCAACATTCAAAGCATGAAGGACGTCTGCAGAAGTATCAGCTGAATACTACTAATACAGGGAGGAAATATGAACATTCTCCAAAGACAAGACTGTTGGCAGCCGACGAGCCCTGAAGAGCTTGTAAGTAGGTAACAGCGACGCCTACAGACGCTAAGACTCACCGTTATAATTGCATAAACAGAAAATGTGCAAGTTGCTAGGAACTTGGGACGTCTGTATATGAATTCGAGATAATTCTTCTCTCCACCACTTCGGGGCAGTCCCTACAAGAATGTCTCAGTGCACAACTTAGATAGATACGAAGTGCAGAGCATACAGTGCCAAGTTCAACGTAAACAGCCGTTCCTACGGCTGCAATACTCGCACCGGCTAGCCACATAATAAGCGCAAGGCCCGGGCTTCCAGACGAGCGCAGGATGTTGCTTGGGGTCGCATATATACTTCAATTTGGACATCAGAGATCATGTGTTGAAGCCATAGCAAGGACACTACTCTATACCCAGTTCCAATGATTCGATTGAATACTAGAAACATGGCGCTGAATAGACCTGACAGCAGACAGTTGAGGTTGGATGAATAATATTTTGAGTAGTAGGGTGAACGCACCGAGCTGTCGCTTTGCCTGAGGTACATTATCGTAGGACTCCCCGCTACGTGCTAGCAGTTATTGAGCAATATTATTGGAGCCGAGTCCTTATCGCTGCTCACAGTCGCCCTCGGTCCGATGTACTGCAGCACCGTCAATACCACTAGCGACGACGATAGTCTTGGTAGAGTCATAGTGGGTTCCAGAACGAGTATTCAGAAGAGACTGTCGCTCATCGTCGTCGCCAACGCCAGAAGTCATAGAGTAAGCGCGTACTGGTGTCAGTGGTGGTCCAGAGATAGGAGCGGCACGTGGTCCGCGATAGAACCAATCTTTTCAAATTTCGTCACACCTCATCATCATCGTCCACGATGTCGACTAAGGACGACCCTAGAGACGCTGCTCTTGCTACAAAATTCACTCTGCCTCCGACATGGTATAGAGAAAGTGGTATGTCATTGCGGTATTCATTCAGTCCCTCTCTGCTCATGATACTGCAGAGGGTCTTGGAACGTCTGGCATGTTCCTCTCTGGCTTAATCATGGTGACGCGGAACAGGTAAGTTTGTCCTTTCCAGACCAGGAATTCACCATTTTATCCTTTGAGAGGTACCTTGCCTGGCCTTCAGTTCTGTTCGGCCTGAACCAGTACTTCAACCAACATCCCATGCGCGCCAAGGAGGGAACTGGTGGTCTGTCCAATCTTCTGTATGTAGTAGCCTTCTTGTTCTCAAGATGTAGCACTGAAATATTTTCAGTCTATGTATCAGCGCCTTGGTTGCTTCCTACATGCCCCTCTTTGTCATCAACACACCCTCTGGCACCCCTCCATCATAATATTATCTCGAACTTTTTGTATTGCGGCTCCCTAATGCAGCTCTGTTGGATGGATACATCGTTACTTCGAAGCAAAATCTATAAATATCTCTGGACATAGCAGCTCCTAGACGAAGGAAATCACTGTACAACGAGAGCAGGCCTTCCTTCACCTGAATCCTTGTCCAGGGACAAATGGCATCCTTTGGCTTCCACCTCCAGCAGTATTTGGTATAGCCGTTCCAGCACGAGGCATCGCCCTAGTTCCTGAAGATCCTGCAAGAGAAGCACTATGAGCAGAGACGAAGTGTTGAGGACCTGTTGTCGATGTTGGAGGTAGGAATCCTCTTCCACCAGTATTTGTTGATGAGGGCGGAGCGAATCTTTCTCCTGGAGGAAGGAATCGGTTTGAGGGGGGAGCTCCAGTGTTAGGCTGACGAGAAGGAACATTTGTTGACGCATTGACAGATTGTCGCTGTTGCGCTCGTGCATGTACTGGCGTGGGCGGTGGGCCCATGTTCCGGGGTTGGTTGTTACCTTGCACTTGAGCGGGCTTGAATTTGGTGAGAGAAGGAGTTGCTGCTGATAGTCCGCCCTGTGAAACATCTTGATTTACTCTTGCTCGTTGAACGTTTCGTGGTGCTTGCATGTGCGATAACTGAGGTGGAGGCATGTGTGGCGTCGACGGCGGGACATAGACGTATTGCCTAGCAAAGGGATTGAGATTATAGCAAATCATGATAATCGAAGGTGACACACTGCGCAAGGTTACGAGATGCTGGCCTTTGCTGCCGCTGCTGTCGAACATCGTTAACGACCTGTGGTGCCATGTCGTTTGTGCGATTATAGGACAAATTGGGTGGCTGTTGACCAGGCGGCAAGGTAAGCCTATCGGGTCCTATCAGAGAGGAATGGGGGCTTGGAGTAGTCATCGGCCTGTGGCGCACCAGTACATTCACAATAATTATGGAAGCAGGAAGGTGAGGCGTACCGCTGATCCATAGGGCGTTTCCCGTGCGCATTCATATTATCCGACGGCTCTTGGTCGTCTCTGCGATGATACATCTGCTGCTGTGAAGAATCGACTCCTTGCTGGTATGACGATAATTCCCCCGTTAAATACTGGTTCGCTCTGAAATGGTAGACATTGAGTCTTGTGTCTTTGCAGGCAAGCAGCCTCACGCACCTTTTCAGTTCCGCCATCTCGCGCTTGAGCTTCTCTATATGCGCCCTCTGTTGTTGATGCCTAGTTCTGTAGTACTGTATCTGAGCAGCCATGGACTCTTGCTGAAACTGGATAACAGTCAGGAAATGCTCGACAAAGACGTGATCAAAAACACTTTGGCTGTATATGCAATAGAGTCCAGCGCATACGGTATTGATCGAAACCAGTCGGACATCGGTGGTTCCATCTATCGGTGGTCTGGATTCAATGAACATGAAATGCTTGAAAGCTGGTGACTCACCTCGCGTTGAAGGGGCACCAACTGAATGCCGGGTGACCCACATACCGTACAACTCTGGTCAGCATCTGCCTCAAAATGTCATGATTGTCCAAGGCTTCAGACATCCGACTGACTGAGATGGTTATTGCAGACTATATGCCCACATTCCGTCAACCAGAACGGGATGGTCGCGCCGGCATCCGAAGAGAAAGGGAGTTGGCATCTTGCACAATTGACGAATTCCCAAAAGTCGAATTCCGGTTGGGATGTGGATACTGCGGACATTGCTAGTGACGAAGGGGAGTAGGGGACGCGAACAAAGAGGTGATGAATAATATTCCTGAGACGCGACGCGTTAGAATTCACATCACGTGAAATACACGTGGTGAGACGCAAGACGCGTTTAACTTCTAAAGTTTGAGTTCCGAACAGTGAAGATCTGAGCTTGATTCGCCTACCCACCTCGGCCGGTACTCGTTGGTGCTCACGGGACTTGTATCTGCATATATTCTGCCTGTAACTCTGACCATTCAAAGCTTCCAAACTTTCAAGGTTAATGACAACGACTACGTAGTATTGAGTACGTATCACTGTCGGAACTTGGTTACATCTATACTTGCTTTTTGATGTGGTCGATCTGTGCTTGCTCTGTGTCATCTGGGTTGGCCTGGAGCTTGCTATTTTGTTGGTTTCTAGAGTTGCCATAATGATTAATAGGGATAGTTGGGGGTTTCAGCAACCGAGATTTCTTGTTATCTTCTGGGCTTTACCTGAGGTTTCTAATACTACTCCGACGCTTTGTGTCTGATGAGTGCTATCTGAACACAACCGCCTTCTGATTTTCGAACTTTCGGGCCGGCGTTAAATACACTAAGTGCCTCCCTCCGAATTGGGTGTAATTGGTGCAGTCGTACCATATAGGCGCCTCGTGCTGTGCTTCATTTCAAGGCGAAGCACGCTAAAATTGGACCAAATTCCTCTCCTCTCGTTACTACGTCAGCAGACACCGAAGAATGAGTGATTGCAATTTCTTTCCATTTCGTTCCTACTTAGACGACACACATTCTTCATGATAAAGATTTCCAATCTACGACGAAGTTGAACTAGTGAATTTTGCGTCTCAGACTGTTGGAGTTTTGGATACTATCGCTCCCTTATCACGATGTGAAGTGACAAAATATAGCAAGCGCTGTGTGGCGGTACAACACGTTGTTGAAATGCTCTAGTGTTGATGATTCCAGGTCCATCACCTGCAGGCTGTTATGCTGTAAACCAAGTTCGGGGCAATTATATGAATATTCTACACTGAAGCTTACATACAGCCATTAGGCGCTACAGCTTTCATAAATGGCGCACTGCTATTCAGTTCATGTCGCTGTATGCAAAGGCGATGTTGTGACATTGCAGAAGGGGCTGATGATGATGTCCCTCGATAACCCCGAAATCGGAATCGTGGGATTCTGCGGACGTCCGAGTATAAGAGGTTAAGCGCCCAGGGACTGCTCTCTTACAGCTATCACAAGTATCTCCCATGGGCAGTTTGGAAGCAATTCGTCGACGGACGATGGCCAGCCAGCCTCAGTGGGGAGACATTCCCGGCTGGGATCGATCGAGTCCGGACAAATTGCCTTCGTCACGTGCCGAGACCGCCCATTCTTGCTCAGATTGCGACGCGTCTACCGGCCCTGCCAGTATCGAAATGGGTACGGTCACCAAGATACGACCTGATTGTCATGATTTTTCTTTTACCACCAGAGACTGGTCTCTAGAAGGTCTCTTGAAACAGGGAAAACGATTCTTCCCGATACCTCGAGTGTCCGCAGTCGGCGGCCAGTCCTTGGAGGATATACTGCAGCGATATGACGGCGATACGAAGCCCTTGGTCATTGAGGGCTGGCACAAACACCCTGGATGGCTAGGCCAGAAATTCAGCCTTGAATGGCTCAGAGAGCACGGGCAGAAAAGTGAGTTGTTTATCTCTTCGTCGTTAACGCGCCTCATGGCAACAGATATTGCGGTTCGTAATATTCATGATTGGTCGGATCGTACTGTCCCTCTTGAGGAATTTGCGAAGCACTGTCGCTCAACACCGTGTTTTCTTACGCCAGGAGGTTTGCTCATATCGTGTCTGTCTTTTAATGTCTTCTAACCAGCGCTATGCCAGAGACTGTCAGGTGGTATGGAAAGGATGCCGAATGTCCAGCAGACTGGTATGAATGGCTGCACAAATCTGGGGTCATTCCATCCCGCCTCCTCCCAGACGATCCGCGAAACTGTTTGACGAATCTACCAAAATCTGTCAGTAATTCTGTTTTCCAGGTATATGTGTGCAGTTCTCAAGTCTAACAGGCTGCCGTGGAAACCCTGATGTGCTACCTTGGTATAGGCGAAACTTTCACGCCGTGTCACAAGGATCTCTGTGCTTCCTCAGGACACAATCTTATGTGTTACACTGAGAATGACGGTTCTTCATTCTGGTTTATGACCAAGGGCTCCGATGCCCTGAAGGTGGCTGAATACTTTCGCACCAAGCTTAAACAAGAACTGGATCACGAGATGCATGTCGTTACCATCGAGGAGCTCGCCAGAGCCCCATTCGACGTCTATATAACTCAGCAAAAACTGGGTGATCTTGTCCTGGTGCCTCCGAGAAGCTGCCATCAAGTCGTCAACTACGGTGGCATAACCATCAAAACATCATGGTCCAGAATGACCCTCAGTGGATTGACAGTTGCTCTTCATCATGAGCTGCCCATGTATCAGAGGTGGGACAGTTTTGCAATTTTAGATATTCAGTGACTGCAGCTGGTATAGGGTATGCCGGCGCGAAACATACCGCATCAAATCGACAATATATCATACTCTACATCGGTCCCGCGTCGAACTTGAGGACCTTATGCAGAGGGACAGACCTCATGGTACAGAGGACGTCGCAGCCCGTCTTTCGAATCTATTGCGTCTTTTCGATTACATTCTCAAGGATGAATGTCCGCTGAAGAATATCTCCAGCCCAATACCTGCAATTTCGGAGACGTCTGGATGCGACGAAAAGGACGAGGACGTTCATGTAGTCTGCGATTTCTGTGGCGCCGATGCGTTTCAGAGTTTCTTCGAATGCTTAACCTGCGTGCCTGCTATTTCTAAATCTTCCGGTAGTACGACTCGTGGCAGCGGTTATGCTCTCTGTCCCGCATGTTATTCTGAAGGACGAAGCTGTCGTTGCGAGACCATGACGGCTGTGCAATGCCGGCCTTTTGAGGCCCTTGTTAAAGAACGGCGGAAGGCCGTCGAAGTATTGAAGGACTGTAAGGCTTTGAAGCTCTTGCCGCGTTTTGACTGTGATGAGGAAAGGTTAGCTGCTCCCCTTCTTTCCTTACATTTTACTAACGTAATCGAAGGGATCTATTCTTCGACCGATCAGGAGTTTTCCGAGCTGCCTGCATTTTGGCACGCAAACGAAGAAAGGTACGTTCACGGCAGCTATAAGCTGTAATGCGCTTTTTTCTCACTGTGAGCAGGACACTCGAACATGCACGATCCCTGGCAGTAATTCACACCTGGTCCCTTCAACCTGGTCTCTTTACTGCGAAAAATGCCATGCATCGAAGTGCTATCTCCATCTTGCTACAAACTACCGCATGCACTCGGTGGAAGCCCTGTTACTCCATGGCAAAGGCAAGAAAAACATGAATGTATCGTATCACCAGAGGCACGTTGATCTCAAGAGGGATTACTTGAAGAAGTTGCCAATTTTCCGTCGAGCTACTGAAAATGGGACGATCCCGGATGCGAGTATAAGATCGGTGTTCAACGCGTCCACTCTTGATCGGTGCAAACCCATGAATCCTACTTTCATGAAATTAGGGTGGTATGACAGACATGCCGATATCATCATGGTGAGCTCTTATTTAGTTTGTAGGATTATGATGATAGACAGTGATACTTCTTTCAGACAAACAATGACCCCGTTGAAAGGGGAGCTGATGCACCAGAATGTATGGAAGGCTCCTCTTTGTCTTCGTTATCTTCGGATTCAGGTTCAGCGGCCAACACACCTTCAGTCCGTGGGGCATCACACCCATCTTCAAGCGATAAGCCCTCTTCGTTTGCGGCCTGCAAGGATCACGAGCCGATGCAGTCTAGGAAGCGCAAACACGTCGTCAGTGTCATGGTTCCGACACTGTCTTCACTGAAACTGCAACCTCAAATGTTTCTTATCATGCCGTCGTTATCAAAGCCAGCCAGTAGTAGGCGAGAAGAATATCGTCCACCACAGAATGATGTACGTCTAAACACAATTTCATCCTTTCAGCTGACTCATGATGTGTCTATGATGTAGCGTTCATCCGCTATGCAAGCCTCTCAGTCGATGCCGGAGCCGTCGGGGAAGCGGAATAGCGCTCCCGCTAAGGCGGCCCCAAGATTATCACCATCTGCTATTAGTCAGTCAGCCAGTAGCACCGTTGCATCACGAAAAGGAGATCTGCATGCAGTATGTACTATGTACATGAATTAATCTTCGCCTTCAAACAAACTCATTTTATCTTAGGGTCGACCGGCGACGAACTCTTCCACGACGATAATATCTTCGCCGCCAGCCAACCGTAGTCGCGACATTGGACCCGCAGAGACGGGGGCCAAATCATCACATTCTACTGATCGGTCGTCTCGTGGTAATGATCCAAAACCTTCAGGCTCAAGGCTACCACCAAGGTTCCCGTCGAAGGAAACAGTCTCTGGAACATCATCCTCTGGATCAGACTACGAGGATAGGTCTCCGAAGAAGGCGCGTTTGAATCCCCCGAGTTCCCCAAATCTTTCGCGAGCAGCCGTCCTTAAAACTCTTACGTTTAGGAAGAAATCCAGTTCAGCATCTGCAAACAAGGAACAACCACTTCGTTCCAGTGACGTAGAACAGGACCCTATGGCCCAATCACTGGCTGATGCCTATAACTCTTTGGGCATTTCGGAAAGGCCTGAAGCACGTAGCTCGCTTTCGAATAGCAATCCCATATCTCAAACAAGTGTCGCCGAAGACAGCTACAGAGGATTTCCTTCGCCGAGTTCCCAACAGCAGGACGCTGAAGCCCCCTCGAACCCGACTAACTCAGATGGCACGCCAACGCAAGCTAGCACTCAACAAACTAATGCGGGTGCCAGTAATCCCGAGCTCTCTTCTACCACGCCGTCCTCTCACATTGATATGCCAATGGTCGATGATACACCTTCTCAGATCGGTCTTCAACAGGAAGGTGCAAGCACTCCCAGGGTCTCCTCTGACGCACTGGCCCCTTACAATGACATGCAATCTAGCGCGATGAATAATATCACTGAAGGAATAACACAAATTGTCTTTGAGGTGCTTCAAGTGAGTCGATTTCACTTATCTCGTAACACAGCAATTAATCTAGTGTATTTCAGCGAATGCAAGTGGGGACTACTTCGGTCAACCTGACTTCCCCTCAAGAACGTAATTCAAATGGACATATTTCTCGATTCGGGCCTCCGTTGAACTTCCGAGAAGGCTAGTGTGCTATACCGACTATTCAAAGTGATACGTGCTCATTTCTTGCGATTACAGAAAATCCCAATCCACACTTCAATCCTCACTACCAGTATCATCCGAACAACAACCGGGGTCGCGGACGACCCTGGATACCTTATCCTAGAAATACACAATATCAGCCCCGCTTTGATCAACCTCCCTCCAACCCAAATTTCCCTCCCCACAACAATTCTCGTTTTCGACAACGGGGAAACTTCCAGATGACGACGCACAGTCATCACCACCATTGGTATCATCCGTACAACCAGCCTCTGTGCTGTGAAGAGAGCAAGGAAGCCTACGTTGAAAACACGGATCTTTTCGTCATTTCTAGTGAACATTCCTCGCATGTATCAGCATCATCTACCGCAACTGGCACCCCTCCTTCCAAGGTATCGGTAACGTCTCCGCCTGCGACCCCAAATGGCATCCCTCCTCCTGGCGCAGTTGCTCAACCCCCTCCTCCTACATCGGTACCCCCACCGCTTCCTCCACGAGGTAAGTCGATCCAATTAGTTTTAGGGATCTTCGTTCACCCTTCGTCAGTACGGTCCCCTTCCCCGACCCAGGATTGGGAAGATAACTACGCTGCCATCACGAGCGACTTGTAAACGTATACATCATTCTTTCATCATGGTCGTCTATCTCCCGTTGTTTGATTTTGATACCCTGGAATCCCACCTTGTATTTGTAGAACAACATTGCCACTTGACAACTCTTGCAATATCTTGACATAACTAGACCGTTGACACAATGGTCCCCAATAGATAGCTCATACTAGTTCATTTCCACATCATACATATTCTTCTAAGCAAGCCAAATAACTCCACGTCGAGAACTGCCTTGAAGTGAGGAATATACAACGCGGGAGAAGCCAAAGTAACAAAATGTAGGCGATGTTATAATTGTTTAAAAAAAAGTTGTGAAAAAGGTACAAAATGCGTCAGCGTACAGATTACAGGTCATCGTCTTCTTCGGGCAGGGGTACGGCTCCGGCCTGGAGAGTGTGTGAGTCATTGCAAGAAATCTCTGATGGATGTTGCATACCTGCTCCAACTCCTTGTTGTATTGTTCCATGAGAGCGGTGTCAATTGCCACTTCAGCAGGCGCAAGAGCAGGTGCAGCGACGAACTCTAGAGTTGGGTTGCTATGCAATTGATGGTACATCAGTAAACAATCATAAGCGGCAGAGATACAACAACATACCCAACCAACTTCCTCGCAAGCCACAAGAAAGGCTTCTCGAAGTTGTAGTTGGATTTGGCAGAGATTTCAAAGTACTGGAGGTTCTTCTTTCGGTGGAAGGTAACGGCGCCAGTCTTCACTTTTCGCTCCTGCGCGTTATCGATGAGATCGGAAGACTGATTGGAGTCGGCTGAGACGAACCTTAACATCGACTTTGTTGCCGCAAAGAACGATAGGGATGTTTTCACAGACACGCTCGAGATCGCGATGCCAGTTGGGAACGTTCTTGTATGTGATTCGGGAGGTAACATCGAACATGATGATTCCACACTGCCCCTGGATGTAGTACCCATCTCGGAGACCACCGAATTTTTCCTGGCCGGCAGTATCCCAGACGTTAAAGCATATGGTACCAAAGTTGGTGGAGAAAGACAGAGGGTGGACTTCGACACCAAGGGTGGCTGAAAAAACGGGTTGTTAGGCCGAAAAAGAGCGCGATAGGGTGGGGAAAACGCAATAAAATGGCAGAGACGTACCGATGTACTTCTTTTCGAATTCACCCGTCAAGTGGCGCTGTAGAATGGACATGATCAGGACGCGATCTAAAAAAGCGATGGCGAGACAACGAACCTTGACAAAGGTGGTCTTGCCAGTACCTCCATCGCCGACTGTAGTGCAGGATGGCCGTGAACCGGAAGCGAGTGGTTGAAGATGTCGATATAGAGATGGAATTAGCGACAAATGACAGGAAATCGGAACATCGATGAAAGAGAGATGGGCAAAGGCGCGTCAGGAATGCAAAAAGGGCAGCCAAAGGACGACGAACGCACCAAGAACGAGCTTAAAGGTGGGGATAGTGCCGTCGGACATGATAGAAAATGGAGAATGAAGAACGAGAAGGTGAAGGAAAGATGAAAGTACTGAAAGAGTCAAAACAGAGCAGCTTTTCCAGATAAGGTTTCCGGCACGTCGGCAGCCACCACTCTGCCCAGCCACCGCTCGTCATGCTGACTTGCTGCCGAATAGATTTCTTCGACAACGACGATGAGCTCGTCGTGCCACCCGTTGACCGCATATACTCCCTGCAAACCTTGCCAATGGACGCTAGAATTTGTGCAAAGGGCAGATGCTCCTGCCCTTTCTGGTTTGGGATCATCGATTGCCAAATTAAATAATTGCGTCTTCTGAACAGCGGTCTTTTCGGCCCTACGTCCCGACTCTCTTCGTGCAGGCAATGCAACAGAAATCGTACCTTACGGGCTCTTTGGCCTTTGATTTAGCTTTATTTCTTCCGGGCTAGTACATCGAGGGCAGATGGAGATCTCCCTTTTTCTCCTCGCAATTTGGATGGATATATTACCCCAGAAAACTGCCGCCGGCACATCGGATCTCGGACAAAAATTCTCTCGTGAAGGGATCCCACCTAGGATTTATAAGTCACCGAGTCACTGCTGGATCTGCCTTTGGACTTTTCTTCTCTTGCCACGATGACGACCACAATGCCACCTAGTCCTTCCCTTGACCATATTGCCGACGCTATACCTAAAAGGAAGGCAAAACCTGGAGAGTCCTGGAAGGGCCAAGAAACCCAAGTTCTCCCAAATAATCGCCTTCCCATTGTGCGTCCTATACTATCAACTCGCATACATTATCATAACAGTAGTCATCCAGGTTTTCTTTGGGTTCATGGCATGCGTGTTTCTGGCAGCGATGGACCAGGTATGTCCTCTACTTATGATTAAATAATTTCGGATATTAATGCTCTTAGTGTTTCTTAGACGATTGTCGCGACTGCATTGCCTACTATTGTCGAGGAACTTGGTGACGGCAATAATTACAGTTGGGTTGGAAGGTAAGTCCGTAGGCCGCTTCCGATTCCCGGTACTCAACGTGCCATCTCCAGTGCCTACCTTCTTGCTGCGGCTACCTTGTCACCGTTGTACGGAAAGTTATCGGATCTTATCGGTTAGGCGGTTCCCTCAACAGCACTATCCTTGTCGCTCATGCTGTCTGTAGGCCGTAAACCCATTTTGTACTCTTCTATTGGGACCTTCCTGGCAGGCTCACTTATCAGATCTCCTCGCTCTTCGGACTAAATTTCACGATAGATTGGGTCTGCGCTGTGTGGAGCTGCTCAAAACCTCACTTGGCTCATTATATGTCGCGCCGTACAAGGCATAGGAGGGGGTGGTATCATGCAACTGGTTAGTCCTCTATGTTCTTCCCTGATGTACGTGCACCTGATCACTTTAATAGGTAAACATCACGATCAGTGACATAGTTCCCCTGCAGGAGTAAGCAACAATTGTCATAATATTTCCGAGTCCGTGGTCTTATTATAGCACATATATACAGACGAGGGAAATATGGGGGCTTCATTGGGTCTACCTGGGGTATTGCTAGGTATCTCTATGGTTATCTCCCTGGTAGGCCTTACTAAACATCGCATAGTGTCGTCGGACCTCTCCTTGGTGGTGTGAGGAGTCTTTTTTTATGTCCAATCTATTCGACTGGCTGACTTTTTTGTTCTAGGTCTTCACTGACCATGTTTCATGGAGATGGTGAGCTAGACTCCACTTGTCTCTCAGAGAAGCCTACTAATGACTTATTTTTAGGTGCTTCTGGATAAATCTGTACGTCTAGGAAACAGGTAACGCCGGCTCACCAGCTTAACTCTTTCCCTTGTAGACCCACAGGGGGCGTTGCTGCTCTTGTTTTGTTCTTCTTCCTCAACCTCAACCCTCATCCAGGACGATCTCTCCGCGAACATGTTCGAGAGTTTGATTTCATGGGCCTGGCTTTGATCGTAGCAGGAGTAGTGTGTCTCTTAATTGGTTTCAACTTCAGTGAAGCGAGCTGTGAGTGGATCTTTGTCTGACATAGCGACGATCTACAACTTCTTTGCAGGGAAAGCTCCGAAAACCATCGTGTTGATTGTGCTTGGAGGCGTGCTTCTTGTGTGTGCTGGAATCTTTGAAGCCTTCACAAAGAGGTCGCCGATCATTCCACCGCGTCTATTCAAGGCAAGTTTACAGATTGAGCGCCGGAAGCGAAGATCTGATGAATGATTAGACTCGAACCACAGCGATCATCCTTGTATCGACGTTCCTTCATGCTCTATCGTTCTTCGTGGGTAAGTACAGAACTTGTCCAGGAACATATCGCGCTGCAGCTGATTCTCGTCGTTGCTAGGTGCATATTATGTACGCCGCCCTTCTTAGTGGCGTTTTCTCCTCTGACATCTTCCTAGTTGCCGGTGTACTTCCAAATTTTAGGATCCTCTGCTACCGGTGCCGGAGTGAGGTTAGACGGACACAGACACTGCCCTCCTTTGTGATGATTCGTTAACCACCTTTGACAGGATGCTTCCCTTCTCCTTGGGCTCCTCCCTCACATCAGCCAGCATTGGGTACTTTGTCTCCCGCACCGGGGAATACCGTCCAGCAATATGGATATCTTGGGCTGTGTTTACCCTTGGCTACGGGTTAATGATCATGTTGGACAGCTACTCTAATACGTGCGGCGATTGTCTTCGTGCTCTTCTTATTCACTAACCACACACATTTCTAGCGCTGAGAAAGTCTTGTACCCGCTTATCGCAGCTTTGGGTCTCGGAACGATGTTCCAGGTAGGAAGAGTTCGGATGCTTCCGATTCAACTTCTTGATTGGCGCTCGGTCTTTGTAGGTCCCGATGATCGCTCTACAGGCAGCGATGCCTCTCAAGGATATGGCGACTAGTACGGCGACATATGGGTTCATCAGGTTAGTCTGTTCCCACGTCTTTATGACATGCTGTGATTGAAAATTTTCTTTAATGTGATTAGGACGTTAGGCGGAACCGTTGGCGTTTCTGTTGGACAGGTCATTTTTTCAAGTGTATGTTTTTTCATGACGCCTGTGACGAGCATCTATCAACGCCCATTTCATAGACGCTTACGAAGCGGCTGGCCAAGATTCCTAACGCGGATGCTGGCTTGCTTGGTGGATCTTTGAGTGAAAGTGTACGGCATTTGAAGGACATAGCAGTACGTCCTTTCAGTGTTTTTTCCTTGGATGTACATCGGACCCTATTCTCTTTTTTTTTACAGGATGCACAGCTACGGACAGACATCATCCAAGCTTACGCGCGTTCTATCAGTTCGATATGGCTAGTCCACACCCCGATCTGTGGTGTAGGCCTGCTGTTAGGTGTGTACAGCTGTTGTTTTTAAATGGATTCAGCCGATGTAATCTCGCACAGCATTGGGTATACGGAAGTACAGCTTGAAACGAGCGACGGTTAGAGGTGCGCCGCAAGGTGAGAAAGCGTCCAAGAAGGACGGGGACTTGGATGCAGAAAAGGGAGAGAATGTTGCCGATACCCTGGACCCAGGAGCACATCATGACTTTGACATACAAACAATAGACGCGGAGGAAGGTACAGTAAGAGAAGAGGCAAGTAGACGAAGCAGTAAAGAAATCGTTTAAGGTATCCTAATCGAGGTTGAGATCGGAATGGGTATTATTATTATACCAGCGTGATATATATTAGCCATTGCGACATGATGATCCATCTAGAATGATTATGACACGAGGCCCCGAGGTATTGAGAACGCAAATGCTACTCCGAGGCTCACCATCATCGAGAGGAGCCCCATAATCACACTCTGGCCATAGTACCGATGAAGATCTTCCGTCTTGGTGCCCACCACGTTCCAATGATCCCATCGGGGTCTGCGTGTCATCCACCAAAAGAGCGACACCGGACCGGGGAAGACAGCAGAGATCTTGGAGTGGTCGTCTCTGTCAACGTGGTAATACGAACGACAGTCCGTCCAGACGGAGGACGCAAGACGAAGCTGGAGCCACGCGTTGTACGCGTTGCAGACGTCCTCTTTGATATCGAAGGACTTCACTCGGCCGTCGATGATGGGTTTGATCATCTGTAAAGTGTACTGCACCTGCGCCTCTTCGGAGAACAGAACTGACGCGTGGCCCACAGCAACGTTGGGGCCCAGTAGGACAAAGGCATTGGGAAATCCAGGAATAGACATGCCGTACATAGCCGTAGGACCGCCTTGCGTTTTGAAGTATTGATGTATCGTTGTCGATCGACCTTTGACCCGCAGATCGGCTGGCTCCTGCGAAATCGATATATTTTAAGCCCACCCAGTGCAATACCCAAGGAGCCCCCGGTAAGAAACTGACCAGAGAGTACCCCGTCCCGAAAATCAGGACGTCCAATGGAATCACTTCTCCGTTCTTCAGCTTGACGCCTTCCTCGACGACGGATTCGATGGTGTTCCAGTTGAGTGACACGTTGGGTTGCTTGAGGCACGTAAGGTAGTGGGAATCGACGATGATTCTCTTGCACCCGGGTGAGTACTTTGGTGTGAGCTTCTCGAGTTCGTCTTTCGGGGCTTTGTGGGCTAAGTATTTTTCCATTTGCTGGTGTGGTATAAGCTAGGGTGGGAGAGAACGAAAAGATGACCTTTACCTTTCGCACGAAGCTGATGACCCAGGCGTTCTGTTTGTTGAAGATGAGGAAACTGATATCGGCCTGCGATGACATGTCAGAGTCGGTATCGCCCAAATGGCGATCGAACTTACTCTAGCCATGATAATATTTCTGTACCATCTCATGACAAAAGGTATGTTTGCAAATGTCCATTTCACCCACTCGGGATATTGCAAGGGTACCTATGCAGGTTCGTCAGCGAGGGGAAACCCGACGAAACGAGCATACATTACCCTAGGAACAAACCAATTCGGTGTCCTGCAAAAATTCACAACCTGCACAGAGGGGTCCCTAGAAATTTCGGGGATAAACTGAACACTAGAAGACGAAAAAAGTTGAAAGCTCCAGCAGCACCGCGCGATTAAGCCAGAACGAGACATACGCGGAAGCACCATTCCCGATAACACCGACTCGTTTACCCCGCAATTCGACGTCGTGCCTCCATTCCGCAGAATGCCAGAGGTCGCCTTTGAAGGTGTCCCTGCCAGGGATATCCTTGGGGTACAGAGGCGTGAAGAATCCGCCCATGGCGCAGAACAGGACCTCGGCGGTGGTATGGCTCTCTTCGCCTGTGAGCATGTCTTTGAGAGTGATGTCGTACTGCTGGCGTTCCTCGCTCCATGCCGCGGAATGGACTTGGGTACGGAACTTGGTGTTGGCGCAGAGGTTGTGCTTGGCAAAGACGCGTTTCCAATACAAATAGATTTCGGTTTGGGAGACGTAGTAGGTGGGCCAGTTTGGGTTTAGTTCCGTTGAGAGGCTGTACCAGTGGGCGGCTACATCGCATGAACAACCCTTTCGGCGGTTCGCGGTGTGTTTATTTCATGATAAAAGAAATCACGCACGGGGTAGGTGTTGTCCTACAACGAGTCAGTCAGCCATTGGAAATTTGCTGTTCAAGAATCATTCCTACTCTCCAGGTTCCCCCTACGTCCCCAGCTTGTTCATAAATCTAGCTCTCCAATTCAGCACGTTCCAAATGGTGAAAAATCGGGAACGGCGCTAACAGTAAAGTTGGTAAAGCCGAGTTGCTCCTTTAGCGCAACTGCCGCTGAAATTCCAGCGATACTGTTGTTTAGTGAGTCATTTTGACAGGCAGCATGTAACGTAGACATACCCAGCACCAGCGATAACGACACGTACGCCGCCTTGAACACGATCGTTCATCACAGTTATGGTTTGACCGGCTGTAGACGTGCCGAGTCCGAGTCTGGCCTTGGAAATTTTACTCACGTCGTGCAAAATGAATTATATCACATGGCTAAAGATCAATTGTACAGAGAGCAATACACAAGACACGACACGGAGGTGGGAGAAAAGGTATAAGAAAGGTAAGTACTGGACACGATGTTTAACGGAATTCAAAGCTAGAGCTAGCCCGTTCAGGAACATGAGCCAACGTGAGCTGCTGGTATCTGCAAAGAAGCAACAATAAGTACTAGAATAACAAACTGAAAATTGGTGAAGACCCACGGCTCGGAGTTTTGGTGATAGTAAAACCCACTCATCGTTGCTGCAGGTGGAGCGGTTAGACGCGGGCCGGCAGAAGGAGATCGACGGGCACTTGACTCGCGTCGCTCGCGAGACTCGGATTTTGCCATGGGCGACGTCGGCTCTTCATTTTGAGAGGACTGGGCGGGGTTAAAATCGACACAGACGTAATAGAAACCTGAATGGACACCTGTAAGAACAGATGACAGAAGAGACAAAGAGGCAGCTACTTGCCGGCAAAACTCGCGCCATTGATATCCTGTACGCGGTGATCCGGGACCAAGAAACGCTCCTTCCATCGCATGAACACGGCCCCTCGGTCGCGGTCAGGAATGGTATAATGGGGTCTTTTGAGGTCGTGCTTAACGTGACGGAAGGCGGGGAAGCGGGACCAATGGACCATATCGTCGGCCTCGTTGGCGCCCCAGTTTTGAGTGCGAAAGCCGTAGCGGCTGCCAATGATTTCGGCATCAAAGTATGTGGTGAGCTCGGGATAATCTTCGGTGAGACCTCGGATGCAAAGGTAACCGCAGAGGAACGACGAAGAGAAATCGACGTCCTGCCGTTGCCGGTGAGCAGATGTAGGAAAGGCGCAGAGATAATACGCACGACGATGGTTACCGTGACATCATAGCTATTTCGCCCACTCTTCTGTGTTCCCTGGAAAGAGGCGCCTGGGTAAAGACAGTGGTGAGCCTGTGTGCGAACTCGTAGACGAGTGATATCGGTGAGAGGGTTAGGAGAAAGTGAGACCAGGGCGGTATGCCTGCGGTTGGAACTTGCCACTGGGAGAATCGGTGCATGGGGCTGGGGTAGCTGCGACGATGAGACGGTCGTCGTCGGGGTATGAACGGACAAAGACGAGAACTTGCTGGCGAAGTTTGGGGGCGGCGGGGGCGCTGGTCGCTGCGTATCTGATGGGTCCTGGTCGTGTGTAGGGCGTCCGAGACGGAGAAAGGCGCTATCGACGTCGATACAGGACGTCCTAGAGTCTATCTGTGGGCCGTGAATGGGACCACATGCTGCGCAGACGATGGCGTCGGCAGCGAGGAGAAAGAGATGGCTTGTTGGGTCGACTGGACGATGGCACGACGAGCAGACCTTTGCCTGAACGTGTTCAATCTGAGGTTGGTCGTCGAGAGCAGTGAAGAACTCTGAGGGCATGGTGGAAGATACGGAGTAAGAAGAGTCGTCGAGAACGGCGACGACGACTAGAAGACGCAGCCTAGCCTCAGCCTGTGAACGAATCTGGGCGCACGTGGTCTGGACTCGATCCTTGATCAGATTTTTCCAAAGTATCGAAATGTATAGCAAGTCAAAGTTCAGACAAGCTTAAGGTATATCTATGTATTCTCTATGTTTGCTTCCGAGTCTCGCGGTGTCCACCTAAGGTCGAATTCCCAGTTCGGTCTTTCCCCATCCCCGTCTATGTCTGCTTCTGCCTTCCTCGTAGGTCAGATGCGACATCTTCTAATCCTTTTGGGCGCTTACTTGCTGTTGTAACCATTTCTGGTCTCGTATATGATCCTGTTCCAATTCTTGTATCGCCAAGGTTACCTCTCTATGCTGCCCCCGTCGAGCACTTAAAATGTATCCCTGTCACTCCTGCTGCAGCTCCCACCGAGGGGGGAATCCAGAATGATTCCATATCACCGCCAGGAACATCCACACCTTCTCGCCGGCTCATGGGTCCAGCTCCCGAGACTACCACCGTCGTCGTATCCACCCTTCAGAATGCAGTGCCGTGATATCAATGAACGCCACCAGATACCCCAATCGACCCTTCTTGTTGCCTTTTACGACGCGTCTGTATGGTACAAAAAGCTGGCGATCGGCCGCAGACAAAAGCAAGCGCTTTCAATCAACCAAACTCGTACCAATACACAAAACATCACGTACACATCAGACGCGGATATCAACCTTTGAGCCAATGGAGCTGGAGAGCTGTCCAGCCGGAAACAAACAAACCGAAACGTGTTGCTATCACCTTCACATGCTGTGGCCATTAGGCGATCCTGATATGGCTATCTAAATTGAACACAGCTAGAACAGAAGCCGAAAACCTTGAGATGTCTGTTGCAGGCGCCCCCGAGACGCTAGTATCGGAACGTGGTCAAGGAGCCGCCCACAGATGCCCTCTATTGATCAAGATCACGATACACCTCTTGGCTAAGATCTCAGATATAATCCTTGCGGGTGTAACGGACATCAGACTCAGTTGAATATAACCGAGCTAGGTGGTCAAGTCCTGTGCACGTCACTGGCAGGCAGAGCAAACACAGGGTACTTCCAACGCGTTGCAGAATATCATTGCCAAAAAAGTCTCCGTCTGTCCTAGATACTCGGAGCGAGCCAACATGGATCGAACGTTCAGCGGTACCAACGACCAAGAATATCTACATACCAGAGATCGTAATCGAAGAACAACAACGTCCTGCGACCCTGAGTGATGCAAAACGAAAACAGATGCTCTTCTTGTGGAGGTGGTCCAGCATTTCCAATGCTCCAATTTGCTATATTTTCAAGGGGATTTGAGTATGATTTCTAGGGAGGAAAAAAGCCGTAGAGAGTCGAGCTCTAGACCAAGACAAAGCTGCATTATAAGAGGATCGCAAGAGGATGCATCGGAGTGATTCCATAACACGGTCCGAAGCCAGATATCAGAATGTCCCCCAATTCTTCTCGCAGAGGAAACGAACAGAAAGCCAGAGAGTTGCCGAAAAGCAGGCAAATGGACCGCAGAAGGTACGATCAGGAGAGAACATGAAGAGGGGCCCTGATAGCGTAGAATACGAACAACACGAAAAAGTATTTATTTACGGGACTGAAAGGGAATCAGAAAAGCAAGGAACCGTGAACGGTGACGATGAGTCCGTGCGGTGACAGAAGGACCCTGAGTGAAGTGACCTTGCACCTTCCTTCCTTGTACTTCCACCTTAATAGGCCATCCGGCCCTATTCTCATTCTTTTCCTTCCTCAACGTCGACGATGACCTCCCATTCACACTCGTCCTCTACCGCCAACGTCGTCGGCGTCCATTATCGTGTCGGGAAGAAAATCGGAGAAGGTTCCTTTGGTGTCATCTTCGAGGGTACGCTATACTCTCTGTTCCTGCGCAGCAGCCCCGTACCGATACCTTGTTTCTCTACAGGGACCAACTTGCTCAATTCCCAGACCGTCGCTATCAAATTCGTATGTCCTAGCTCATCTGTCGCTCGCCTTGACCGAATTCTTCTACCGTATCTAGGAACCCCGGAAAGCTGAAGCGCCTCAGCTCCGTGACGAGTGTCGGTCGTATCGTATACTGTCGGGATGCAGTGAGTCAACCACCGTGCCCTGGTTCTACCGCCGCCGCCACCGCCAACTCATTATACTACTCTAGCCGGAATACCTCAAATATATCACTTTGGCCAGGAAGGTCTCCATAATATCCTGGTGATAGACCTTCTCGGTCCAAGTCTAGAGGATCTCTTTGATATGTGCGGTCGCAAATTCTCAATCAAGACAGTATGTATGGCTGCCCGGCAAATGGTGCGTCTGAATCAGCTGCTGTGCTCGGTAGCGCCCCAACTCATTCGCACGCTCCGCACAGCTTACAAGAGTGCAAACGATCCATGAAAAGAATCTCATATATCGCGATATCAAGCCAGATAATTTTTTGATTGGACGGCCTGGCACCAAAGGAGCAAACTGGTAACATTTTCTGCCGCTCTATCACGGAACTTTCATTAATCTTAGGTTACTGGCAGTCATACATGTTGTCGACTTTGGCATGGCTAAACAATACCGCGATCCCAAGACGAAACAGCACATACCAGTATCGGGAACGGAAGAGTTTGAGTGGTACTGCGCGATACATGAGCATCAACACTCATCTGGGTAGAGGTACGTTCTCCGGACATGTTCCCTCTGATTTCCCGTGGCCTCATCAGAAAACAGAACAATCACGACGAGACGATCTAGAAGCTTTGGGTCATGTCTTCATGTACTTCTTAAGAGGAAGCTTACCATGGCAAGGGCTTAAGGCCGCGACGAATAAGCAAAAATACGAGAAGATTGGAGAGAAGAAGCAGACGACACCCATCAAAGAGTTATGCGAAGGCTTCCCTGGTGCGTAACACATGTTTGTTATCGCGGTGTACTCACATTTCTGTAGAGGAGTTTGGAATATATCTGAACTACGTTCGCAAGCTTGGGTTCGAGGAAACGCCTGATTATGAGTTCCTTCGCGAACTTTTCTCTAAAGTTATCAAGACCAATAATGACATTGACGATGGAGTCTTTGATTGGAACTTACTCAATGGTGTGTTCATCATTGCCCCTGTTAAACCCACCAATCGAACTTAACCCTCGTTCTTCAGGTGGAAAGGGCTGGGAAGCATCACTGGCAAGTGCCTTCATTAATCTCGGATGGCCCAGCACTCATCCGCTGTATTTTCAACAGGGTCAGCAAACTCAAATACTGAATCAAATGCAAAGCGCGGGCCTCAGTCCTGACCGTCGACGCGAGCACCGCGACTCCGACCGACGGAGAGTTTCTCAGGGTGGGAACAACATCGCACCTCCCTCACCAGCCCTTGTCAGACACGGTTCGAAGCAGCGCAAAATACCCACCGCCCTTACACCCGGCGGGAATAACACGGGTCAGATCACACCCCACTCTGCAGCCGCCCAGGTGAACATACCTGTTGGCTCAGGCCGAGGCGCACAACATCCCTACGCCAATGTCTCGGGTGGTGGCTATGATTATGGGCGGGAGGCGGATGAGGGTTATTTGGGGCAGTATGGACGGGCATCGCCGATGCTATCAAGCGTGGGTGCTGCTCCGCCGGTGGTGAGTAATGCACGGGCGAGAGGCGGTGACGTTGGCGTTTCGGGAGAGTATGGCCAGGAAGCGGACGAACCACCACACAAAATGAGTCTATTTAGGATTCTAACGTGTCGGTGTGGTTAAGGACCCTTCATAATGATTGTTGTTCTTTTTCTTTTCCCTTTCCTCTTGCATCGCTCTCATACCTTTGACATACATTCCTTTCTTTATACCCATTTTATCTAAGCTGTCTAATTTCATGCGCTCTACGTTGGTTTTTTTTATGGTGCTGTTGCAGGCGCAGTATCGGGATTATTTAATTTACGAGACAGGATAATTGAATGACGCACCTAGTCACGAACTTCGTAGAGTGAAATGAGCAGATCTCGAGCGCCACACTAGATGATTTTTATTACTTAAAAGCATACAATGAAGGGGGAACACATATAAGGCGATCATAGTCATCTAGTAGGAAATGAATGAAAGCTTCGACGTGATTTTTGTGCATCGGTGCCTTGTCGGTACCTGTTCGACCTCGCAGACATTGCATATTTTCAGCACCTAGTCCTCATGCTGATATGAGCAGTCTTCCAGCCTGGACATAAACATCTCGGACTCTGTTTTTTTTTTAACAAACGAGGTCCTAGCGTGTCGACCTGAAGCGGAACACACCCTTATTCTAAATTCTCGACTTCTACAGCGCGGTCAGCATCTACTTCGTACGTGCAGAACCGGGGTTGTGATCATAACAAGACGAAGGCTACGGAGAAGAACTCAACAACAAGCAGACGTAGACTATCGACTCTTTGGAGTTTGACAGGAAGAAGCGTGCAGCGAGAACGAGCCGTTGACAATTGAACGGAATCTCCATGGGCATAGGGATATCCATGAGGAAACCGAGACGGATCATTGATATAATAGAATGGAGGTGCTCCTGCACGGTATGAGGCCTAAGGATCATGACTTACAGCGGCCTTAGGGAAAAGGTCCGATGCCTTGAGGATTAGAAGGTGGTGCTTGGTCACCTGGAAGACCCCATGGCAAGAAAGCGTCAAGGAAGCAGCACCCTGTAGCTTCGCTCAATAAGCAAGGATCAGATTTCATTATACCTATGTCGTAGCCGATCTTCCCGAAAGATTGAGGATTATCTGTGAAAGAGGTCAAGACGGAGAGTATACCTGGGTTTCCCACCTACATCTTACTGTGACTACAAACCGCAGCTCGACACTTGCATAATATCGTGACGACGTCAGAAGCTCCTTGACCCTGCCAATCATCGTTGCCGTCTATTTAGCCAAAAATAGGTATTAATTATCGAAAAGCAACGCCCTGTTCTACTGAAGCAGATCTAGAGAGTCGAGTCCAGACAACGCAAGCCATGGACCCCCCTTACAGGAAGGTGTAATTCCTCGGAAAAGTGACGAACCGTAGTTAGCACCTATCATTTACGTCTCATCCTCTTCACCCTCTCGGCCAAAGTGCCTGATTCATTCGAAGACTCGAGCGGAATCGAAGACGCTTTTCTCTTCAACGGCGACGGCGACGGGGTTGTTGGGGGTGTTGGTAGAAGTGATTCTACATTCGATCGTCTGCTACCTTTCACAGGCGATGACGGGGTAGGATCTCGGACGCCGTACGACGCAAAGGATTTGAGGTCCGACGTAAATAAAACCTAAGGCATTGACATTATTCTAAGGCGTTTAAGGATAAATCTGAGAACAGTTTCATACCGAATGGGCCCAGCCAGCATAATCACCCCAGACCTTTACCAATTTGTTGTTGACTTCTTCATAGAGCTTGGGAGTCATAGGAGTTTTGCCCTTCAATGAACCCTTGAAACCATAGTGTTTGATGGCAATTTGATGCACATGGGTGTCGACGGGGAGGACTTCTTTCTAAAGGTGGCAGATCGCGTTAGGGCATCAATCGTAGGCCAGAGAAGCTCATCCACCTTGTCGAGGCTCATCAAGAGAATGCAATCGGCGACTTTTCTGCCAACTCCCATGAGTTTCAAAAGTTCTGCACGCGCGTCAGCAGTGGTTAACCCGCGTAGGCTCTCAAGCCAAAATTCTGCAGGCTCGCGACCTTCCTCAATAGTGCCATGAGCATCCACAAGCATCTGTGCAGTTTTCTGGATGTACCCTGCGCGATATCCGAATCCCAAAGCACGTAAAGTCGCGGTTACAGACGGCGCGGCAAGGACAGAAGGAGGAGGGAATGGGTGGTAAGAGTGAGTCTCACGTCCGGATGGATCGTGAAGAGAGAGCAGCTCTGGGGAGTATTGCTTGCAGAGCGACTGTACCATTTTGGTTATACGAGAAATATTGTTATTAGATGAACATATGAAGCTTGGAACGCGTCAGTACCGCAAAATACCTGTAAACGAAACACACACGAGATAAGATTCTCCCAAGGATCCTGTCGCAGCATGCGAATTCCACCAAACCGTTCTTTCACGCCAGAAAACACGCTGTCGCGAGCAGCCCATTCATCGTACAGCTTTGAGAGGTCAACGTCTAGCTGGAAATAGTCGTTGATCCACAAAAGTGTTTCTGCTTCTCTAAGCTGTAGCTGAGTTGGTGATGGCTGAGGGTCGGGGAACGCTGAACGGTAAAATAACGCGTTTTGTGATTGTCGTAGGCAAACGACGCGGTCTCGAAGACACAACCGGTATTCTTGCGCGGTTATGGCAGGATCGCTAGGCGTCGGAAGGGGTAGTATAGACCACCTAAATGACTGCCCGCATTTGAGAACGGCAGCAAGCGAGAGCTGGATGAGAGGAAGAGGTAGCGCCTGGAATCCGGCAGGAGTGGCCATGGTAATAGAGAAGAAGAAAACGGCCGGCCCGGGTCTGCGGAGTTTGTATTCGTTCTTGTCTTCACACTCCCGTTTGGGCTTAAATCTCCCTCAAAGTTCGCATGCCATCCGACGGTGATTCATTTTTACCCAGAATTCAATCCGTATTCTATTCCATTTTCGACAACCAACACGGCCCAAAAATTGTTTACCAAGTACCTGAGGCTCTCATCGCGACCACCCCTTCACCCTCGTCCATTTCGGTACCTCCCACACCGGCTGTCGATGTCCCACCCTCACCACGCCTGAGTTCACGAAATTCGAGTTCATCTTTGATATCGCCAGTTGAAACCCGCGCGTCTCTAAGCCTGAATTCACCCAACAAGCGATCTACTTCATCCAATCGCGTCTTGTTCAATTTCGACGACATTTCCAAATATGTTATCCCCCCGAGCTCTCTTTGTGGAAGGCTAGTCATTTGTTCTACCAAGCACCACCGGATAATAGGGTTCCCTGTCGAGCTTCGGGGTCCATACGAGCGAAACTACTTTAGATACAACCTCTGCTTTGTTTTTGAACGAGGAGCCGACTTGAGCTGCTACGAGCCTATCGTTCGCAAAGTCAGCCGTGTTCTCACAACCTGTGAGGTGCGTTCTCGGTGCACCTGCTCTACTGGATACTGAATTTTCCGTGCAGGAGGAGTCCGCGTTTCTGTCCTCGTCTGAAACTTGTCATACCGTTCATGCGATCCTAGAACAGTTATACGAAGATCTGAATTCTTATGCCGAAACGTCCATCCCAATTGACCAGTTCAACTCCATTGAGCTGAAGATCTTCCCGTTCTATCCTAATCCTCCTACTGTCACTGACTGGATGGTCCCAGTTGCTCTGATCAATCTCTCGAAACAGATAGAGGAGAACTGGGATCTGACTATGGTCAAGGTCAGCCGTCTTGGGAACCCGCTATTAAGATTATTTCTCATTCCTTCCTTCTTAGATTTGTCAGTTCATAGACGGCACAAACCATGTCGGTAGGATCGCTCGTTTAGCTGATTGTGATATCAGCTTTGCCCGACAGGCTATTGCACATCTCTTGTGAGTACTCCTGCTTGGCTGCACACCAAACTTACGTTGAGCGCAGATTTTATCAGGTCATCATGACCATTGACATATTCCAGTATTCAAACATGTACACCCTTCATAAGAGTATCCAATGGTTAGCCGATGAGCCTCATGTTAAGGAAGAGTGTGGTCCCTACGTCACCAAACCAGGTTGGTGGTCCTTTTCTACTGTTCAAGTCCATTCATAGGACTCAGTAAAATCCCAGGACGGATGATACCGGACTGGCCTCAGCTTCTCCATCTGTATTCAAGAATGAAACCAGGCATAACTGTCTTTGACTGGATGGTTGCTCATGAAGTCGACAAACTAGGGATTGATGTCCGCCGTTTCACTAGTTTCGGTGTCATAAAGGTGAAACATCTGTCGAGAAAGTCTACTCGTGATTGATCTAGCAACAGGGATTCCTTCGAAGAGTTCATCGGTGGCCTATCCTACTTCCCAGCAGATCCGATCCTCATATTCCAGCACGTCCTAGGGTGAAGAGCTTCTCAGGGACCTCACAACGGCTCCCACTGTCTCCAATCCCGTCCGAGACGACTTCTTCAACGAATCTCCTCCGGAGGAGATTTCCGTATACTGCACCCATAAACGCATCTGTTAGTCCTGATGTCGCTACGAGTGCACCACCGACGCCAAGGGGGGTCTCGTACCGCCCTCGCCGCCCCAGTGCGGCCGAGAAGGTCCTCGAACAGCTTAAGAGTCGCGATCAACAACAGCTCTCCAGCAGTCCGAGGACTTCGTGGATCCATCAACCGTCTGATTCGCCTTCCAATCTCCATCCAGGAATCATAGCAACATCGAGTACGCCTCAGGATAGCAGTCCCTCGTCGAGTAAATTTGGAAGTGTCGAATCCCGGCGGCAATCAGCGATATTGGTACCGCCTGCTGCACCCCCGAGCTCGCCTAATCTGCCCAAGGCTACACTTGCTGCACCTGGGCCGGTGAAACCTCGGTTATCACGATCTCCTTCTGCTCCTGTTGAGGGTCCGATGCCTACCACTAGTGTTCATCAAACCGCTGAGCATCTGTCGTTAAACTATCCGCCGCAGCTGTTGCCTCTCCTGGATGGAGAACATCATACGGATGAATTGTCCGTCCGGTTTGAGGTTGGCTGGGCTCGTTTGGAACAGTGGCTGATCGCTGCTGGAGAAGGACAAGGAGACGGAGATTATGGACGGATTCAGATGATTTTTCGGTGAATAGCATTGCGGTTCCATGATGAGAATAATATTTTTCGTGTAAGAGCCGAATGACCAAAAAATCGAGAATTCCGCCATATTATACCCTTTCATCTGGAAACACGGATATAAACTGTTTTGATATCAACACGAAGTTTCTATACTACTTGTGTGACTACATCTAGGATTGGGGTATGCGAGGTTGGTGATATATGTCCTGAGAAGTGATAGGGGCATAGACAGCTTTCCACAATGCGTTAAACGAGTTTGTTGTCTCAGTTTCTTTCATCACCGTCGATATTTTCACCCATCCCCATGCCACAGTTAACCGTTACCATCTCGCCCTCCATTGCGGAGATGACGAGAAGCACTGCAGAATTGGCATTCACTTCAACTTTAAACTCTGCTCCCGATCTTCGAATTGATGTGGATTCGTTGGCGTACATGGGTCCTCATTCTATCGTGTACCGTGCAAATCTGGCAGGCCTGAACGTTGTTCTCAAATTTTCCACCAACGAGCAGTCTTTCGAGGATCTCACCCGCGAGGCGGACGTCTATCAAGGTCCTCTTGCCCCTGTCCAAGGCTCTCTGATACCCCGTTTTCATGGCTACTACAAGAACGAACGTCAGGGCTGTTTGATCTTGGAGGACTGTGGAAAACCGGCAGCATATCTCAGTTTTTCAGAGCTTTCGAGGGAGGAACGGTACGTAGACATCGAGGTATAGTATGTTTCACTTAGCTAAGGCAACACAGGAAGAAAATCCTTCACGTCCTCACAGAGTTTCATCGTCTCACGGGCCTTCATCCCGATGACTTTGCCGAGCGGAATGTTGTCTGTATGGACGGAAAATATAAGCTCATTGACTTCCACGAACTCATCGAACACGAATGTCACCCTGGACTTGTAGTTCAGATGAGATGGCCCACCGACATGGTGTGCACCCATCTTTCAGTCGCGGTCATCGACATGGATCTCCTCCCGGATGACAGTACGTCTGCTCGCACGTATCCTGTCTTAGCTAACCATGCACGTTTCAGTCAAATATCCGCTGGTTACTATCGGCAATGTGCCGTATCTTGCCCGGAACTACCCTCCCAAGCACATCATCGATGCACTACTACCTGACTGGTATGACCCTAATCTATGGTTGTCCACCAACAAGATGCTGGAATGGCTCGGAAATGTCCAGAGGGACTATAGAAACGGCCGTGTTGACTATCGGACAGAGGAAGGGAGGAAACAGATCAAAATGAGTACGCCCACGCTTGGTCCGAACGATCTTCTATTTTAATAGTATCATAATAACATGGCTTGTCGTTTTGCTAAAATGGCATGTGTCGTGGATCCTAGGACAAGGAGACGGAGATTTTGGACGGATTCAGATAAATTTTCGGTGAACAGCATCGCGGTTTCGTGGTGAGAATAATGTTTTTCGTGTAAGCAGGACCCAATTGACCAAAAGATTGAGAATACCACCATATTATACCCTTTCCTCTGGAAAAACGGATATCAATCGTTTTGATAATGAATTATGAGTTGAGTGATAACGTCTGTTAATGGTAACGCAAATAATGATTGTATCGCTTTACTTTGCTAAATACTTGGCAATTTGCAAGCTTAGGATGAAAATGACGTGAGAGTAACTTGACTGAACATTAGATTGAAACTGCACAACCTTGTGTTCATTCAACAAATGACAGTCACTCACTTTTTAAATTTCATAAATTTCAACGCTTGAAGACAACGAAGGACCTGATTTTCGTGTTTGATCAGGCCGGCTATGCGAGTCGGGGCTCTCTATGAAACTCGTCAGTATATGTAGTAATGCATCTGTATACTATAATCCGTTACCTAGAGTCTCCTTCACGGTTTCGCCTCATGGTCGCTAGAGATAATATGATGCGGCATTTTTCACTTCTTGCAACCACTCTTCAATAATGGCCCTATCAGTGACATTATTATCCCAATAGACGACTAGTTCCAGCTCGTTTCGAAATGTGGAGGCTCCAAGGTAAATTTCCCCGGGACGACATCGGAGACGTAAACCGGAGCAACGTAGGTAGATTCTGGGAGATGTCCCGCCTACCGGAAACTCGCGTGGGAGGAGCTTGTCAGCCTACTATTTGGTTAGAAAAAGAGTCAAGATAACCATCGATGAGACGCACGCTTCCGAAATTGGAGCCACCGAATGAAAATACCATACCAAGTTTTGCCTGGTCAGTGGCCGAGATGGATAGATTTTCCTTCCTTAAGGATGATGTCTTTGCTTTGGAGCCCAGCTCTTTCATCGCCGTGATAATTTGGGGATAACGAACTGAGCCGATGTCGAGAAACAACGGGTGCTTCAGAAGACCATTGGCACATTTCTTCATATTCCCGCACCTATACCAAAAGCGTTGACGTGACAAGAGGGTGTCAAATGTCGAATGAGCACCCTCTGGACGTAATGGAACGAAGGACATCGGGTAGACATAGAATCCTATCGAAAGCATCGGGTTCTCCGCGCCTCCACGAGTATACCACTCGCGATCCAAGTATGGCCTTACATTAATTGAGCCCGTCGTGTATGTAAGTTCCATCTTCCTGAATTCCCATTCCTCCTCTGTCATCAAACCTTGAGCATACCTCCTGCAAAGGAGACGTCCCATGGCGATCTGGCCAAGTACGACATAAACATTCCCAAATGACAACCCGCGTTCCCGGCATATTTTTAAAATGAGGAGTGTTTCCTCTGCGGTGAAATAAAGCACGGTCTTGCGAGAGTCAACAGGGTCCTCATTCATGTGAGTGGTGAAATTCCCAGGGAGTGTTTGACCACCGTTCTGAAGCCTTGTATGTCGGGAAATTAATTGTACTGTGGGGTAAGTCGGAGGACGCACATTAGACTTTGCGGATCGAATAGAAACAATGATATGGGCCATGGCCTTGTGCCATCGTTGTGTAGAGATATTGAGCTTTCTACCAGGATTATAAGTCGTCGGTTGCAAGTGATAACGCTAGCCTGTCCGATAGGTGTGTTGCTGGTACATGCGGGGATGAAGAAGACAGGAAATCAAGCAATGTCCGTACAACGGTGTGACGCGAGGACTCCATCACTTATACAGTGAGCAGCATGGAAAACGAGGTGAAAGCCATTTTTCTGATCGGATTGCCTGAAGATGAAGAGTCGGACAAGGTGACAATCGTCAAGGATCCGCTCTTGATTGAGAATGTTTTCTACCGTCACATCCGCATCGCTGAAGGATGGGACCGTCATGAAGATCACCTCACCGGGGATGTGTGTTTTGAGTCGACGCTCATCTACGACGAAATATACGTCTTCGTCCCTGTCCCCGACAGTTTCTATCTGGGCGCCGAGGAGAGGGTACATCTGCTTTGCAAATACCCAAGCGTTGCCCGCGGTTTCTTCGGTGATTAAGAAAATTTCATCGTTTGGTACCTCGAAACATACCGAGTGCGCGCTATCTGTGGCCCCACGAAGAACTCGGCCGCGCAAGTAGAAATGCAGTTCGTTAAGACCCAGAGAGCGTTCATAGATGAGATGGGGAGAAGACGAACGCAACTTCCATGGGGCACGCATGTAAAAGAAATTGGAGAAATTGTGAAGACTTGAATAGTATATCGTACTAGAATCGCGAGGCTCAAGAAGGCAAAATGAGCAAGGAGATATCCGTCGCAAGCACGATATGCCTTTTATAGGATTCCACCTAAAATCTGCGGGGTATAAGCAATGAAATACGTACAACTTGGTGTAAAAAGTGTATCGAAACAGTGACTGGTGAGCATCGATGAGCCCTGTAAACGCAGTGATAGTAGCATCGTCATTTTGGGTGCGAGCAACTTGGAACGCGCCACGGTGTCCCGACTTTCTCATCACGTGCGCCGGTCTTCGTTGCGGTGGGCGGCCCGAACCCCGCTGCCTGCTGTGAACATCGACGAGGTTTTTGGGGGATATCCTAGTTATGTAGCACCTATGGCTGTCGTTACTGTCGTCGCTAGCTGTAATTCCATGTGGGTCCACCTACTCTACCTAAGCACTTAAGTATCCCTTTCCGTTACTTAACTTACTTTCCAACCGCCATCATGTTACCAGAAACAGCCTCAGTTCTTATCATTGGCGCAGGCCCTACCGGCCTCGCTGCTGCCATTGCACTCGTCAAACAAGGTATCAGTGACATCGTTGTCGTCGACGCCCAATTACAAGGCCAGAACTCTTCTCGCGCTATTGTCGTTCACGCGGCAACCTTGGAAGTATGTCCGAGTCTTTCCACAAAATCCATTCCTGCGACTTGCTGAGGCATTCATTCTGTAGGCCCTTGAGAGCATAGGATGCGTAGATGCCGTCATCGCTAAAGGCGTGAAGGGTAGGGGAATGATGTTCAACAGGAACACCGCTACGTTTATCTCTGCCGAGTTCAAGGGCTTGTTGGCGCCGTATACTCGCTACGACTTTGTATTGCTCGTACCCCAGACAGTGGTTGAAGACGTGCTTTATGCAGAGCTCGTTCAGCAGGGCGTTCAAGTGCTACGTCCCCAGCGCGTTGTTGGTATGGCAAGCAACACAGACCACAAAGGCCTGAATGTGACCTTTGAGTCTGGAGAAGTTATCAGGGCAGACTATGTCATTGGTGCTGATGGGAAAAACTCCGTCGTAAGTCTCCCATTCACCAAAATAGATACAGGCTTATATTATCCAGGTCCGTGAACTTGCTGGTATATCGTACGCCGATCCTGACAACGCCCCCATTGAGGACTCCGTTGCCCAACTAGTACTAGCAGACGTGGTGTTCTTCCCTCGAGATACTTCTCTCTCTGACGATTGCTTGATGGCTCATGTCTCACCTTCGGGCGTGTTCTTGACGCTCCCACTGCCTTCCTATCACTCCGATTTAGCATCAGACGACATGGTACATAGAATCATCTTCAACATCCCTGCGTCGTTAGGCGCTCCACCTTCCGATCCGTCGACGGAGTACCTCCAGAACCTCCTAAACACTCAAGGTCCTGCTCATATGTCTTCGGATCCAGCCGTAAACCAACAGCCCATCCATATCGCAAAAACTGTGTGGTCATCAAGGTACAAGACAAGTTCCGCCATTGCTGGTACGTTCTTCAAGCCATTGCATAACGAGGAAGGGTCCTGGGGCGGCAGAGTAGTAATTCTCGGTGATGCGGCACACACTCATTCACCTTTTGGAGGCCAAGGGATGAATCTTGGAATCAGAGACGCAGTATTCTTGGCGCCCGCACTGAAAAAGAGTCTTTCGGAGAACACGGATGACGAACTGGAATCCTGGGCCGCAACGAGACGCACACGGGCATTGACGACAATACAGATGACGAAACAAATCGCTGCTTCAATGAGTCATATCCTTTCTCCGAACAGATTTGTAGCATTTGTATCTTTTTGGATATTTAGGTTTGTGACAAGATTTGCGTTCATGAGGCGGTGGGTTGTTCTACTATCCATTTATTACCCGAAAACTGATTGATGACAACAGTATGGCTGCTTGGAGACTAAGCGGGCTAGGAAATCGCTGACATTGTGAACTACTACCACTGTTGAAGAAATGAAGCATACAAAAATCTAAAAATTGACCCCTCTCCTCATTTGATATTTTTATCAGTAATGAGACCCCATGGCACGAAGTCAAATCTCAGTTCCCACTGGAAATAACTGTTGATAGGAAGGGACTGCTGGAGTATCAGTCTCCATACAAGATGAGAAACCGGCTCCAATAGGGATCTATGCACTGCAGCGAGATCCAAGTCAGACAATGCACTAGGAGTGACAGATGCACGTACAACTATTTGGTATGGTCACCGCTCTCCAGAGTGAGTAGTTCAGGTAATAGTGCAAGTCTCCCCGACGTTCAGGCCATGATGCTGAAGCGCGATAATATCTTGTTAGGGCTGGTGCACCCTCGACGAGTTTCTGACTTTTTACCATCAGTTCCGGATCAAGCATCGTTTTGGACCCAGAGCCCATAGCCCGAATAATATTTTCCATTACTAGTTCGTCCAACCCATGAGCATGACCTGGGCTTTTGACATGGAAATCTGCTCTGTGTACTGTTACATTCCTGTCTGGGTCCAGAAAGATGCAGAGGCTTGTTTTAATGATCCCCGAGATCCCCGCCGTCTTCCAGGGGGAGGCGCGGAACTGAAGGTTGAGAAAGAGCTGTCGGAGAGAGGTAAAGCAAGCTCGGAGTCCAATAAAATTGGGTAGGTTGGTTAGCAGGACATAGGTATCCTTTGCGGCTTCTTCATCCGGCCGAGTCAGATCGACATAGCATGTCATGGTGCGAACAGACGCAGGAAGACGGTTGCCATAGATGACCGACTGCTGTGACTGTATGATGCCACAGAGATAGGATTGGAGGTACTTGACGGTTGGGATGTAGACGTCCCGAGAAGAGTGGGTGGCGTAGACGTCCTGCCAGACACTGTTTATCAAGGGACAGGTGGTCATCAAGTGGACCCGGTCTTTGGAGGGCATAGTCGAGTTCCAGAGTCCAGATACTATGAGATCTATGATCTCTGGAGGAAATGTTGCCCTTTCAGATGCACTAAGCATGGTGTCACAAGTTATGGGGGGAGGGTAGAGAGAGTAAGTAGTAGGGGCCTCGGCGCTCACGAAGATTTTAAACGAATATTTAGGAGTCACTCCAGACCCGGACCGTAGTCACCGGCTCCATTGAAAAATGTTCTTCGCACTATCTATAACATGACTACTCCAACGCCTTTGCCGGCACTAGTATCTTCAGTAGCTGTCATACCAGCCAAGGGCGCCGTCCGCCAATTATACAAGTAGAAATTCAAGAATCCATCGCCCTTCCCAAACTATTTTTAAAGGTCATTAAACAAGTCAGAAGTAACAAGTAGTAATCCAACATACCTTTAGATCCGTCAAAAAATTCATATTATCCATCAACGTCAGAGCATTAAAAACGTCAAACTTTGCGTTGTGGGCGACCACCAGCGCATCCGTCATCAGTTGTAGGAGCCTCTTCTTGAGCCGGCCATCCGATTCTGCACCCGGTTCGAAAGCTGTGGCACTGGCGTAGTAGTAAAGATAAGCTGCCTGCAGTACTCCACCAGGAGCATTGATGACGGTCGAAGGGAGGGAATAGAATGAGAAGAAGTCAGTGACTTGGTGGGTTCGTGGATCCTGAGATATGGGTGTTAAAAGCATCATGAATACCAAATTTGAGAGAAAATTTACCTCGACAACATAGCACCAAGTGACCTGCCTCTCTCGCCTTCCTGGTCCCCCATCTCCAAGTTTTCCCGTACCATTACCGCTCAAAAACTGATGCCGGACGTCATCAAAGTTCATAGCCGGGGCCATGTCGTACCGTATCATAAATCTAGCAAACAAATCTGCAACTTGCTTCACGTCCTTCTCCTCCATTTCTCGGATAGGAAGTGTGGTTTTGTCGGGGACTTTATTGTAGTTGATCAGTCTTGCAAGGGACATGTGTCGAGGGACAGACGTAAAGTGGATATCAACCAACTTTGTGGTATTCAAAGCGCGATGATGGTACTGGCAAGTTGATACTGGAGTAGGAACGACGACTCCGCCAGTGTATATCGCTTGGAAAATTCCTTCGAGGTGTACTCGGCGTGTCACTTCCTTGATCAAGACTGGTGCTAATCGCTTGGAACGCAGTTTCTTGTGGACACAGAGATAATTGATCTCGCATGCCACGAAAACGCTGGTTAACGCGTCAATAAGCGCCGATATCGATGAGGCGGATAGAACTCACTTCTTTCGGACGCGAATGGTCAAAGGTACACCAGAAATGAAGGCTACCAGTTTTTTGTTTGACGATACACGTACGCCTACATGCCATTCCTTGAAATATCCAGGCGGTTGAAGCGCCCTGCAGTGGGGATGAGACGGATGCGACGATCACAGACGGCACACACACCATTGCAGGAACTCGGCGCTGTACTGGAATCGGAATGATGCCTCGTCGTCTTCAACGTAGTTTAGCGACAAAAGGTCGTATACTTCTTTGGCCTGGAGACACGTAAGCCGATGTACTTGTATGAGAGTGTAATACGCACCTCGTTGGGATCGCTCATGTTGAGCGTCGCCCACTCAAAGCTGTTGGGCAGAGCATAGGGCTCTTGACGGACCTGGTCCCGGGGAACGGAAGGCTCGATGTACCCATCCTCAATCGGTGGTCCCTCGCCTGGTTGAGGCACTGGTTGTGTCGCCCAGAACTGAAGGTATCGTCGTGAACCAGCAGTGCCAGAATGCAGGGAACAGAACAGACCTTGTGCTCTCCCATATCCTTTCTGTTGATGCCCCCAATGCCAGCCTTACCTTTCACCACATCCATGATCTTCATCGCCTCCAACGCTTCCCGCACGTCAGCTGCCGTCGTTTCGTTGCTACCAGCTCCCCCATCCTCCCGAACTCGAACCAAGACGCGATCAACGAGTTCCTGGGGTATCTCAGACTTTCCGGCGAGCGCCCTGAGGGCTTTCGCAGCTTTGGACTTTTTCTTTTTCTTCTTCTTCGTCTGACCGGTCGAGGGTGCCGTCGATGTGGATTCTAATGGATGACCTTCATCTTCACTTCCGGAAGAGTTTTCCTCCTCTTCGTGATGGCTATCGATGACGTCGGCGGCTTGCCCAATCCCGGGCGACTGAGATGAGGCCATGAAACAAAATGTGGAGATGAGCAAAGTACGGGCCGACAGCCGACGTTTCTCCGTCGGTTAATCATCAGGAGCACTTTCAAGATTTCGTTCCAAAGGCTTCTTCATCATTTCGTAAAATTGTTCTCTCTAGCGTGATCTAAACGACAAGAAATAGAGTCTTATACATACATACACAAAATCTGATAATTCAGTCTAGTCACTGTCAATCATGATAACATCGTCATCATCCACACCCCAGTCAGGGGACGGACTCCTGGCTTTCTGTTGCTGCTGTGGCGTCGCATTATTTCTCCGCGGTATACGGGGCACCCGCGCGCCTCCAGCTCCGACAGTTCCAAGCTCCCTGGGGGCTTGATTACCCAGAGTTTGTCCAGATCCCAGCGCGCTCCAAGACGTTGACGCAGAACTTTCCTCGGTGGCCTTTTCTTTACCCTTGGACGTCGAAGCCGACGATTGACCGGCACCTCTACCCGTTAGCGTCTGCCCAGAACCGGTGAAAGATGTGTCCTGAAAGAAAACTGAGTGATAAATGCATTTCGCGTGCAATTTGACTTGCCTGTACGGCAGCAGAGTTTGAGGATGCCGGGGCTACTGGAGGAACATATGGTGTTACATTGAATCCGAAGAACAGCTTGCCAAAAGGCAAGTTCAGAGCGGCCGGAACTTTGACATCAGAATCCAGAGTACTGTTAGACACGATACGGTGTTTGCTAAGATGGCGTGTCAGGTATGTAGTATAAGGAAACAAGATGAACTTACTCCGATTTTATGATTTTGCTTCCTTCCGCCACTTCTTCGATTTTTCGGTGACTGATACCTCTTCCCTTCGTCTTCCGTCCGCCAAGTGTTTCCCCTTTACCCTTAAAGCTTTCCCACTGATCACCATCTTTGCTGACCGCAGTAGATCCAGCGCCTGTACCGGCAAATCCACCACTCAATGATGACCCGGGCCGCGAAGAACCTGGGGAAGCAGAATCGAGATCGATTTTGAAGCTTCGACGCCATGGTGGAGGGAGGTGGCGCCTTTGGTCTCTCGGGCTCGATGTATCCCACAGGCGCAGCAAAATCGACTTCAAGATCTGTATCCAGAACGCTAATTCCTTCGCCACCTGGATTAGTCTCCATGACAAGCAGTCCGAATATTATGGAGTTATAGCATATTTCGATAATATCGCCCTGTGTCAATGCTGAGAAATTCCGTAGAGCTTGCTCAAGCCTAACCGAGAATGAGCATGTCGTACACGCAGAACATGGAAAACTTACACGGCTTTAGGGTCTGAAATCTCCAAAAAGTGAACGGTCTGTGCTTGCAGCTTGACGAACTTTCCCTTGGGCAGTTCTGCTCCAGTAATTCGGATAGGGTCTCCTTCATTCAAACGCAAAGTCTTCATCATCCAATAAGGCAAATGAACGACACCCTCTTCGGCGATGAATTCGAGCACACCTGCGTGCGTAGAGGCGGCGGGATTCGTGGGATTACGCAGTTGGAACATCCAAGGCGATTCTAGATCCATATTCGTAAGGTTTGCAAGAGCCGATGGGGGCATTATGACTGTCGACTTTTGATTGGCGGTGATTTCAAAGAGGAGAGGTAGATATGAAACGCACTCTTGCCACCATAAGAGACATTCTCTCGCTCTCGTCCTGGCAGCATCGCTACGCTATATGCCCTCAAGTACTCATCGTAAGCAGATGGTGGACGGTGTCCAGGCTGCGCATAAGGAAGGCCTCTGTGATGGATCAGTGTCGTTTCAGATGATAGTAATAAGGGACATACCCGGCTAGCTGAGCAAATAATTGACCAGGATTATTCTGCAAAAGAGTCAGCGGAAAGTGGCATTCAATATCAAGGCAAACGAACAAAATTCATGGGGACGAAAGTGAATGGTGGTGGAGGTAAGAAGAAAGGATGGATCACTGAACGCTGAATCGACGCGCGTCATTTCGAGTTGGGCAGTGTCACGTTACCCTCGATTCTTCTAAATTCTGACCACCATGGCCTCGAAATCTCCTTCAGCAGGACAGCAAGGAATAACCAAAAATCTTTCTGGTGCCAATGCTGCCTTCAATGACAAGGTATGTGTATATCTGGCGCATCTAACTGCACTACCTGACACGCTTTCTGATAGGGAAAGCCTATGGAACTTCGGCTATCGAACATGGTTGCTGCAAAAGGTTTTTTTATCGCTGGCAATGAACACTGTCACTTCTTCCTAACGCATGCACAGCTATTAGTGATGCAGTACGAACGTCTCTGGGGCCAAGAGGAATGGATAAAATGGTGCGTCGGACAGCAACTTCTGCATATAGCTGACCATAATGTCTATTGTATCAGATCCAAACTGCAAAAGGCGAAGTCATCGTGACGAATGATGGGGCGACTATTTTGAAGAGCATTCAGGCCCTCCACCCTGCCGCAAAGATGGCGAGTCTCTGTTTGCGTTTGACATCGAGCCTAGTTCTGACTTTGAGCACAGCTTGTCGATTTGTCTGCCGCCCAGGATGTCGAAGCCGGTGATGGTACGACAACTGTAGTTGTCCTTGCTGGAAGCCTGCTGGGTGCAGCAGAGAGGATGCTTCAAAAAGGCATCCACCCCACCATCATTGCCGAATCTTTCCTCAAGGCCTCGACAAAGGCCGTCGAATATCTGACGGAGATGTCTACGCCGGTTGATTTGAACGACAAGGCTAGCTTATTGCGGGCAGCAAGTACTTCATTAAACTCAAAGGTCCGTCAGTTATCCTTTGTTTATAATCAATCTTCATCATTCCCTTCCTGAAGATCGTCTCGCAATACTCGTCGACCCTTGCTCCCATCGCTGTAGCAGCAGTAACGCGTCTTGTCACCCCTACATCCTCTAATGTCGATTTACGTGACATCCGCGTCGTGAAAAAGGTTGGAGGCACGATAGAAGACACGGAACTGATAGAAGGCGTTGTACTGAACCAAAATGTCGTTGTCTCGGCAGGCGGTCCTACGCGGATAGAGAAAGCTAAAATCGCCATCGTCCAATTCCAGCTCAGCGCACCAAAACCTGACGTTCGTCTTTGTACCCACCCGTCTGAGAGTTTGAATACTAACCCCCGATATAGATGGATAACACAGTTGTGATCAATGATTATCGACAGATGGATAAAGTGCTGAAAGAAGGACGTCAATACCTCCTAAATATCTGCAAAAAGATCAAGAAAGCAGGATGCAACGTTCTCTTGATCCAAAAGTCTATTCTACGAGACGCAGTCGACGACATCTCCCTCAACTTCCTCAAAAAACTCGGGATTCTCGCCGTCAAAGACGTGGAACGAGACGAGATCGAATTCTTGTCGAAGAGCTTAGGTTGTAAACCAGTGGCAGACATTGAAGCCTTTACCGAGGACAAACTAGGATACGCTGACCTCGTGGAGGAGTCCTCGACTTCTGGCCCAAAGGTGGTCAAAATTACCGGAATCAAGAATCGGGGGCGGACTGTCAGCATCCTGGCCATGGGAGCAAACAATATCGTTGTGGAGGAGTGCGAGCGCAGTTTGCACGACGCTCTGTGCGTTGTGAGGTGTCTAGTGAAGAAACGGTGAGTTTTTTCGATGATTTGTGAGCCTGCCGTTCTGATGGTGGTTGTCAGTGCCTTGATTGGTGGGGGTGGTGCGCCGGAGATACACGTCTCTCGACTTCTTTCTCAATACGCGCATTCACTGAAAGGCATGGAAGCCTTCTGCTTCCAGGCATATGCCGATGCGCTTGAGGTGATACCAACAACGTTGGCTGAGAATGCGGGCCTCAACCCTATTGCTATCGTCACTGAGTTGCGTAACCGGCACGCACTGGGAGAGCGGAATGCTGGAATCAACGTCCGAAAGGTATGTTTCAAAGGATTTCCACCTTGCAATAATCCTTTAATTTTGTGTCAGGGACTCATATCAAATATCCTTGAGGAGGATGTCGTCCAGCCGCTGCTGGTGTCAACGAGTGCCGTAGAACTTTCGACAGAGACTGTCTGTCTATTATTGAAGATTGACGATTACGTTCAAGCTCGGTGATAGAGACGCGTGGTAGAAACAAAGTAGTGTTATTGTCCGATCCTTAATGTCTAACGGTGCTGATCCATTCATGTAATGTGCAGTGATTCCTTAACCTGTACAGAGGGCGTCCAAGCAGGCCCAAGCTTCCACATTAATGTGATATCTTTATCACGTTGATCGTTCTCAGGTTTATTTGAACCTTGATGTGAATTGAATGCTTTGTATGAGAACTGCTGGTTCTTCAATTGCAAGTGATCGCTGCCATCAAAAGGATGATCGACTCTACCATTTGACTTAACCTCGAAAGGCATTCAATGATTACATGCTGTCAGGTGGTCTGGCGTTCAGGGAGATGCTGCAGTGCTGTGAAATAGAGTGAGGATATAGATGTTATATTGGTTTGGTTGCGGCATCGATTCTGGCGGAACACAAGAGCGCATCAGATATACATACACTATACTTGATACATAAAGCCGTAGTCTGCAATAGTTTATAGGCGCCGAGAGAACCAGTCACGGTAGATGGTCGATGTAGTTCGAGACGAGGTCAAAGAAGGTCCACAGCAGGCCGTGGGTTGTGATACTCCGCACTGCGCTGACTCCGAGACCACGATAAATCCTGGTGATACCTGCTAATAGCGGCTTGGGATTGTTCGGATCGGGACCTGCACATAGACACATATATTTCAGTCAAATCTTCAGAGATTAACGTTGAAACTGACCTCTGACGAGACGGTACAGTGTCTCCCAAGGCCCCCGATATCTTTCACCAGCCAATGATCGCTGCTGGATTTTTGTCTTCACACTAAGAGAAGTTTAATCATGCAATGGAGATACTGGTGATTTGACTTACACATCAAGAGGATAAATCAATGCCCATGAAGATACCTACAGGCACCGTCATATCCCAGTCACAGCTTGATTCATTTGAGGTCAGACTTACGCCGGAGAGTGAACCACAGAAGAACGGAACAATCGAAGCAGGGATAGGTAGCCAGGCAGGTGTCGGTCCTTGATCTCCTGATCTGTCCCGTCCAAGGAGGTGCCGCATTCCGTCGTATTCGAGGAAGTACAGTGCTGTTCCCGTAGTATCCCGTACTGATATTGCCGCATTGAGCTGTCACAAGGATTCTGTATAGAGTAGCGGACGCACCAAAATGCATACGGAAACCCGTGTACAGCCCAGTGATACCATTGCTTTGAAAAATTTCTTTTACGGCTTCCCACGTCTTCGGCGCTTTGGTAAGTTGCACGCCCTTACTAGCAGCGATTGCAAACTCCAACTGTCGTCGGACCTGCGAACAAAATTTATAATATGATGAAGGCTGGGCAAAGGAGTTATGTACCTTGACGAGCTCAAATGCTATTATGTGTTGATGAGCAGGGGAGAGCAGCAGTGGAACAAACACTCACGAGCACTTCCAAATGATATTAAAGCGCCAGACATCGCTCCGCTGATACCACCAACAAGAGAGGCATCGATTATAGAATTACGAGATAGATAATTATGATCCCGACAGAACTCCTTGGTACGAGTATAGATAGTGAAGCTTGCGGCGCCTGCGAACGCTCAAAAACAGGGAGCGATAGGCAAAGGTGCACTCACGGACAAAGGAGAATCGTTATGAGAGGTATCCAAAGGCCACGATAGAATCCGACGACTCCTTCATCCCGATACACGACGGCAGCAAGCCTCGACACACTGATGGGCGTTTTTGTTGTCTGTAGCCTTGACTTGAGAGAGTCAAGCTGGAAGAAAACAAGTTAATCATGAATGGGAATTGCAAGACTTGAGACACACTGGATAGCCCGCAAAGGTGGAAATGTAGCTAGCGGACAGCGCGCATACAACTGCTTTATTCCCTGCACCAGAGACATGAGCGACCTCGCCATTCAATACGACGACAACATACGGCGGAGGAAGTCGTTATATGCGGCCGAGTCATACGGAAGATTCGATGTGCTGCCAGGACCACGATGAAGCCGAAATTAAGCCAAAAAAAGGATAAAATACTTGCCTTTTTCCATCCATAGGGCGGGCTGACTGGGCTGGCCGTCAGTCCAGTTTCACTTGCATGCCCTACGCGACAGCAAAAAAACGATGAGGTGGATCGATGTGATACCGTCGGGCGCAGGGATCAAGGAAGGAGCGAAGGATTGGATGTCGTCGACACCGGCAAATTCAGAACACGGTCACCGCAACTCGACCACATAGATCACTTGACGTCCCTTGCATGCTTCTTCGGCTTCTTTCGTTGTTCCAGTGAATCGTTCTTTCTCGACCGTGCGGCAAAATCCATACAGACAAGTGGGAAGATATATATGTGTACTGCTACATATGATACAAGACTATAATGAACGTAAATGAAAGCCTAGGCTCAGTGCCCATTGACGACTTAAAATCCACCCAGCCTTTTCTTCGCAGGTTTCTTCTTTGCAGCGGGCGGCGGGCGGCCTCCGTGTGGTCCAGGAAGGACCTGCGTGTTGGTCATTAGCTCTTGAGAACTTGTGGCTAGGAAGGCATTAGATATTTGAGACTGGGTAGTGGGCCTGAGCACGGGAACAACGGCCGGTTGGGACTGAGGGAAAAAGGTCCCTCGGCTTGCGGCCGGCTGCACGATTGGAACCATGGTACTCGATGCCACGACGACGGGAGGACGTTTGGGTTGGGTCGATTTCGGCAAGTTTGATTTAGGTTTTGGAAGTTGAATCCTTGCGGGTTCATCTGTCGGATCGCCGTAAGGATCCACGTAAACATAAGTGTCTGGATCCGTCCCAACTGCCCATTCCTTCAGCAGCAATCGAACGCCAAGGGGATACGACATTTCGGGATCATCATCTTCCCCTCCTTCCCTTGCTTCATCTGCCGTCCTCCGCGACACGGGCCGCAGGTAGCGGAAATCCACCGGAGGTGGTTTGTTGCCAATAGAAAGGGCTTCTGTCATGCTCTCGAGGTCATCAGGCCTAGATGCTGGTGCTTTCGGTGGCTGGACAGAAAAGACATCTTGCGAAAGCGCCAAATCAAGAGCAAGTTGCTCTCGAGCTTTGCTTTCTCTTCTGAGCGACTGGACTGTGCGGTCTGGGCTGTCAGCAAGGTTATACTTCTGTAGGTTTTCAAGTATGTCCTCCGCGTTTTGATGCACAGTCGAATCGAAAGCCCGTAAGGTAGGACCAATATTGTGATACCATCCAGAACCTTTACTCAAGGAAGCCGGTGATAAGCGTTCCTGCTGTAACGCACGATACCCTCTGGTCGAGTTGATGATACTCCCTGTCAGAAAATCAGCTCGGGAAGCGCCATCTGGTTCATCTCCTGCCCGGAAAGCTATATCGTAACTGGGAGGTAAGTCAGAGAAAGGTACGCCTTGCTACTGATGGATCTTACGTCGTCAACATATGCTTTATGGGAGCATCCGTATCCTGCCAAAAGAGGGGCAGACGGTCCACGAGGTCGTATACGTCGTCTGCGTTTTCCTCTTCGCATTCTTCGTCTTGTCTAGTCCTCTCCATGAACACATCTTCATATAATCATCCATTAGCTATCTAGCTTTCATGGATAAGTACGACTCACGATGATACATTTCAGAAAAGTCCACTTCCATGTACTCTCTATTACCAAGGGGCCCTATGTCTGGCCGTAGGTTCGAGGCGTTGAGGTCCAGCTCTCTGACATCATCTGACCACTCGAAATTTGGTGTCTCTATTCCATCCGATTGGCCTAGTTCGATCATTTGTATGGCCCCGCGCCTGGACAGTCTTAGTAGACTAAATGATTGATCTTCAGCGAGGTATGGATGATGGAAGAACGACTGCCCAATCAGAGAATCTTCAAAATCGGTCTCCGATGTCAAACAGTACGGGATACCGTTAGCATGAATGAGTCCGTTCTCGCTTGGGCGAGAGACGGTATACACATTAACCATCCCATTCTTTCGTGATGTCAAGAAAGTAAAAGGCGCTGGATTTCCCATCATAAATAAAAGGAGACACATAGTCAAATATTGACTTACTGTTTTGAAAGGAGACGGTGTCAGTTTTGAGTGTCCTATCGAATGATCGTTTATGATTGTATCCAAGAATTGGCTTCCCTGGGTTTCTATCGTCGATCCAAAAGAGTTGAGAAGTGGTGCACAGACGGATCAGATGGCCATCTTGGTCTTCGACCGCAGTAATCATGTCTTTCTCACTTGGGACAGAAAAGATTGAATTGTAGACGCCATTTTCCTGCAGAAACACATGAACATAACGAAAAGGCGTGATTCGCTGTGTATTAGGGGACATACACGACAGTCAAGCTGCCGCAAAACTTTGCTCGAAGTTAAAAGGCATGTGTTGATGTTTGGACCCAACGACAGTCTCCAGAAATCGTCAGACATGACTTCAGACATGGACGACAGAGTAGAATAATCAAAGATACTAAAAGAACCTCGTGTATCATGTTAATTTTGATGCAAAAGGTCAATAACTCACATGAAAGGTTTACCACCAATGAAGTTGTAGCTGAAGGCCGTGCCTTGATCATTGACGACGAGCAGATCATGGACAGAAGGGAACCTGACATCAATCATTTGATGACCGCCCACATCAGACGGGGAAATGGTTGCTACATCGAATAGCTTCACTTCCTTCGGTGTGTCACAGGATCTCATTTCCAGGACACATGTAACACCATAGGTCCTTGCAGCCAACAATGCGCCTAACCTTGATCAATACAGGCAGAGTAAATATCGCAACAATTGTCTTACCTTGTGCTAGGTTTGGCAGATCATATCTGGGTGAAGTAATTTGAGATATGGGTGTATCGAACGACCTTATCGGCGTAGCTATCGGAGTAAAAACTCTCCCGTTCTCAGAAGGGAGAAATGGCGATATATCTGTTGATGAGGAAGTTAAACAAACTACTCTTGACGGAAAGGACATGAAAATGTACTCAGGTCACGACCCAGTTCACCCATCGGAAACGCAAGGTGCAACGACACGGGCGTCGAAGATTCATACGAGGTTACGGTTTCAAGTAAATTTCCGTCATATGGATTGTACACGCTTCGATCGTGTAAGACTCTGGCGTCTGTCTCTATCTCCTCTCTAATGAGTTCAGCAGCAACTTCGACGTCAGGAAAATGTGTCCTCAGGAAATTTGCCTACAGCAGAGGTCAGATACGGTGTATTTTGGTGCAACATGGCATACCCCTCGCTCTGCCCTTCTCCCCAGAGTCATACGCGGAAGCGTGATAGAAGGCGGACGCGTCTCAGGGAATATTTTGACGGGTTTCCCTGCCTGCAGTTTAAATGGGTCCGAGTCTGTTGATACTGCCTTGAGAATAGCTTCATTACAGGAATCGGGTATAACGTACCATAATTTTTCACTAAGGAAGACCATTCAAGACGATTTCCCTTCTCAACCAGGGTCAAAGCCTCGAGCAATCCGTGATCTAGGTTGGGGTATTGGAATATCTCTTTCTTTTTGCCTTTACCCTCCCTTCTTGGTATGTCCTCGATGTTTCGGTCATCTGTTGGCCAAGATTCCATTCCATTAGAGTAAATCTGTCTCAGGAGCGTGGGCAGTAATGACAGAACGCAATGGGGAACGTAAGCTTTGGAAGGGTTAATTTTGTAAAATTACAATTTCTAAAATAATCAAGAAAATTCTAACAGCGTCTGTTCTCAACAAGGCACAACAACGCCTTCCTCACCCGACATGTTTAAAGTCGGTCGAAAATTTCCTTCTTTCGCGTCATTTCGACGGATACATTCCAGTTCACCGCTTTCAACGGTTCAGGAAGCCTCCACATCGACGGCGGCGGCACCACCAGCAAAATGGACGCCAATGTCGGTACGGACCGGTCTCATAGCACGTAAACGAGGAATGTCTGCTCTATGGAACGACCAAGGCGTTCGTATACCTGTGACGGTTCTCCAGGTGCTCGCAGTTTTGATTACAGCGGTATACTGTGCTAACGTGTACTTAGCTGGACCATTGTCAAGTCACCGCGAACATTCGCACAGTCCGAAGGGACAGCTCGGTCTACCATGCTGTCCAGGTCGCGGCTTCTGATAAACCTTACAAGACAGCGACTGCACAAATGAAAGGTCATTTTAGAAAGGCTGGCGTAGTTCCCAAGTATATCGTGAAAGAGTTTCCCGTTACTGAGGACGCGCATCTTCCTGTTGGTACGTTATACCTTGACTACTACTTTTACTCCATTAATGTTTAATTATCTTTAGGAACAACATTGTCTGCAATACATTTTGTGCCAGGCCAATACGTTGATGTCATAGCTACTTCGTACGTCCTAAGAAAATCAGCATCATTGTAAGAGTGCTAACATACGACAGAATAGGAAAGGGCTTTCAAGGTGCAATGAAGCGATGGGGATTTAAGGGTCTGAGGGCTAGTCATGGTGTGTCCAAAGCTCATCGATCTGCGGGTTCTACTGGTCAACATCAGGTGCGTATCATTCGTCACAACGTCCTAGGTATAGCCGTTTATCTCGAGTTAAGGATCCCGGCCGTGTGTTTCCTGGAAAGAAAATGGCTGCTCGAATGGGTGGTCAGCGAATAACAACCCAGAACCTTCCCGTCATACGCGTTGACACAAATCTCAACCTCATCTTTGTGCAGGGATCGGTCCCAGGTGTCGACGATGCCCACGTTATGGTTCGGGATGCAAAAAAGAAGATGTTGACTGTCAGCCAACACAACCAGCTCAAAGGTCTATACGAGAAAGTATTGCCTCGAGGTGTTGACGACCTTCCTTTCCCCGCTGGGACCGAAGAGATGGCTAAGGAGCTTCCAACAATTATTGAAGCTCCAGCCTACCGTAGAAGTCCATTTATTCCTCAGGAATAAGTCTGTTATGGTATCGCATTAAATCTGATGACACATTTATATCCGAAGCCTTGTACTGCTATCTTAATTCAAAGCAACCCCGCCCTACGCCAGTACGCTAACCATCTTTCCACATCTTCTCTACCTATCTGTGGAAACGCCATATCTTGGACAGCGATTCTGGGCAAGCCAAATGCCTCTCGATTTTTGAGATTTGCTGTCTTTGCATTATGACGGTAGTATGGAAGTATGTGGATGGCAGGTAACACTGCAGCACTTAGAGATGATTTCTCTAGCTCATCCAACCACTGAGTGTACGGGACCAGCATGACGTCTAGCTCGGCTGAGATAATGCTGGCTATATCTTGCCATAGAACAGGTTTAGGATTTACCAGATGGACGAAGAATTCAGGTCGGTCAACATAGTCAACGACTGCCTGAGCTGCCATGTTGACAGGAACCCAGGAGATAGTCTGTACGTGTTTAACAGTCATCCTGTTCCTTTCATCATCAAGGAACGCTCACCCTATCTCCACCAGGGAGACACCCAAGCTTGGTGGCACCCTGGACCATCGCTGGAACCCATTCATTCACGTTCCAAGTCCCGTTTGCAGCACCACTCAGTTGACCAACACGGATGACCAAATAGCGTAGGCCCTCTGTAGTGCGCAAAAGTTCTTCTGAGACCCACTTAGACTCTCCATATCCAGTTCCCAGCGCCATTTCTGGGAGGGTGGGGCCTTCGGACAGTAAATCCTCTTCAGAAGCATCTACCCGGACGCGTGGTGAGCTGCTTGTTTTCAAAGAAAGACGATACATACTTAGGAAGACCCCAATAGAACTCGTAAATATCAGCCGGCCTTGCGTTTTGAGAGCAAGGTCAATCAAATTACGTAGTCCGCGGATGTTGGATTCAAAGGAGGACAAACTTAAGTTGAAATCGACACGCCAGGCTATTGAAAAACGAGATCAGAATATGAAGATCACCTAGTATTGTCGTACCATTGTGAATGATGTATGTTATTGACTCAGGCAACTGATTTGCACGGTGGAGTCAATATATCATCGGAGTAAACATGAAAGGGAGCCCACCTTGTTGGAAAAATCGGTTTCCTCTGATATATCGGCTTGTACTAGCACCACTTTATCTGAATCCAGTAGGTCAACATCGAGCCCGCGTGAAACAAATGCTTCCCGTTGCCTATCCGACAGTGTGAGTTTCGCCGGCCTGTTCACAGCGTAGATGCGGTCTACGCTCGTATCTAAGACTAGGTTGGCTAGTATATGACTTCCCAATGAACTTGTTGTGCCCGTTACCAGGACGATTTTGCCTGATGTTACCGGTGAAGGTGTACTGCTAGTGCCATTAGGCAAACCCTTTGCGTACTTCTTCACCATGGCATGCATAGCGTTGACTCGCAAGTCAGGCTCGGTACGAACGACATCAGTATTTCCACGAGCTAAGGAGTATAGGAATGCAGCGAGTTGTGAGATCGTCGGGTGCGTATAAACAAAATTATCCGTTATCTGACGAGTGTCGAATTGCACCGTATCTCGAAGGGCGCGAAGCAACGAATTTCGAATCCATGTGGATTGCAAGCTGGTAGATTCAACGTCAATCCTGAGAAATGGACGCTATGGATAGCTACTTACCTATCACACCCATGCTGAAATAGGTCATCGTCATCAAGAACGGAATGGGAAAGAACCTGTAAAACGACGGTCCGCACAAAATCTTTTGTGGACTTGGTATCCCATTCCAAAGGCAACGAAATACTAGTTTGTGTGCTTTCCTCAACGGTTTTATAGAGGTCTGAAATTTCCTGGCTGTAATCTTCGAGTATCACTTGACGCCTACAAATGTCATGAGAGGCTAGTATGGTCATAATCAGCGTGGGGACTACGCACCGTGCCGTATTTTTTGCAGTGTATGTGAAAGGCTTGTCTGGTTTAGCGACAAGGATCATCTAGATTTGATGAGCTACATATAAGAGGGTTCCCGAAAAAACTAAGAACCTCTTTGAATAGACGCGAATGCTGAGGGGCGAATTTATTCATCCTTTCGACAGTAGGCCTGCGTTGATAGTCAGAGAAAGCATATTTACTTGGCTTGGGACACATTATCACCATATCTGGTTGCGAAACCGGCCCAGCAGGACGATGTCAGCAGGATAAAAGCTGAATTCACGCTTTGGCTCGACGAGTATACCAGCCTGGAACTTTCCACGACCAAACATGACTGAGGCATGAACGTAAGGGTCTTGGTTAAGTATGTTCTCTACACATTCGGTTGGAGTCAGGATCATATATAAATATTGTAACATACCTAGAGGTCCTGGATTTGTCTTGAAAGAAGTATCGAAATTTAGGTCTGGGGAAGTATGATATGTAGGTAATGCCGTACCTTCTCTCCTGTGTTGTGTATAATCTGATCATCGGTCCGTCCGAAAACCTTCCAAAACCCTGGCTTAGTTGGGTGTGAAATGAAGAGATCCGAAGTTGCATAAGCATCAACGCCATTGACTTTAGTATTAAGAACGCTCGGCTGGCAAAAAGGATTCGACTAGAAGGGACTGTAAGAGGAAAGGTCGAGACTTGTTAGTGCAGATAATGCATACCACCATTATAAGTTCATACGAATTATTTCCACTGGGAATCATTTCTGGTGTGACAAGCCCAGGAAATCGGAAGTAGTCCCAGTCATAATCTACTTGGACTACGCAGATAAGCACCATATATGCTAAAACATGTAATCAAGGGCTTACCAGGTAAGATAGGGCTCATGGCCCCACCTTCGGTCCTTTAAACAGGCCAGGTCTCTATTTAATGGCATGTGATGAAAGTGACGAGACTTACGACCCGTAGAAAATGAAAATAGAGATGCCCTTGGATGTCATGTAGTCTCCGACTTCCTTGTTCAAAGGCCCGCCGCTGTAAAGCTAACATTGGAATATCTTAAGCAAGTTCAATCGATAAGCCCCTGCACATACCACGCCTGAACGAGTAGAAAGCCATTCAACATATTCTGGCCGTCGCGACCATGCCTGTCGAGTCGTGTAAATCTCGGGACATCTGACAAGTCGCATGTCATACCTCAATGAAGGATGGAACACAGAAGACAACATCACTTTGGACTGTCCTTGCAGAATCAAACAAGTTTTCCGGTGTCGGGAGAATGGCAGGTGATCTGGGTTCAAAAGTACTGACGGCCAAGCCAGACGAGGCCTGGTAGGAAATCAGAATAATGGGTGTAGTGTGGGATATAGGATGCATACCGTCCAGAGGAGCTGTAGAACGCCCATGCCGTGGTACATGGGTACAACATGGAAAGAGAAAAGAACGTTACATAAATCCCTTTCCCCGAAACAGGGTATCAAACCCATTTGGAGCACTCGATGGTGTGTCCAGGCTATTGGCTTTGGGTACGCGGTTGAGCCTAACATGTTAAACATGAGTGTTCGCGCAACGTAGGTAAAGAAATCAATATTACCCGACGAATGTAAGTAGAAAGCAACGGAGTCTGGATCCGTAGGTAATAGAGGTATATCAAGTTCCGCATCAATGCTTCGCTCCCATTGAGATTGGAAGTAATCCTCAAAAATCGGAATGGAGGATAATTCTGGCAACGTATCTAGCGAGTATCGTGATTTCAAGATTTCAAGAGCTTCGTTTGCAAGATCCTGCATTGACGCGTCCTGGCCAACAAGAACGTATTGCACGCCGACCTTGTGGAGAAGATGCGCTACTGCAACGGGCGAATTTCGAGGCGAGATAGGGAAGAAAACGTAGTTTGCACGCAACAAACTCATCATCGTGACAAAATATGTTATAGTATCTGGAAAAACCTCCAGTCATGAATACGCCACACTTGACGAAAGAAAGGACAGACCGGACAAAGACAGAATGGCCACCACCGGCGGCTTTGCCTCAAATGGGATCCGTCTTCTCATCAGTTGTGCGCCGGTATATATGGCTGCTACAGCCTCTGCCCAGTTTATTGTCCGTACACTTCCATCTTCGCGAGCATACACGAACATCCGATGGTTGGGGGAATGCTGAAGATGCCATGCATAGATCTCCAGAATGGTGAGTGACCCATCAAGTGGAGGAGCTCGGAAAGTAGAACTGAAAAATCCTTGAGGCTGGGGCGGCGGAGGGATCGTGCGTTGTCTGGAGAAGGACATGAGACCAAAAAGTTGTATACAGTCATTTCTGTAATGGGCTCTTCTGAGTAAGTCAGCTTCTTCGAGCGCATTTCGGCGATACCGGAAGTCCTTATCAATAGTTGTAGGGACGTGTGACCGAAAGCACCTCGGAGGACGCTGGTGAATTTATCCGTGCTCTAGAATAGAGGTCACCAGTGATACCGCAGCATTCAAATTCAATCAGGGTAAGCCATTAGGTGCGGCCAGCGACTTCCATTCCCAAGCTTTCCCAAGTCGCTGACTGATAGTCGTAAAGTAGGCCGAGCACGTGCCCGTGTCGAATCTTGAACCCGTTCCACCACCATCGTAATACGTATATCATAACCACATGAACGTTCTCGTGCTGCCTCCATAATTGGTGTGTACATACTCATCTTTGAGGGAAATCGCAATGACAGAGTATAGGAAGACATGAATCCATTTCCGGGTGACTCTGGAAAAGTCAATACAATCCTACATAATCTGAGGTACGTACGACACTCGTTCATCAACTCTGAGCCTAAGTATTTTTTTTTGCTAGAGGAGAACAGTTCAGACACTCTCAGAATATCCAAGGGGCGCGCACCAGGGCCCGTCTCCGAACTGGGCTGACACACAACTCTCCAACACTGCCATTCAAGCTACATGACCATGGCATTGCTCCGACGGAAGAGAGCGCTGCAGAGACACCTCAGACATGGTCAGGTCTGAAACCACCCAAGAGCTGGCGTATGCCGGTCGAAGAAAGCACTGGCGTCACGCGAGCAAACTTGCTCTCGCTCGTACTGTCGATGCCGTCACTTAACTCGGTGCCTTCGCTCACCCTCTTATGTCTGAGACGAATCGCTTCCATGCCTACGGACGATTTCGTATGCGATGTTTTACCGTTTGTTCCTCCCCATTTGCGTCGCCAGCTACTTCGTGACACTGCAGTGCAGTGCCCTCTGCCCAATTCCAAGCTTTATGCTCTATGCGAACCCGAAGGAACTGCAGATGGAGAACTGATAATCATTGGTCCTACCCAGTCGCTGCGCAACGGCTTCTTTCTACAGTCATCTGGAAAAGATGCGTCCAAGGAAAGCACGAATCAGGTGGACTGGGATGAAGAGGATTGGAGTCCCAGTCCTTTGCACACATTCATTCTTCTCTCGAGCCCTTTATCAACTTCCACTTTACTCACCCTTCCACCCACCATAACGCATATGGCATTGATAAATTTGCCCAACGCCTTGCCTCTGCATCGCTTGCCTGGTATTTGTCCATTGCTCATTGTATTGGACTTGTCGTACAACGTATGGCTGCACCCCTCATCCAAAGAGGCAGCCAAGATATTAGATCGTGTACAATGGAGTCGCTGGACACAGTTAGGAAAGCTCGGGTTCAGGGATTGCTACGTTTATGAGGGTATGCTAGCCAAACTAAGCCAAGGTAAGTGGGATGATGTAGAAGTCGTATTAACCTAGTATAGCTCCATTCCAACCGTGCTTCGTTATCAGGATGAGAATGTTAAATATATATGATGTGGTGATACAGTGCGGAATGAAGAATGCGATGGGGAAATGCAATGGCGTAAAAGGTCATGCTTTCGAATCTAAGAATTGCGAAAGGTCGAACAAGGGCACAATCTGCAACACAATTATGAGCGCATCGTTCACTTGAGAAACTCGGAAAAAGCATCTCACTTCTTGTCCCTTGTCGGAATTACCGGACATCTTCAAGGACGCCTTGGCGCTTGGAGGTAAGAAGGTACCCGAACGGGACAGAATGTTCAGGTCACGAGCAAAGGACCAGAGACTGGAGGTCTGGCGTACTATCAATTCCACTCGTGATACAGCCGCGAGACCTGTCCTATCTAGATGTTTTTAAAGAAATCAATAAACTATTTTGCCAACACACGGCATGACTTACAGAGTATCGCATTGTTGATTTGATCGGCGACTGCTTCCCGCCTCTCCTGACTCAGATACTTGGCCACCGAGCTGTCTTCCGGGACGATGTACGCAAGGATGCCCAGCACATTCTTCAGCTCCTCGATATACTGTTCCTGATCAGCAGCAGACGGGAGATGGCTGGCCAGAGCATAAAGCTTTTGAGCATTCTTCAGCTGTGCCGTTTGCTGGTCGCGGGTTTCGGGATCGTCTTCGTGAAGAGCCTGGGAGCTTCGTTTCTGTGATTTAGGAGGAGGAGACTCGGTTTCGGTGGGAGGGTATTTCAAAGGAATTGTTCGACATGATTCAATCCAAGCTTGTATGCGCAGATTTAAAAGGAGATGGGCGGGATCGACAGAGGTAGACGCCACGTATGATGTCGGCTTTGGCGGTTCCACTTTAGTGGACTCTGTCATGCTAAGAACGGCAGGAAAATATTTGTTGAGTAGATCCGTAGCTTCGTCCACTTTTCCTGAAAGCAATAACTGTCTTATCTCTGCGAATCCGTCAGAAATGCGGGGAACCCGAAAGGCAATACGGTATACCTGCTCGCTGGTCCGCCTGTTTCAATACTTCCTCAGACAGTTCAGGTAGACTGGAACTACAGTCAGCTGGCTGCATCACCTCGTCACCGTCTGCGTCGAGGTGTCGAACGGCGCTGTCCTCTGCGAAGGCTCGCGCAGTACGGGTGTAGCATTGATGAGATAGATAATCGAGTACGAGCGAGCGCTGAAAAGGAAGAATCAGTAAATATCGACAACGCCACGATGAGAGATGAGATACCAGCTGGCACGGAGACGGTTCAGGTATTGCAGCTTGATGAGGCTTTCGAGAGGACGATGACTGCGACATGAATCCCGACGATGACGGCCAGTTGCAATGACGGCTCTTTCCAAAGTGGGTTTACGCCAAGCGCATACTGAGTTCACGTGGTGCTTGTCGCGTGCACAATTACTCCGAATGGCTCATATCGTCTTCATGTTTCCGACATTTTTACCTGGATGCTGCGACTTATGTTGTTGCGCAGCTCGGAGAGAAAAGCTACTTAAGAAATTTCCATTCACCCAGGTAGGAAAATGAACGGTTATCAACCGCGAGTTGCTCGCTTTCGAGCAATGGAAGAATTCATCCAAGTTTATTCTACGCGGTACTCGGCTGCCAAGGAGTATCAAGCCACACTAACATGTAATAGTTGGAGCATGAGAACCAAAGGGCCTGGCTCACCATTTTAAGTTTATGAATCAGTCTTTCTAACATTATAATTCGTACAGCTGCGTAAATAATCTCCTAACCATGTGTAGCTGATAGAGTTCTACTCAACGTCCGTTCCGGTGATGTTCTCAGCTCATTAGTATTATATCGCGCATGCGCTAAAGCATCTCCATCCAGCAATCTTCTGTCCTCTTCAATACTAACCGAGGAGCTCCTACGTCGTGACTTGGGTGCATAAATGAAGGATTGCATCACGATGGTGATATCGAAGAGGAGTGTGCCGCCGCTTCCTAAAAGATATCTGTCGATGGCATTGACTTAGATCGTGTTCCTCTTTCACGAAAGGACAGAAGAAGCTTACGGTATACTCTCTTTGATAAAGTCTGTTGAGGCGGGCGGCGGGAGTCTGGCCATAGGGGAGGTAGCGATAGATGCAACATAAAAACAATTCCCGAGGAAAGCAAAAACGAAAAGATACATAGATAATCCCTGCAAGGCCGGTTAGCATTACAAACATGACAGTAGGAATGAAGCAGTACCTGGACAGATTTCCTGACATACTAATAAAAGTAAATTCAGTAAGTATATATCCAAAACCGAGCACAGCACGCACGTTCTTCCAGATCTGCGGCAATCGGGAAGTAAGATACAAAGTGGTACATAACCACGCAAAGATGCGACCCAGAACACGTTCGTTAGACGGCTGAAAGAGGGTCTGGTGATATGATGGCTCAGAGATCGAGACGTACACGTCAGTACTGTGCACGGGTTCGAACGTTGTTGGAACATCAGAAGCCATTAAAGACGAGTACGTTTGAGGGTCAGGGATACGAACCCCCCGGGCAGCGAGCACGTTTCCTATACGAGTAGTGGTACTGGTAAGTGGCAAATGCCGTTGACTTCCAGCTAGTGCGCCCACGCTGAACAAAGCCCAGACACCGAAAAACACCATACTGGCGCCCCGCCGAGAGCTTCTGCGCCGAGGTTCAGGATCTTGTGAGAGGTTAAGATCCGCGTCTGCGTCTCGCTGTAGACTTCGACCTCGGATGAGAGCCTCTGCGACTTCGGCTGAGGGGGCGGACATGTGCAATGCTGTAGGGAGAGCGCCTCGGGACGGTATTCGACCAACGCTGCCACCTCGGCCTCCGTGCCTTTCGGAGCTCCAGGAAATACGTGTACGACGGCCACCTTCGGAGTGGAAGCTATCTGCTAGAGCCGCCAAGGTGGAGTCGTCTACTTCATCGTCTGATTCTCTCGACACTCGACTGCTGCGAAGTATCAGGGTATCCGTCCAGGCTGGTACGTAAGCGCACCGACCGACTTCGTGGGCGACCTGTGTGGTCGTCGTGTTGCGCGGCTAGCGCAGGCTGCTTTGGCTACACTGGCGGCTACTACAGACAAAGTTCGGTAGCGAGAGGCCGGTCTGTCAACTGGACATCCGACGGCTTAAACTACGTGCCCGGACGTGTGAAGGTGGGTTCCGGATGGTGTAGTAGATATATTGGCCAACAAGTGTACAGTCCACAAAGACAAAGTAAGTGGCCAGGTATGTCTAGGTGGGGATTATTTAGACAGGATATCAGGATTGTCGCCGTGATTGATTGCCCACCTGGAATGGAAGCTGATGGGTAAGGATGCAGCCGACCAAGTTGGAGATGTCGCCTGTCGCACGACCATTAGAAGTTCACAGTATTCAAAATCTGAGCCAACGCACCCATAAGCCAATTCGCAAGAAACGGAAGAGCTAGCCCTTCACATGAATTGCTTCTAATATTCTCGAGAACCTGGCTTTAATTGCAAGGCTCGTGTCACATGTCGCCATCATGGTGAGATATGGGACTCACGGAAACTGGGCCCCCAGCCAACAGGCAATCGACGAATAACCAAGAAATTCACTCAACGCTGCCTGCGATGGCGACAGCATCGTGATAACAGCCTCAAGGCTTTGGATAGTCAGTGAGATAGCTGTCGTACCCTTTTCGGGCGACCTGATAAGGGGGACGAAGACAAATACACGCAAATTATTCTCATCATGCCTCCACAAGCAAGCCGAAAACGCGCGGCAGCCAGTAATGGCGAATCGTCTGGCTCCCAAGGCAGTCGAACAAAGAAGACACGCTTTGTAGAACCCTCAGAGGACCCTGTCAATTTTGCCGAAGAAGTCGAGTCGGCTCTGGAGACCAAAAACAGAAAAGGTCGCGTCAAGAATGAGGGCTACGAGTCAGACTCGAGTGACGATGGAGAGGGTGTCGTTCTGAGTCGTAAGAACAAGGCGGAAGATGACGATGATGAAGATATGTTCGCGATGGGTGACAAAGATGAGAAGAAGGACGAGACACCGGCGAAGAAGAAAAAGGCAGAGTACCTGCGTCTAGGCGACATTGAAGGGCAGGAATTTGGTGGGTCTGGCTCTGAGGATGAATCGTCAGACGAGGCAGAACCAGAAGATGAAGATGAAGTCGAACGGAGGAAGAAGGCAGGGATGGGGTACGAACTATCGTCCTTCAACATGCGAGAAGAAATGGAAGAGGGCAAGTTCACCGAGGATGGCAGCTACGTACGCTCATTCGATCCACATGGTGTGCACGACCGCTGGATGGAGGGAGTCGACGAGAAGGAAATAAAAAAAGCGAGACGTCGAAAACGGCACATGGAGAAGATACAAAAGGAAAGGATGAAGGCAGAGGAGCAAGAGTTGGAACACTCAGGCGGCGTCCCTGCTATGGAAAAGGATCTTTTGCCCTATCTCAAGAAAGGCGAGACAGTCCTCGAGGCTTTACAGCGGTTGGGAGTACAAGCAAAGAAATCAAAGCAAAGGTGCGACATCTTCGAATCCTAGGTATCCTCATTCTCAACATACGACAGTGCTAAATCCAAGGCGACTACGAATGATGCTATGCATGTCGACAAGAAGCCTTCTGCACCCTCTGACATTGAACTTATCACTCATCTCGCCTCGAACATTATGTCACTTGGTGACGTGAACATTTACTCCAAATCGTACGAAGAGCTCGTTCGTACAGTTCGGTCTTCAGGCTCTGTCGATGCCTCTTGGGAGCCCCCGTCGGCAGATAAGAAGTTTGAGTACAAATGGGACGCGCCTGGCTCAGGTCAGACAGACCAGACGTTTGGTCCTTTTGGTGAAGAGGAGATGCGGTCATGGTACAAAGCCTCGTACTTTGGGGCTGCAGGGGAGAAGGTGAAGGTGCGAGAGGTTGGCGGCGATTGGAAAGATTGGGACGATGCTCTTCCTTGAACATGTTCTGGTTGTGCTATCAATGTAAGTTATGTACTCATGTATATCTAGCCCTTGGCAACCGCAGCATTCTACGACTCATAATTGTACAATTTTTCAATGAATAGGTGTATCTACCGTGCCGGCTGGAGGAACCCGAACGTAATCGGTTCAGTTACAGGTGTGTACTTGCTGTAACCCGGCCAGTATGGTTATTCTTCTGACGCAAGCGACTTTCTAGATGTTACGGTTGTATCCTCGAGTACGTGACTAGCAAGCACTGCCGAACAAGTCAACAAATCGGAAAAAATGCATTACAGAATGCGTCGCTTTTCACTGTATAACGTGAAGTTTGCTTGATAACCCGCTCTATTCAAACAGAAGAGTCCCGGTTCCTTAGGAGACTCGGCCGCCCCAGTGATATGCTATTTATACAGCAGATACGGGTTTATCATGGAGTCACAACTTGACGAGGATCTCCCGACCACAATGTAGCGCTCATTTTTCAAAGATGAATATCAAGCATCTAGTTCAGTCCTAAATGAAAGATTGATCCCTCAAAAAGTTTGCAAAGTAACAAGCTAGTATTCCGAGCGTCTTGCGGGTGAATTGAAGACGCACGGGTACGATTGTGGGTTGCTACGTTGCTCGGAGCTTTACATGCAAGGGGGCCGGAAAAAATACACGGTATTTCTCTCCCGCAGCCGTGAAACAGTTGGAAGCAGGTCTGCCACTAATGCTGTGGACAAGAGCTGGTGCCGGCCCCAGTTACAGACGACTCCGTTCTCAATCGAAGATGGTACGATATCTGTGAAATGTCCTAGCGCTGTACTTATAATAGTTTGAAGGGCCTCACCTAGAAGTGGATGGCTCGACTCCCGTTCCTAGTAGGTCTATAAATAGCACCCTACACCTTGCTCACATGCATTTATGATTTCCACTGCGCTCGTAGGACCCATGACGACGACGCCGCCCTGACCCGGCCTTTTCAATGTGCTTTCTGGAATATATTCTTTATGTGATCACGGTTCATCCTAGAGTATAAAACAGGTCCTTGCAGACCCAGTATGACCATCCAATTCACTTCCCCTCTTTTTATTCTTCGTTCTTTTCCCCGACCGTGAAAATGTTCAAGTACGCTCTCTTTGAAGCCTTGGTGTTGGCTGCCGTGCTTGTGTCGGCTGTGCCGATGAGCAAGCCCGGCGTAAAGAGGGCGCCTCGCCCTGCAAAGCGCGCTAGTTGTACAGTTGACTCCGTCGACGCTGCTTCATCTATTTCGGACTGTTCTTCGGTCACAATCTCTGCCTTCACTGTCGCAAGCGGAGGTAAGAGGTAATTAATCTTATACATAGTTCCTACTTACGTTTGTTTTGTTACTAGATACCTTGGTGCTTTCGGTAAGTTATCTCTGGGTTCACAGGCGGCTCCGTATCGCTCATGACGAATTCGGAAGCCTGCTGATGGAGCTACCGTTACATTGGCCGGGGACATTACTTTCGCGAAGACCTCCAGTAAGTGTATCAGCCTTAGTTTTCTATGCGATGATTCACCGGTTGTGTCGTCTAGCTGATGGCCCTCTCTTCACAATTGACGGTTCCGACATTACTTTCAACGGCGCCGGATACAAATTTGACGTGCGTGAGATGCGTTTATCTCGTATTCCGTCATTTTGATATGTCGTTCCTCCCCTTCAAGGGAAACGGTGCCGACTACTGGGATGGCGAAGGCACCAATGGTGGTGTTGACAAGCCTCATCCTCTTTTGAAGTGGGGTTCATTCTGTTTACCCAGCTATCCGTTTGTCTGATGCATTCCTAGGTTCAAGGGCTCTGGCACGTACTCCGACTTCACAGTGAGCAAGGTTTCTGTATATCGCCACAAGGACAAGGAGTAATCCGATTATATAGGTGCTGAACACTCCTGCACAAGCTGTTTCAATCGGTAACAGCGACGGCTTAACCTTCGATAGCATTACCGTGCGTCTCTGCATTTTAACTCGCTTCATAAATATATTCTTATTAAAGATTTAGGTTGACAACAGTGCTGGAGATACGAATGAACTAGGACACAATACTGATGTGTGTCCAACATGACTTCCCTAAACCGAACGCGAGCTAAATGGTATTCTATAGGGTTTCGATGTTTCTGCTGATAATGTGACTATCCAAAACTCGGTCGTCAAGAACCAAGATGATTGTATCGCTATCAACGACGGCAGCAATATTCAGCACGTTTTTGAAAATTCCAACCTTGAAACAGGCACTCATGTTTGGAAATTAGATTCTTGAACAACCAATGCTCTGGCGGTCATGGTATTTCCATCGGTTCAATCGCGAGCGACAAATCTGTGTCAGACGTGACGATTTCCGGCAATACCGTCACCGACTCCATGTATGGATTCCGGTGAGTCTTACTCAACTTGCTCCGGAAGCATAGGTATCTGAAGCCCTGATAGGATCAAAGTCCAAGCTTCCGCAACAAGTGCCTCTGTCTCCGGCATTACATACTCTGGGTGGGTATATTCTTCCCTTCAGAAGTCAATCACACTAATGGTAATATAATACGTAGCAACACTCTCAGTGGAATTGACGAGTACGGCGTCTTGATCACCCAGTCCTACCCTGATGATGACGGTACCCCGGGAACTGGAGGACCTATTTCGTGAGCCTCGTTTGTGATACAGAAGGATATACATCTTACAACTTGAATACCAGGGATGTAAACTTCACAGGAGATGCCACCACTATAGCGTGAGCCGTGACCACCGTCGTAGTTCTTGGGCTCATACTTAAGCTGCTTGTAGGGTTGGTGACGACGCTGAACGACTTACTGTCGACTGCGGAGCTTGTTCAGGGTAAGCGATCTTGTTCATCCCCTACAGAAGGCTCAAGATTCTTTCTTAAAGCACGTGGGATTTCTCTGCGTTGACCATTACCGGGGGCTCGGAGGGTACAGTCGATAGTAATAGTGCTACCGTAAGTATCGGCCTTCTTGTTCCCGTCGCAAGATTCTTATTTGACTTGTGTACAGATCTCAGGTGGTTCGTATTGATTTGAATGCCGATGGATGGGAGCGGCTACTGGAAATGGTCTGCCCTAATGATTGTATGTTAGCAAGTACTAGTTAGACAATCCAATTTCTCGACGCCGCGCATCTTACGAGCTTCCATTCCTGCAATCTTTTCCGGATTTATTTTGTTCACTTCAGTAAAGGCAATTGTACCCTTGAATAGATAGGATATACAATTGAAAACTCAATCATTTTCCTGAACTCACTGGGCTAGCAAGTATTACAATGATGTACAGATTCCATAATGTGAGTATAATGCACCGTCCTTGAGGCTAGAGGGATAGAAACTAATGGCTAATATACTGAAAGACAAACGAGATCTCAGGTAATCCAACTTCAGCTCGTAAAAGATCATCGTGGTTGTTCTTGAGCTCCTCATTAGTGAAATGATTCCATCTATGACGACGAAAGTCAGGCATTACTAGACAGATGGGATAAAAGACGTACGTGCTGGCATCGCCGTATAGTAAAGCCGGAGCCTTAATTATCTGCTTGCCATTTTTGCATCGTTTGCACTTGAACGTTTCATGCGTCTCACAAAGTGTATTCTCGTTGAACAAAAACAGTTGTCGCAATGCGTCAATTGAGAAGTGGCGCTCGGTGTTTTCATTTTCGTCCACAACAGCAGAAGAAAGAGCCTGTTTGTTAGCTTGTCGTTGGAAGATCTTTTCCTCGATGGTTCCCGTTGAGATGAATCGGTACACAAAGCCTTTGATTTCCATTAAGATGAGAATTAATGAAAGAGTTGGAGACTTACATTCTTTCTTCTGACCGTCTCGCCACACTCGAGCAAGAGCTTGTTGATCGGCAGCAGGGTTCCAGTCTTAAACAGTGTTAGCGTGGCAACATATCGAGTGAAGGAAGTTTTGTTTACCAGGGTCGAAAAGAATAAGACGGTTGGCGCCAATAAGATTGATACCACATCCACCAGCTTTACTGCTAAGTAAAAAGATGAATTCCTTCCCTTCAGGGTTGTTGAACTGATCAACCAGCTTCTGGCGCTTGGTAATTGTCATAGTCCCGTCTAAACGAAAGAATCCGTATCTATATGAAATGAGCATCGATTTCCGACCTTGAAGGCATGTAACATACTTCTTGCTCCGACATAATTTCTCAAATAGGTCGAGCGTTTGTGTGTAATTACTGATGAGAACGATCTTGTCATTCGTTGTTGTTCGTAACTGATGCAGAAACCTGTTTGGGACGTTAAGTATAGAAAACCCACAACTTAACAGTACTCGCCTTTCGAGAACGAGGAACTTGCCACCCCAATCACAGCGAACTGTTTGGTTTCTTCCGCCTCCTCTACTGCCACCACCTGACGCTCCGGCACCGACAAAACCTTCTGGTATCAGATGTTCGGATCCCTGAAGGTCTTCGGGGAGGCTCAGGAGTTCTGGATGATTGCACAGCTTCTTAAGAATGTTGATAGCTTTGAGTGGCTGAGAGTCAGCGCCCCGTAGTAATGCCTTGATTTCTGGCGAAGATATGAATAACCGATATAGTGACAGCTGGAAATCTGAAAGGCCACAGAACACGACATGTTCATATTTGACCGGAACTGTAATGGAAATGATGAATACCCAGCACCTCGAAGATAAAGCAATGGCACGAACGATATTTCGAAAGAAGGTCATTAGTCCTTCGAATGATAAATTTCGTTACGAGACCACCAAGTTCCTTCAGTTTCTTTTCACTTTCAGCCTTCACCGCGTCGCTTGCCATGGCGTCCCGACCGCGGATGATATGGTTCTCGAAATTTTTTCGGAAATCACCCTTAGTACCCAGGAAGTTGGGATTCGCAAAGTTGAGCAGAGAGAAATATTCAGACAAGTCGTTCTTCAAATTCATTTTACAAGTCAGATTCTTCGGAAAGTGGATGGGATTACCTGGATAGGCGTTCCTGTAAGTATAACGCGACGCTTGACAGCAAGGGCGTTCAGGGCAGTGAAAGTCAGGGATTCTTTGCGACTGCTGGTTAGCACACCTATTCAAGAACGAACAAGAACTTGCACCTGAATTCTTCAGTCTATGTCCCTCATCGCAGAGCAGGAGACCAATAGTGCAATTTGCTAGATACACAGATAGTGTTCGTAGCGTTTCGTATGAGACGATCATAACTAGCAAGAATATCAGTAGCGTACTTGACATGTAAAATTCTGCGTACCTGGTTGCGTTACGTTCCGACCACGAGCTGCCACCCATTGAGCAACTTTCTCAAGAAGGACGGTTTTACCACCCTTGCCATCAACTGCCAAAACATTGATGGTATCCTGACCGAGCCATTTTACTACCGGAAGTGTCACAGAAGATATCGAGGACATGACAAGCGTACTAACCCAGCTCATTAGCCCAATTTTTGACAAGACTGGAAGGGCAAGCGATAATGCACTTCTCGATGGATGGTTTCCCAGCGTGAGGCGATTGTTTAATCAAGGTCCATAGTAGAGCGATACATTGTAGCGTTTTCCCGAGCCCCATCTCGTCGGCCATAATGCAGCCGTACTGGTTCTCGACAACCTTGCCCGTTGTACATTTGTACAAGAACTTGCCAAGAAAATTAAACGTCCGTCTCGATCACATCAATGGGATACTCACTTTCACGCCTTCAACCTGATGCGGCCGCAGAACCTTGCTAAGCCGTGGGTCGATGACTACCGGAACCTTTGCTATAGCCTCCTTCTTGTTCTTGTCTTCACCCAACAAAGCTTTTAGGCTCTTGTGAGGGTTGTAAAGGCCTGCGGTCTTCTCTTGCGCCTCTAACAGAGCTTTCGTCTTCTCCTCCTCCTTCATCCTCTCTCTTCGCTCCTCGTCAGTCTCCTGATCGTCTATAGTGGGATCGTACAGGACAATGGCATGATCTTCCATAGGATCGTGTAACGGTCGCGGAATGAGTCTCGCCTGCGGTCGGGTGCCGAGAGAGACGTTGGAAGCAAAAAGAGGAATATTTTCTCCATCTTTATTCTTCATCGAAGGCATGGAAAACCCACGACACTGATTGAACGGTTTTGGCTTGAACACCGGGTATGTCTTCACAGCAGCTAAGAGCTCCGCTTCATTATGGTATGCGTCCTTGTCGTCCTTCTTTCTTTTCTTCTTCCGACCATCCTCATCAGAGTCTGAATCATCCCCTTGTTGCCCCTTGTAGGAAACTCGTTTCCGTTTTCGAATTGTTTGAGCGCGGTCAGTGACAGCTGTAAAGCTCGGAGGCTTGAATGGACTGTTGATCCTGACACTCTCTTGGAGGCGGTCGAGTACTTTTCCGTCGTTGAGGGTGGGTGCACGTCGCAACATAAGAAAACAATGCGACGACGTCAAGGAGTGGAGGTGACTGGTGAGGCGACTGTCCTACAACACGACCAAACAGACGCGACGCGCCCATTAATTTGTCACGTGCTCGAGTCCATTTCCAGACCAGCCTCTAGAGTCTAAATTCACCACAAAACCACAATTCAATTTCTTTTAAATAATAAACCAGTAACCGGCAACCCATCCACCGTGACAAGTATGCGACATTTATGTATGCCATAAATATATGCTTACAGTTCTAAATCTTCCGACAGCGACTCATACTTGTCTATTTCAGCCACGTAACTTGCGATTTTTGCCCTTGCCCTAACATAGGCGTCCTTTCCTAGCGGAAGCCACAGTGGAGGATCTTCCATATCCGCTACCCTATATACAACCTCACTTAACTTATCAGGATCACCTCTGATGAAAGGGTTGTTGTTGGGGTCGAAGTTGGCAAATGCTTGACGAATGGCCACTCCCTCGACTGCCGGATTGGTGTAAGAAGGATGTTCGTAAACTTCGAAGGTCTTTAGCCTCAAAGCGTCAGTTTTGAAATATCCTGCTTCTATCAGTGTAGGCTGAGGGAGGAAAACTGTTGGCATTCGTATTAGCAATATAGCTCGTTGCACCCACCTTAATATTCCATGCCGGATCAAGTTCTTTTGATAATGCTTCCGTTAGAGCATTCACAGCTACCGCGGGATTTAGAAACACATAAGGAATGACACGTGAATCGAGTTGACCATGTTTACTGAAGTTGCCGTCCGTGAACTATTCACCAAACAGTGATTTAAAGAGAACTTACGTTCCGGAATAATATCCTATGCAACCATCAGCCTGCAACCTAGGTGAGTATTACTCACGCATCAGAGAAGCGTCGCTGGACCCACAGATTCACCATACATGGAAGAAACTTGCAGGAGTCTTCCTCCTTGAGGCTGATTGACCTCGCGAAAAAATGCGACTGCTGCACGGAGTGACATACACCAAACCCCAGAAATTTGTCTGTCGAGATACATAAATATGATCAGTAATCGCTAGGAGCGCTCGAAAAAAAAACATACTTCGAAAACGGCGCGAGCTGCCTTGAGAGGTACTCCCTCCACTTCTCCCACGATTGCGTATCCGGCATTGTTATACACCACATCGATTCGTCCGAATGCTTTTTTGACGGTGTCAAACGCAGCATTGACTTCATCCGGTTTCGACACATCAACTTTGACCACGAGCAGTCTATCTTCAGTGTATTCTGTTTGAAGTTTCGTCATGGTTTCGGGACGCCGAACTGCGGCGACGACCTTGTCACCCTTACGGATTGCACACTCCAGCATAGAGCGTCCAAATCCAGCGTTGGCCCCAGTGACTAGACGGGTCTCGTTAGTATTGCGTGATGCCTTCAGACTGTGCGTACACACTAAACCACACTTTGTGAGCAGGCATGAAGACGTTAAAAGGAGAGATTGGAGCATCCCAGGGATCTAATTCCAGCCTTTTATTGATCCCGCCGGAACATATGTAACCGTAACAATATCAAGGATCATCAATCTTGTCCCTGATAAATCTTCCAAGTCTTTCAGTTAGCAAATGCCCGCAATAATCGAAGGCTATCACAGGTGAGTTTCTGACTGGGGCGTTATCTTACGCGTCGACATGAGGTATAAAGAGGTTAAAACACCGAGCCCGCGCCTTTCAAAAGTTCAAGTCTTGAAAACGCCGAGAGTTGTGTATCCCCACGTATCAACATCCCTGAACCATCGATGGTCCAAGACACTGATTGCTTATCGGGAAAGAAGAGTCCGCAAGAGTTCATTATACCTTTCCCTGGGATGTAGTCTGGCAGCAGGTTCATTCGATATCGTTTCGCCATCGACACTAAATGTAGCGGTTTCGAAGTCTTCTCAGTCTTCGGAAGGACGTACTTTGAGAACTTGCGTTTCCTGCACCTGGACAATAGAACAGTCACACAGCCGATAACAGAAGCTCGGAGTACAGACCATGCGAGGTTTGAGGCGGATAAGTTCCGCCACAAAACATAAGCGCAGGAATGTATAAGCGTGCAGTATTAAAAAGCACTTGCGTTTGATGGCTTGCAGTTCATCGAGAAGAGGCTTCAGATAAACACTTACGAAGTTTTACCATGCGTCCATTCCAGCTTTGGCGCACCCTAAATTTCACAAGCACACGCGCAAAGTGACGGACGATGAACCTCTACTGAATCACTAAAATTTGAGCAAATACGTTAAGCCGATAACTAAGAGCAAAGCATGCAGATAATAAAGAAAGAAATCACAGTTTCCATTGAAAAGCATCCACAGGAACAGCCACATCCGCATAGGCTGAAATATTCTCCACCGTAACTCGAGTCAGTAAGACACTTTTTTTCAAACACGAAAGCGCAGGGGGGATATTCAGGCGCTGGCAGAATAGTGCATTTTCTGACGAACAAAGTGCTAGCACTTCTTTGCCAACAGGTAGGATGAACTGCAAAGAGTTTGGATAACGCAAGCCATGAATTTAATTTGAAACCCACCAGGGCGCCTTCATCCAATCGGGCCTGGAACCGCTCAAAATGAGCTTTCTGCTCCTCCGTGATGTTCGATGCTGGGACAACCCTAGCCGCGGAGCTGCCTGTGCGCAATGTATTGAAAATCTGGAGCGCTGTTTTATCGTCATAAAATTTTCCTGGAAGACCTTTGTTCTCTGCGATGAAGACCCAGCTTGATGATGATGACGGTGCAGATACGACGTCCATGAGCACCACAGGAATCTTCACCGAAATATCGAGATCGAGGACCAGGGCTGGAGATTGTGATCTAGTCTCGTCAGTTGCCGGTGTAGGGCGAGGATGATATACGTACAAGTCACAGGTGGTTGGTGCTGGTAGCACATCGGAGGCCAAGCCACTACAATTGAACATATGAGCAACTGCCGATGACACAATAGGAAAAGGTGGGGGCGAACAGGGGACCAAATATTGTGTTTGATATCGTAGCTCTCCATGGCGCGCTTGCATTATTTGAAGTAATGGATCCTGTGGGTAAAAGTTTTTCTTTGGCAAGGGCGAGACTGAGAATTACGGAAAATTAGAACTCTCCAATATCGATGAAGACTACGCGCACCTGGACTGGGCGGCCGTGGGACCATTGCTCTCTGATTCATCCTCATAATCATCCAAATTTTTGGCAGCTTCGGCATTCAGACCTGCTAGATTCAGCAACTCTTCGCCGGTCGGTGGAGGTAAAGGAGGATTGGTTTCAGTCGGCTCAACCGCTACCATCTCGACGTCTGCATCATGGACGCGTTCACCCCTCTTCTCAGGCACATATTTCCCTTTCACTGACTGTAATCCACCACCCTTAGTAAAGGTTAATAGCGAGCTCTTCGACTTGGTGATAATCCCAGCCGAAGATCGTCCTGGCCCAGGCTTGGCCTTCTTGGGAGATGAGGCTCCTAAGCGAGTTTTGGTAGAGATCCCACCGTCCATGCCATCATGATTGTCTATCATTTTTACAAGGGGGTTGGTAGCGCGAACCCGATGAGAAGGAATAAAAGTGGAAGACGAGGCTACCGGAGGTCCCGCGGCTGACTTGGATGAAGAGGGAAGGGAAAGGGCAGGGGAAGAAGCAGAGACACTTTCCGGAGGATATTGCACAGAAGGCGCTTCTGTGGCTTGGACTGGAGTTGAATTGAACGCATAGTCGCCATCCTCCTCCTCTTCCGAGGCAGGTACAATCTCTGGGGAATCCTTGCGAGGATGATTGCGCTTTGTCCTCGACGAGAGAGTAGATGCATCCAAACTGCGTTTGAGGGTGGCTTTGTCCTTGGACTGATGCGAAAGAGGCACTGGTTTCTTCTCTGGCTTTGGATGAGCAGAACCTGAAGGCCGCCCTCTGGTCCGTTTCGGCTGAGGTTCGCTTTCAATATTCTCGACAGAAGGACTGCGTTTCCGTTTGTTTGATCTCGACCGTGAGCGTTTCGATTTAGGTTTGGACCTAGCTTGTGGCTCAGCTTCGTGTTGTCCCCCTAGAGAGGGATTCGCGAGCAACGGCGACCGCGCCGGTTCGCTTCCCTGGACGTCCTGTTTTTGCAAGAGTTCATTGATACCGTTGATGTGAACGAGGAGCAAACATACGCGGTGGCCCCGTCGGATAAAAGTTCTCATCAACACGAAACAGACTCAGGTCATCGATATCACGCCCATTCGTATTTGCTCGTGCCCAGAATTGCTCAAGAATGTCTTCGGATCCCTCGAAAGATTCTTTTGGCTCCCATCTAAAACGCGAGTAAGAATATGAACACCCGTTACGGAAACACGACGCGTACGTGCTCTCCTCGCTACTATACCCTTTCCACTGAACAATACCTTAAAAATGTGTTGGAGCAGATGGGGATATTACACGAACCTTGACGCGATATTGCTATGGCAAAAGTTCTATCAACTGACGGGAGTATCAAACGGCGTATATGCGCACCCAGATCAATTGCTTGCTTCGGGCAGACTTCTTCGCGACTCGTGCCAGCAAAACTGACTCTGAAAGACCATAAGATCCGATGCCGTGCCTAGGAGATACATGGAAACCCACCAACTTCGTACTCCTGCTCGCTGTCGGTCATGGCAATTGAGGAAGAAAGAGTGGCGGTGCAATAACCATCGAAAGCTAATAGGTACAAATAAAATCTATTATACAAATGAAATCGATCATGATCATGATTAGGGGCTATATATATACAAGTTGGCAGGTCTCAGGGCCATCGGCAGTGCAGTGTGGAGTGTATATAAACCTTGAATGATCATACTCCGTTGTGTCTCAACTACCATGAGTGAACCTAAAGCCCCCCTTCAACCCGAGCCTCAGTACCAGCATCCTTCCCAACCACCGCCCGAGTACGGTAGGGGCATGTATCCCGGGCAGCCGCAACCACCTCCACCCCAACAACAGTCCTACAACATGCATCCCCCACAGCAGCCCCCACCACAAGCCCCACCGAAAACACCAGCACAAATTGGTGAGGAGTATCGCTCAGCATGTATGTTTTCATTTCAGTGGATTTATCTTTCGTCGTCTCATGCCTCTATGATTAGTATATGCTCAATGTGCAGCTGGTGTGCACGAGCCGACAACAAAATTTGGGATCTGTGGTATTATAACAGCTGTAGTCTGCTTTCCTATCGGCTTGATATGTTTGTTGTAAGTGCTTCTTGACATGTCCCATACTATCGCTCACCTTGACTTCCAAATAGCATGGATACTGAGCAAAAATGCAACAGATGTGGTATTAAACTACGCTAGAGCCACTGTCACGACGTACCGTGTAACCGAACGGACAATGGTTTCATGTGTATATTGCTTTGTTGTATTACCTAGCCGTTTGGCCAAGCGTATCGTCGTAGAGTATATATGTCGGTTGTAGATACAAAAGACTTCAACAAAGGAATTGCAAGATATGTGCTCCCAAGAGCTGCCTATGGATACAATGATATGTACTGCAAGAAAATCAACAAAAAATGTAACAAGAAAATCTCGCTAAACAACCCTCTCTAAAATCCTGCCCGCGATCAGACACTGTTTCACCCACTGCCAGTCTACCAGATTTGTCAAACCTTTCAAATTCGGATCGGTAGGTTTCTGATCCTTGTAAACGACGTAGTCAGCCAGACGCAACGCATCATTGCTAAGCTGACAGCGAGAATTCTTCCTGTACGCTTCTACACGTTCGGCACCCATGACTAGCATGATCAATGGACACAAGGTTAGCGCCTTGCGTTCCTTCTCGCGATCACTCTGTAGAATAAACGTCAGAAAGCATGAGCAATTATTAATAATAGAACCGCCTTACCCGCGTTTGCTTCAGCGGGAAAAACTCTTCACTATAGCAAATGATTTTCTTCCCTCCTAGCACCTTCATAGCAACAGGATTTTGCATAATGTCCTCCATCTTAACACTCCCATCTGTTCCCCATTCCAGATTGACCATCTGCGATAAGAGCGGTCCATCGAAACGATACCTTCCCGCCTCAAGCAACTGCGAACTCCAATCCAGTACCTCGTTAGCCTCGAGCGATTCTTCGATCCACCGCGATCTGACGCAAGGGACGCCAAGGGCTAAAGCGATCAGATATTTGGGCTTCTCGCTGTGCTGGTCGGCAAGAAGGAATACCCGTTCAATAGACGATAGTCTCCATTTCGCATCGCTATCCTTGATGATCCATTTATTCGCAGTGGAGTACGTTCCATCGAGTTCTAGGGCGCTAGTCCAGTCCGCGATCACCTTCCCGCCCGCGCTCTTGATGCGGCTGGACAAAGAATCTCTTTTCGATTGATCCTCGGAGCAACTAAGAATGAAACCGTAGCCGGAAAAGATCCCGACCGCACGTTCATTCCACGAGCACTTGAGGACTGTGGGACTGATTCGGAGCATACTCATGGCCACCTCCTGCACTTCTCCATGATCATTAACAACCTCAACGCCCTCTCGGTCCTCGAATATCGTACGAACGGTTCCTGCGTTCAGAACGTTTTCAATAATAGGATCCACAACGGTAACTGTGTCGCCAGGTCGAAGCTCGGAAAAAGGCCTTGCAAGCGTAGATCGAATACTTTTACTTTCACCATCAAACCTCACCCACAGATCGTCACCCACCTCTTCTTCGAAAGTTGCCGGATAACAAAGGCTATCATGAAAAGCAAAGACGCGATCTCCAGGATTGAATCCTGAACGGGTTGCAGTTGAGACTACCGAACGACTGCGCTTTGACCTGGATGATTCGCCGCCCCTCGATGACTGAGACACGGCTCTGGACAGATCAGTGTCTCCCCGCTTGCGTTTGCGGTTCGAAGTGCTCGGCAATAGGCTGTCATCAGGCTCGACTTTAGGTTTGGCTTCATCGACATCCATTTCATCATCGCTCAGCTCGGAATAATCGTGCTTCCGAAGACCCCGCCGATTGCGAGTTCGGCGGGTTGACTGAAGTTCGACCGATTTGCCTTTGCCTTTATTACGGGTAGGGTGAGGCTGCGCATCAGGCATCTCTTCAGGGATAGAAGATGGAACGTCCCCCTCTTTGTATGAGGACTGTCCGGCCTTGAATTTCCCTCGGGCGCGTGAAGCAGGAGTGACAGTGGCAGGAGGAGTCAGTGTTTCATGTGAAGGGTTACTTGGAGGTCTCTGGTAAAAGAATGAGTATTTTGTAAACCAAAGGAAATGGACACCAACCCTAGGTGCTGGAGTGACGTCGACTCGCGCTTTCCCTTTGTCCTTGATAACAGATTTCAGTGCGAGGGGAACATCATCTGATGAGTCCTCCTCTTCCTCTTCCTCCTCCTCCTCCTCCTCCTCACGCCTCAAACCAATCCGAGTTTCAGCCGACGGCACTTCGGTCAAGTCTACAGCCAACGAATCGGGTACAACTTCGTTAAAATCGTCCTCCGCAGTCACCTTCGTTCGCAAACTAGGCGTTGGAACCTTCGGAGAGAGGCGATACTCGCCTTGAGGTTCTGAGTCGGGAACGACATCCATAGAATCATCCGCGGGGCCTGTTTGCAATGGCTTCTGCTTGAGGATTGGCTAACATAGCCGCCCGACGACGGATTTCTTCTTCGTCCTCGTTAGAAGGCTGAGTTTCCACGATATCGTCCATTAGGCCTACATCTGAAGACATGGTCGGATTGAGCGTAGAAGGGGGCATGCTGGATTTATAATCGTCAGGATCAAAATTGTCCAGGTCAAATCCTGGGATATTCATGCGCTTTAAATAACGACGACATTTTTCTCGGCCAGTCGATTGGATGACGAGGCGAATTTTACCGTAGAGGTGCGGATCTGTCACAATGGACGAACCACCAGTAGCGACAGTTCCCTGCGCCAAGCTGTCCTCGACCTGGGTGGAAGGTTGAGTAGCGATCTGAGTGGCGGGTTGAGTTTGCTCTTCCAACTGGGTAGCCCAATTTGTCGAGGTGCCATAGAGACTAGACGAAGCATGAAGGCCGTCTGCAACAGGCGGAAGATCGATGTCCATATCGGCATTAAGGTTTCCGGCCCTGAATGGATTCTCATTGACATGCTCATACATGTCTTCATCGTCATCTTCATCTTCTAGACGAGGTTGAGCCCCGACAGGAAACTCGTCGCCACTATCTTCGGATCGCTGGCTTGAGCCCTGTGAGTGCTGCGACTGCTGGGAAGACGACCTCGAACCGCCGGAAAGCGAGGGTGTAGCTTCTACCAAGACCTTGGCGACCCGCTCCGGGCTGGATGACGCGTAAGCTACAGGACGCGCCGCGAACATCTTCTTTGACTCTCTCTGTGCTGGAGTGGCGGATGGTTTGGATTGCGGCTGTACGTACCAAGCTCCGGTATCAGGCAAAACAGTTAAGAAAGAGTCTTCCTGGACGACTTTGCGCGCTTTACGAGGAGACGGTGTTGAAGCAGAGCGCGACGTTATGGGTGGAGTGGGTGCGAGTGAACGTCGGTTGGGGGTGGCATGGCCTGGGATAGTGGCAGCGCGAGGGGATTTGAAGGTAACGCCCCTTGTCTACATACAAAGGCGTCGATAAAAACAGGGATGAATAACCACTTTATTCGTACCTTCGTTATATCTGGAGGGGAGCCCACATAGGATCCTTTTGTTCCTCTCGTTTCTATACCATTTACAGACGTCGGGGCAGGGCTTGCCGCCTGTACGAGGACTGTTTTAGGCTCCACGATGGCTTCGGGTGCGCTTATGTTCTCTTTCTGTGATCCATCGTTGAAGTCATAGAAATCGTTGTTTACTTGGCTTTCGGATTGTGTCTGCGTGTTTCCCAGGCCATGTAAGTGATAAGTCGGCGTGGGGTAGACTGAAGTTCGAGAAGAGTCGGAGGACATGTCCTTGCCGGAAGCGTGAGTATCTCCATGATTGGGGGGCATGTTGATGTTGATGTCTTGGCAATTATCGAGGATGCTGTAGGCTTCAACAATGTCGCCGCTTGAAGAGATCTGAAATTAGATTTGGAGAGCTAATTATATCAAGGAGTGAACGCACTTGTTTCCAACCATGCTGCAAGCAAGGTTCAGTTACGCGTAAAATCCAACACTGTTTTCACGAGTAGCGGTGAAAACGAATAGAAAGACGCAGTCTAGATGAAAAAGAACTTCAGGCCAGTCCTGGATGCCGTAACTCGAGCTGTGGCCCGTTCTGAAGGCAGCGGAGTGACAGCGTCTAGTTACAGATTAACAAGATACAGCAAAATTATAGCGGTGAATGGATAAAGTAACGTCGAGTATAAGTTGATGGTGTAAGAACAAGATGTCTGAACAATTTAGGAGGAGCGATTTCGAATATTGACTTTGCATTTATTTGCTCACATGATAGACGCGTCGGGAACACAGCCACAACGCCATCACTCGTTGTCTAGCTCCAGTCAGTTCAACTCCTTAGAGTCGCTCTTTTCGCCGCGCTGGTCGTTGTGCACGCCATTATCAATAATTCGATGGCACCTCTTGGAAATTCGCCCAAGCGGCGACTTCCTTTTTCTCGCAAACCAGTCTCTTTTCCTTTTCCGCCCTTCTCCAATGTCAATCGCAGAAACCGCCTAATCATATTGCGCAAAACAAATGACCAGGACGATGCTCATTCTACGAAAAAGAACCACAATAATGATGAGAAGGGTCACGATAAAGACGAGAAGAAAACATCTGAAAAACCAACCAAAAGTGCGGAGAAAGTTGAGCACGACTCAGCCAAAGTTCTCGCGGAAGAGGTTACCACTGCACCCAATCCTATCTCTGTCACAGTAACCCATGCTACCGTTTATTCCATTGGATATAACCCTGACTATACGTTCACTTCTTCGCCTCGTCCTAGTCGGCCGTCTGCCAGTCCTAAGACAACATCTTCCAGCACATTCATTCCTCTACCGCCGCTTCCGAGTGCCCCTCCTGTATCTCGGACCACCTTTTCAACATCCCCAGCCGCTAGTGTCCAGGCTGCAGAAGCGTCTCCTACACATCCTGCAGCACAACCACACAAAGGCATACCTGTTGCTGCCATTGCTACTCTCGCCGTCGGCTCTGCGCTCTTACTTGTTGGTGTCTTCATCCTTATCAAGGCTTTTTCACGACCTAGGCGACGAACAAGACCAAAGCCTTCTCTTCCTATCTTGGCTGACCCGTACGCAGATGATCAACCTTTTGATATCAAGGAGAAGGACTCTCCCGTCTTTGGTGGCAAAGAGAGATTCTCATCGCAGAATGGTCTCTGGACCCTCGCAGACTATCCTCCGGCTACTGTGCTACCTGCGCCCGCTCAAGCAGCGGGCATGACTAGAAAACTAGGCAACGACAATCCTCCATATGACTACAACGCGCTCAACTCCCATTCACAATGGCTCCAATCTTCTAATGACATTCCCCGGTCCCAGCTATCTTCTCATCCTATGCATTCTCAGAGTGTGCCTGCCCTAGTCGTTTCCAAGACAACACCGTCTTATCAGAACCCATTGGCGCGAGCAGTTAGCAGATTTTCCACAACCTCGTTATCTCTGTACCCTCAGTCGCCTATCAGTGCCCAGGATATCGGCATAGCAATCGGCAGCAGCAAAGCATTTACTGCGGATGGCCACCCCATTATGAAACGCACCCCGAAAGCAGCGTTACGAAGAAGTAAAAGTGATGTACTAGACAAGATGGAGCTAGGTGCATATGATGGAGCTGATGTGACCTCGCCCAAATTCGCCCCGCATTTCTTAGAGGCACCATCGGGGCCTGTCGCTGTTGGGCGTAGTCGAATCAAGTCTTCTTATTACACGCCAGGTTCTTATCCTCGTATCTCCACCATTCCCTCTTCCACTTCCTCGAAGATTCGTGCAGAAAACGCGGACCCTTTTGCATCACAAAAGCTACCGCCTCTTTCTAGGTCCGATTCTCGTCGGAACCGCGATACGAAAGCCTTAGCATCTGCTATTGGTTTGACATCACCATCCTTAGACCGCGTGCCTCCATCTCCACAGCCGACGATATACCCAGATGATTCGCTCAGTGTGGTTGATGCGAAACGGGCCAGTAAACGAGTCCCAAAAAAGTCTAAACATTCGTTGGGAAGCGATGAATATCAACGTCAGTCGTTTCAGATGTTGAAGGAAGTGGATACAAGCGCGCTGGGGACCATGATGCTTAACATGGACTTTGGAGCGACGAACAAATCTTTGGCTACGCTTGCGGGACGACTTGGGGAAAATCTGCCACATGATGATATCACATCGGGTTCGAGTGGGACACTGTCAGGAGCGCAGTCAAGAGGAGCACCGGACAAGCCGCCTAGGGTGCCGTCCCCACCGCCACTACCTTCCCTGACGCAAATGGGACTAGAACATGCAAATCCGGCGGCCTACGCGAATTACCGGAGCCCGACCTACAGTATCTTTGGGCTGTATGAGGACGAGAGAAAAAGTAACTATCATTACCGGTAAATAAAAGTTGATAGTGTATATAATACCAGAAGGGTGATTGTTGGATGATTTCCATATGAACAGATTCAATTGAGCGGAGATACCGGCATGGAGACGAAGCTATGCGGCTGCGAGATGCGATGAGAATCGAAACAGAAACTGATAGGGGTCTCCTGCCAAATTTGAGGCTGCAGCCAAATTCGAACCAAATACGATGAGGCTGTCCAGATTGCGTTCCAACTTCTTCTTCACCTGCACAGTGGACTTGGCCGCAGTGCTCTTCCTTCACCTTTTCTTCCTACTCTTCACTGTGGTATTGTCCTCGTCGTCGCTGTCATCGTCATCGCTGGGTGTGTTTCTTAATTTCCAACCGCTCCATAATGTCCCAGCTCAGCTCTAATGCCCTTAAAATCAACATGGACACCGATACCAAGCACGACCACGATACAGAGAACCAGGTCGTGGGCAGCGATGCCGCAGCGCCATCTGTACCCTCGCTGTGGGGCGTTCCTCTGAAATATATCTCGTACGACTTCTCTCCTATCAATATCGCCAAAGCTCACTGTCAGTCGTCGCGTGCAGCCTAGTGACGCTGGCCGTCCAGAATTCCGCGTTAACGATTATCATGCACTATTCTAGAGTGTCTACACCTCCCTCCCAGGCCTATTCAGCCGCGACCGCCGTACTGATGAACGAAATCCTGAAGGGCGTAATCTCCCTCGTCTTCGCGTTTTCGCGCATTGACGCCTCACCACCACTCTCAATCCCCGTATCCTTCAGCCCAGAGCCCTCAAAGTCCGGTTTCTTACGTTCCTGTAGACCTTCTCTGCTTCTCGTTCGTGTCAAGAAGCTTTGTGCAGAATTGTTCAGTCCGGATTGTTGGAAACTTTCCATTCCTGCCATCTTATATGGTTCGTTCCATGCTTTCATTACAGCGTCTTCCATTCTGAATGAGCCCCTAGTCGTACAAAATAATTTGCAATATGTTGCGGCCTCGAATTTGGAGGCGGCAACATTTCAAGTTAGCTACCAGATGAAAATCCTTACGACAGCCGCATTTTCCGTTATGATGCTCCGGAAAAGGCTGCTTTCCACCCAGTGGATAGCTCTCCTTTTCTTGGCTATTGGCGTCGGCATCGTCCAAATTCAAACCGGTGTGGGCAAGGGTGACGCGTCTGCTGTTGACGCTCACTCTATGAATGCTACCAAGGGCTTCCTAGCAGTCGTAGCCGCTTGTTTTACCTCGGGACTTGCTGGCGTGTATTTTGAGATGGTTCTCAAAAACTCTCAGGGTGACCTCTGGGTCAGGAACGTCCAATTATCATTATTCTCCCTCCTTCCATGCATCGCGCCCATCATTGTTTCGAGTTCCAGCTCGAACCTTGGTTCTCTGTCTGCGCTTTTCCACAATTTTGGTCCGTGGGCGTGGGCGACTGTAGCCGTCCAGGTGCTTGGTGGACTAGTCACAGCCATGGTCATCAAATATTCGGACAACATTCTAAAAGGGTTTGCAACCAGCCTCAGCATCGTCCTCTCTTTCCTCACCTCGGTAGCCTTGTTCGATTTCCACATCACATTTACCTTCGTGTTGGGTTCTGCAATTGTCCTAAATGCGACATGGTTGTACAACCAACAACCGCGGAGAGTCGGGTTGGGTGGGTCTAGAGATACTAAAACATGGTCGGCGTTGGGCTGGAATGAAAAACGGCCGACGGTCTATCGCTCGCCTTCCGCTGTTCCGATTCTCGGGTCTGGGATGTCGTCTTCGACAACATCTCGGTCTTCTTCAGTCGCTTCACTTTCGTCATTATCAGTCAATAATGTTCCGTCGGTGGAATCGGACCTTCTATGGAAAGGAAAAACAGTGATGACATTCCGCAGTACATATTTCGCATTCACATACAATACATACACCCAGAATACTTCGATCTTCTTGGCAACTCTGGCGTGTCCATGATCTTATACCCGGACCTTACCTTTATCTATGACGACTAGTATACCCTACTTTTTATTTGTAATGACGGACAGGATAACGAGACTAACTTGACAGCAAAATGAGATGTAACAAGAACCTACATTAGTACATGTACCAGTAAATTCGTTCATTTATCAGGATCGATCAAAAAAATTGGAGCTAATTTAAGACATGGGATCATCGGTTACCCTTCCGACTATTCCTACTGCTCCTCCCTGTTGATGATGGCGGTCGAATTGGAACACCACCATCCAAATACGATGAAAAAGTGGAGCTCAATTCACTTTTCGATCTGTATGTTTTCGGCCGAGGAGTGGTCAATGTTTCTCCGGACATACTCGACGATGAATCGTCCTCTTCAGCTCTCCTCATCAAATCAGGGGAAGGAATCACAGGTCCAGAATCAGGCCTTGGAGTGGTACTGCGACTGCCATAGTCGCCTGGAATGTTGCGGTAGGTTTGCGTCGATCCGGAAGGCAAAGGCGCCGAACCGGAAGGCAGGGGCGTGAAGGTCTGAGCAACGAAGCCTGGTGGAAGATCTGACACAGGTTGCGGATCGGTAATGGGAGTCGTGCTTTGCGGAATGAAACCCGGTGGGAGGCCCGGGCCCGGTAAATCGATTACGGGGGTGGCGCTTCGAGAGACAGAGTGAGGTAGAAGCGGCTGCGGGGTAGATGAGCGTGAAGGCGTGGTACCCTGAGGAACGAAATTAGGAGGGAAAAATTGTGGAGGCGGAGGAACAGAGCTAGGCCTAAGCGCATCATCAGCACTGAGGAAGTTTCTCTCTGATTGGACATCCGCAGGGCTTCCAGAAGGCGACCGTGACTTGTTTATAGGTGAGTATACCATAAATAAGTAGGAATAGGATTAAACGTACTGGGCCTTCAAACTCAAAAGTAAAGGCTCCATCATTACTTCTACTTTGGTCGCCGCTACTGCTACTGTCGTCATCTTCTAATGAAAGCGTTTTCCGTGTAGGCGAATCAGGGTCGAACCCCGCCTCTCGTGAAGACACTGGTATATTCAAAGGCGTATATGATCCTTGCGGATAGATATACTGTGTCGGACGAGGGGGCGGTACTTGGTATATCGGTCCTTCTGGACCGTGCCTCTTACTGTTTAGGATATCCAATTGGGATATAGACGTCGACATAGATTCCTGGGACCGATGCCTGCGTAACATTGGCTCGGGGAATGGAGCTGGGATCGATCCAGTTGCAACGCCGGGCGGAGGAACGACAACAGGTTCTTCACCGTCTTCTGGGATGACAGGAAGTGGCGGCACAAATGTAGCCCCAGGTGTAGGGGGTCGCGGTGAAAGCTCATGAGGAGGAGGAAGTCTAATGACGGAGTCCTGACCTGTGTCTGGAATGAATCCTTCAGGTGGGACGTCGACATATGAAAGTTGAGGCGAGGGCATGGCAGTAGTTGTATTTACCGCTTCAGGTTGGGCTGGCTCAGGGACAGGGAAAGGAATCGGCGGTGAAGGCGGCTTCGTAGATTGTTGCCTAGAATTCCGATACTGGAGGCCATTAGAAGTAGAGGACCCGCTTGAAGAAGACTCTGATCTGTCAGAATCGTCTTCACTTGTGCGAGGAGCGTAATCCTGAGCGAACATACGGGCTCTCTGCATTCCTTCGACGAAACCTCTTTGACGACCTTCTTCGGCGGCCTTCAGTAGTTCTCTCTCCAAATGTAGCTTATGGGCTATTGCTCTGACTTCTTGAGCTTCCTCTTCGGCCTGAGTACGCTGTCTTTCAACAGCCTCCAGCAACTTTTGAGCATTTGCTATCTCGATATGAGCCATTTCCAGGGAATTCTTGTGCAGTCTATATTATTATCAGTGGACAATTCTCAGTTATCAGCTACAGTTGACATACTGCAACTCCTGCTTGGCCTTGGTAGCCTCTTGAACCGCAGTCACCTTTTCTTGGAACAAAGCCTTGAATCGATTGACAACCTCCCTTAAATCTCGTTCGGCATCATCCGCACGCGCACGCTCTACGTGCAGGTCATTCCGTAACGTCTGGATCTCAAGTTTCTGAGTATTATAAAGTTCCAAGACGTCGCAAGAGACGCGAGCTGCACGTTCCGCACGTTCCCGTCGACTGTCGGCAGATCGTCTGGAATTCCGACGCGTATAATTCACAGAGAAGTCTTCCGGGACTGGGAGGGATTGAAGTCTTGGCTGTGGTATGGGAATCGGAGATGCTGTACCACTGCTGTCTTCACTGGTATGAGAGGAAGACATAATCTTTAAGGTAAATCAGAAGAAATACATTTATTGACGAGCAATGGAGGAGAAAAGCATACTGACTCGTTATGTGTTCATGAAGGAACGTGGATAACATGAGATGGTTGAAGTTGGAATCTCGGCTCAGTGCCCACATGGCGGCCGGTACGCGTCGTTGACATAACTCGGAAAGTCGGGCCGATAACCGACAGCGTACGAACTTTACACGAAATCGAAACGAAATAATTATCAGTACAAATTGTAGCGTCAGATCAACGTCCCAAGTGGCACATGCTATTCGAGATCTCATTGTCTATATTCCACTTGCCAGCTATATTTGCTACATCACTATCCCCTTGCTTCGAGACCCCGTTTGATAGCTGAAATTCCATCGTTAACATCGAATTAACCGTTCGAAAAAGGAGAAGCTCTCACCTTCACAGGTATCCTTGGCGTCACCGAAAAGCATCTTTGTTCCAGGCATGAAGAACATCGGGTTTGGAACATCAGCTAAGAGACCTCAGTACAAAATTCAGAACGCAGACGCAGCATTGGCTCACCGTAACCGCTGGACATTCCCCTCTTCATGACGATGACCTGCTTGCTCTTCCAAGCATGCAAGACCGGCATACCCTATGAAGTGTCACCCATCGTTCTGTCGCAACTCAACTACCTCGCTTACCGCAATGGCTGAACCGGGCTCGAGTGCGATCGGATTCACAGTGTCGTTGGCACCTATCACCAAAGTAACATCGGTGTCTTTGAAGTCGTCGTTAATCTCGTCCATTTCCAAGACGACTATTCCGTGAATCAGAAACTAGAGTTTTGGATCAGAGTTGCATTGACGCACTATCGTATGGAACAGCTGCTTCTGCGAGAAGGACGTTGCACTGCCCTGGCATTCTTCCTGATGACAATGAGCGACGGTGAATATATGCAGTTTCCCAAGATACACATACCGGCCACGGGATGGATTGCAAACTCAAAAGCCGTCAGATATGAGGTAAGCCATAGTACAAGAGCAGACTCACTCGGACGTTAATTCCTTTCGCTCGAAGCAACGAACATATCTCAGAGATGGCGTATTGCGCTTTGGCCACAGCCATTCCATAGCCGACCACCTGCAATCATGAGCTCTGGAATAAAACAATTTTATGGGTTGAGTTACCAATATCACGTTGTCAGCGTTATTTAACGCCTCCACCGTATCATCGACGTTGGTTTTGGTTATCACGCCTTCGATCTTTTGAGCTTCCTGCGATGCTGCGGTGGAACTAATACCACCGAACAGGACATTCGTTAACGAACGATTCATTGCGACACACTGCCGGGAGTTCAGCGCTTTGACAACAGATATAAACGCAGTCCGCACCATGATGTATGAAAGAATAGAACCGCTCACACCAATAAGCGATCCTACCGTCGTTAGGAGAGAATTATCCAGCATGAAGCCTACTCTGCTGCTCAAAAAGGAAGTCCGGACATAGGTATCAATGAAACTAACCTTCTGCAACTAGTGCGAATCCGGAATATGAATTGAGTACACAGATGACGACAGCTACAATGCCCAACATCAGCACGGCTAGTCTTTGATTCATTCGTGGACAAAGACGTACGCATGTCGGCACCACCAATAGCAGGCAGTGGTCGTAAAACCTTGGACGAAACTCAAGAGTGTACTTAGCCCAAGATATGAGGCGGCTACGACAGGCAGCAGCAGGAGCCATGGTAACAAAGCCTGCCTATAAACGCCATCAGTCTTACTGGGTCATGTTGGGTTATATTAAGTCCTACCATAGTCAGCGCATTAGCACCAAGAATGCCGCTGTTAATCAGATGCTTTTTAGGCAGGGCCAACGGCCTTGAACCCATTCGGCCTGCCAACTTCATGAAGGCAACAATAGATCCGGTGAATGTTATTCCACCTAATGAGATTGGATCAGCCATAGACGCGTTCAGTATAAAGACCGACCATACCAATAACGACACCCAGGTAAGCAGTCACAAGATGGAGGGTCGATACATCAGTCAGGTCAGCCATAACACTAGCAATAGCTGGTCATGACTGCCGCGAGACCAACTACACTATGAAGCATAGCAACCTGGGCCGATCTATGAGCATAACGCTTTGATAATGAATAGATGTAATACCATTTGCGGCAGCTCAGTAGCAGTGATTCTCTTGCCAATGAGCGTCCCAATGGTCCCACCGATCGCAGCAACGGCGGTAAATTGTGTCAACACCTCAACAGGGAAGCCCACGGCAGCCAAGGACGCAAGAATTCCAGAACCGACACCCAACATTCCAAGAGCATTACCCTGACGAGCTGTGGCTTGGGAGCCAAGACCAGAAAGAGATCCTAGAATATTCTTCAACAAATGTACTCGTATGTTTAAAAAGTGGAAAAACACGATACCTATGCACAAAACGCTGCTAGCCAGATACCCAGCTTGGACAAGACCACCCATTCCAGTGCTTGCAGCAGTCAAAAATCCTCCTGTAAACACGACGGCAGGGATGCCGTAAAGCCAAGAGTATTCCGGTGGGTCAGTTGGGCCTAAAGAGTGTTGAATTAATGGCATGTTGCTCAGATAGCACTTCTGGCTTACGCTTGAACATATCCAGCATGCGTTTTGTTATGATAAAGCCGCCCGCAACATTGACACTAGCCAAAAGCACGGACAGGGCGCCAAGTGCTTGAGGAATAGTGCCAGGGAAATACCCACCACCCATCACGAATAGTCCACCGATGCCAACCATTCCGGATATTGCGTTCGTCACAGACATCAGTGGAGAGTGCAATGCAGGCGCAACGTTCCAAACAGTTCTGAGATACTCATCAGTTTATGCAACAAAATATCAGGGAAGTTCAAACCTGTATCCAACCAGTCCAGCCAGTCCAAATGTGAAGAAATTGTCCATAAACGAAACACCTGTCGCCTTGCCGAGCGTGACAACGCCTCCCATTCCAGCGGTTACTGTTGCTACTTCACGAGCTGCTTTCTGGAACGGGGTAATAGCTTTTGTGGCTGCGATTTCTTCAGCCTTTTCATTTGTCGGAGGGGCTACAGGAGGAGGCAGTGTTCGAGGAACCGGAGGCAAGATCTTTCCACCGTGCACTATGATAGATCCACGAACAACTTCGTCCTCAAGGTCAATGGCAAACTTCCCATCACCAGGACCCAGAGAGAGCAGGAACTTAGTGATGTTATTAGAGTATAGGGTTGAAGACTGTGTGGGTAATCTGGACGGCAAATCCGTGTAACCTAACGGAAAGCTAAGAATGAAGAAACAGGAATTTACGATGCAGGTAGACTCACCGATGATTTTGACGCCATTTTCAACAACCAATTCACCAGGCTTCGTCGCCTCGCAGTTACCTCCAGCTTCCGCTGCCAGGTCAACGACGACGGAACCTTGCTTCATGGCTGCAATCATTTGGTGGGTTATCAGCTTGGGTGCAGGCTTCCCAGGTATCAAGGCCTAGATGATAGTTGTAGTGTTTGAGTATAAACATGGAGGCGTTTGAAACGTTGTCCTACCGTCGTGATTACGATGTCGACATCTTTACATTGTTCCATGAAAAGAGCCATTTCCGCTTCGATGAATTCCTTCGACATAACTTTGGCGTAGCCGCCGCCACCGCCGCCTTCCTCCTTCACCGATACTTCAATGAACTCTGCTCCGAGTGACTGAACCTGTTCCCTTGCTGCAGAACGCGTGTCAAAGCCTCTAACAATAGCACCCAAACGCCTAGCCTTTCATCGGAAAAGAACCTGTTAGACCATCTGCGTGTCACGTCAATGAACCACAACGTACAGTTGCGATCGCACTTAATCCTGCAACTCCGGCACCAATTACGAGAACCTTTCCTGGGGGTATCTATGGCTCTATGAATTATGTCAACGTGTAATTGAATTCAGGGTCGATTTACCTTCCTGTTAACGCGTGAGTGAAGGGCGGCAAATGGAGTAAAGAGTTCCTTACCCAGCAGCAGTGACTTGGCCCGTCAAAAATCTACCAAAATGATTGGAAGCCTCTAAAACAGCCTTGTAACCAGCGATATTTGCCATAGAACTGGGTCGCAGCTGTTGAATACTAACGAACGTAGTCGTGACGAAGACATACCTCAAAGCATCGAAAACTTGGGCGCGAGAAATACGAGGTACCATGTCCATCTACGCCACGTATGAATAATAACACAGCACTGGAATGCGGTGACTCACAGCGAAAGCATTGACTTTCCGGGAAGCAAGCAAATCCACAATGTCTTTATTTTGCGCCGGATATAAGAATGAAATGACCGAGCTTCCTTCCTTGAGAAGATGCGCCTCTTGATCCAGCAAGGGTGGCCTCACTTTGAGCATTATATCCGAAGCCTTGAACAATTCCTCTCGTGAAACCAGCCTAGCTCCAGCAGAAGAGTATTGTTCATCGAGGAACTGGGCTTCTGCTCCTGCATTTCGCTCCACAAGCACATTTGCAAATCCTTTCTTCTTTAGCAGAGCAGCATTCTGTGGCGTAAGAGCAACTCGTCGTTCGCCGGGATAAATCTCATGTGGGACGCCGACGGAGAGTGATCCATACGGAGTCGACGACGATGAGCGGGTCGAGGATGAGTGAAAGTGGCGGATATCTGTCCAGCACCATGATTATCAGGATTATCAGAGACGAGCAACGTTCTGCACCGTGGCACATACCGTTAACCTGCCTGAGCTGTCTGGAGAGACAGCAGCGCACAAAGTGCCAATTCGCCGTCGAGGGCGTCGAGCAGAGCATTGTTCGCGCGCCCTTCGTCGTCAAGGGCGTTGAGCGTCAAAGAGCAATCAGACGACGTAGATGGTAACTGGAATGCTCGAGAACTCGAATCGTGACTCTGCTTCGACGCGACTCGGCCCTCAGAGCCGAGCGGATATTCGGCCCGAAAATCATGAGTTCCCATTTCCCCGCGTTTGATGCTTGCGGCGTGCATGTATACTGGTGCCGTCATGGTACCTGATGATGCCCACCAGCTTGCAATAATTTAAAAGGAAAATATCAATGGCCGCTATCCTTTTACATTGTCGGTCCATGTGTGCAAAGTTCTATTCGACGTGATGATCTCACTCCGCACCCGAACCTGTCCTTTCTCTCGACGGTACGGGCTTGGCGACTGTCACATAGTACCTCCCCTTCTCTTTGAACTTTATCTCATCGATTTGTTGGCCATACACAACTGTTTCTTGAAAGTAGTTCTTTCGCGCATGCTTCGTCCTTAATTTCAGCGTTCGAGGTCACGGACCTTGAAGCATGGAAGTGCGAGCTCATGTAGTCACAAGACACCTATCCACCGAACTGCTGATCACTGGTCATGCTAATGCAAATCCTAAAATACGCGAGCACACACTTTTCAAGAAATGATACTTATAACGATAACAGCGAGAGTGTCAGTTGACGCCTCTACGTAGATAGATACTGCCACGTAACAGCCATCAGGTCGAATGTAAAAACTACAAGAAATCAGCGCTATAACTAAGCCTTGGCTTTACCACGAATCTCGCGTTCCAATCTTACAAGGTCTTGGGTATGGGGGTGATCCCACAGATCCTGTGCAGCACTAGCTTCCATGGGAGGAAGAGGCTTGCGAGGTACTCCGCCATACCCGTAAAGTTTCTCAATCAAGAACTTCGTGCCAGCAATTGAGGCCTTTGCGATGGTGAAGTCGGCCTGAGCAATGATCCCTTGCAGTCGCAATGCTTCGGGAAGTAGCGACAAATCTTGTTTAGACGCAACCGTTACCGACCAGAGCTTCGCTATGGCGTGCTAAGTTCTCCGTGAGCATATGACTTATGATACTATAGGGGGTGAACGAATCTACCGGAGCAACATTTGCTAGACCAGTGATTGCGCCGTGTCCGTCGGCGTAGAATGAAGGAACAATGAAGTCGGTAAATCCTCCCAATACGAGGAAAGGTGCCGCGGCATTCTTACGAGGGTGGTTCAATGGGAACTCCGGCCCTGACACAGAAGCGGCAATTCTGGTAAGCTTGCCAACGTTTCCGCAGCTGAAGGTTATTAATGGTCAGTGTCAGTTACCAAATGTTGCCGGCAAGGTAGAAACCTACGTCAATTTGACTCCACAGAGATTAGAGGCACTCTTCTGCGAGTTCCGTTATCAAATCCGAATCAAGATCAATTCCGCCACTAGCACCAGGATCTGGGAAGCATTTCATTGGATGATTTGACGATCTAAAGCACTAATGACTTACAATTGTATATCATCACTGGAATGGGACTCTTTGCAGCGACCTCTGTCCAGAAAGCCTTCAAAGCCTTCGGGTTATTTCCATAAGCTCCTGCGTAGTAGCCGCTTGCGATAACGATTGAGTAATCCGCGCCGGCAGCAGCAGCTTCATTTGTCAGTTCCACTGTCTCCCTTGTGCTCCCAGCACCCGTGCCAACGATTACTGGGACTTGAGTGAAGCCCGCAGTGTCTAAAGCATCGCGAGCAGCTTTAACGACTCTCATACGCTCAGTGTGGGACAGATGAATGGCTTCGCCCATGGAACCAGTGATGAGGGGGCCAACTCCTGCAATTGCAACCCGAACGACATGTGCTTCAAGGGAAGGTATATCTAGAAGAATAGATGAGTAATCGCTGCTTTAAATTAACACTACCCACCAAGGTCCTCGGAATCGGGAATAAAAAAAGTAGGAATGGGTGCGTAGATACCCGGGGTCAGAGGACGAGTAGCACTGATATGAACGCCATTGGAACCGTTTGCAGCCATTGAAGGGGGATCCAGTAGGGAGGTGTAATCGCATCCTGGAAAGACGTACTATATAAACGACAGCCGGCAAATAAGGGGTGCATCCACATCAAATCGGACCGGATTGACGGCCCGGGATTTCACCGGGCCGCTCTCGGAAAAACTTGCCGCTTCATCCTTCCAGCGGCGGCGTACAAAGGTCCAAATGTTGTTCCAGTCCAGTCTACATCTTAATGGGCATTGTCAGGATGTCATCAAGTGCTTCTTCTCGACGCTATCGTAGTCGTTCTCCCCACCCTTTTAGATTCGTGCAATTACAACTTGTCACGGCCCATCAACACGGGGACACCCCAATTCACGTTACACGTCGTTCAAACCGAGATATTCTCCGGATTGTATATAAGGGGGACTTAAAAACATACGCTATACAGCCTCCATGGAATGACCTTGCCGCCGAGTAAAGGAGAACTGCCTCGTTCCTGATACCTTCCATTTTATGACTGAAACCTGTTAAAATAAAGTTCCAAATCGTACAAGGGCGAGGGAGTAGTATTCGCTTACCTATGAATACGACACCTCGATGGCGGGCCATGTGACGATCCGAGCAAGGGTTCAATGTTCAAGTTGAAACAATCTGTAGGTGGTCCATTACTTCTTTCTCCCACCGCGTCCAGCCTTCTTCATCTACTTCCTTGCTGTTTTCTGCTGTGAACACCTCGAAGGGCATACAGACGTGGTCGTCTTCTTCTTCCTGATCCAGGACAAATTTCCCTTGCCGACTCCGTGTCAAGGTAACCACATGTCCCGCTGAACCCTACAGCGTGCGCCAAATCGTGAACGATTGATCGAACATACGTGCCGCCCGAGACCTTCATTTTCAGCACAAAAGCAGACGGCCTCTCCAAGTCCGACGTTGTCGATTCTGGTTCATCCTTGAGATCCACACTCTGATCAACACTCTGTATAGCCTTCCTGAGGGAGAGCTTCTCTTCCTCGGACATTTTTTGTGCAGGCCAAGAAAAGGAATGATCACTCCCAAGCCATTCAACTAGCTCAAGACTGTGTATGGTCACAGCTCGAGGCTCTATGGGTCTAGGAAGGGGTATGCCCTTACGGGCGTATTCGTATAATGGCTTTCCGTCCATTTTTAAGGCAGAAAATCTGACAGTTTTGTTCAAGTTGCGAGTCTTCAGGTGGAGAGAACTCTTACATGGGAGGTACTTGCTGAATTTGGCCTGTGAACTGACCAATTTTGCTCTCAACCGTCTCTCGTACAATGTGTTTCCATGGTGCTGTTCGAACTATAGCGCCTTCACTATCATAGCTATCGGTTTCGCATCCCAATAAACACGTCGTTATATATTCCTGGAGCAGCATCCGGTTGAATAAGTTATAGGTAAACTTGAAATAAATCGGTGCATTACCTTTGTACAATCAAGAAAAGACGATAGTTGCTTGGTACCCTTCCCGATACCTATCACTGCCACGATATGTGAGAAAAGCAAATATCATTGAAGACAACATTAATATTCACCCAGAACGCCATCTGCCAGTGGATCAAGTGTACCGCCTTGTCCTATCTTGACATTTCCCTTGAATCGCTTGCGACCCTTGGCTTTCTTACCAGCAGCTTGTTCTAGCTTTGATGCCTCTACAAAAAGTTTCGATTGTTGGACGAGTGCTTGTATGTCGTTTACGACAGACATTGAAGTTCGGTCCAGAAGGCTTCCTGACACCAAAGAGACAAGAAATGGGCAAAGACGGCAGGCTGATTTTGGGCATCGTTGAAGTAGAAACTTGAAAGCAAGCAGAAAGTGGGCAGGGCAGCAGAAAGTTGAAAGTAGTTCTCGTGACGTTACGATTGTGACAGGGACCAGCGCGGAGTTTCGGGCCGCGGTTTCCTTCCTGACACTTCCGACTAGCTCTCGTGAATGTTTTTCAAACTTTTAGGGCGCGGACGCTATATATTTAAAATGGGCATATGCTTTCATACTCTCCCCAGCCATGCGCGCCCCGTGGAAGTTGCGCTCGTCTTCTCCCCATCTCATTTATGAGCGCTCTCTGGGTCTTAACGAACTGCATTTCTACTTGCGCGGTCGAGTTCTTCACGGGGCTACAGATAGCGCGCTCTCAGTGTGTTTCGAGGTAGCAAAGGATGAAAATTTCTTAATCACCGAAGAAACCGTGGGCAACGCTTGGGTGTTTGCAAAGCAGATGTACCCTCTCCTCGGTGCACAGGTAGAAACCGTCGGGGACAGGGACGAAGACGTGCATTTCGTCGTAGATGAGCGTCGACTCAAAGTGCACATCTCCGGAGAGGTGATCTTCATGACGGTCCCATCCTTTAGCGATGTGGATGCAACGGTAGAAAATATTCTTAATCAAGAGCGGATCCTTGACGATTTTCATCTCGTCCGACTTTTCGTCTTCAGGCAATCCGATCAGAAAAATTGTTTTCACATCGTCATCCATGCTGCCCACTGCGTAAGCGATGGGATCTCCCACTATACTGTCGCACGGACATTGCTTGCTTTCTTATCTTCTTCGTCCCCACCCGTTCCACCCCGTCTATCGAAGAGGCTAGCGTTATCGCTCGCGACTGATGACCTGTATCCTGTCAGAAATCTCAATCTCGCTACCCAGCGGTGGCACAAAGCCATGGCCCATGTCATTGCTTCTATTCGATCCGCAAAATTCAGCGTGCGTCCCTCAAGTTACACCAAGGTCTAATTAATTTCTTGACATATAAGGTTTCAGACCGGGGGTCAAACACTCCCCGGAAATGTCGCCGTCCACATGAACGAGAACCCTGTTGACTCTCGCACGACGGTACTTTATTTTACCGCTGAAGAAACACTCCGCGTTATGGAAATATGCCGGAATCACGGATTATCATTTGGGAACGTTTATGTCGTACTTGGTCAGATTTCCATGGGCCGTCTGCTTTGTAGGAGGTATGTTCAAGGTTTGATGACAGAGGAGGAATGGGAATTCAGGAAGATGGAACCTACATACACGACGGGCCCAATTAATGTAAGGCCGTACTTGGACCGCGAGTGGTATACCCATGGAGGCGCCAAAAATCCGATGCTTTCGATAGGGTTCTATCTCTACCCGATGTCATTTGTTCCACTAAAGCCAGAGGGTGCTCATTCGACATTTGACGTTCTCTTGTCACGTCAACGCTTTTGGTATAGGTGTAGGAATATGCAAAAACGCGCCAATAGTCTTCTGAAGCACCCATTGTTTCTCGACATCGGCTCGGTTCGTTACCCCCCGATGATCAAGATGTTAAAGGAGTTGTTGTCCAAAGCGCAAACATCATATTCAAAAGAGGAAGATCTCTCTATTTCCGCTATTGATCAGGCAAAGTTTGGCCTGGTGCCTTCGTTCGGTGGCTCTAGCTTCGGAAGCGTGCGTCTCATCGGTGTGCATCTTCGCTCTTTTTTCTAACCGGACAGTAGGTTGATAAACTCCTCCCGCACGAGTTTTCGGATCCAGTAAGCGGGAAAACTTCTCGAATCCACCTACGTTGCTCCGGTGTACGTCTTCGATGTCGTCCCGGGGAAATTTACCTCGGAGCTTCGACATTTCGAAACGAGCTCGGATTGGTGGTCTATTGGGATAACAATGTCACCGACAAAACCGTTATCGAAGAGTGGTTACAAGAAGTGAAAAGGGCGACATCATATTATTTCTTAGAGAGTAGCCGTGAGTCGAAGCTGTGAAAGATTCTAAGTTACATACAGACATACAAATGCATCTGACTTTATCACGAATGACAACAGATACTATTCATGTTTTTGCTGTTAACCATGAACCCCCGCAAACGCACCCAGGTACCCATTTCCTCTCCCAGGTTCTCCAACGATCAGAGGAACTAGCTCCAGACCTCTGTGCATCCTTTGCAGACCTCGGCGCATCTTTTGCAGCTTCTGAGAGACCATCACATCGAAGACATTGCACACAAAGTTGCCTCTTCATAAGCACTCCTTTCGAGACGACATCTTTATCCTGCTCCTTCCGAGGACCTTCCAAGCTGAGATTCTCGAATCCGTCTATCAACTCGTGAGGCTTGATGTATAGTCGTGATTTTGAAATAACTCCCGACTCGCATAACCGTCTAACATTTGCTTGTAATTGAGGCTCCATTGAGATCGTAGGCTCGCATGAAGCGAAACTTCGTCGTGTCTCTTCAACTGGGAATGCACGATCACCTTTCTGTAAACTATGACTGCCCCGGAATTCTTACCTTCAATATCCTTTGACTTCAGTATGAACTCATCCAATAAGGGATCCAAAGCGTTGAGATCAACGCCCGAACAATCAACCAGATCAACCAGGACATCTTTGGCAATCTGGGAGTTCTCACCCCGTGCCGTGATTGAACCAAGGCTGCTCCGGAAACTACGAACATTGCTTAACGCTTGTTTCAAATTCACTAGTGCACGAGGATGCACAATGTGAAGAAGGCAGGGAACCTCGTAGTGGTCGGTTGAAACAGCTGTAGGCAGATAAACGAAAATAGGCATACATTCAGGGGAACAGCTTACGAGATTCTGCATCGAAGAGATCATCGGTTTCGCTCGATGGTTTGCTTGTTGAATTGATTAACATGACTTCTTTCATGACTTTCTCAATGAAGTTTACAACCCATCCACAGATTCCTATAAATTGCCAAACAGCGCCTGCCAAGAGACAGTCATGATGAGGTCACTGGAACATGACGGCTACGCACGAAAATCAGGCCCGTCGTTGTCCTTACAGTCTTCAAATGCGGCATTGCAAGCTGCCAGTGAGCACAGGTCGTGCGCAGTTTGCCAACGTGCATTCAAATTATCCCTGGCATTTTCGTCCTTTGCCCGTAAACTTCGAAGCCTGAATAGGATTTAGCAGAGTAAAGTTAGACAGTCGCTGAATTACGAACCTATAAATCTCCAAAGCAACACCCAAAGTCTGCCAAGTCAGCGTACCCAGCTTTCTGCGTGACTGTGTTTCCACGATAGTCAACACCTGAAATAAGATGTGGCTAACTTCTTCCATCGGCATTGTCGAAAGGGAAAGTAAGTGTGTGAAATCTGCTGTACTTCTTCGTGATAGAATTGCCGAGGCAAGACCGGAAGATAGTGGAAGAATAGATGGAAATCCAGCCTTGAATGCTCTCGATGCGCGACGTATCGGGACCGTATGTACAGAGGTTTGTGTAGCCCTTACCATTGATGAAACGGTGCATAGCAACATCTCGTTGGGCGAGAGAACGGCATGGATCGGGACTGAACAATGATCAATGACCGAAAGCAAGCAATTTGAATAGCAGCGAACCTTCTTTTCCAACCTTGGTAGCCGACGTGAAAATGGGAGAGGGTTCCCATTCTTTATCGTATTCAAACAATGTGGGACTATTGATGTTCATGCCTCAGTGATCGATAAACCCAGAAAGACAGGTGGCGTACATCTCCAGAATTGTAGTCATACCGATTCGCACCTCTTTGTCTTTGGTCTTCCCAGCAAGGAAGGATCCTGACGTATCTAGTATGCCGACGAGTAAACTAGCATCGACACCTTGCAACGGCTTGGTAGGAACGAGAAAGCCCAGAACGCCATCCGTATACGTCCTTGTACCGGCCTGGTGACATGACTTGCGAAGAAGTCAGTAGCAACATCATTAACCAAAAAATGATCCATTACCCATGCGGATTGCTTGGTATCGGGTGTAGCATGACGCAACATAGAGTAGCATACTATTTTGGACTGAGGCAAATTCGAGTCTAACAAGAAAACGTTAATAGTTGCGTATTCAAACTAAGAAAACACTTACAGTCACCAAAATCCAAAAAACTAGCTACCAAGTACATAGCAGCCTTGGTTTCATTTTGGGCAACTCCTAGCTCAGGGGCAGACGGGGTTTTGCACACGAAGACAAGATTGGTGAGCTGTGATTCCCAGTTTTGTATAGGAAGCAGTGGTTGCGTCGATAGACCTGTTTGTAGCTGAAGTCGCTGTGGTAGAAAGTATGATGACAGTAGACTTACGCATCATGATGCCGTCAAACTGGAGACGGACCTCAGAAACTTCAATGATAGATTCTTCGCCATATATCTCTTCAGAATGCGTTGTAGATTCAGCATTTGACTGGCCAAAATCAAGGGACATATTCATGTCAAATTGATCGGTATCCGGAGTTCTAGGAGGTAAAGGTATAATATGGGAACGAGTCGCGACAAGAATTGAGGATTCTGGAGATATATACACTTTAGAAAGATAATTGATACAGAAAGCTTAAAAACGCGCCGTCATATCCGAGACCGATCGCTGCCGTGACACACAGTCTCAAAAGGCCACCGTTGTCAGTAGCTTCAGGTGTCGGCATGGATGAATTCTCGTTGACAAGGCTATACTGATTCAGAGGAGTGGAAAACATCTTGAGAGAAGGGATATAATTTCGCACGTAACACAAAGTCAATTGATGGTTCTGTGTGACAAGCGCCAAAGTGGGATAGGATACCGGAGTTTTTGGGCCACGAGTAGGAAGACGAAGAAACGATCCATGTTCATCAGCGGTCCACTAAATGCCATCGTTCGTCATTATTAGTCAGTATAATACATGCATCACGTACTTCACGCGGTGCGCCCAACCAACTTGCTGTGACAACCCCAGCACCCAGTGGCGGCGTCCAGTAGTCCTTGAGTATCCAGTTATCAATCTCAGGACCACGAAACCAGAGACACCCAGCACCAGGGACCCCTCGTCCTGGAAAGTACGCGAACAGCCAGTCGTCGTTGGGAGAGGCCGAGATGATAGTCGGAGGGTCAAAGTCCGTCAAAGCTGCGAGAATCGGTGCCGGCGAAGGAATGTTGAACTGCTTGGATGACGAGAAATGACGCGCGAGAATCGTTGGTTGAGTTGGATGCGGAGTAAAAATGACAGAAGAATTCGACCATTCTGCGCGTCTATCGACGAGTTCAAATGCAAACTGTCGCATATACAGGAAACACTGACCTTGGGGTAAGCTTCTCGACCAGTGGCTGAAAATCCCACCAGCCCATGTGCCATTCTTCCTTGTTTTTCCCTTTCGGCGGTGATTTTGCAGCAAACATGATGGTCGGGAGCAAGGCACGAATAGCCACGCGGCAAGAATAGGGCGATCTTCCTCCGTGCACTCATGACGTGACCAGGTGATTGATCATACTGGATACTTGATCTTGTGTAATTGGACCGCATGGGAGCGCCGGAAGAACGATAAACATCTCCCTTCTTCGCCATAAATACTCGAGGAGCACATTCCCAAGACTTGGATATCCCATCTCTCCTCTATGGCTGATAATACTCTTCTTGGTGTAGTGATCTTGGCTCGACATGGCGACCGAGAGGGTATGTTGAACTCTGATTCATGTATAAATACCTAACCGATCTGATATCGTATCTCAAGGCTTTTATCAGGATCCCTCTTCGTACACCGCGTCGTCGACCACAATTACGCCAGAGGGGAATGTAAGTCTACCATTGAGAAATTATTTCAATGCCTTTCATCTGACTCTCTTTCCCTACAGCTACAAGAGTACCAGCTTGGGCAGCTGTTGCGCTCGCTATATCTTAACTCGTCGTCCGAGTCATATATTTCGGGAATCAACAGTACCATCGCCGACTTGGACCAGATCAAAGGCACGTTTCCATCCTTACAACAGGCTCTGTATTCTGACCCCAACCCCGTCCACTAGTCCGTGCAGACGGCGGTGATGAAGGAGGTGTTATCGTCAACTCGGCAACGAGCTTGTTACAAGGCTTGTTCCCAGCCACCTCTGACTACAACGTGACTCTGGCCAACGGAACCACTGTCGAGGGCCCTCTAGGCGGTTATCAGGTGTGCAAATGTCACTCCATCACGTCAAGAGAATGAATGATCATCATTCTCTTCATTCAGTACATACCAAGTTAGTCGTGAGAATCCATGATATCCGGACTCTTATCTGACATTCTTTCTACTGCAGTCGAATCCGTAGAACCAGACAATGACGTCTCTCTGGAAGGATGGACGTCTTGTGGTGTGAGCTACGCTGTTCTCCGTAGCATTGTTTATTCCTCACAACCAACTCAGGCCTTTGACACGTCCACCAATGCCTTCTACAACTCTTCAGCATTTCAGGCAAAGGTAAACGAGAGCGCCTCGTTTCTGAACCAGCTCTCCCCGTACCTTGATGGTAGACCGGTTACTTTGAAGAACATGGTAATACCTTCAATACTTCGAGTTTGTATCGCTAACCCCTCCTTTAGTGGAACGTAAGCTTCGTCTCAGTATGCAAGGTCCCTGAATCTTCAATCCCAATAGATTTACGATTACATGAACGTCGAAAACATTCACGATGCATCCTTTGCCGCTAGCATCCCGGACACATTTATGGAACAAGCTCGCGATCTAGCCAACTGGCATGAATACGGCGTTTTCTCGTCCCCCGAACTCGCGGGAATAGGAAATAGTACGTTCTCCGTTATCCATGAGAGTACTTGGCAAACTCATATTCTCACGTCAGTTGCTGCCCGTACCATGCTGCCCTCCATCTTTGAAAGTTTCACGAGTATCACGGATTCTGATGACCCTCTCAAGATTTCTTACCTGGCCCTCGCTTACAAGCCATTCCTGTCCCTATTTAACATGACAGGTGCAGCCCAGATGAATTCAGAACTCGAAGGAATCGGTAAGCAAACCATGCCGTGGATTGACCTGGGAAGTTAGCTGACGTTCTGACGTGTTAGTTAATTATGCTGGTGCCCTTGCCCTCGAGATCAGGAATTCTTCCACCAGCGGAGAGCCTGTTCTACGTTTTAATTTTAAGAACGGAACGGATGATAATGGTTTCACGACATACAACATTCTCAACGGCACCGGGGACATCCCGCTGTCGACATTTGTAAATTATCTGTCGGTGAGTTGACCCGCTCATTATCGAGAAAAGATGATCAATTCTTTCAGCCTGCCGCTATTAACACCACGGCTGATTGGTGTACAGTATGCGGGAACACGAAGGACAGGGGATGCGGTGCATTAGCATTAGCGGCTTCAGAAGCAAGCGCCGCTGCACGAGTGAACCAGCGAATTAGTCCCGTGGGAGCTGGATTCCTTGGTGCAGGTCTGACCTTGGCTGTATGCTTAGCAATGCTGGGTGTCCTTGTCTTCTTAGGTTTCCTCACTGTCGGTAAGGGCAGATCGCGGCAGAAGAAGACCAATGATGTAAGACGTTCTTCTTTCTTCGCTTCCATTGCTCATGATACGCAGGTCGCGGAGAAGGCGTAAGAACATATCATTGCTAATTTGTGGTATGTGTACAGTTTATGGCTACATGGAATGCTGTTTGATATACATTAATAGTACGTGACAATGTACATGGAAATTGTATAGCGATAGGGATGTATGGAACATTATTCTGAATCGTAACGATAAAAATCTTCGTGATCCGAGTGTTCATGGAATTCATCTGCCAAAATCAAAGTTAGCATCAAGCAAATGAAGTGTCGTCAGACATACCGCCACTTCCGCTCCAGTCTGATAGTTCTTCTTCGTCAGGATAATCGTTTTTATAATATTCCTCCGCTGCAGATGAGTTAGCCTATGAATGCCAACATCATAAGAAAGTACACGAACCATTTGAATCCTCGTCCGCTTCATCCTCTATTTCAGAGTCGGAGTCAGAGTCATAAGGATCCGTGAGGGAAGGTGGAAGACCCGTTCTGCATACGAAGATGAGAAAAAAAAGGTCAGATGTGTCGAATGAGCATACAGTGTTCCAACGGCGGCAGCTTCATTCCATTCGCTCAAAGTCGATGGTCTATGGTAGAAGACGTCCCAAACATAGTCACTCGATTCAGGTGCTGGTTCTGAGGCTGCAGCATCGTCAACTAGACTAAAATTTAGCCGCAGAAAGCACGAAAAAGTATCTAAGCTTGCACCATTGAGATACGCCTTGAGCATAGGCATGATTTTCTCCAACTGTCGATCCATCTCATGAGAGCTCGGATTGTCTTCCGGTATAGCATCGAACACGCGAAAGTTCGGATTTGTCTGCTTGGGTGGCAATTCTTTAGTAGAGATGACTTCGGGCCTAGGCCAAAACGCGACAAAAGTGAGTCGCTTAAAGCCCACAAGGAGGAAGAAGCTCACGGGCTAGTTGGAAGTATAGTCTCGCGCTCTTGATCTACGATTGTATACCTCCGATTGAAGTCTGTCGACAGACGCCGACTACTGGTAGGTGCCGCCGGGGGTTGGGGTACAGTCTTCTGATGCACTTCTGGTGCCACCGCCGGTGGCTCTCGAGACAACCGAGAAACTTCGTCCTGTGCAAAACTAAGCAGGGAAACCAGAGAAACCAGATATTTTACCTGTATTTGTTGGTGCAGCCTCTGATCATTCCAGGCATCGTCCTCTACTGTCTGCGCGAACTTGAACACGCCCATGCCGCCGCGAGATTTCTTGCGACGAATGCCTGACTCGATGACAAGAGCATCAAGAGGTTCTTCATGTCGTTTGCGCTTAATGCGCAGAATCGTGTACGGCTGGGTAGGATTTTGAGCATCGACTTCCATCGTGAAAGTTTAAGTCAAGAGAGTTAGGCGCCCAAAGAACCTTTGTAAAATCCTTTTATCGCTGAAGATCCGGTCAATAAAAGACAATAAAGACAGCTGAGAAGTTACGTCATGCCACGTGCCTGTTCCCGAATATTCGTAAATTGTCTTTAAGCTTTGTTAAGTTTACCGCCATGGGTTCTCGCCAGACAGCGAAAGAGCTGGCTAGAAATTTAACCGAAGTCGTTATTCAAAGGTTCTCCGATCGTATCCTTGTTCTTGTAACTCAGCTAGGGAAAGTAGGCAATCTGGTGAATCCAATTTTCTCATAGTGTGAATCATCGTGTTAAAACAAATTCTAAGATTCAAGCGACACTGCCGCCTACTACGCCTTTGATAGCAGCGTCAGTCGTTGACCCTACAGATCCTAATGCGATCTCTCTTCCTCCACCACCTCCCGCTATTCAGTTGACGCCGTTACTGGGAAATGCTCCGTCCGAACACGTACAAACCCTTCATAATCTCTTCGCGTCGCAAATCGCAACCTTGGTGTGGGTAGCAGAGGAAGAGTCGATAATGCAGCCATCCCGTCAAAGCGTCATCGTCGGGATCGCCTTGCAGAAATCTGATGTAAATGAAGGAGGGGAACTCAGTGACTCGGAACGTGCTACCTTTCTGGGTGTTATGGATATGGTACAAGGATTGTTAATTCAAAAACGATGATGTATTGTGCAGAATATCAAGGCATTGCACAAGTTCGTTTGTATGTGATGGAAGGAAGGAAGTTTTGTTACCTGACGTTGCTCCTTAACAGAAGCGTGCCGGGGTCCGTACTACAGACCCCCGTATGTACACTAACAACTCGAGGAACAACGTTGCTACGTACCGAACCAGCTGCCGCCATGGTAAAGCCCCGTCATGAGTACTCCCTCACGGTCTCGGCAGTTGGCTGATGTTTTTTTCAATAATATTTTTTGGATGGTGCGCATAAACATTCCAGTCATGGTGCAAATGCTGTCGGCCGCAACAAGCGAGGGAGAGTTGTAGCGCGACAAGTTTTCGAATCACACCCCTCATCGTCGTGGTGCGGTAGCTTTTCGACGGAAATGGATGCGAGGGAGTCATAACGCAAAAACCTTTTGACGACCTTCTATCGTAACGTAGTAGCCTTTCGACGAAACAGGACATGGAAGTGTCGTAGCGCGGTAGCCTTGCTTGGAATGATATGAGTGAGCCAGACATCCCCGGAAGAAGTGGGGTGCGCCTGGCGACTGTTCATTTTCACAGATTTCCACACAACAACAGAATATTCAAAGACCCAGAGTGGCTTTGTATCCGTTTGCTTTGCTTGATTACAAGTTACTAGTAATACAGTTAAGACTGGGGAAGTCTACCCTAGGTTGAGTTTTCGTTCATTGCAGAGTTAATTCAAAGAGAGCTCCCGGTATGGAAGGGTGAAGTGTATATCCTTAACGTGTCCCGGTATTACTTGAACTGATACTTAAATACATTATAATGCTCGTGTTTCTCACCCCTTGCTCTCAGGGCTGGGACTCGGAGGGCCGAAATATATGAATGCTATCGATGTCGGTCCTCGGGGTGCCGAAGCCAGGTCATAGCCGAACTATGTCTTTCTGGCTGTCACCTGGTATTTTGCCCGCGGACCGATAGAAGCTTCCTGGAACAGTTGCCAGTTCGTTCCAGGTAGACCTGTGACCTGGTGCTATATTGTTCCGGGAACGTTTGCTGCTCTGAAACCTTGCCCGCGCGCTCCAGGGACCGCCTATTTTACCTGGCGACGAGCCATTTAATGCCGAAACAACCGGATTTCTTATTCTGTGGATATGTTTTGGTTTGAACCTTGTCCGCTCGCTCCCAGTTTTGCCTGGCTTCCTGTTCCGGGAACATTTTTGGGTTTGAACCTTGTGCGCACGCTTCCGGGTTTGCCTGGTGTCTTGCGCGCGCGCTCCTGGTTTGTGTATTTACCTTACGACTGACCATTTTGTTCCAAAAACACCTAGTTTCTTGTTCTGTGACCATTTCCGGTCTGAATCTTGTGCGCGCGCTCCTAGTTTTGCGTATTTTGATGTTGTCGCAACTTTCTTCGACATTGCTTGCAGAAGTTCAAGAGCGTTTGAACGTCTTTGAGCAGTAGCGGTATGCTAAAAGGATACCGGGTACGGAAGCTGAGAGGTCAAAGTCTGCGTCCCCATATTTTGCATTTTACAGTTTCCTCTGTTTGAGACGTTTCTTTCTCGTAGACTTTGCTGACGTCATCCTAGGTCCCTCTTTGCGGTGGTAGCCCAAATTGCAATAGTTAAAGACGATAAGTCGAAGCCCGCAAGTCTTGTCCTTTTTTGTATCTGTGAAATCTAACGTTTCACCATATGCTACTATGAGCCAGATGTGAATATGCATTCACTATCGAAAGTTGAACCACTTACCTTGCACTCAACTCGCCAAAGCTTCCGAAACTATCGGTGGTGTAAACCCTTGTTTGAGCTTTGATGCAGATGGTTGAGGATTAAGAGAATAATATGCTAAACAGGTTAGTGTAATAGCCAGCCGGCAGTTAAATGAAGCGCATTAACTGCTTTCTTCTAAGGACGATGAATTTTCCACCTCTCATACATCTGCAATGGGCTGTAACACCAGGTACGAGTTCCAGATACGGGTTAGTCAATGTATCGTCCAGGATCACCTTCGCAGCTGAATAGTTAACCCTTGCGTTTGGCTCAGTTTCTCGCCCGACGGGTGCAAGAATTCAACGTGGTCGCAAAAGATGACGCATTGACAGGAACAGGTCATGTGACTGCGTTTCAAATTTCTTGATGACGTTCAACTCCCACCTTGCGGCTAAATAACCGAAATCAACAGAAGAACGATACAGCATCCGCAGCGTGCAGGAGTAATATCACAAAGAGCAAGCAGAAACCGAGGAACGTGATCAAGACGAGGCAAGCGACGCGTCAAAGGCAATCGAGAGCTATCCAGGCCCCTGAGCGACAACTACACCTCCTGACATCTGTCCCAGTTTCTTAACAGATATACTTCGATAATGTGCTCCGTATCTGAATGATGATAAATCATTCTTGTGGTGGACACATCGAACAATGAAGAATGGGTTCCTTTGCACGGACAACGCTGCTTGACAGCACTTTCCAGTCTTCAGGATATCGGCGGCGATATCGAGAGATTTTGCTCAATGCAGATGAAGGTATGAGACAAAGCTGAGCTACTGTCGTGGGCATCTTCGGACTTCTCAATTTCGACTCCGGAACTTCGGTCGTAGGACCCCGCAGAGCCTACGCCGGTGGGGACATCGCTCAGAACGTAGTTCTATGCCGGGAGACTGGTTTCCATCGTCCTGAATACCTCTTCGATTTGGGAAAGTTTTGTCGCGAGATTGATAGTGGTACTAGTGGTGACTTACATGCAGACCGCAAGCGGTCGGTAAAGTGCGACCACGCTCGATGGCGGACAACTTTTCGGAGATCCGAGCCTGGTACATAAAGGCTCAAACGGGACAAATTTCTTGCCTCATCTACTATCGTCCACCATGCCTAAGGACCAAGTCGACAGAGCTTTGCAGCGTCAAGCCCGCCGTATGCATCCATATCGCCGCCCATGGCCTTTATACCGAAAGATAGCTATCTCTAAGGTATATCCCCCTTCCCTATGTATTTTTCATGGCTGGTTTTGATGAGCTCGCTACTTTAGCACCACAGGCCCGCGCCCACGCCTGACTACGTCCTCCCGGTATGTCCGACTTCGCCTTAGGTATATATTCATTGTCAATAACGTCTGTTATTCGCTCTAGACCCCTCAAGTAGTGTATCAAGCGCCAGTGCCGAGCGGGCGACTCTATGAGTATACTATGCTAATGCCCTCGTACATCATTTCGCAATCATCTTATTCCTGGACGCTCAACGGCACGCAGAGATCCCTTCAATTATAGGGCAAATAGCTGAGCGCCTATTCCACTCGGTATTCCCTGCCACAAGTAAGTAACCTCCTGAAGATTCTTCTCTCTACTGATCATCCGAAACTTAGGATCTCCAATATCTAACATACCCATTCTTGCAACGTCTATCCAAAGGATATCCTTATGTATATAATGCGGGTTACGAAGGGTCTGTCGAGGTGCACCGAAATGAGTTGCCCCTTTGTATTTACTCTAATATCTCAAAGAATATTCTCAGAAATATGTTTGATTCATACATACTGTAATCTATCCTCTCTTGAGATTGTAAGACTCGGTTACACGTTACTTCGGCAGCAACACATCGAATAAAAGAAAAGCCGATGGCCATGCCTGTTCACGCCCGAAACTTTCGAAGCCAGAAAAAGTTCCACCAAAAAGAGGAGTTTCAACATGATACATCAGCATAACGCCCACAAGATCCTCATAAGTACATGGCTTCGAGGGGTCTTCTTCGCATGTCATATAGCAGAAATAACCGCAGACTTCTGGAATTTCGATAGCAAACTGCATACGAAGAATCTCAGTGTGTCGTCGGGCTAAATAGTGCCACTCACCGAGGCCGCACAGCACCCAAGAATGGATCCGCGCATCCTAGGGTGCATACGGATGTCACTCACCGTCTTAAGTGAAGCATAACATACGATTCTAACATGTTTAAACCCAAACGAGGAATCGAAGTTGACACTAGAGGACGATCCCTTATGCGCCTATTCATCGGAGAAGCATATCACCGTAAGAATAAGAGCATCCGAAGCTGATAATACAACTCCCATTAAGGGTGTGGGAGTACATGGTTTTTAAGCTTTCAGTGTGGACCAATGAATCGTGATTTTCTATAGGGCAAAGGGCTGAAAAGTCCCTCGATGAAGCTCCACATAGCATCATGCTACAACTCGTCGTTGGGTGCATGCAAAAATTGAATAGCAAGGCTGGAGCTAGAAAAGCCTACCGGCACATCACATCTGAGGTGGCGCACCGGAGGCACGGTCTATCTGCATCCTTTTTTTTTTTAGCTTTTCGCGACATGGGAGAACACTTCCCAATTGGCGCGACGATGATCATCAAAGCTACTAACATAGCCTTTCACTCATTTGTTCGTGGCACAGCCACTGCTGACGCTCGGATGTCGCAGAAGAGTCACTGTATAAGCCATTAATGATAGAAAACCCAGTAGAATGAGTTGGAACTGGAATATGCCTGCCATATGACGTCTGTAAGGGGCGGCCGAACGCGAGAAATACGCGTCTGACAGAAGGAGGGGGTTCAGCATCTTGATGTCCACGATTCGGCTCAAAAATGCAGGGTTGAACCGTACTCCTCTGAGCTTGGTCGCGAGAAAAACGAATTCGGAGAAAGGTGGATGAAAACGTATTGAATGATTTGAGGCCACATTTTCCGAGGACAATGGTCCCAGTATCGCTAGTCTAGAAATGGTGTACGGTCAGCATCTATTTGCTATAGAGAAATCCCTGGACTCGAAAACCAATGAAATACAGATCTCGGCGCTGATGACTGCCGCCTTCAATACTAATGCGAGCATGATTTGCAAACAGTATGCTTACCTTCAATGGAACATCTTCGCTTTGCGGTGCATTTACAGACCGGATCGTAGCGCAAAGATGTCCCAATATCGGTTTCGCGCCTTCGGAACTGTCGTGGAATAAGCCCAAGGTTACTTCAAGGTCGGCTCAGTGACAAGAGGAAACGTTCATCGTTGTCGAAGCTATACTCTATGTACGGCCCCAGTAGTCTGGATGTGTTCGGGCTACACCGGGGATGCTGATCGTAAGTAAAAGGGCCCGAGGATGCAGAGAGTTTAGACAAACTGAGACAGTGCCAATCAGAATCGACGTCTTTGAGTCATTTGCCGGTGCACAAGTACTTGAAGGCCAGAGAAGCGAGCTACTACTGACACCGAGATAAAAATGGCTGAATAGGGCCGTCTCGATGTAGTCGAGTAATTGACGTCAGGTGTGTTAGGACCGGAGTCTAGATGTGGACGTGCGGAGCTTTATTTTTCTGTCGTCAAAGCGTTGACATAGAAGGTTCGTCAAGGGTTGCGAATGCCAACAACATCGAGCTCGTCCTTCTAGCAGCTTGCCAGACTCGAATTATTTCCGGATGGTCCTTCAGACGACAATTGCAAAGATAAAGAACAAGTCGTTTCCGCTAAGAAATTCAAATGGTGAGTATATTGTCATGTCACAGCCGGGCTTACATTACACCGAGTTGTCAAAGGACTTGCCTCGCGCTTTTTCCTTGCTACCAGTAATTCTGGCAACGATTGAACCTGGTTGAGTCTTAATGCATAGCTTCCATTCCCGGACGTTAGTTTTCGTTTTATCAAGCATCGAAAGATCCATGTCCGTTGTAAAGACATTGTCCCGCTATGCTGAAACTGCCATTTATACTGTTAGTGACAGTTACTGGTCACTAAAGCCTTGATCAGTATACCTTGCGTTCTGGCCCATAGCTTTGAAGTGGTTCCGCTGCCGTGTAAAGTTTCGTAAATATATCCATCCTTCACGCTTCACTTGAAGACAAGTCAAACGTATTCAATCGGTATGAGGTTCGTGATACACTTATTAACCTTCCATTAATCTCCAATTTCAAGGATGATGAGAAGACTATTGAGGTGCTCGGATTCTTGGCTTGACGAGGCAGGTCAGCATCGCGTTTCAAAGTCAAACACAAAAACAGACCTGGTCGATCATGTGACCTGCAACGCTCAAAATTTCAAGTCCAAGTCCGACACGTTAATGAGCCCCGCCACACAATGCTTCGAAGAAGATACGACAACAGAACGGCGTTTGGATGCGCAACAAGATGAAGTCACTACGAAGATATCACGCAAAGAGCAAGAACGGTGGATACCACGAGGAGACAACCAATGACGCGTGAGCAGCAAGCCTGTCAACAGCACGAGTGGCGGCATGTATGCTACCATGCTCCAAGCACCCAACCCAACTCCAGAACGACAACCCTCAATGCCAAAATCCATTTCTCGAGCAGGCACGAGATACACTGCTAGGTTGTTTCCGAATATATCCAACAATAGGGGAATGCGATTCGAATCAAAGCGGGGATTCTACAGCCTCCAAGTCGATGTCGAGAAGGGAGTAACGAAGGGTCTCTTTATGCTTTGGACGAGGCTCGATGCTTAGAGTGAATAGCTGTGGGCAAATCTGCTCCAAAGCTCAGACGGGCATTGGGCAGTTGTCGAATATTCGATCGGCGTTGAACCTCCTGAAGGCTGTGCTTGGAGAACAGCTAGGCGGACGTGTACAAAGGTCTGCTTTCTCCCTTTTGTCTGTGCAGAGGAGCTCACTGTCATGGCGGTTGGAAGCAAGCAAGAATGCCACGGTAGGTCCCAGCGTGATTGTACATGATTACTGTTGGTTTTCTAAGTTGGGAAGTCACCAAAAGCTAACACAAGTTTTGTCCCCACGTATTTATATCGCTCGAACTGCCGAAAATTTTTTTCCGTGTTCAACCACCACTATCTACTATGCCCAAGATCCTCACTCAACGACAGATCCCTGGCCCTGTCCATCCTTACCTTCGTCCTCAACTGCCTTCGCCTCGCAGGAGCCGCAGGACTAGGGTATGTATTTTCCCCACACGTCCTTCCCCCGCATTGTTACTCAAGATGTCGGCAGGCGACTGGCATTGTTGACCCTGGTATTGCGGCTGCCGCAGCAGTACTTCCAGTCCCTCTGGACTTGGTGGGCTCTACTTTCTTCAGACATCTTTATTTCTGACTTTTCTCTTGATTATCTTAGGTCGCCCCAGCACAGCCTGAGCAAACTTTGGCAGAAGATAAAGAACCCGCTCGGTGGTTCAAGTTCATGGTTATTGCGGTTGTACGTCATTCAAAGGTCATTTGACTGTCGTCTCAGTGGTGTTCAGGTAGTTGCTGTTGTGGGGCATTTAGCTGACCGCTTTTTCCGTTTTTCTGACTCGATCATGGCGTGGCGTTTTTAAGTGAGCAGTCTCTACAGAATCGGGATTTCTGTCTCTGTGCTGACAGTTCGGCGCCTAGGACCTACAGTAGTACTTTGATGCTCCTTCATTATTCATTTTATCAAGAATGCCTCGACTCTGCGGACTGCTGGTCACCGCACATAGGTGGAGGCTGGTTGTGGGCTCATCTTTGCAACACAAAAAGTATATACGGGATCTGACTGCTTCATTTCTTGGTTTACTTTCATTGTAATTGGTTTTTAATGTTAGAACAGGTTTCTATTTGCCATTTACCACATCCTACGTCGATAGTGGGACGAACCTAACAACGCCTCAAGCGTTCTCGCTGATGACGCGTCCTTTGTAGGCCCTAAGGTCGAAAATGATTCAGGAAGCAAAACTATATTACAACAAAGCATTTCAACATGATACATCAAAAGAAATTCATTCCATAGTTTTGCACCGCCGTCGACGTGTCAGAAGAGAGCGTTTTTCATGCCAGATTAGGTGACTGCAAAATGTTCTTCGTCACCCGTGGAATAAATGTAACCTCGCACTCTTAAAAATTCAATTTCACTCCTGGTAGTGAAGATTCGTCAGCGTTGAGTTCATACGAATACAAATTCCACTTACCGTATAGCATCGGCGGACATGCGGTGGCTAAGTGTGGTAATAATCGTGTTACGGGAGACACCTTCCTCAAAGGTCGACGTGTCGAGGTTGCCACCCATTGTAGGGTATAGGCTAACATTGCCTGCCTCCCCGTTGATAAAGAGAATGATTTCTCTCTGAATGGCGCTAAGATCCGAATAAGGATCACGTTTCTGCGGACGGCTTTTTGAGGGCGAGTCTTGATTATGATCTTTCAGGCGCCTCTTTGACGAAGATGCCGGAGTTGCTGTGTCCTGTGAGAACAAAAGCGATGGTGTCGCCTGATTTCGGGTCGACGGCGTTTTCTGGGGTGTTGTTGGGTTGGATCTATTGGGGTATTCCAGCATGACTATGTCCTCGTCGATTACATGCTCAATCATTTGGATCTCGATGGGGGAGTCTGGCGGAGATGGTGTCGGCTGCTTAGGCGGGTGCTTCTTGCGCGGCTTTCGCTTGGGCTCAGGGCTCAGGGACGTCTCCGCGAAGCTCATCGTCACATCTTGGATACCGTAGTCCGGCTGTGTAAGCGCCTGAGGAACAGGAGGGGCGCTTGTTTCCTGTGACGGCTAAAGGTTCCGATTTCAGTACTTAAACGCATAACTGCAGCACGAGAACACCCACCGGCATGCCTCGCTCGTATATCAAGGTTTCCGTCGCGCATTGCAACAAATGCCAATACATTGCGAGCGGATCAGATATTATATGCATTGAAAGCATATGAGGCAGCATAGTATTGGTCTTCCAGCGGTCCAGCCTCCCAGTAACGCGAATGAGCTGGAATTTATTGATCATCTCTTGGCTAGAAAAGGCCTTGTCAGTTGTTGTCGGAGATTGCGCGACAATACTGTAACGTACTCGATATCCGGAATGAAGACATCGCTAGCATCGGATCTCCACAGACGGACAGTAAGCTTTCCAGTTCCATCGCCTATCCCAAAATCTGTATACTGGTCTTTCACGGAGTGGGAAAGAAGGTTCCCAACTATCGCAACCTATTCCGTGATTTGGGTCACTGTTCATCCAGTTAGACTCGGAGGAACGCGAATGATGCTAACCTGTCCAATTTCTTTCCCTTCTATTTTGAAAGGTGCAGTCTCGTGCATCCTTTCAGCTTTCATGGCTTGAGCAATAGTAATGCAGCGTATCGAGTTTCTATCGTACTGAGGTCCCTGCAGGGCCAAATGGCGGTCAGTGGAAAGTACACTTTGTTGAATGCTTTTATACCTTATTTTTAGGGCCGTGTTCATTCATGGTATCCCCATCCATCATGGAGCCCGATATCCATGCGTCACCCGGAGACAATGATGGTAGGAAGAAGGATAAATAGAGCAACTGATAGAATACAAATATGGGTTGGCCAATTACGTCGGCTAGTACAACTACAAGATCGAGGTAATTCAGCGAGATACACTAAAGTGGGAGTCATCGATGGTACTAAACACGATTCCATCGTCCATTAAGTGGTCAAGAGCATCACTGTTAGGGTGCATCAGTCGAGGTCAGAGCAGTTCACAGAGATCACCGACCTGATCATTTGCGCATCGCCGCCACCAATAGAGCGAGCAATGGATGCTACATGGACCCCTTCTTCACCGTTTTCCTGCTTGAGCATGAAGTGCACAATGTCTCGTTGTAGTTTTGGTAGATTTGCGTATTCGTCATGCGACGCTGGTTGTGCGGAATGAGACTGATACGCCGACGTACTTGAACCAGGAACAGGCTGTCCCTCCGATCTGACTGGTTGTTGACCCGTGACAGGCTACAATGGACATTAAGGAAAGGGCATAGAGACCAGGCAAGAAAAGCGTACTGGTCCCCTGTCTGCGATCAAGGTACAGGTAACACATTCCAGAATATGGAAGAACACTTCATGAGGATCTTCAGCCACGCGAATTTGTGTCGCGTTCACGTAGCGCTTGTTGCCAAATGTCTTCAAGGAGCCAACGACGCGGACGTTCTGGTTTTCCCTAAGAGTGAAATCACTCAGCCAGCTTCAAAAGGGAAATCGACGCGTGCGCACTGTATGCCGCCCCACTTAGCATCATCTTCCTCATTGGTCGTCTCATTCCAATGCCGCACCTCAATGTGCCCCGTGCCGTCGTGAAGGTCGTAGACACTGTTGGTCGCCTGTTTTTGGATGCGAATTACTTGGCCTACTGTTGTTACCTGCACTGAAGATGAGAATACGAGAAGAGAAAAGAATAGATTACAGTCTTACGTGTCCAATCACCGTGTCGTCCAGCATCCATTCTGCATCAGTGTGCGCTTGAGTGGCTTTTCCGAGCTGGGCAATGGTAAACGGCCGAATCGATTGTGACGCGTCAGTTCTCTAAAAAAGTGGCAGAGCAGTCAGTAATCCACCTACAGCACCCATAAGAAGGGACGGACTCGATTACCGCCTCCTGGGCTACCTCCGGCGCTGTATGGTGAGCCACCTTGCACGTAGCCGCCGCCTCCACCGTAGTATCCTCCTTCTATGTCTACAGTCAGTAAAAGGAAGAAAAGACGGCAAGGACATTCGCACGGCTCATTTTTCGTGGTGTAAGTGTGGAAGTGTAGGTGTAGAGATGAGTAAGATGAAGCGTGACGAAAAAACGCGTTGATTCACGTTCTGTCACGCGTTGTTTGCATCGAACAAATACTAGACAAAAACAAATCCGCCGCTTTGACTGCTATTTACTTGCAGGAATCTAAAACATGCAATTCGACCAACTTCAGTTCGCATACAGGGTGCAAACGCGTGACATCCCCTTCCCATATCCCTCCAACACCTTTTTTCGTGCATCAGACAGCTTTTTGGCTACATTCAACACAAAATCATGATCAAGCTTGAAAGCCCCAGTCAGCAAGCTTCCGTGAAAAGATGACTAACTACCGACCTCTGATATCGTGACTTCAGTACACGAGTCCACGATAATTTTTCGTTGCTCAATAGTGCCTTCATTCTCGCTCATCTTGACGAGCTGTGCTGACACATCTCGAACAGCAGCAAGCGCATGGGTTCGGATAGTTTTGAAGGACGCCACCAGCTAAAGTAAATCAGGACACAGGTACCTCTTAATCATCAAGGGACGCCATACGTTTCCTAATTTATGTATCTTGACTACAGAAGCAGGCTTGAAGCGCAGAGTTTCGAGCATGAACAAGATCAAGGCCTATGGTGATACGATCAGCGACTAAAGGCCGCGAAAAGATGATTGTTATCACCTCCTGCATAAGGGCAGCAACAGCAAGCGCTTCAGTTGGAGATGGCTGCCCCTTCACTTTCTCAAACCTTGCTTTCATATCTAGGAGTATCTTTTAGCCAAGAATCTTTCATCAAACAGACATCTATACCATCAAAGAACGTCATTAGTTCCGCCGGAGCTTCAGTCACAGGAGGAGCTTCTTCGTCTTTCTTGTGACCGTTAGAAAGGCCGTCCAACACCGGAATCTCAATGCCCTTTAGTGGGTGACCCGTCTTGAGCTCCGTCTGTTTAGCAGCTTCGGCCAACACGACCGCTGGTGGTGGTCGGACATAATCATGGTATGGCTCTAGCCAATCTGCTAGCACATCAGCGTAGCGGATGTAAGTTAACTCGTGTGGTGTCAACTAAGGACGCAGGCTTTCAGCATATGTTAGCCCAAGAGGAAAAGGCCATACCTCCGATAGCTCTTCTTCGCTTCGCTGGCACAAACGCTCCTTCAGAGGAGGCTGGTTGGCGTCTGGGATGTGCTTCGGACGGTCTCCGATGAGAAGTTTTTCTTCGACGGTTTCATCGAGGTCGCTTCCATGCTGGAAGGCCCTAACATACAGCTTTAAGAACGACCACAGCCAGCCCGACTGATTTCGGAAGTGAGTAGATGTAGATCCAGATCCATCTGACGACAACGTACCCCTTCTGATTTTCCAAATAAGAGGGTCTGTTCATTCAACGATTGTTGGATCCGGGGTTGGTAATTGGGCAAAACGTTGTAGTCACGGTTATCAAAGTGTTCTTAACGTCCTACATGAATATCAAAGCGCGACGCGACGAATGTGTCACTCACGTCGATCGAAGATGAACTTGGACTCAATGAGCTCCATGTCGATAACATCGATGGAGACCGGCTCAAAAGCAAGCCTCATACGTGTATGCTCCAATTTCGAGATGTCTCGTTGAAGAGAGCATTCTAGCCGGTTCTCAAACGATATAAATTCGGGGATCTGTTAATGATCATTAATAAATACCACAGAATGCGAGGAAGACGCGCACCTGAGAATACTTTTCTGATGTGAATGCTCGAACGATGAATTCCGGGGTCTGTTTGAGGCATCAGTTTGTGACTCGGTGATCGACGAGAACAATTACGTCTTGGGAGTTATTGATATATATCTGGGAGGCTTCAATATACTCGCTCATAAGAGTCAGGTCTCCAGAGGGAGCCAAAGAGAATATTGATGATCGAGAGAAAAGGAAGTGAGATAGTGTATCATTTTGAATCTGTTTAATCCGCATCGCACGGTAGTACTCCAGAGCGAGTGATGGTGCACCTAGACACTATGTTACCCTCGTTCAGCTGAATACTATAAGGGACACTTACCAAGTATCCGGTATAGCCTGATCAACATCAACCGTATACGGAATGACTGTTTACTTCTTGACGAAGCAAACTCGAGGAGGGAGACTGCATTGAGAAGATATTTTTCGTCCTTACTCAAGACCCACAAGCTGATAAAGGCATGTCCGGCCAAAATAGCAAGATCATCGGCAGGTTGAAGTTCCGTAGTTGGTAGGTCCTTCCCTAGTTGAAGACCCTCCAAGTATTGTTTTGTATAAAGATTGGCGCGCGAGCGCTCCGCTTCTATCGTAAGATCAGATTGGGAAAGATTATGGCGCAGTAATTTGTGACAATTCGTTGATCGTTGAAGTTCATTGATAGTCGTCTGACATTAATTTGAGCACACTAATTCACAACAAAAAGAACGAAAAATCGCACAAGGGTGGAGGGAACGGATTTTAGGTACGACGTCCATCTTGATAAATCATCGCCGTCTAAATCGACATAAGGCAAGAGGTCCTCGAAACAGCATGCTTTGTCGCCAATTTTCTCAAAGTATTGCTGTATTAGGTCGACCATTCGAGTGGAATCTGTAAAAGTTCTTCTTCACCATTCACTGTGTAAAGCACCGGACTTGCCTGTTGATAGACCGAACTTCCTACACCGTTTCTCCAGTTCAAGAAGCGCAAGGAGCCCTGAACGGTCTCTCTTGCCATCTTGTTCCATGATGCAGGTAAAGATATCCTTGACCCTGGAGCATTCAGCCACAGCAACATTTTTATCAGAATCCACGGTAGAAAAAGTCGCGTCAATGACAGCAAGGAATTCCAACCAATTGCGATCTCTAAACCAACAGTGTTAGTGAATACGAGAGTAATTGAATAGTGTTCCTACTTCTTTTCCGTGATTAGCGTTTCGGCTTTTTTGCCCTCTTCTTTGAGTAGTCCTTTTAGACGGTAAATGTCGCGTCTCATTTCATTGCATACAAGGCTGGATCCACAAATATGGGTGCCAATCTCGCTGTCTAGAAGCTTCATGGCTTCATCATAGAGTTTGAGCTCACGAAGGATGGAGAGATGGAGGTGAAATCGGTCAGCACTGTGGTAGGAAGGTGTTGGCGAGGAAGAGATGAGTCTATTAGCGAGTTGGTAGAGAACAAGGGCGCATAGCGGCCGGTGTCGATATGTCATTTGCCTATCGTCGCGCGTTTATTGAATCGACTTGGTGTATTATGGTCACCCACCTGTAGGACGGCGCTCATTACACTCCAGTACAAATACCGATCTTCCTGAAATGTTTTGTACAGCTTGGTTGCAATCTAACGCGAATTTTTGAGAGACAGAACAACTTTGAGAATGACGCCGCACCTGTTGAGCAGACTTCCAATGGCCAGCGCGAACATTGGACAAGAATGTTTGGGCGCCTAGATCTTCATTGGTAGGCTCCTTTTTGAATGCCTCCTCGAACATCACGACAGTATCTCTGTCTAGCAAAGAACGCGTTTAGCCTAATTCGCCAGGCAATAATTCTGTAAACTTACGTCGGCCCAATCCGCGGAGAACATGCATCATGGCAGTCAAAACGCCATCGTCAGTCGGCTTTCCTGCAAGCACCTCGTCGCAAAGGACCAACGATTCCTCGACCTTCTGGGATCGGACTAGTGCCAAAGCTTTCAATGCCTGTTCATGTTTTAACTTTCTCTCTTGTCGAAGGGGGAAAACGAAGGCAAGCGCACCTTTACAAGTTCATTTTTGGGCTGCTTCTTCAATATCTTGTTGCACGTTACAATGGCTGACTTGTTCGATCCAGTATCGAGAGCATCTGCGGTGGGATTAACATTGGAAAAGTGCTGGACAAATTCGACCGTGACAGCTGACCGTAGATGGGGCGAACCTGACGATCAAGTGCACTCGACATTCGCTATAAAACAAGCAGCAAAGAGGAATAGGACAGCAACAGTAAGGACGATAGTGACGAAGACGTCGCGACAACAGAAAGAGAGAGATGGACCCGGCCCGATTTTTTTTCGGGTTTCCGTTTGCTGCCGATCGCGACCACCACGAGACCCCCACGCCTGACAAATACTATCATCCTGCCTCGCCAAGGTATCTATTCGTTGTTTATTTCTCTACCTTGGCTGACCAGGAATATCGTTCAAACGACAGGCATGCCGCCTGTTTTACTTTCTCGGTGATGCCTGTCGCAAATATATAATTGTCAAGGCTGACACGTCCAATAGCGGTCTTGACCCTTTGCTTGGAGTCTTCACTGGTGTTCTTGCCTACTACCTCTACGAAACGCATCCCTCGAACGGGATTTCCGGAAGACCAAAGGCTGATGGAGCTCGCACGATGGAAGATGGACAAGTGGAGGCAGGAGAAGCTCGCCAAAGAGAGCAGTGCCGTCAATGAATGAATTTGTCTCGGACGGATACTGTCGATATCGCGTTCGAGAATTGAGATAACACCGGGTTTAAATAACTCTACGTTGGCTCAGGGCATCCATTTCAAAGTCTGGAAGTTCCCCGTGTCAAATTATGGACAGTATGTATTTACTTTTCGCTGCTAAGTATATTCCGGTGACCCAGACAGAATGGAATGCAGTCATCTAAATGTCTATGCCTATGTATATGATCTCGTATTATATATCATTCCGACCGACTCACTAGCCGTCTTCGCTGTATACTCGCGTCGCAATCCAAATTGGCACTACAAGCGAGAAACAGCAATGTTAATGATTCCAAAACAGTTTGCGGCCGTTTTCTCCGGTCTTTTGGACACCGTATAAAACTGAAGTCACTGTCACGGTTCCGCTCTTTCGTGCTGGATTGTGGCGCAAATAAGCTTGGCTTGCCTTCATGCATTGTCCTCAGCTTGCGTTAGTAAAGGTACTGCAGCTCGTTTCGGCTTGGAGTACTCCATATCTGCAATAACCCATTCATCTGCAGACCATTGCACGGCAGCCTAAACAAACCATAAGGGCTAGGTTCATTCTGCCATGTCTACTGCAAATCGAGCGGGCTGAAAACACTACAAGCCGTCAGTCCGATGCTCGCTCCGTGATATCAAGAACCGTCCGTTTATTAATGGCCTGCCACAGCTCTGACTGTGTATCAAACTGTCGATGTTTTGTCTTGAAACCGAGGCCGTCGTTTGATTTCGTCATGGTATGCAGCTCAACTGAGTACTCAAGTCATTCTCAACCTGCAAGCTCGCATTCGCATACATGGCAGCGCCACCCGTCTTACGAAGTGATCGGTTCAAAAAAATTAAGCGTAACTAGGTCGTTGCCTTGTCGTAGTTTCGGCTCTTTATGTTGCGTGCGTGCATCGGATACGGTCTCGTACTTGCGCCTCCTTCTGAACAACTGACATTTGACTGACAAGGATCTGGACTACGAGGACTACGAGAGTGCAGAGCTTCCCAACGAGCCTTATTTGACAGATCACGCAGTGCTATCTACTACGCCACAGGCTTCCGGCACCGTCTTCCCGCCGCGTATAAATACACAGTCCTCGCAGGTTTTACCGTAGCCACTTTTCTCCCCTTTCAATCCTATCTGTATAAGGGTACTTCGTCTGCTAGTGAACGATCAAAAATGTTTCCTCAACCACACGCTCTTCTTGCATTGGCGCTCTTTTTCCGTCCGTTCTTCGTCTCGCAGACAGAAGCAAAGTCCTTGACACCGAGCGGGAACCAGTATTACTGTTGCCAGGCTTCGTGGACGGTCGGTATTTTTCTTTTCTTTTCAGTCTATTTGACTGACGATCGCGCGTCTAGGAGGACCAAGAAATTTTCGGCCAAGAATGTGTGCAGTATTCTTGTGACGCAGTCCATGAGCTATGTTGCAGCAATGTCACTGAGGTATGTGACGTCTCATCTAACGCTGTACGCGTCGCTGATGAGTACTTTGAAGAACAACACCGTGACAAGCTGCACTCCATACGATTCTACTGCTCCGTGCCAGCAGTAGGGGAACCTCTATTCCCCTTCCGTTCATCACCTATTACACCGGAAGCGAACACGATTCATCTTCGCTTCAACATCCCCGCCGCCTTCTCCACTAATCAGAAGAAGCGCGGCGACTGGATTTTTTGTATTGAAGTCCCAGGCCGCCGAATGTCGTGTCATTACATACTGCATAACGTTGCGGCGAGCCCTGGCGGTTGCAGAAAGCTGAGGTAAATGGACCGCATACACTGGTATGAAAAAGAGGTGTACATATTGAGGACTTGGTTGTATTATCAAGGTTCCATGTCGTTCATAGGCTGTTTTGGGGGGGCGTGGCTTGGGGGGAAGCCAAGATGTTACCAGCGTCGTGCATAGTGTACATAATTGAATATACTTGTTGTCATAGGAAAGTGCAAAATTGTGATATTGGCGTCTGATATCAATTACCTATGCATTGTACCCGACTCGCTGCCGGATCTGATTTCTTTATAAGAAAGGCAGTCCATAAGTACATTTCCTGAACCAGTCTCAGGTTCATCCAGCGGTACAGAAGTTTCCCACATCTTATGGCCACCAAGTCGCCGAATATCCAGCGAAATGATATCACGAGTACTTGGCCTTAACACCAGATCCTCTGTTATTCCTGCTTTTGGTGATATATCTTCCAGCCTTCGCCGTCTCTTCCATTTTCAGCAACCGAGTCGCGCTCTCTATGCCAATGCACACCTGAGATCATGATGCACGTCGCTTCACTGCCCTTGGCGCCAAAGTTTGAATTAATGTCGAGCGCCCTCGAGCTCTGAGATGTAATGCTGGTCTAGGCCAACGTTGAAGCCCTTGAAGGTAATCGTCGATGTTGAACCGGCCATTCTAATCAGTCCTTAGATGCTACCGCGTGGCTGGAAAATATATGATTCAGTGTGAAAGCCACCTTCCATAACCACGAACTGTGACCCGCTGGCCGCAATCAGTTTCGACTTGAAACCAGTATAGATTCCACACTGCCTTCAACACTGACGTGAAAGCCCATTAACGGTAATAGACCAACTGCCCAAAGAAACCAAGTAGTAAGTATAAACGGCTGTATCGATACCGGGTGAGATGAGTAGACAGTTGCTCGTACTGCACTCAGACAAATTACAATGAGCCTGCAACTCACAAATCGTAACGTTGTCCCGTAAGTAGATCTGCGGAGCCAAACAAAATCGCCCACAACGTAAAGATCAGAATGTAGAATATAGCAACCAGGGCAATTCGCCACACCAAAGAAAACTTCTTGATGATCTTGCTAACGGCAGGAGTCATTCGCCACACCATCATGATAAACAAGATGGGAATTCATGTTAAGCCCAAGCTAGTGCCCTAGAAACGCGGAGTTGCTCCAGGAAGGGGTCATGTAGAACGATATGTTCGGGTTCGACTCCGTCGATGTCACCGACGCTCACGGTTAAATATAATCGACGTCGCAATTTACGGGTCTTTGTTGGACAGTGCTCTGCAATGGTGTTTGGCCGCCATTCATGGACAAATCTACGCAACGAAAGGTAGTAGTATTGTACTTCTGGTCATTTGCGTCGTGATGATAGCCACCTCTCTCCTCTGAGCTCTCTTTGGGGGAAGGCGTCCGAAATCGAATGAGGAACAGTTGAGAAGAACAATCCTGGATAACGGTACCAGCTTGGTTGAGAAGAACAGTGGAAGATGATCAATTCCACGAACACACATTTTGGATACCATTTGGGCTTGATGAGCATTGATACATGCTCGGACCATTGAGCGCCTTCTCAATGCAGCTTGATCAGGACCATTCTCTCTCGCTAAAGGCTATCCTTCGCGGGTACGTAGATCACCGGTACGTATGTAAGTTAGAAATGATAAATTGTCATGCAACGAAATAAAAACCTCGTTCAACTTGTTGTCTTGCATCACTTTGACTAGCTTGCTTCGAAACTATGTCTACGTAGACGGGCCTACGGTCCAGGCAAAGACCTCGCGATTAGCAGTGAATAATTATGAGTTGTTATTAATCACATAAAATACAATGGTCTTCATCGTTCGAATTCAGACGTACACACGACAAAGCTAACGTATTTCTATTCGGGTACATCTATGCCGTAGCCGGAACTGTGGCTGGGGCTTCGGCTAAGCAAGATTGTCAGCTAGATCCGCGCATATAGAGAGAAACCTACTGTTGGTCTCCGCAGGCGCCGAGTCCTCAGTAGCTGCACCTGCAGCAGCGGCTTTAACTGCTTTATCAATAAGCTCCTATAGGAAATGTCAATAACAGCACCCTAGGAGGAAATGACAATTCGTACCAGAAGGTTCTTGGGAATGGCACCCAGCGATGTCCCTATCTTATTTCCATCCTTGAACGCGATGAAAGTGGGCATCTAACCAACCGTGGTGAGACGAAAATTGAAATCGACTACGTGAAATTCTCACCGAAGATACTTGTAATTCGTCCATGATGTCGGGCTGCTCATCGCCGTCGACCGTGTAAAAGTCAACGCTAGCAAATTCAGGTTTCTCCGAGAGCTTCTTGAAGACTGGTCCAATCATCTTGCAAGGGCCGCACCATGTTGCCCAAAAATCAATGACAGCTGGCTTGGGACCGTCGATCTGGATGGATAAACGTTGTTACGGTCCTGACGGAGATAATGGGGTCTACTGTACGCACAATCTTCCTGAATTCCTGGAGAGAATTGATTGCCTGAGGAGCCATTACGGTGGTGATGGTGGTAGATGGTAAAGAAGTGATGGTGGGAGTCCTGATGTTGAATCGATGTGAGGTCTCTTAAACTTCATCATCATGGTGGCTTGATGAGCAATACTTACGGTCACGTGGAGTGACTAATCCGTGAGCACATCGGTTATTAAGATTTTCCTTGCCGATCTCGGAATTCCGTACAGTCCTCGACAGGTCCCACCCATTGCTTGCCCTTAGGTCCAGAGCACAATGTGAATACCCGAAGTAACTGAAAATTATGTCTGAGACTGAAATCGACGAGATTCGTGTGGAACGAAACGTAAGTTACTTGGGTATTACAATTAAATTCTGCTATATTATTTAAATAACATTAATATTTCCAGTAAAGCAATTTGCATCCATCGGTTTTCACATTGATCAAGATATAAATCGCGCTTTCGTTTGCCTCTGCAGATGATCGTCGACATCCATGAACTTTTGCTACCTGGTGGAATATATCAAGAAATAATTCTATCACGTGGGGTAAGTCGTACTTATTCTCAATTTCAAATAATCTCTTTCGGCAATCTCCGAGTTTTTTTTTTCTCTCTCCAGTACCACGACCACATCAAAATGCATTTAATGTACACGCTGGATGCGGAGGGAAATAGAGTCTATACTCTAAAAGTAGGCCCTGATATTCTATTTAGAAAAGACCTACTTACTGACCTTCCCGTGTTAGAAAGTTACAGACACAGGGAAAATCACAAAGTCGGCTCACCCTGGTAGCTACGAACACTCATGTTTCGTGAATCGACGTGCTCAAACTTTCTTGTAGCAAGGTTTTCGCCAGATGATAAGTTCTCAAGACACCGTGTCACCATTAAAAAGCGTTATGGCGTACTTTTGACGCAGCTACCAGCAAAACCCTTGTAGCGGCGACCTGATGAACAGGCTGGATGTTTATTTACATTGGGCTTGCATTGGTTGCTCTCTGAGAAATGAGGAAGACTTTGGGAAAGGCACAACAGGAAAAACTCGCCGGTCTCGAGATTGGTACACGGTTCTACGACGACGATCCTGTCATTGTCATAGTGCTACGTTGAGGACAAGATATCTATATACAATGATGGGGATTATGATACAATGTTTGCACTTGAGCTTGTGTTGTGTATGTATGGCAAGTGGAGATAGTGATATATACTTTTTTCCAGTGACAAGAAATGCAAAGCGAGTGGGTAATTGGCGTGAAATCTGCGGCGGCGGTTATATTAGCGTGACGCCAATAGGGAAGGTGGGAACTCACTATAGATGGGTGATGGTATAAATGAGGAGACTCAGAGGAAGTTCACGCGTTCCAAAATGCGCGAGAGAATGGCAAAAATCTTTCGGAATATTAGTGATGAAGCAGAGGGAAAGCGGTGGATATACGCACGATAAGAGTAGCTACCACCTCTTTCCAACTTCCACCACCTTCAGACTTTTTCTCTTGCGCCTCGTCTTCACACATCTAGAAGGAAAAACAAAATTGGTCAAACATCCCCATGGAAATAAAAACATACTTGCCATAGCGGCTGCCGCCATGATGGTGAGGCTGGGTTCTTGGCGCTAGAGAAAAAACACTAGTCAGAAATGTAAGTTCATGGTAGATAATAGGTAACTGACTGGTAGAGGGTGGTCAACGACGAGCGGGGGACCGTACCTACGGTATGGGTGAAAGCGGAGCATATGGGAGCGTCTGTAGGATGGAGTCCTGAGCTGAGATGCGTGGCGGTCAAAGTTTCTAGCCGTATACGGTGGAGGGGGGAAACTATCGTGCATTGTAGTGATGGGGGAAGAAAAAAGTGAGTGAAAGCCTCTTTCTCGCCTCGAGCCCTTAAATAAGAAGACCGAGGTCTGAATTTGGTTATGCAAATACACTTTTTGCAGTGGGAACTTTGTGAAGCATACGCAAACAAAATGCAGGGAAGTCCACCAACGAGCGATTCGTGAACGACATGTGGGCACCGGTGAGTTGAGTTGATCCTCTGCATAAGTTTCAAAGTATTGAGAGAAACCGATGGTATTCCAGATCTAAGGTGAAGGTTTGTAGCTATCGGTGTCATCCTGGTTTCGGTCCTTCTCGGGCTTGTCGATGCTCGAACTTCCAGATTAGCGGTGCATCTTCGAGTGTCGAACGGGTTGTGGTGTACCTGCGGCCTCTTGGACTGAACTCGATGCTGGTCGGTCTAGTGGCTTATTTCTTGATCTTTGGTGCCTTCGGTGCCTCAGGGTGCCTCCTTGCGACTCGAGATTTATATGGGCATTCGAGGATCATGTGATCAAACAATAACGCGCCATCTCTTAATGTTAAATTGTCAAGAAATGGCTCAGTATGTTTCGTCCATATCACTCGCCAGTGAAATCGAAGCTGATAACTGCCAAGTGCCAGTAGTAGACCGAGGAGATACCAGAACAAGCAAGAGAGACAGTTTCTGCGCAGGCCCAGAATTTGGATACTGTCAACGCGTCACGTCTCGTGAAGCCATTCTTGACGACATCGACTTGCCAGCAAAAGAATCTACAAGTAGCAGATATTGCCATCAATCAATGAAGGAGAATCTAAGAGTCAAAAGAGTGAACTCACTGCGGAACTGTGTACTCCTAGCTCTCAGCCTGTCATAAACGATGACTCTATCAATCACCGTCGTTCCCATGGAAGACTCAAATAAAACCTTTCCAAGGCCTTTCCCGAATACGAAACCATGTTCTCGATAAGGCCGCAAGGGTCATACAGCCTACGAGCTTGTAACCGTCCCGTTACTAGACGTCTTCCTGGACAACAGTCTTCCCGCTCCAATGGGATTCTCTCAAAGTGCCAAAGTTCGGCCTGGGAAACCAAGTGAAGACGTCTGCTGTTTTCATAACCTGAGTGGTGAATTGGGCAAGCTTTGACATAAGAAGCTGATGCCGAGCGAAAGATAGTGAAGTACTGCAATCCAAGGCTGCAGGAAAGGTATCATCGTGCTGGATATCTTTCAGCGACAGACGATGGTGAACGTTGAGGACAAACTTGGATCGAGTGGCTGCACCTATCAACGTCAAATAAATCGAATTTCAACGAAGGTAAATGGCAATTACTTTTTCCTTGCTATTCCAAATCCTTTGGATAGTCATCGCTTAGCTCCCTACCTCTCTCCTTCAATGCTCCGACCGCTGGCAATTTTAACAACTTTTATTCGGTCCAAGGAGAACGGAAATCGCAGGAACTCGTTGAATTGACAATGGAATTTTTTTGGACCGTAGAAAGTGCTCGAAAAGTCGTCCTTTCTGGAGGCCAGGTGTCTCTTGCGATGCTGAACGTGCTTGACAGCAGCGTTCCGGCGAAGAGCATTGAAGAATAAACGACCTTTCTCCGCCATTGTTCTCCCAACTAAGACAGAAATTTGATCGCTCATTGTTCCCCCCCCCACTTGTTCTCTTGTCCTTTATCAATGTATATCAGCACTAACTTCCTTTTTATTTTCCCCTAAGCTCGCTTGACCTGGATTCGAATTGGCGACATTACACCCTACAAAAGCAAATCCGTCAATTTGGGAACCTGACATGTAGGGCAATCCGTGCCTGTGTCATGCCGATGGGTTGTGAAGACTCGTCGTTCGATGAAGGAACTGGTTTAGGCTGTTGGAATTGCCCAGAGCACATTCTATACACAACCGTGTCGCCGTTTCAACGAGTGGTCTGTAAAATTCCCGTTTGGATTTATCCCTTTTCACCCTCAATCACATAGAGTCACGCTGCTTTCTTTTCTCGGACGAACGACCTCCTCCACCAACAGCAAAGCAAAGCACAAAGGCGTTCCTAACGGTATCGGCAGTGAGCGAGGATTGTCGTTGATGGTCGTATGCTATTCCGATTGATGGGGATCAAACATCGCTAAGTACATGATTTACCTCCCCCTGTGCAGGGGTCTACTAAATTACTTGATACGTTCCTAGCAGACGCTTGTCGTATACAACAACTTGTACCGTCCTAAAGATTCTATTATTCAAATGCTATTGTACCATGATACGCTCTGGCCAACGAATATCAGGCATGTGTTAAAGTAGATTTCAAGCCCAGGGCCATATTTCGGTCAACCACCACTGCCCACTGCCCACGGCTCGTTTGCATCTCCCCAGGCCGTAGACTCCTACCTATGCTCTCAGGCTTGTTTGAGTCCACCTCCACACGGACATCCCTCAGGTCCAAGGCAGTAGATCTACCCGGCGAGCGATTGCGCCATACCAACGATACCCCATTGGCATTGTACACAATCTGGGCCCTCTGCAATGACGGGTACGTTCGCATGAGTGAGGGGTAGAGGTATACAAACGCCTTGGTGGCTTCACGTATCTGTTGCAACGGGGTGTTCCATGTCAAATACGGATCCCCGATATTCACGCCGAACCGCAAGGTCTGGATACAGCAGTGCTCTTCTCCTTTCAGAAGTGCAGACCAATCCAGAGCGGAACATGCTGCGTGCTTGATGACCAGTACCCGCAAACACGGGAACGCAGCATGGATATGATGAAGCAACGCAGAAGCGAGTGGATTGCAGTTGATTTTGACGGTCAAGGACTCAACATGATCTCGACCGGGCTGTTTTACTCTATCCAGTGATTTTTTGAGACCCTCTGGAGAGCACGCAAAGGAGATATCGATCGTCTTCAGTCGACGATCATTGGCGAATGCAGGTAAACAAACGTGTGGTCCTTTATAGAACTGAAGCTTCGGGACGATATGGATGGGGAATGAAGCTAAACCATGCTTCGGTACTGGCTTGTGGAACGGACGTAGAGACAGTCTCGTCAGCTCGGGGCACTTATTTAGCGCCGCAACGAAGTTATTATTCGACATTATACAGTCGATGGGCACGTCGAGCTCTGACAAATGCCAGAATGGATTAGGGTGTAGGATCATAGCGACGAGGATATCATCTGTAGGCCCAGCCACAAGTTTTTTGAGATGAGGTGAATGAAGGAAGCGTGACAAGAACGACGGGTCGATATGAGATCCACGCGGTGGCACTGAATTGTATAGGACAACCGTATCCAAAGGCATAGGGACCATGTCAGATATCCGGGGCCCGCTACGATAGCACGAGTCCAACCAGATTGACTTCAATGAAAGGACCCTGAGACCATTAATCATGCGCTTTGACGTAAGGTCAACCTGGTAGCAGACCAACTTCTCCAGATTCACAAAATTTGGAAGAATGTTAAAGATAGAGTCGACAATGTCATCCATCGTAGACCACTTTTGTCCCCCATCTCCAAGCCGAATGCCGCGGGGCACTATGTAGCATTCTTCGATGACAGGCGCGATGTGGGGAAGGAGGAAGAACTCGGATTGCTTTATCCATCGCCTTCGGTGAAGGTACGTGAAGCCACGATCGGCAAGGGATGTGTAGTACGGATGTAGCACGAGTTTCCGGAAGAGTAGCGGCTGACAGAGGGAACGAAAGATGCTGGATAAGAGTGTCATGGATTTAATATCCTCATGAGACAACTCTGCCAATATTTTCCGCCAAACAGTAGCTGGGAATCGAGAGACAACCGCATCTGAACCACCAACAATGGGCCTCGGTATGTCGAAGCTCGTTTTCGCACTGGAGGTCCCTCCTAGCATGATTGTGCCTCTTCTCCACACCTTCTGGTCCCATAACGAACAATTGGACGTCGACCGATGTATGTTTTCCGTGCTAAACAAGAGAATATTTGAGAACTAAAGTCAGCTTAGCGAGTATCATATATAGAAATTCCTCACGATCGCGAGATGTACATAACCTTGAGTCTATGGTGGTTATTAGTTACAAGTGATATCTGCTGGGGGAAGGAAACATACAGTGAGAACGCCTGAGGGCTGTGATTAAAGTCCCGAGTTGGTCTTTAAGTAACGCGGTCCTTGTCAAAATCATGATGCTATGATGACAGACACACATCTTTTAGAACGGCGTGATCAATGCTAGTTCCAACCAAGCATCCCGTTGCAATAGTAGGTCAAGTCTAGGTATTAGTGTGATGGCAAAGCTCTACCTTGTTGGGGGCGCGGTCAGATATCGGTCGCACTGGACCACTAGAGAACACGTTGACGTGATGCATGAGTATCGCGGGAAGATCATCAGACTGGTGTGATGTACATAGAAGCCAGTCATTCAATAGATTTTAATAGATCCCTGCGAAATTAAATTATGTATTGTGACAAGATTTGGTGTACAGGAGATAGGAATATAGGTTAAGTAAACGCGAGTCGAGGATAGCCAAGAGCAGTGAATTAACGATGGCTGCTCCAGCCGCCTTCCTGGATCATCTGGGCTCGTTGAGGATTCATACCAGTGGGAAGAGCAGAAGGCTGAGGAGGTGGGAAACCGCCCGGCCGAGGTGTTTGGTACCCATAGGGAGGTGGTCCATTGGCGCCGTATCGAGGACCGGGAGTGGCGCCTCCATATGGATTCGGTGTCCTTGCAGGCTGTCGAACAGATGCATGCCCCGGAGTAGCCTGTCCCGTACGAGCAGGAGTCCGGATGCCCGCACCAAACGGTGTCCGACCTCCTGTGTTTGCCAAATTTTGAGATTCGTGAAGATGCCTAATGGATATCATCGAAATGGAAGGTATAATGAGACTTGCACTGTTTACTCACCGTACTTTGAAAGCATCACAAAGTTCGGGCACTCCAACAGCTGCAGCCTCGAACAAATAGTATGCTTCCGGGGTTACGCGTACCGGCTAGTATAGCAGCGATCAGCTTTAGAAAATCATACCTGGGGGACCGACATACCCATGTTTGCACAGCCGATTGCTTGTTGGCGAGGAAACAAAGGCTAAAGTGCCCAGGCCTTTTCCGATTGAGTGTGAATCCATACATACTCTTCGCGGGATTAGCCGCTAGCTGCTGCTTCAAAAAGAGATCTACGGAACATTTGTGTTAACACTGGTTTCGAAGATGCTGGATGAGGTGACTTACGTAGTTCATCTTCTGAACCTTGCTTAAAACGGTCATGGGCCATCAATTCCTCAACGCGACGAGCCATCGCTTGCACATGGTTGACAATTAGTTCGTCCAAATCAGCAGTATCGATGAGACGCGTCGACAATAAGCTGGCTACCAACTGTTTGGCCAGTGGGATCTGCATTGGGCTCCGTGACATCTGTCGTTGATATCAGAATATGAAACATGATTTGTCGCAACTTGACACTCACCGATATGCTGATAGAGCTTATCATCGACCTTCCAATGTAACTGCAAGATGGTTGGCGCCTTTAGATGAAGGACGGATAACCACGTCGCCACGCTGTTGCTTGTCGAGATAATTCTCTGCTTGTGCAGTATTGAAATTGTGGAAGTTGGGATGTTTGATAACCCGCCGGTTTTTGGCGCCTTCTGCCCGTTTCTTCCGAGCGAGTACTTCCTGATCTTTTTCGTGCTGTTGGTGATCCCACTGTTCGTCAGGTCGTACACGACGGAATGCGCTGTCACCTCCACCGACATCAGACTGTCGAGTCGATAATTCTACCATGAACTGATCAGTCTCCAGACTGAGCTTCACTTCTATGATGACACCCGGCACGGCCATGTTTGGAAGAAGATGGCTGCCATTGTCCATCATGAACTCGGGTTGAACAATGCCCTCGATGCCAGAATCCAGGCGAACATGAGCGATGTTGGTCTTGACACGCTGCACGAGAACAGAGACGATCAGGCCTACACGCAGCGTCCGAGGAGTTTCTCCGCTCAGCATTGTGAGCACGTCCCAAGGCTCAAGAGCAGGCCAGCGGTTACGTTGTTCGGCAAATGGCTTCAAGAGCTCTTCACGAATGACGTTGAGCGTATGCCGCTTCAGCTCCTGGTTGGCATTGAAAAGACTGACAGCAAACTCGTCAAGGTTGAGCTCCGAAAGTTTCTTCTCGTTGTCTGGATCACGCATGATCATAGTCACAACATGTGATGGGTGTTCATCATGTATGTCTTCTTCGTCTAGTTCCAGGGCATCCGTAGCCATCTTTCGAGCCAATTCATAGTCCTCCGGATGAATACGAGTATCGTCCAATGGATCAGGGGCATTATCATCGTCGTGACGGTTTCTCATTGACTTTGATTCCGGTTCTTGGTGTATACGAAGGAAGCCTGCAGCATTCAAGAAGATCTTGGTAGTCAACAGGCCACCTTTGATGAACTGATTGCGGTTAACCAGATTACCACCCTAGAAGATGTTCTTATGAGCAGATTGGATTTGAACTGCTTAAAGTAGCGACATACCTGAGAAGCAATTTTCTGGATAAGGACCTGTGCTTTCCGTGGGCCAAGACCGCAGACGAAGGGTAGCAATAGTCCGTAGTAACTATCAGCCGCTGCTCGATTGATATCCACGCCGACTTTATTGGTCACATCAACCAAAGTCCGCTCCAACGCCATTAGAAGTTTCTCTCGAGGAACCTGGTACAAATGTCAGAGAGATGCAAATACCATTTGATCAAATACTCACAAGATGTTGATCGTCTTCGTCAAAGGTCACTGCAGCGATGTCAGAGCCCAGAGCAGCGTACTCGTTCAAAGGGTTCTGAGCGTATCGGGCCATACCCACACAATACCTGGCGGTTTGTGACAGGGCATTGAACTCTTCCGCAGCGCGAGGACTATGCTGATATATCCGAGCAGTCTCGTCACGAATGTAGATGACAGGAATGTTGAAATCCGGGTCGGGCTCTGCATCTTCACCCGTTGCAGTTCCATACTTGAGAATTTCCTTGACACGATACGACAACTTCGCAGTGGCCATAGTGAAACCGCCAATGACAATGACATCCGGTTTACGGCGCTTGATGAGATCGAAGAATTCATCCTTCTGCTCTTGGTCGAACAGGTTATCAATCCTTGTACTCTCACGCATGCGACCTGCTTCGTCCATGAAGACAATGGAGATGGGGTCCCTCTGAGGATCACCTTTACCCCAAGAAAGCGCCAAGACGGATGCAGTGTCACCAAAGCTCATTTTGGAGGTGAAGTACGGTGCAACGTCAAGACGCTACATATGCGTATTTATGAGGTGACGTTCAGAGAAAATTTGTAGTTCTTACCTTCCTGAGTCCTGCAGCACAGCCAGCGGCTAGGAAATCTTCGACTTCATCCCGCAAGTATTCCCGCATCCATTTGACGCCGGCAGGGATCAGATGTTGGGTCAGGACTTCTTGCACGATCCGAGCGCGCTCTTCGTTCCAAGCCTTTGCCGACTCGCTGAAACTATCAGATGCAAATGCGTCATTTAGTCTTCGCTCAAAAGCTGAATATGCATCCGCCGGGAGGAAGATGGAGATGGTCACTAAATGTGCATTTTCGGCCGCAATCATGTGGAGAAACTGCGAAGACGTCGTCATTTCACGACCGGATTTGTTGAGTAGATATTTGAAGTTCTACAAATTTATCGTCAGAACGGGTCCCCGGAGGAGAAGAAAATGCCTACAAAGTATGGGTGGTGTTCATCAATCTTCGTCTTTCCTCGCTCGGTAGGAAGTACCGAAACTAGGCCATCCTCTTTGAAAGCCTGGCGGATGTGGTTCCGTAGCAGGGGATCCTTGCCTAATTCCGTGGCAATGATCATGCGTGCCTGGCGAAGCAATTCTTCGGCCGGAAGGGCTCTTGCAGGGTCCGGATCAGCAAACCTTTCAGCATATACTAAAGGGTTAAGGTCCTGGTCTTCAATGAAGTGCACGTGGTTCATTGCTACAAAATTGAGGACCACCTCATGCGGTTGAATGCCAAATCCCTATTCAGGTCAGCAAGCAGCGCTGGATAAGAAGTTAGAGACGTACTTGGGCTAGTCGAGAAACAATGCTCTTCTTGGTAACCTCGTAAATTGATACGCGACTAGGCATTTTATGCTTCTTAGTGGCGTCGGTCTCTTCATCATCATGGAAATGAAAGGCTTCGTTGGGCTTCTTGTTCTTGTACTTCATATTCAGCCACTCAGTAGCATCGGCTACAACTTCGATGCCGTCTATTTGTGGCAGGATCTCCTCCTCAAAGTACTTGTCACCAACTTGAAGGCGCTCGTAAGCGGCCGTCAGCGTATTTCGGCGTTCGACAAGAGATCGATATTTCTGGCCCAGTGAGTAAATCTTCCACAGTTCCGACAAGCTGAGGAGCTCGAAACGCGTTCGAACGTCGTTGACATCGAAATAAGATATGTGATCGCGTTTATGGGTCCAAATATATGGTACTTCGTACTCCTCAATGAAGAGTTGCCTGAGTGTGAAAGTGACGGCCAACACGAGTGCACCTTTCAAGTCTTGATGTTTTCCGGTTGGGCTAAAGAACTCCATGGTCTTTCGGTGAGATAACCGTTGACTGACCCATAATGCAGCACCATTCATGTCGTCGGCAGTCAGAGGCGTGTGTAGAGATAGCGATGAGTTCGGAGAAATGGACGATGTCGCAAGTTGCATTCGCTCGGGTATGTCCTGAGCACGTATCAGATCATCATCTTCGGTCAACATTCGAGCGCGGATGTCAGTTGGCTCAAAGACCTGAAATAATGCTTAGTGGCTCCCACTGACGTAAAAAAAACAAAAAGCATACATCTTGGTACTTTATATCTGGTTTGGTTTGCTCTTCGTCATAATCATACTCTTCGTCAGCTGCCAAAGCCCAGTCATAATCATGACCATCGCCAAATACATCATGGATCTCCTCCCATGCACTAGAAGTGGATTAGAAGGGAAACTATAAAAGAGGAAAATAGTCGTACTTTGCATCAATTCCAGCTAACTCTGGCCGTATTTCACGGGCTTTTTTGCGGCGTTCCAGTTCCTGCCTCTTTCTTTCCTTTCTCCGCTCTTCGCGAGCCTGCTCATCCATAGCACCACCCTCGTCCTCATCTTCGTACTCAATGAAATCATCCATGTCCCCGTCTGCATCTTCGTCATCTTCCTCTCCTCGTCGGTCATCATCCCATATTTTGTGAATATCTTGAACCCGGGGCAGTTCATCGTCGTCGTCCAAGTCATCTTCAGAAGACTCAACCACTGCACGACGTGAAGAGGACGCGGCCGGAGGCGAGTCTGATCCATGCCTAACGAGACGTTTGAGACGATTTCTCTTGAATGAGGTACCTGTGTTTTCTTCCAGTAAATCTAGGTCATCGTCTTCCAGCATCTCTTCTTCCTCTGCTACGAAAGTCAGAAATTCTCTAGCCCAGATGTGTCGGAAATGCTTGCCTCGACGCCTGTGGTGTCTCTTTCGACGCTTCTTTCTTCGTCGCCTGTCCTCTTCTTCGTCATCAGAGTCAACTATAAATCCCTGTTTTATCTTCCTTTCCTCCTCAGGGTCGTCTTCGTCTTCTTCGGAGCTATCGTCTGAAGCCCCAGGCATTATTACATCGCCTTCACCCTCTCCATCGTCGCCATGATCGGAGCCGTTCATGGGAATATCCTCGTCGGGAAATGCCACCGCGTTGGCATCGTCTAGTACAGGCGAAGACATGGCGTTAGTGTAGGTCCAAGTTGAGACCACTGTCGAGGAAACAACTGAACAAGGTCGAGGATCCGCTTGCAGCATTATGTCAGCATAAGTTTGCTTGTTGTGACACGTTTGTGACATGACGTTATTGTGACAAGATGGGCACGAACCTCGACGAACAGCTCGCTTTCATGCGCCTTGCGTTGGCAGAGGCAGAGAAATGCCAGGCATCTCCTACAGCGTTTTGCGTAGGCTGCCTCCTAGTACTGAGATGGCCTGATGATGGTACACCTACCGTTGTCTCTACAGGTTTTTCTAGGGAACTCGAAGGAAATACACACGCTGAAGCCAACGCCCTTACAAAACTACGCTCTCTTCCACAGGAAAAGCTTGCCCATATATTTTCTGCCTCATCTGTACCATTTTCACTCGACATCGATGAGATCTTGACTCGTCTCGATGTATATACGACTATGGAGCCCTGCTCCGTCCGAACCTCTGGCCTTGCCCCCTGTGCAGATGCTTTGATAGCTGCAAAAGTCAGGCGGTGCTTTATCGGTGTAGGGGAGCCGGACGATTTCGTTACTTGCGAAGGTGCACAAAAGCTGAAGGATGCTGGCATAGAGGTTGTGTGGTTGAAAGGTTTGGAGGAAGAAAGTCTTCGAATTGCTCGTCGCGGTCATTAAACTCTCGCAGTATTTCTTTGCTCGATAAATTGCCGCATCTTATGGATGACTCTATCCCGAAAAGGGTTTAGTGTGATACATGTGTAAATTGTCCTACCTTTCCGTTCGTTGGTTTCCAGTATTAATCTATTTTGTTATAGCTGTGGAAAAATATCATACGATTGTACTCGGGACCGACTATAGCCTTTCAACAGACGCACATTGAGCCGTTATTCTCCGTCTCGATTCATGGCATGTTTTGCCTGAGCGGGTGAAAGTAAAACGCTCTACAAATCGACCTCCATCAGGTACATCAATTTCATTCGGAGAACAACACCAGAGAGTTATGCCGGCATTCCACTGGCTCCTGGATGTCATGCTAAGAACCCCAAGGCGGTTTGAATCTGTCAACGGTGGTCGATGTCATATACATCGTATCAGCCTGAAGTCTTAGGCCTTCGACAAGCTCCAGACACCTCATTCGGTGGACACCGCCGCGCTCTGAGCGCTTGGACAGGCGGACACATAACTCCAAGTGAACCAGGAAACCCGCTTTTTTCTAAACCTTTATCATGAGACCTTCAGTCAATTATGACGAACATTAATGATCTGTGGTGTTCTCTACCTCTAGACCGAGAGGAGATATATCAACATCGGTGGTCTTTATTGCCGTTCGGACTCTGATCGGACGTGGAATTATACGCAGGCTGGACCAGCGTAACTGATGTAACATTTATCGGGATGACGGGGATGACGAGAAAGCAAGTGACAACGGCAACGTAGAAATAACGAGGGGCGTGGTAAGGAAGGGTTTCTGATCCTCAATTTTATCTGATAAGATAATATTTGATTTGATGCAGCATGGCATACTATCTGATAACAGATTATCAGATAAGGAATGCCGTTTTGGACGTGATGATCAGTGTGGTTCGCATTTCTTGGCAGGCTCCACTCCTTCTGCCTCCTTGCGGCACCTTCTGCGGACTAATTCCCTCCATCTGGAGCCCAACCGCTGGTTTTCCTGCCGAATTTAGCCCTTCAATGACCTAGAACTTCATAATGGGGACACGTTCCGGTTCCTTTTCGAATGGGTGTTTTTTTGAGTCCAAAATGGTATACTCGGCAAATTTGACGTCTTTCTGTCGTGTTTACTCCGCTTGATTCCGTATAAAATAACCCCTACCTTTCTGGTACTCTTAAGTCGACTTCCACGACCGTTTGGCACAGATATGCAGCACGCCGACACGACTTTTGACCTCATTGGGCTCGGCTTCGGTCCCGCCAATATTGCGATTGGTGGAGCTCTAGTAGAAGGCTGGGTACGTCCCGTATCTTATCTTATTTCGATATGCCCTCTAACACTCCCGATCTGGAAAATAGAATTCGTGTCGTCAAGACTATCCTATCAAAAAAGTTCTGTTCGTCGAGAAGCATGCAAAGTTCCAATGGCACCCCGGAATGCTCCTTCCCGGTGCTCGTATGCAGATCAGGTGCTTGCTATCATATTGAATGAAGCTGTTTTTTTTTTCTCATCGGCTTTTGTTGTTATGCTAGTTTCATGAAGGATCTCGCTACTCTGCGTTCTCCGCAGTCTCCCATCACTTTCTTATCATACCTCCACAGCCAGAACCGTTTGATCAACTTTATTAATCGTGGTTCCACTATCCCCACGCGAAAGGAGTATGCAGATTATCTGTCATGGGCTGCCCACTATGTCCAAGACCACGGTGTCTCAGTCTTGTTTGGTACAGAGGTAGTCGGCGTTGACTCTGCATCTGACGGTCTTCTCGTCGTTCACGCCAAAAACGTTGCCAGTGGCGAAGTCACGTCGTACACGACTCGTGAGCCTTCCTTCTCTCGTACCGACGAAGGGTTCTCTAATCTGTTCCTGCGATTATAGGCAACCTGATAATCTCACCTGGTGGAACTGGCCGCGTCCCAGTGCCCCTCGTACCCCTCATCGAGCATCCTCTCGTTATCCATAGCTCGACTTATCTGATGTCTGTTGACTCTATCATCGCTTCAATTGCTGCCAAGGGAAAAGGAAGTCTTCGTGTCGCTGTCATTGGGGCGGGTCAATCCGCCGCTGAAGTTACTCTCAACCTGCGAGAGAGACTGACGAGCATACCTGCACCGGCCGGGAGACACCAAATCGATATGATCATCCGCAAGGGTGCCTTGAGGCCCAGCGATGATACCCCATTCGCTAACGAAATTTTTGATCCCCAAGGTATGTCCATCTCGCGTGATGTGGAGTGCTGCTGTTAATCGTGCTATCTTCAGCCACTGATGCGTGGTTTTCTCATCCATCAAATGCTTCTCGCACTACGCAGCTTCAAGAATTCAAAAGCACAAATTACAGCGTGATCAATTCTCTTACCCTTGAGGCAGTAAGGATGTCCAAGTTATAGATTGCAGCCGCTTTCTGATTGATGTATCACAGCTCTACGAGGTCATCTATGGCCAAAAGGTGGATGGTGACATCGCACGCCGAACCAACGGTCCAACTTCTTCTATTCCTCTAATTCACATCCGACCCTATTCCTGCATCGTTGCTGCCCACGCGCCCGAAGACAATGGTGACCCTGATTTCACCTTCACCATCCAGCATGTTCTTTCCTGTGAGTTAGAAACAGAAAAATATGACGCGATTATCTGCGCTACAGGCTACCAACGAACGTCCTGGATCGACCTCTTAAAAAATTCCAGCGTCGGTAAGCACTTTGGCTTATCCCCCGCATGTCAACCGGGTACTTGCCAGCCTCATTCCGGACACAAAGAGGTCGGTGCCGGACAATGCGTTGGATTCTGCCCTGCATAATGCCGCAGGATCACCCTCCTCTTCCAATGGAAGCGCTGTGAGCACCCCACCTACGTCTCCAGCTCTCTCCGTAGCCGAATTGGAGCATCATGGAGACCACAAGGTATATATCAGTAGAGGATACTGCCTTGTACCCACCGACGACGGAGGTTTGAAGTCCAGGATATACTTGCAGGGCGTTGAAGAAGCCACTCATGGATTGAGTGACTCTCTTCTCAGTGTTCTGGGGGTTCGTGCTGGAGAAGTCATTGACGATCTTTGCAAGGAGGCTTGATGTGGATAGTAGTCGCGTGTCACCTAATATCCCAAGAAGACCGGATAATGGGCCCGAGATTGATTCCCGACCCCCGGCTTCAACGTTTCACGAATGAAATTATTGCGACACTCGATGTGTTCAGGAAGTTGGTTGCCATAGCTTGTCGTGGGCTTGTGAGAGTAAATTTGAACAAGGATAGGTATGAAGCATAAGGTGAGAGTGGTAAGCTCCTTTCCATGGGTACATACTGTTGGGGAGGATAAGTACTAGGCGTATTGACTCAAAACCACAAGTGTCCTTTCATCGATAAAGTAAAGCTATGGAAGGATAACATAGAGTGAACCTGTTTTGCTGTTCGTGTTAAATTTCGATAGCACTTTAATCTCTTGACAAAGGGACCATTCTGTAGGACTCTTGGGCTGTATTCTTCATATCGAATGTCTCTATTGGTACGTCCCTAGGGCGACGGAGAGCATTCACTGTGAAAAAACATGTTTAGTCGCTGTTATTGAAAGTTATCTGGAACCAGTGTACCTAAGGCATGCCAAGTTAACTTTTCACGAGAATCCTTCGAGGGATCTGTGAAAACATAAATCCCGACCATGGTAACCGCCTAGTTAGGGATTGCATGTCATTTCTTGAGAGTTTCAAAGTCCAGTCACTTACGGAAATGGACAAAAGGACGAGGCAAGGTAGTACGCCTACGAAATCTGTGTCTGGAGTCAGTTGTGAACCAACGCTGTATCGAACATTAAGTACCCAATATATCACCTGGAATATATCAGCATGGAGAATTGAATTAACCAGAAGCGGCGTACCAAATCCGTCTGGGGCTCCAGGCATGCTTGAACGTAGCTGAGTAAAGGCAAACACGGTCCCAACAGGAACTAACGACAATCTCGTTCCTCTGCTGGAAGCCGAATCCTACAGTCATGATCATAACAAGACATATCATGAGGGTGATAAACCCTGGTTCCATGAGGAATCCATGAGGTCTATTTCATAGGCACAAAAGAAATCGCACCGACAGAATGTGATGGTGATGACAAGGCAATACCATATTACTAACGTCCCTCGTTGCAGGGTAACTACAACATCGATGACTTCCGGATCACCGTCCTGGGACGAAGAACCATCGACCTCCGTCGAGATTTTGAGACCTCTTAACTCTGTTTAGTTATTAAGTCACGGAGCAGCCGGAAAAACTTACACGGCCAGTCCAGAAGCTGAATTGAGAGATAATGATACAGTATCATTGGTACTCGCGTCCTCGGCGAAGCCAAATATCTCAGCGAGGTAGCTGTTCAATGATATCAGTCGCACTTTCAACAAGACGGGAACGGCATCACCGATCAAAGGGATAATACACCTGGCTTGAGCGTGTATGTCTGACCGAATGTTTAGTCCAATCGTAAGGAGGAAATACGGCAAGTTCTGTCTGGAACGTCGGGATATTGGAAAGAAAATCGTCATATGCTGTGACATTCCAGACGAATATGGGATCCACGGGTCTATTATTACCGGAGGCTCCGTTAGTGCTCGCATCTGAGTGAAGAAGATTTCTGGAAGAAAACATCAGCATGTCTAATCAAAAGCCTATGAAGTATAAAACCCACGTATCAAAATAAATATTAACACCTGTGCATTCCGAAGATTCCGAATCGCAGCTGTCACCCACAACGGTCCAGTCAAGGACCATGGTTCCTTGTTTCAAATCGGCCGATATTAAATCCGCATGAAGGTAAATCTTTTGCTGTGAGTGCAATGGTGGGTCAAGATGGCTGAGAAGCTCACTTTTCGAGAAGCGCCGTCCTGAGGTAAAATCGCTGTCACTATATTGAAACTCCGTGGGATGTAAAGTCACCCCCAAGAGGATACAGGTTATAGGAATAATAATGAACAAAACCGAGAGAAAGAAAGAAACAACGCCGAATCTTTTTTGCATGAGGAGGGTAGGGAGACATGTTTGACTTGGCCTAGCCACTGTTCGCTGGCAATCCCGTAGCAAAGTCGTTTGGACAGAAAAAGTGTTGTCAAGGCCTATATAGAGCCCTGGAAAAAAAAGCAAACAAACAAACAAACAAGAGACGCGGTCGAGTCGGGTATATTCAACCAGGGATCAACGAGCGTTAATCAGGTTGCTGTCATACAAAGGTATGTAGTTGCTGAGTGAAACATGAAGAATCGTGCGGTGGATTTGATAGGCACCAAGAATTGATGTAATTTGCATTTGCGTACGATGATAATAGTTACCGTATCAGTAATGTAGCGCTACATACGTGCGCTTGCCGTAAATTTGATGTTCACGGCCCTGGAAAAGGGGCTATTCAGTATGATAAGTATCTCCCAAAATAATGTAGAACAAGGTCCTTGTAGCACAGTTGTGTCTGGTTTGAGTCAGCTTAGCGCCTTCCTTCCGAAAGTCGCGTATGGATAATGCATCCATAATGTTTCATTATACGATCTGTTCAACGAATGATCACTTCTAGACCCATATAGACAATGGGACACCTACATCATGCGAGTCTAGATACATTTGTAGTGATGCCATCCATCCAGTTCCAGGCCTCGGCGGTAGATTTTTTTTTGTAAATCAGTTCCCGCCAGACGGTCGGGACGTGGTAACCAACCTTGAATGTACCCTCGTCCACGCAAGAGCGCCCATAATCCCGACACAATCATGTAGGATGCTTGGCGCCGGGTGTGCGCCAGGTGGTAGGCCATCCTGTAGATTTTTGTATGTCAAACATTGTGCGTATAGTAAATTATCTGAGTGGAGTATTTTTGTCCAGCGGAGGCAACTGGGATAGCCGTTCTAATGTAATCGCTCTTTCTCGCCTAGATGGTCGGTGAATAGGCTGTGGAGGTGAGAACCACGAGAACCTAAACACAGAAAATGACTGCCGTATTCTTTACTGCCGCTGTGGGTATAATGACGCTGAAAACTCGGCTGGAATAAACGCTGTCTTCTTCGTTTTTGACTTGAGCGGTGACTTCGAACTCGGATTCGGCCATGGAGGCGTATTCGGAGAAGTTTCAATAGAAAGAAGCTGATATGTAAAAGGGGTGCAGAATTTAGCTGGCGCTGGTGGTCGCTATCAGTTTTTGGGCACTGAGCGCTGCTGAGGAACTTGCCAGGGAGCATTGATCAACAATGATCGATCTAATCACTGGATCAGCAGCAGAGTGCGACTGACACGTGATCAGTGAAATTTTCGCGTAGGTCTGAGGTCAATCTTGATCATGGCGCCAACACTGACCCGTGTAAATTGTCTCATTAAACATTTGGGCTTTGGCATCAACAACTTGCACGATGAACAGGATTCCTCATCATTGGTTTCTCAACCAACTCTCACTACTTCTTCACAATAGCGACAGCAGCCGAATGAATTGTTTCCTGAGAGGGACGACACGCTTTGTGTCGATTCCCAGTTATGTTGATCCAAACGCCATGGCTAATACACCTAAACCAATGAAGACATAATACGTTCTGCAAGTCAAGTCGGTGTTCCCTGCTCAATACACCTGTACACTGGTGGGAAGTGCTTCCGAGTACTTGTTAGAAGTTGTATTACCATAAAATCCTAGTTATGTAAAATTGACGATACCCAAAATTTAAGTAGATTTACTTTCCCGAGGGTGGAAATCAGCAGCATAGTACCCATGGGGGCTCAGTAGCGTCGCAAGCTTCTGATGTACCTCTACTTCAAAGGCCTCGAATGGGAATATCTCCCCGTCGACAGACAAAGACCCTTTAGGTGAGAGCGGCTTCATTCTATAGGCATGCGCCTTGATGTAGTGCAACTACGACAGATAAGTTTTACTGAAGTGAATGCGTGGTGCGGAAACATACGCTGTCTTTCCAGAAGTGACCACCCTTTGGCCCTTCAGCGAGATCGTGGATAACTTCGCCTCGTGAGGACTGTTAACAAAAGGGTTACACAGGAGATAGATGCAAGGCTGTGTGTTTCGTACCAAGGTCTGGGCAACTATATCAATCAATCCATCATCTGGTAAAGAGACGGGAAAGGCCATAAAATCGCTGCGTGTTCCTTAGTCAAAGTAGCTTCATGATAGCTCGGAGCCTACCGTCCAACAAAGGGTCCCTTGCCAGCATATAAATAAAGAAGTGGTTTGTCAAATGTGATCCATCCCTCATCCGAATCATGAGCCGTCAGAGGCGGTAGCGTCGATTCGGAGCTATCATCCACAGTAGGAATGGAACGTTGGCTCGCAGACTTGTCATTTACACGTCTCGCGTAACATTCCTGTGCCATCTTGTCCTTGTCCTCTTCGGCTACTTTATAAGAAAATTGAACAGCACATGGCTTAAAAGTGACCACTACGCATAATTACAGTCAAACGTCTGACGGTGGCATATCAACGGAATCCGACTTACACCCGCGAAGGAGCCCGTACACAAAACGTGTGTCGCCCATCCATCGTAAATGTTCTGTTCCGAGATCCAAGTCCGCCATGAGGCCCATGGCTTGGGACATGAAAGAAATCGAACGCTTCCCGTTCTGTACGAAGGAAAACACATCGACCTTCATCGGGAGACCTATAAAAGGACTCAGATTAGCGCGATACGGAAGACCTCGCTGATCCCACCTTTGATTACATTCAAGGCTGCAGCTACCACATCGAAACCATCCTTCCAAAAGTGGAGAATGAGATGGAACACTCTAAAGACAATAGAAGATGTGTCATTACCGCCAGGCCAAGGATGTTTACAGAAAGACCGTTTCCGCTACCAGTAGGAATAGGCGCAATTGGGATAGAAAATGCTTTCATAGGATATTCATGATGAGCAAAGCCATTCATGACTTCATGGATCAGACCATCCCCAGAGACTGTGATAATAGCATCATATTCCAGCGGAAGCACCTTGGAAATTTCATAGGCGTGATTACTGTGTGTTGTGTCTGAACCAAAATGAATTATCAATTCGAGAGAATGTCAGGCTTAGCTTACATTGTATGTCCAACATACATCCACCTGCACGCAGGACAGGTTCGACAGTTTTGGTGAAAATGGCAGCACCCTTGCGCTATCACGGAAGATGAGCCACCAGTCAGGAGCGACAATACGGACGCACAGTTCCACCGTGTGGGTTGACGAGGACTTTTACCCGACGCCCTCGTTTGACACCCGCATCTGTCGAACCATCAGTCATTATAACAACACGACAGAGCCGAATGACGTGCTTTCGAACGCTGCCTTTAACGCATTGTCAGCCCATTCCTTGACGGCGCTAGTTTCGCTCTCCTTCACTGTCCCTTCAATACGGACTAGAGACAGGTTTCCTTTAGTTTTCTTTCTCCATACATATGAGACTTGAAGAGTTAGGGTATCGGGATGAAAGTCGGCCTGTATAAGTTGATGAAAGGGTATATCCTTAAGTTCTGTAGCAAGTGAGGTGACAGAAATAAAAAAACATGCATAGACACGTACTACCACTGCCCTTCACAGTCAACGAGGTATCTGAATAAGTTAGTGTGACAGGCTTCCCGGACGAAACGACATGGAAGGTCAGGGCCTGCTCTCCCATCCTCCAGCAGCTGAGACAAACCAAAGCCGTTTATGTCGAACACACGAAACCGGCCCCGGGTACCGCATTGACCGGCAAACACGTTTTCCATCAAATACTTCAGGTAAACATTCATGTGTTCTCTGACAATACTTTCTTGCTTGCACCGTCAAGGGTATTTGGGTCATCAAACAAGCCAAGTAACCGCGTGGGAAATAAGATAGAAGATGTCCAGACTCTTAATCGAGCTTGTTCGAATGGTGCGAAAGGTTTGAGCTGTTCAATCGTTTAGGCTAAAACTTACACCTAAGTTTCTTCTCAACGTAGAGCATGTGCTACAGGATTGCTTAACGCTTCGTCATCTCCGCAGTCACCAGAGTAATAATATAGTGAAAAGAGCTGGACCGAAAAGCCGAAGAGCTTCCCACTGCCAATTCACATGACACCAGTGGATTCCTACATAATCTGTCTCTATTTTAAAAGATTGCGCACATATCGTGCTGACCAACAGGTATGGTTGTCGTCCACAACGTTGCCCAAAGTGGTTTTGGCGCTGGGACGAACGAACTCTATGACCGGTGAGAGCTAGCGTTGTGGTCGACTAGAAATGAAGCAATCTTTCTGACTCCTACGTTCAGAGCACGCCCATCGTATCAATCCAATGCCTTGTCCGCGATAAGGGAGGCAGTGAAAGCTTCGCCTCCGTTCAATGTCGTCGAGTATGTCCGCTTACTCCTGCTCTTCGCTACTCTTTCGAGCTCATCGATGGACATAGTATCGGTGCTGGCACAGGTCTGTTCACCAAAGCACTCCTCAAGCATACAGATTTCTCCAGCACAATCAAAGAACTGAGGGCCATGGAGCCTAGCGCTGGAATGCGTGACATCTTTGTCAAAACCGTTGAAGATGAGCGCGTCTCTGTGAGGGAGGGAACTTTTGATACCACCAATATCGAAGACGGCTGGGCCGACCTTGTCACAATTGCTCAGGTACGCAAATTTCATGGTATTGAGCTTGCCGTTCCATTCTGATCAATTCTACAGGCATTTCATTGGTGCCCGGACTTTGATGCTGCTTCCGCCGAGTTTGCTAGAATCTTGAAGCCAAACGGCATCGTAGCTATCATCTGGAACGTTGCTGATAGGTTCGTCTCTTATCTCTTCACGTAAGCGGCATGTGATGATTTCACTCGACAGAGATGCGGCGCGATGGGTCGCTCAACTAAGGGCCCAAGTTGAACAGCATGAACCAGCGGGCACTCCCCAACAGCGCCAAAATCTATGGCGCAACGCTTTCGACACAGAATCTTATAAGAAGGCCTTCCAACCTCCAGTTGAGAAGACTTGGGCGTATACCTTACCCTGCGATGTTTCGCTCGCGGTTGACAGAGCCACTACTACAAGCTACATCCAGAATTTGCCAGCCGATGCCAAGTCTAAAGTATTGAACGAAATCAAGACCATTGTAGAGCGAGGCGATGATAAAGTCTGGATCAATGAGAGCGAAGGCACGTTCGAATATCCTTACCAGACTCTGTTGGTTATCGCACAGAAGAAATAATAACATCAAATGAGTGTATTCCAATAATTTCCTTGAGGTCTAATTGAAAGTGTCAGGGAACTCATCAGAACTGTTGCTGAAAGCCGTTATACGAACTTGTTTCTGACCGCGAGGCCGAAGGGATAGCATAGCGAGCTTGGTAACGTATTACTCTCATCCCTTGTTCTATTCATTTTTACGATTACGATACTACTCCCCTCGAAAGCGGCGACTTGTAAGAGTGAGTACTTATTCTCGGTGATGTTCAAGAGTTCATGATTTCGGAAGGTTGTTGTCTGATGCTACTTCAGTTCCATCTCCGTTCCGCCTACGTCCTGCATCAGTGGTGCTACCAGAGTTCGAGGTGATTTAACTAACGATGTTTGTGCGAACTATTGGACAAACTAGGGATTCGATGCTTCGCCGAAGGTATTTTAAAGCAACAAACTTCGTCCGTCCATCAGCATGGCGTGCAAAAGATTCTGAGATTGCGCGGGTCAGCGCACAATTCTCCTATCGGCACCAATAGCAGTATGTTACTGTAGATGTCGGATATTTTGCTTAAAGGAATAAGAACCAGTACTAAATAGTCGTTCGATCGACATACGGGAAGCAGTCCTTATAAAAGATCAAGAGCGTGAACGCGAGAACAATGGTGTCCGCAAGTTTGTCATATCCTGAATGAAGCTGATGAATCCCAGTACCATCAAACTCGTTCATCTACTCGCCAAAGATAGACCATACGGACACTACTTATTCACGCTACCCGAAGTGGTGACGAGCTCTCTATTATATAAATAAATTCATCATAACGGTACTTTGTTGTATAGGACTTGGAGGTTCTATGCGCAGGACCTTGAGGGGTTTCTACTTCTCAGTCAGGGTTGGGGGCAGCAATTAATAGTTAGTTTCAGCTTGCAATGGTATCTGTACGAGATGACTGTTAGTAGAATGAGAAGGATGAAAGACCTGAGGAACTCACAGCCTGCTTTGCTATCGTATGATTTAGAGGCGGTTGTTCAAAGGGACTCGGAGGGGGAAGATCCATCAGACGCTGGCCCTTCTGGAAACTGCACGGTCCAGGGTACGTTGGACGACATGAAAGCAGTGGACCCGCACAGACGGATCAAGCGCTGTGGCTAAAGAGGAGGAAATATTCATCGGGAGACCAGCCTGAAGAAAATGATGGAAAGGAGCGGTGAAAGCCCCATTGTCGTGGTTATTCAGGAGAGTATAAGCATGTGGTGCACGAGCCTAACCCTAACCGTTACGAGTCTGACATAATAGAAGTGAAATGCTTGACATGCGAGTCTTACTTGTTGGACGTGATAGAAGTGGACACTGAAAATGTCGGACGGACCTACTACTTACTGTCACAGGAAGAATATCACAGAGCCTGGATTCCGAGTAGATCAATCGCATTTCTCACCCAACAGCCGTGACCAAGGTCCAGATGCCGGCCCGCTGATCAAGAAGGTGTGGGTGGAAAGGAGACACGAATTTACGTGACAAAGGCACCAGAACCACGATGACAAGAGAAATCATCCCTAGTTCTCGCGGTCTGACTCTTGAAGACCAGAGAATAAGTGCAAGGCAAGGAAGGAGTAATATTGAAGCTAGAGTCCGTACTGCGTGGTAATCCAAAGAAATTCACCGAATTCTCAATGGATATCTGTACATAATGCTAACCGAGTTCATTTCGATTCCGAAGGCAAGCTATGAAGCCATTTCATGAAATGAGGCACATCCTGAAAACAACTTCAGTGCACGCTCTAAAAGAAAAGAAAAAAAAGACAGAACCTCCGCAATGGTACTATTCATCGTAGCTTCTGCCAGGAAGGAAGGTATGAGACCTCCAGGAGTGCTTGAAGTTGCCATACGCCACTCTGTATTCCCATTCTCCAACGTTGTCAACCGTTCCACGCTAGCGTATCGACCCTTGACACCTTTTTCTTCCAGCTTCGCAAGGTCAGCGTCTTCTGGCGAAGATAGATCGATCGGGATAGAGACGACCACCCTGAAGATACGTAAGAAAACAGGTGCAGAGAGTTAGCAAATCGATGAACCCAGTGTGGTGCTCGAGAGACTCTGTGGGATAATTATGCACGATTTGAAGGACAGTGAAAACACGCGGCTGGACGGGCGGCGTGAACTTGTAATACAATGTCCAGATCGATTGCGTAGGCGAGATTTCCTTGACTTTGGTAACCTTGTTGATGTCTCGGACGTATCTGCAGGACGACGATTACGCGGTATGTCCTTGATCGTCGTTGTGCTTACTCTTTCTCATTCTCAGCTTTGTTTGTGCCCAGCTTGGCCCACATCTGGTCAAACGTGGCTTCGGCGGGGGCGTGCTCGCTTACACGGCAGTGCCATGGAGCACCATCACCCGCTTCCTTGCCGCGAGAGTAGGTTTTGACTGTTTTGTGGTAGGTTTTGCCTGGTTTCCAGGACGAAGTTGATTCGAGGAGCGATTCTGCCGCAGAGAGGATTACTTCTTCAGAAGGAATGTCTGTACGGACATGTCAATGCCACGATAAGAATACAACATTTCGATGTCTTACCTGCAGGCTTAAGGGGCGTAATGGTAAGCTTGAACGAAGGCTCATCCATGTCTGAGTGTGGGAGTTGGAGCTAAAGATAGAACAGTGGCGTGAACTTTGAAGAATTGATGGACAAGGTCATAAGCAACAACAAAGAAACTCAGAATTCACTCTCGAAAACGTGTCATAGTGGTATTGGTGCTCGAAGATTCTTCAGACCAAAGTAACGATCCCGGCCAAACTCCTCTTCGTTACGGGGTAGCTTCTCGCCCCGTGTCTGCACAACTCCAACGTATCTGCGTTCTCCGAGCATGTATTTCTCCTTGTAAAAGCGCACGTAGCCTGGTATTGAGGCAAAGATGGTGTGATCACGACCCATTCCGACCTGTGGCATCGTCAGTTACGCCGTAAGTTGGGAAGCAGTGGCGACTTGCATTAGGCCCTGGATGGAAAAGGGTTCCTCGTTGCCTGACAATGATGTTCCCCGGAATAACATACTGATCTGCAAAAAGAAATGAAGACAATGCGATTGAAATGACCATCCAAGACACACCTGAGAACTTTTTGACACCTAACCGCTTTCCTGGCGATCCACCATGATTAGATATTGTTCCTCCCGCACGTTTGGTTGCTGTCCGCACAGCCCCAACGCCTATTGTGCGGATAAGCGAACAGAGAAAAAAAAAGAAGAGAACAAAGGTAAAACGCACCGAAATTAGCAAAAGGACTTTTTACAAGGTCAATGGACCTGGCCAGAAAAGACATGGCAATCGTTACCTTTGTTCAGGGCTGAGTGGCACGGACCTCAGTTCTTTTGTCGGCAAGGTCCGGATTTGGAATGTCACAAGACTGTCACGGGGTTGTCACCGCCTATTTAGCCTTGGTCTGCTACCACCATCTCATCAGCTTATACTCCCTCGTCTTCTCTACTTCAAAATGGTCCACCTCGTCACATCTGATAACGAATCCTTTACCACCGAGAAGGACATCGTCGAGCGCAGCGTCCTTATCAAGAACATGCTTGAAGGTCTGCTTTGCTGTTTTCATCTTGATTTGCTGTGGCTCATCCTGGCACGTGTAGATGTCGGTGAATCCGACCAGCCCATTCCGCTGCCCAATGTTTCATCAAGCGTTTTGAAGAAGGTGCGCTCATTTCCTTTGCTTTTTGTTGAGTCTGCGTTGCTTAGTCTGAATTCAGGTCCTTGAATATTGTGAACACCATCGGGGAGAGCCCCTTCCTGCTGCCGATGCCGACCAAAGCCAAGATGATACGCGCAAGCGCACAACCGACATTAGCGAATGGGACCAGAAGTTTATCACTGTCGACCAGGAAATGCTTTTCGAAATCATTCTTGCTGCCAATTACCTGGACATCAAGTCTCTACTGTCAGTCTCCTTTTTACCCGCCTTTGTGCATTTCTGACAAATAATCTAGTGATGTTGGATGCAAAACGGTAGCTAATATGATCAAAGGCAAGACCCCCGAGGAAATTCGCAAGCTATTCAACATCGTCAATGACTTTACACCGGAAGAGGAGGTGAGTTTCACTATGTTTCAAGCGGCTCCGATTCTGATGTCGCCCCTATCCAGGCTCAAATCAAGAAGGAGAACGTATGTTTCTTTGTTCTTTCGTTTGTACTGATAACTGACTCTTTTTTTTTCCCGCAGGAATGGGCTGAGGACCGGTGATGGATTGGCTTGTATCATTGTAGTAGATATGCGTATTCTGCTGTCGTTGTCGAACTGTATTTTTTCTCCAAAAGCACTTTATAATCTTCCTCTGTGTTTGAGTCCGTGGATAAGGTCGCATTGTGGCAGTGTTCTTCTGCTTACCTAAGTGCTCGCAGTGCAGTTTACTGTTCAACCAGCGACTGTCGGGGACGAATTGGATGCCTACTGTTCCCGACCTCCCTGGCACGCTTGTGCCCCCTGATCAAGAAAATTGGCTCAAATCGAACGTCGCGCGGCTCTGTCATGTCGACCACCAGAGGTGGGTGCCAGTGGGTCCAACTATCCGGCAGCGCTCATCGCACCTTCTTTCAGATTCCCCGGAAGCCAGCCAGTAAGTTTTGGCACGAATGACCTCGACAAGTTGGAGCAACAAGAGTACGTTTCTTTCGCTCGAAGGAACATTCGTTTCCTCACACCAAGTCAGTTTCTGGGTCTGCGAAAAGTCGGATGGGATTCGCGTTTTGCTCTTTGTCTTCACGGACAACAACACCAAGGACCAGATGGTCTACCTTGTGCGTCGCGGAGTACTTTTGCACCCAGTTGTCGACTAATGATTGGCTCAGATTGACCGCCACAATGCGTATCGCGAATTAGCAGGACTATACTTCCCTCACCACGAGAACCCTTTGTATCCACTGCGAAGTACCATCGTCGACGGCGAACTTGTCATTGACGTTGACCCAAGAACCAAACACGTAAGCGACCAACAGATCCCACAAATTTCGTTTCCGACTTCTGATTGTAGGAGACACTGCGATTCCTCGCCTTCGACTGCCTCGTTGTTGACGATCAAAATGTTATGTCAAGACCTTTAGACAAGCGTTATGGGGTGCGTCTGTCACATCTCAAGGCGCAGCACTCAACTGAACGACTCTGTAGAGGCTTAACGAGTGGTTTCACAAGCCGTATGCAAGGATGATGCGAGACCATCCACATATGGCGAATACGCAACCGTTCGAGTATGTCGGGTGAACCCCAATCCTTGTACGCGGCGCGCTGATGCGAAAAACCAGTATCAAGGTCAAGCAGATCAAGTCATCCTACAACGTAGAGCAGGTCTTCAACGTCGACATCCCAGCTCTGCAACACGGGAATGATGGCCTCATTTATACCTGTGTCAACACCCCATATTCACCTGGTACAGATCCGAATATGTGAGTGTCTGTCTTCCTTCCACATACAAGCTGTCACTTAGCCATCCTCTTCGCCAGCATGAAATGGAAACCCGCATCGGAAAACTCCATCGACTTCAAGTTAGTTCTTCGCTTCCCACCTCTGGCGTCGAATCCTACCGTGCCGGACTTTCACGCCAAGCCAGTATTTTTACTACAAGTCTGGTGCGGCGATGAACGCGGGGTGGCGAAGTATGAACAGTACGATGATCTATACGTCTCTGATGAAGAGTGGGAGCAGTAAGCGTTTCTAATTTTTGTTTCATTACGCGCTTAATGACCAATGTCGTATAGGATGAAGTCGTCAGGCGAACAATATGACGATCGTATCATCGAAGTCCACTGGGACCCCGCAGCATCACATTGGCGCATGATGAGATTCAGAGATGATAAGCCAAATGGTAATCATCGGAGCGTCGTGGAGAAAATCATACAAAGTATAGCTGATGGAGTCGAAAAGGATGCTGTAAGACTGTCATCGTTACTGGGCCTAATTACGCTTTTAACTGACTCTTTTTCGAAGCTGTTGGCGCGTTCCAACGCGATACGGAATGCATGGAAAGCACGGCAAGGCCAACCAGCTGCTAATAGGCCGGCAGCAGTTCAGCCACCCAAACCGGTTCCACGACCCCCTCCGCTAGAAGTCGAGCGACGATACGGGCCAATCGCGTCGTCTCCTTGGAGCAAAGTCTCAGGTCCTGAGACCATAGCCGGCATGAAACGATGATCACAACTTTACCCTGGGTTTTCGAACACTTCGTATGGATCGCGATCCGCCACCACAAGGAATCCCGTCTCATTTCTAGCTAGTGGAGCTTGTCATCTGGATGTCGTTGAATGTCTTTTGGTCCAGATTGTTGCGTTGGGATGGTTCCTTGCATCAGACCATCAGGTTGCTGGCATAGGGTGTCCCTTTTCCTATCATCGGGCTTGATGAAGGTGTTCTTTTCAACTGGCGCGTCATTCAGTGGCCGCAGCTGATCAAACTTGGAGGGTTCCGATTTTATTGGTGGTTGCGTGGGAGCTTTTCTCCGATATCACCATAGGGTATGGGTTTATTTGGATTTGGATTTGTAGATTTTTGATCTCAATGGAAGAAGCCATTTTTACACACAAGGTTTCTTTATTGCAGGAGAAACACGAGCTATCATCACGGGTCGTAATCATCAAGAGGCGTATTCGCAAACACAACAAAAAGGGAAATGAGAAAGGAAAACAGATGCACATGGATGTCTAGTCGTTACAATGGATTGAAGCTACGGAAAAAATGTCACTGCTACGTGAATTTTGAAAAAAAAAAAGGCAAACGATATATGGCGACAGTGAGAAAACGTGAATAGATTGGCCTGAGTAGACGGCTGTCCGTGAATAACAACGATAAAGACAAGCAGAGCAATGCGAGGTGGCTATTGACCTAGTTATGGATAGCTTCCAAAATCGTAAAAGTCGTGTCGTGCAACGATGCTAATGAAGTGTGAAGAGAAAAAATGCAGTGCAATGCGGTGATGAAAGTGTACGACATGAGGGAGATGCAAGAAGAAACAATGAAGATGGTGATTCGCGAGATTGAAGTGAATAGATGGAACACTTTTGAATGATAGATAATGATTTCGGCTTCCCACTCTAGTTGAAGAAATCAGGCGAGTGAGAAGACAGCGGGGAAACTGCAAAGTCGGCGTATTGACCAGCAGAGTCGCTATGGAGGGAAAGGAAGTCCGCAAATGAATGGGAACGGACGGTGAGATACGAGGGAAGGCCAACATTGCGCGCCCGTCTTGTCATCGGGTACGGAGGCAAATCAGCATCATGGGCGCCGAGATCGAGATATTCGAGGTCCAGACGCAGGCCTTCCACGGATGTTTCAGGCAACTCGGGAGTAGATTCCAAGGACGACGACGACGATTCCTGCCCGTGACGGCGGCGACGAGGTGTCTCTGGCGCGACAGACAAGGGAACCAAGTCCGAAAAAATAGAAGACACCTGACATATGCGATCAAGACCGTGGACAACAAGAAGAAAAAAAGTGTCTACCTCTGGCGAGCCCAAGAACGGGCTCCACGACGACGGAATATATGAGCGCTCAACCTCAGTGTATCGAGGGGGCTCAGCGCCCGTCAGAGGGTCACCAGCAGTATTTCGGACGGAACCCGGGACCTGGTCGGACTCTTGGTCACGGTTGGCGTCCTCCGACTCCTGCTCAGCGTCAAGGTCGCGCTGCCCATCCACGACTCTCCACCACTCAATGTCCGCCAAGACTCTCCTGCCAATCGTTTCTGAGCCAGACGAGCGCCTATGACCTCCACCATGACTGCGATTGCTGGGACCAGCATGCTCAGAGGCGGAGGGATAAGGTGAAGAGCGAACGGTCGGCGAGGAAAAGGTACGACGAAGAGAGGGCATTGGAGGACGTTGGTGGACCAGGTCGCAGCCGCCTAGCGCAGTGCAGTCCTGAAGAAGGGAAAAGTCGAGGACAGGTCAAAAGTCGGGTTTCGGCTTATATACCGAAATAAAAGAAAAATAATAATTCAGGGAAATGGGGATGAAGTAAGCGCTTCAAATGCCAAAGTCAATCCGATGTGACTTTGTGAAAGAGACCGAGTGGAAACTGATCCTACCGTGCCGCACCGTTGGCAACTTGGCACCCATCTGCTCCCTGACCTTGCGACTTCCGGTCTATTACCCGCCCGTAGGTACAGACCCTGACGACCGTCAGCCATTCGCAGTTATTATATCTGCTACAATCCTAATCCTTGTTCATGACAGCAGCCTTGTTCCCAATTAGGTCACTACGTCCACTCAAAAGGCCACAACGTCCGGAGTGTCTCCAACGAAATAAAATCCCTTCGTTCTCTGTCCATTTGTCGGCGCAGCCAGGACAGACTGAAGAATTGTTCCCCAATGCTCCCGTCTGGAAAAACTTCAGGGCAAGGGCCACTCGTGGCGGTATTCGCAATCCACGGATCACCGGCACCCTCCGGGAAACAATCCATTCCCTCACCTCCATTCATCTCTTGACTAACCGATTTTTGCTCTATGGGCTCTGGAAAGCCCTTTGGAACGTCTTAACACCCAAAAGACGCGTAAAGACGCGTCGCGTCTCGCGTTTTTGACATAACAAATACAATGGCTATCGGCACGGCATCGCCCCCATCACCACGATGCACTTCTCTGCATGCGCTACCTAACCTTGCTGGGGATGCCAAGTAGCGACGCATATAATGTAAAATCAGAATAATCAGCTACTCGATATCCACCAAATCGAAGCCTTCACTTCACCTTGTCGCGCGATAATGCGCGTCTTAATTACTCTACAGGTAGCGGTCACCATGTATGTAAACACGGACGAAGAGTGGATGAAAGATGATGCCGCTGCCTTAATTAATGAATGGCTCACTCAGCTAGGCCGTCAGCGTGGGATTGCAGTCTCACTTCTTCCAGAGATGAGAGGGAAAACCGTCGGAGGCTTCGCCGAGGCCGCTATCATTTCACAGGAGGAATGGAGCCTATGGACCAATAGTTGCGCGTGTGCATCACACTGGGGAAACATCTATGGGGCCGACACATGATATTTCCCAGCATGACATTACAGGTACCGGCGGTGAGGAACTTGCTGAGCTGCAAAAAGTTAAGCCAGACTCTAGTGTAGCGCAGCGTCTGACAACCGAGGACAACCGCCGTACGTCCTTTCGGGATGCGCGATACGTCTGCGTAACCGTCGAGACCGTCAACGAAGAAGGAAGATCCTACTGCAAATCCTATAAGGATCCCCGGAAGCGGCGAAAAATTTTATTTTTACATACGAAATATGTAACCTGAGGTATTAAATCTGTCGGGATTTGACACCCAGCGAACAGCTAGTACTTGGCTCGGCACCTGGGTCCACTGATCTTATAGTACCGGTCAGTAAAGATGAGCACATTATTGAAAGAGGGTCCCATCCTAGATCCCTGAAATACGAAGTATATGATGGTTAATCATACCCATGGCTGAAACACACGAGGCTCACATTTCTTTCTCACTGCCAAAATATTGCGTCCGTGCCTACGTGACCATGATAGGTCGGGCTTAGGGCATCCTACGCGGAGGGCGCTGATGGACGGGTCTTAGCCCTGAAGAGTACGAAGACCCTGACGGCCCTGACATCTTCCCCACATGAAACAAATGCTCGAATACAGAGCCCGCGCACGGCAATGATAGTATTCTGTTAAGAAATGCCTGATGACAACATACGTTGCTGCGAACTTGACGTATAGAGCGTCACCGTATATTGAGGTCGTCATCTTCGTTCGTCAGCCCGCGGAAAAGGATGTTTGTCGGAAAATATATGTATCCGCAGTTTGCCTGTCATCGCTTCATCATTTTGAAGGGTTGGATCTCTACGAACCTTGGAAATAGGTGTCTTGTTCTCAAGGTTCCATGTGAGAATCGGTGCTGGGATCTTGAGAAGCCGCGATGGTCGTAACTGTGTATACATATCATCCCTGGCTGCGATGCTGGAATAGGATCTGGGAATGGTCACTTTGCGATCCCGTGGGGACACTGCGGGCCGGCCCATGTAATTGGGTTAAACGGACTTCATGCAGTTTAGATTGCAGTCTGTAACGCAAGTAATTATTAGCTCACTGTGAAGACTAGTTGAGCACTCTATAAGTTAGCATGCATAAGACTCACCAGTAGGCATTACAAATTGACAAGCACTAATGAAGTCAATTCAATGAAACAGCGGGTAGCAAGGACAAATCCGCCCTCATACAAATCGGCTGCGTCGGACTTGGAAGGGAAACGGATAGATCACGATTGCATGGATAAGATGGCGATTTCATAGCAATCGCTCATCATTAGTTCGAAATAAACCGCCTTGAAGGTTTCGGATCAGGTGTTATACAGAATCGGTGTCAGTACATGCTAAAAACGCAATCGGAATAACTAGAATATGACTGATGGTTAGCCGTTGCCAGAGGACGTGTACGCGCAAGAAACTTGGTCGTTTTATGTCCGAAAAGTGGGATGAGGCAAAGGAACAGTGATTGATTGATATACATGATACAATGGCTGTGCGTTTGAATGAGGCTAGGGACTGAATGGACTGAATCAAAAGCGATTCCGTTTCCTCAGAGGCTTGGGAATCTCCTGTGGCGCTCTGCGGTGAAGATCAGTGGATGGGCTTCAGAGACCGGTAGAAGCTTCTTACTTGCGGTTCTTTCCCTTGGTCTCTGTTGGCTCATAAGGTGGCGCATCCACATCCATCCTCATATTACTTTCTAACAGCGTGCGTCTGCTGCTGCTGCTGCTACCTTTGGTGGATGCATTCTTCTCCGACACTTCTTTAAGGTTGCTCTGTAACGCTAGCTCGTACTCGTCTTGGCGCTTCTTTGCTGCGGCTGTCTCAGAAGATATCTGCACAATCTTGCTATCAAGAGTGGAAAGCACGGAAGATGTTGCCGAAGCCCTGTGATTTTGATATTAAAAGATGAAATGGCTTATAATGATAGCTCACCAATCCCGCAGGGCAGCCAAAACAGATTCTAGCTTGCCTGGCTCGAGATCTCTGCCCATCGTGTATTCCACTTCAAGCTGACCTTCCTTCTGGTCCAGCTTCCCCCGCAGAATGTCAAGGTAGATGGCATCGATGATCAAATCTTCGAGTTCTCGTACGGTTGGCATGTCTAGGGCTTTGAGAAGTTCAGAGTAAGGCAGAATCTAGTTTGACTGTTGGATGTTGATTCGAAGCCAGACTGTATGACATACCCGTTTCTCTGTTGCCATTGACACGATTGAAAGGTGTTTCAGTTTGATGATTTGGGCTTGATTCAGAGGTGGAAGCTCGTCCTTGTGTTCTGATATTAACAGTTAGCTGGGTTCTGCGAGTCAGTGGATTGCGCACGAAGATAGTCCTGGTACGTTTTGTATGCGAATAGCTGTAATAGACTCAGGAACTTCCCATGTTGCTCGCTCTTGCCCAGCTGCACTCGATCTCAGTCTTTTGTACAGAAGATGATACCGCAAAGGCGCTACCTCTAGTATATTGGGCAGGTCCAGCAATTCAGCAAACACGAAGACGCCCGGAGCAGAAGTAGCGTCTTGGACAAGCTTAGCCGCTGCTGCACCTCTCATCGACTTCGCCATTAGCAAAAATGGCTCCTAGCCTTGCCGGAAATTTCGTTCCCAGCTCCATTGCGATGAAAAAAGTTGAGTGATGATGAAAGTCGAGAGAAGGGGCTAGTTCGGCTTCCGAGTTGATGAAAGTGACAGAAAGGGTAATTCGCTTTCGCCGATCTTATCTTATCTCTTTCAAAAACCATTCGCTTCTCTTGGTCCTCTACTGTCGTGTCTGCCCTTGGTCGAATGTCTACCACCATCTACTACTGGCTCTGTAATCAACCCTGTCAGTCTGACGCTTTTCCAGGCGCTGCCTCGATGTCTTCTTGCTGTTGGGGTAACCGGATGCGTTGAATGGCTGGTTGAAGACGTGGAAGACTCCCTCGTTCAGGAAACATTGCGTCAGAAGGGCTGCCGTGGTAATGCTGTTATTCCTTTGAAGGAAACAGAATTTATCATGCCCGGTTTCATCGATACACATACCGTACGTGAGTTTATCTGGCACAACGGGGGGCTTTCATCTCAATTCGGCTTGCAGCATGCACCTCAGTTTCCGAACATTGGCAGGTAAGCATGTGCGCGCCCTGCTTTATTTCTGTTGCTGACACCTGCTTAGCGGACAGCAATATGAACTGCTAGACTGGCTTTCCAACGTCACCTTTCCTGTGGAGGCGAAATTCGCGGATCTTGACTTCGCACAACGTACCTACTCCTCGGTTGTATATCGAATCATTAATAATGGAGTATGTCTTGCTCCGTTGTTATGCCTGGGTGATTGTTGAGGAGAACCTTCATTTCGGTGTCAGACTACAACTTGTTGTTACTACGGAACACTACACCTTGAAGCCACGAAGCTTCTGGCGGATATAATCAAATCTTACGGTGCGCTCTTTTCTTGTCTCCTTCTTTCGGTAAATTTGATGAAGCGGTCTTATTCACAGGTCAGCGTGCGTTCGTGGGGGTAGGTTCATGTGCTTACGGCAGATATCATCCGCGTGGACTGACCGTGTTCCTATCTTCAGAAATGCAGCATGGACAGAAACTTGTCCGGACTACTACTGTAGAGCCATCCTGCAGAAGCCTCTATTGATGCGACGGAATCACTTATAGCCCATATTCGGTCTCTGAATCCTGACCATACACAGGAACCTCTCGTACAACCGATCCTGACACCACGATTCGCAATATCGTGTAGTTCTCCTTTGCTCGCATCTCTCGGCAAACTCGCAGTCCTCGGATACTAGCCTAAGAATACAGACACATATATCAGAAAATCAATCTGAAATCGAATTCACCAAGGAATTATTTCCTGACTGTTCTTCTTATGCGCATGTTTATGATTCCTTCGGATTGTTGCGCTCCAACACCGTCTTGGCGCACGCCGTCCACCTTGAACCCCAAGAGATGGACCTCATTGCACAGCGTAAAGCGGGGATCAGTCCACTGTCCAACCAGCAATTTCAATTTGAGTAGCGGTGTCGCGCCAATCGGAGAGTTCTTAGGACAGAGGCATAAAGGTTTGTCTTGTTCTTCAAGGAGAATGACGGTTGCTCTATCTATTCTTCTCCAGGTCGGCCTCGGCACCGACGTTTCAGGCGGATACTCCCCATCCATCCTCAGTAGCGTACAAAGCGCTAGTATCGCCGCTAAAGTGATCGCCATGAAAGCCAAAGAATCGAAGCCGATGTCAGGAAACTTCAGTGATCGACAGCTTTCCGTCGCGACACTGTTGTATCTCGCGACGCTCGGCGGAGCTGACGTTTGTGATCTGAACGAACGTGTCGGGTCGTTTTCTGCTGGAAAGTCATTTGACGCATTGATCGTTAATGTTTCTGCCAAGGGTGACATCCCTTCTATTTGGGATTCAGGAGCGGAAAAGAAAGGGAAAGCGGTCCTTGAGGGCATGTTGGAGAGATTCCTGTTTTGTGGAGACGACAGAAATATTGCGAGAGTGTTTATTCAAGGTAAACTTGTTGGAGGCACAGAGTTTTAATTTCGGCCTGAGTATATTCCAGACTTGTGATACAGATATTGTTACGTTTCACAGGGTATTACAAGCACAAACACAAGCATATTATAGAATACAGTAGATCCTTGTCGTCGCGAATGTCATAGAATTCTAAGTTGCTTATAGCCACGGTATAGTTACCGATCACCCTTGTACTCGCCAAACTCCCACTTGAAACAATCCTGAAACCACGTCAAACGAGAGTCAAAGTTAGCAACGTGTTCACTCACCACGCAGTCTTCTTCCTCTCGTGGAAGAGGAACATTCTGACCATCTTCCCAGTCAATAACATCCGCTTCCAGGACTTTGGTAATGACATCCTTAATGACATGTTTCCTAACGTCTACCTTCCACCCTAGTACGTTCACCGTATCGAATACAATACTCTTCCCGAGATGACATCTAGTCTCAAGGGCATAACCAGCCTGAGAACAAGGAGAACCAATGCCGGTGCATGTTCCCTGAGGAATGGGGTCACCGGTAGTGATATACGTGTGTTATCGGAACCGGAGAAGCTGACCCGTTAAGAAGAGGTGGAGGCAGAGGAAGGTGTAAACGTTTAGCGGCTAGTCGTTCGCCCGGTGCTTCAAAGGCAACAGCCGGTAGACCAAACGTGGAGCCTAAAAGGCTAGCTAAGGCACCTCCCAGCGAATGCCCCACAAGCCATATGTTGGCTGTGGGGTATATGAAAAGTAGATCTTCTACAAGATTCTGCGCGGCCTTTGTCAATGCCAGAAGCATACAACGTACGCAGCCACGACACTTACGACACCAACAGAATAGAATAAACTGTCTTGGATTAGTGCTTCTGAAAGACAGGTATTATCACATCGCCAGTTCTTCGCATAGCAATCACAGACAGTACGAAACACCCAAGAGATATCCACTCGAGCACAACAGCACGAGAACAGCCTGTTGTAAGATGGTTATCAGCAACATGCATAGATATGTACCTGTGGAGTCAAAACATACAGGTTGTCATTGAATTTATCCTTCTTCGATGAGGGCCCTTGTACCGTAGTTCCCTTGATGGACAAGATGATGGTGGAGTTATCGGAAGATATAAATACATGGCCCCGAAACCCGTCCGCAGGATCCTCCCATCCAAAAGGAAAGCTCTAAAGATAGGTAAGTACGACAAGTACGGAATACAAGGGTACGGTTGCCCACAGTATTCCACGAGCCATCAAGATCGTACCAGTTCTTCCTTCCAGGAAGAGCATAGGCATTACCACTCATGCGGGCTAGCTGGGCAAGGGTGTGAATATCCTGGACGTCAGGCCCAAGGACTTCGACGGCATTCCATTCCTACTCTCTCGCTTTCGCTGTATCGCATGGATCGCATCCGTGCCCTGTGGAGCGCTTCTACGGAACTTGGTCGATAAACGACCGTCGGCTGAGCTTTAAGGCTCAATGTCGGACCGATATTCGATAAGGACAGACGGGAGGCCGTAACGCTTTGTACTTCGGGTGATGAGAGCAACTCATGATGCTGGGAGAACTCCAAAGTACTAGGCAGCTATACTTAGAGAAATAGATATTTGAGCATAAAGTAGAAGGAAAGCTAGCGTCAACAGACAGCGATACGTCGACAGCATCGCAAGGACATCAAAGCCAAGAGGGAAGGGTAAGCAGGCTGCCCAGATTTGGAAATGCGGGAGGTCATCAAATTCTTCGGAAACTGCCGTTACCTCTAGTCAGAAACTTGCGAATTCAACTTGGTACTTAGAAGGAGCCATTACATCGAAGCCATACAAAAATGCATCTCTGTTTCCAGTACTCTGGCGCGTTTCGAGGTACAGAAGCAGTTAGGTGCTGGGTACAAGAGCGCTTTGTTCTCGTCCAGGCATCCAGGCTCGAAGATCATCTATAGGATCACCTCCAATAACATCCTTGTGATCTGTATTCGTCTCGACTAGTAGCGGACCTAGTGCACTGCCCCATACAACTCCAGTTTCTCTAACATAATCGTCCCAAAGGACCAGGAGCTCTTGTAACTTTTCGGGCTGTTCTTGCGACAGGTCCTTGGTCTCTCCAGCATCTGTGCTCAAGTCGTATAGCTCCCATCTCCCGGTCCCGTATGACCATTCCGGCATGAAAAGAATCTTCCACTTACCGTGGCGAAGTGCTGCGCGCCCGAACAATTCCCAGCCTACCGCAGGATCATCGGAGCCGTGAATAGCTTTTGGGTCATCTCTGATATGGCTGAAGTATTCAACCCACGATTTCCCCCGCAGTTTCTCTACCTTTCTTCCCCTAAAGAGTTTCCCTGTACCTGGATGATGAACGTTGGCAAGCTCGAGGATTGTGGGAGTGACATCCATAACAGTCGCAAAGGCATCCACGATCTTCCCTCCTACAAATTCCGACTTGGTCCAAGGCGGATAGCTGAGAATCAATGGTACCCTAATGCCGCCTTCTGTGCTGTACATCTTGTATAATCTGCTTGGAGCTTTCACGATGTCAATACGCATTCCTGGCTATCACAAGATAAATAAATAACTCACCAGTCGATGCCTGGGCCCACCTCGGCCCGTACCACACAAACGAATTATACTCGCCAATGTTATCAAGTGAGTTGTCATAAAATTTGTTTATAACGGCCATAAGATCTCTGCCCATCACAGGCCTCGCTTCGTGTGAGGCGCCTTCGCTTCCGTTGTCGGACTGAAATAACACAAAGGTGTTGTCGGTTTCTCCGATCTCATCCAAGTATGCCAAGATGCGGCCAATATTCCAATCCATGTTCTCTACCATCCCGGCATAGGTTTCCATGGCTCTAGCCGAAAGAGCGCGTTCTTCATCAGTCAATCGCGACCACTCGCTCTCCTCGGGTGCTACCACGTCATGAGCCACAACGTCTTTAGGGACGAGACCCATTTCCTTCAGCTTTGACAGTCTTTTCTGTCGGAGAACTTCTGGACCTTCGTCATATACGCCCTTGTACTTGTCTCGGTATTTCTTGTCCACTTGAAGCGGCCAGTGTGGCGCAGAGAAAGGCAAGAAGGCAAAAAACGGTTTATCTTTCGGCTTCTCCGCGATGTATTGAATTAAATTTGATGTGTAGAAATCGGATGAAAAGAACCCTTCGGGGTCGTTATCCGTATTGGCCTTCCTGGATTCATGTCAAATCATTAATCAATGCAAACATTACCCAAAACTTACAAATCAACCTTTTCTCCGTCGCGTACGTATAATGGCGAGAATTGCTCGAAGAATCTCATCTTGTCATCCTTAAATTGCGGCTCCCATCCGTAGTGATTGGATGCTCCAGGGAGCAACGCGAAGGAACGGTCAAAGCCTCGCTTGCTGGGCACGAAATCTGGTTTCAAACCAAGATGCCACTTTCCGCTCATCAAAGTGTGATATCCAGCGTCCTGCAAAAGCTCAGGAAGCGCGGCGACCCGTAGATTTAAGTATCCCTGAACACGCGTCAGTGCCCGTCGCTAAAGATGAAAATCATGCATACTTCATGTCCAGGCGCGTTCCATCGGTCCAAATCGTTCCCTATTTTCTGACGTTAGTTGTCATTTTCTCGGATAGAGCGGACGACCCAACTATACTTTTCTGTTCTGCCATCACTCCTACGCCTGCGATATGGTTGTCAGTCCCTGACAACAACATGGAACGTGTCGGCGAGCACGCCGCAGCAGTGTGAACTATCTCCATTTCTCAGACCCATTCTACGTTGAATGAACCACAACTCACAGTCAGTCATCCGGACACCTGCCTCCGCCAACTTGTCAAGATTTGGAGTATGAATCTCCGATCCGAAAGCCCCTACATCGCTGAAGCCAAGATCTGCATTGTTTATGAGTACATTCAATGCCTGATTTTTTTGTAGTGGTACTTACCATCTGCTACGATGAGGAGGAAGTTTGGACGCTTGGTCGTAGTCATTGCCAGGATATCAATGGCCAATCTGTTCGAAGCACATGTAACGGTTATCTGTTATCCGAATCGCTATTACTATTGCGCCATCACCCACGGGATGAGGTGTTCTTATTGTCATGAGGAGCTTCAAGCACTTATGTGGTTGCGCAGCTCAACTTTCTGATGGCGAATTCATTCTTCACACCGTTTCACGTTGTAAGTAGTGACTGACGGACCTGTCTGAGTCTTCAGCTAGCCTGATAAACCGTACTCGCTGAACTTGTATCTGTATATATAGTCTTCAGCGGGGCAGCACATACAGTATTGAAGTTCTGGGCGCAGGAGAAGTAGGGAAGCCTTTCAGATACTCCAATGTATATGTGGACCAGGTTAAATATATATATAGCAACATTTCTGGCCTTGGGCCCTGGCCATGCTCTTCAAGGTACCAGTTATAGACAAGTAGCGATTCATCGGCCTCAATTATAAGTTATGACTTACTGCTCTAATTTATTCCCGTACCACGTATTGGGTGCAGGTAGTTTGGAGTTAGTTACACCCGTCCTTCCTTGGCCTGGTCTTTGTGCCGAATTCTATATTATCTAAAACTCGTACTTGTCTATACCCTGGAGCTGGTCAAATATCTCTTTGGCAACCATTCAGGCCTTGTCCACTCTTTCTTTGACATGTCTGTCAAAATCATAGTGGAAATGGCTTCCGCGCTATAGTAGCTCGTAAACAGACTCATATGAATGCTATGTGGAAATTGAACTCACCATGCATATGCTCGCGGCATTCCATGCCCCGTATAGCCTGCAGATATATACTGCCCTTCATATCCTTTAGGATTGGATGAATCAATAACGGGCCCAACCTAACAAGAAAATAAGCTATCACTTTTTGGTCAAACAAGGTGCATAGACGTACAAAAGGATCTCCCATCTTCGTAAATCCCATAATCCCAGTCCATTCCATTTCCGGTTCTTCGTTATCTCCTTCAAACACTCCTCCTAGAAACCCTCTCAGTGCTCTTCCTACATCCGCATTGACACTCCCATCATCAGTTTCATAATATTCGAAACTTGGGCCTGACGCTTCTCTACCACCGCCCAATATGACTAATCCCTCCCCTCTAGGCCGGGGGAACCAATATTCGAAACCCTCATTCCCGTCCCAGCTTCCCGGCGCCAACTTGGCTGAGGAGCGTAAGGCAATGATCTGACCGCGCGTCGGTACAATACCTTCCGGCCCGGCAAGGTGTGGTAGGAGATGACTGGCATAACCGTTTGTCGCATGAACAACATAGGAGCAGGATATTGATCCTCGTGGCGTATTGACTTCCCACCGTCGAGTAGAATTCGAAGCTGAACTGACTGAGGTGACAGGTGTTCGGGTATGTAGCGTCAAGTTACCATCTGAAAGGCGTTGCTTAGCGATCCGATACAGGTGTGTAACAAATTTGAGAGGCCGTAGGATTATGCCCGTCGAATTGTACGGCTGGGTACGACGTTCCGTATTTCTGCAATTTCGTTACATCAAGCCTGGACCATTGACATGTGACAGCTCAAGCTTCAAGGCTCCTACCGTTTGCATGTCTTCCATACTTGTCCACTTTACATCGTTGAGCTCTAAGCCAGCGGCGCGTGCCTCAGTATAGTCCCTCCACGCCTCTTCTCTTTCCTTCTCCGTCAGGAAAAGGGTAGTATGCCCCCCACGCACAAGATCTACAGCATCCGCTAGGCCCTCTTGATGGATAATTTTCACGATAGCCTCTGCAGTATGATTCTCTAGCTGAAGCGATTTAACCGCCTCCTCCTTCCCGTATCCGCTAGCACTTGCACTAAATCCTAGGAACGTGGACGGGGTGAGGTGCCCACCATTACGTCCTACCATAATAAGGAATTAGAGACTTGGTTAAGGATGCCCGGCTCGAACACACCTGTAGCTCCAGAGCCTATAACAATCACAGTAAGCACCGGAAGACGGAAAGCGGAGAAACGAACAGAAATCCCTTGCTTCTAGTACAACTACATTCAGGCTAGAGTTGTTCAAGAGATGATAAGCGGCAGAGATGCCGGTGATTCCTGAGCCGATGATACAAACATCCGCGTCTTGAGTGAGAGCACCTGTACTGCCCTCGCTTCCTAAAGGATTAGCATCCGGGGTATCGATCCAGAAAGATCTTGTTGGGTTGGTTGCGGGTAGACTTGCACGGGGGTTGGATTTGGGCAGCGCCAACACGTGTTGAGATTCTTCGAATTGTAGAAGGGGCACAGAAAGCGTTGGAGCGGCCATCGTAATCAGAAGAATTGGCCACAAGGAAACTTTCATTGCTTCAGAGGTAACGATTTCAGTGAGTCAGATTCCGTTGAAGTACAGGAGTAATATTACCTCTTAGTTCAGAAAGAGATACCAGTTCCTTGCCGGCCTTTGCTACGATGAATACTGATGACAGACGAAATGAGAGGCAAGGTGAAAGCAAGTTGAGATACGTGCTACGGCCACTCCCGTGCTAATCTCGGATACTCGGACCGATCCCACTCAGATTACTTCCAACAATAGCGCAGTTGAAAGAGTGTATAAGTAGACAGTGGATAGAAATTGTGTATACATCCAAGAAAAAAAACCATACAATTCATACCTCCTTCCTCAAAGCCTCCCTCTTGACCTCGCTGGACCATTTGAAAAAGTTGCATTTATATCTCGGATCCACGTCTTCTCTATCTCGCTCAGCTTTTCCCTTATCATAACCCGGGCCCACAGGTCTACAACTCTAATCAGGGCTTGAATGGGATAAGATGTGGGCACATACCGTGAACAGATGAAAAAGTTCTTTCCCTTATTAGCTCCCGGCTTCGTAACGGTCAACTCCTTCGTAGGTTCATTGTGAACGAGACAACGCGGTGGCTGGATGGGTGCCAGGAGTGCTTTCCATGCATTGTGGCTCTTTGACGAAGACGGGGATGCCGTCTTCGTGTCGGCTGAGAGTGAGAGTCTCACTGCCAACCGGTAATCTTCATCGTCAATGTTATCATCATCAGAGTCTTGCACTACAATCGGTTTCGTTGGCTCCTTTGGCTTGCTAAAGAATGACGAAAGCTTTGTTTGTCCTTCAGGATCGGGTTTCGCCTTCTTGGAACTGGAGGAAACTTGCGACTGGGTTTGCTTACGCTTGACCGGTATAGGCTGCGACCCTATACTTTTTGATGACGAGGCCTGCGAGGACAGTTGAGATGACGGTGGCGGGGAGGGTGAAAGGGAGAGTGGCGATGATGGCTGTGTGCTACCAGCAGTTTTACGTGTCGGAGCCTTTTGCCCGAAGAATGTATCAAGGGAACGCTGTTTCCCAGAAAACTCGTCCCAATACTTGGAGGAAAGTCTGGGCACTTGAACAGCATTGGTGGTCAACATATGCTGAAGCAGACGCGGACCCTCCGAGTCGGGTAGTTCGTCATAAAGGTCAAGCATGACTGGGCAGTGATCACTTCCCTTGACATGAGGCTGTATATCCGCAGTTTTGACCCATGGAAGTAGGCCGGGGGTGACGAGAATGTAGTCTATGCGTGTCCCATAATTCGATGCCCGGGCAGATATCTTGGTATTCCAGCCTAAAGAACGTCAGCGACTAGCACATTACAACCAGCAGCACTTACAGGTGAACATCCCCTTCCTATCAGGCCACTGCCGCCTTACCACATCGACCATAGGTCCCCCTCCCTCAGCAAGCCACTCTCTCAACCAATTCCTGCCCTCTTTCTCTGCCCAAAATGCCTCTTCTGCAACAGCCATGTCTCCTCCACCTTTGATTTTCAGCTTCTTTAGCATGATTTCTCCCTCGCAATGATCAATTAACGACGCGCACGCGTTAAGATCACCAACGACAATAACCTCTCGTTGTTCTGACTCGATCAGTCCTCTTCACTCGCTCCGATAATAATCGGTGAAAATCCATCTTGTACTTGATACGATCTTCTGCGTCTGTACCGTCGTTGGGGCAGTAAACATTGATGAGGACGAACATGCCAAAATCGAGCACAAGAGTACGTCCTTCGCTGTCCAAATCCTTGAGGTCTAGTTCGTTGTCGCCCTCAGCCTCAACAGGCGAATGACACGGATAAGAAGCGGGAGGCGAAATTCGCTCCTCGTGAGTGAGAGGCGGTTTGATATCCAACAGTCCAGTTAGACCTTCCTCTGCCTTGCAAGGTACAATACGCGTGTAAATTGCCACTCCTGAGTACCCAGTCTTCTTTGCAGGAAAAGAAAAGAAAGCCGTGTAGGGCTCTGGCGTCGCGATGTCCTTGCTGAGATTTTGACGCGAAGTTTTCATCTCTACGACCTGTAAGAGTCATGAAGGTTTTTTTTCAAGAAACACACCTTGGAAACATATGATGTCGGCATCCAGATGGTCCAAAATCGCTTCCTGCGTCTTCAGTGTATTCCATCTGCAAGCTATTTGTCATTGAAAGGACCATTAACGAGAATGACGACTTACGGATGATATTGGGGTATCGTTCGGATCCCATTCTGTCAAACAAATGGAGCTCTGTTCAGCTGCTGCGACCAGGTTTGCGCTGAGGGCTCACAATATTCCAAGTCAGTATTCGCATACCCTCATCACCCGCCCACCCATACAATTGTTAAAGAATGAAGCCGTCACTTTTACTGGAAAGAATACTGGCAAGGTATCCACAGGCTCCAGAGCAACCGCACAGCGGGTCCTTGGTAAGTAGAAGCAAGAGATTACTCAGGTTTCAACTACACAGCCACAACGACTCGGTTGGCTGTAAATGAACCACTTCGATATTTTATGCCTTAGATAAACACATATATGCTCGAGCACATGAAAAAAATAATTCGTGAGTTTGAAATGATCTCCAATGATGCTCTCTCTATGACGAAGCACTATCATTCAACAAGCTGAGCCGAACCTCAGCTCCAGCACTCCTCCATTAGCTTGCCTTCAAGTTCCATTCTCTTCACATATTCCTTCGCCTCATCGATGCTTAGACCTCCATAATTGACTGCGGAATGCCGAAGGGCATCCTTCACCGCTGCAGGCATTTTATTTGATGATCTAAAGCGAGAGTTCCATGAGATAAGCGGAGGAAACAGATAAGATTTCATACCCTGAAATATACACCCGCGCACCCTCCGATATTAATTCCCAAATCCTTTCTCCATCTGCTTCTATAAGGTCTTGAACATAAGTCCTTTTTACCCCCTCAGGACCATCCCGCGAACAAGCGACACGATACACGAGTTTGTTTTCTTTGGCATATGTTTTCCACTCTTTGCCGTAGTGCTGGTCCTTTAAGGCAGACCGACAACCAAAATACAGCGTGTTACCTGATAAAATGGTTGTAGAAAGCTAATGCGAAAGACTTGTAAAACATACGGGTGGTGTCGGTAAAGAGACGCTCTTCAATCAAGGATCGCATAGGTGCGACACCAGTGCCTGGACCTACGCATATGATGTGTGTTTTTTGGTCCGGGAGGTTGATAAATCCGCGACGTAGGCCAATAATTATCTTGTGACCTAGACGATAGTGAAACGCGATCCAACAGAAGCTCGAAGTTGGCATACCTGGTTGCAGGGTGGAAAGGTACGAGGTGCAAATTCCCCGGCGAGGAATTTTTAAGCGGGTGCGATACTTGACGATAGCGATACAGAGTTGTATCTCACGAGGATGCATCTAGACGGGAGTTGTGGACCGAGCTTATTAAGCAGACATCTGAAGTTACCTTGACGGAGCTGGCTATCGAGAACTCTCGAGGTCTAAGTGGTGGGAATATGTCGAATATGTATGGTAATGGTATCTTGGACCCACGAAATTCAGTAAGGACTTCTTGGATTGTCCGCCTGACGCGTTGGCAATAATCGTATAACTCGTCCTGCGAGTGAGTTCAATGTCGGTCAATGGGAGTCGGAAGAAATGCTGACAGCAGTATCAATCGAAAGGAATTCATCTAGCTTCTCCGACTCTTGTTCATCCGTATTGAAATATCGCAGGTACTGGAAGAAAGTTCGGCGAGGGACAGCTTTAAAGTCGAGATATCGCGTGAAGATCGTTCGAAGACTTGCACAGCGCGGAATATGGTTAGGCATCGTCTGATCTGATGTTTTCCATTCAGATTCGCGCAGAAAAAAAGCGAATGTGGATCACCCTTTTCGACGTGTTCTAGCGTGTAGACTTCATCAGCGATATTTCCCCAACCCATGGACGACAGAAACTCTTCGACATCGTCATATGGCTGTAAAGGATGGATAACTGCGACATCCCCGGGATTGTATCTGATCCAGCATGAGACTGGGCATACGACGACGGAGAGAGTGCGTACTGTATGTCTTCTTCGAACGAGAACTGGAAATGGCGAACATCCTGGTACCAATCTTCTGCCGTTATACGCTTATTGCACTTGAGCGTAGCATGATGGTAGGCTGGATCCTGTAGTAATGGATCCGGGGACTCTTCTTCACTGGATTTTGTCATTGCCATTCTCGGAGGAGGGATGGTGTCCAATGGTAGTCTGCTTGTTCCTTCTACCGAGGGAAAGAGTTGCGCCAGAACATCCAGCAAGCCTTCTATCCATGGTACGAGAGCACTATCTGTCCTATCTTCCTTGTTTTAACTCCTCACATAACACGTTCACAAAGGTAACATACCCAAGCATGTGCTGATCATCACCTTCACCTCTTTCATATATCTCGGTTGCCCCGAGTCCCTTCATCCTGCGGGAAAGTTTCTTCGCTGGCCAGCAAAAGCGCTCGTACGCAGAATCCCCCAGGCCAAAGACAGTAAAATGTATGTCTTCGAATAAATCTGCGGGGAGGTCCGAGCGTAGGAGCATAGTCCAGAGGGAGGTCATTGACCGTGGTTCGACACCAGATCCAGTGGTAGCTATCACAAAGATAACGAGACTTTCATTTATGAGATCGTCCTAATAAAATTTCAGTACGGAATTTTTTCTGGGAAAATAAGGAATGCACAGGAAGATATGTATCCACATCCTGTACTCGACATCGAACGTGAATGCGTCTGCAATGGCGTGCAATGTTGTCTGCTGTCTCCTGTGCGTTTCCCGACTCCGTGGCGTAGAGGATCAACGGCCTTACTGCATCAGACTCGCCCATCTGCAAATCCGATGATGGGAGTTATCAGATAAGAGACGGGATAGCCACGTGCTCAAACGACGGATATTCAGTACTTCAGTTCCAGCTTATCTCCTTTGAAGAATAACATAAAGCGCCAAAAGAATGATTTGAACAAAACTCTACGAGACAAAAATGATCTCATAGACACAAATCAAACGGGTATATTGACTATATTATATACAACACCATACTCGCATCTTCACCGGAGCCATCAAATGTCGTTTGTCCAGCAGCGTAGCGTTTGGGGCTCCGATGGCGAACAGAACAGAACAAACCACCTCACCTAACTCGATGGTTACAATATGTACGAGGCCAAAAAAGAAAGAATAAAATAAAAAGAGGGTGCGGTGCAGATCATATTCACATGGCCTTGCCACTGTTATTGTCGTCTTCCCACATAGCTCCATATGCACCTACACGGCTATTAATGACTGTCCTTGGAGTTTTACACATTTCGGCTCACCTCGGGAAGGACTCATCGCACCAGGACCTGCGGGAACCAAAGTTCTTGCTGTGGTCGCACTTGGGTATTGAACGCCGCCGGCGGGAATCATAACGGTAGGACTTCCATTCGTCTTCCTTCTCTCGGCGTAAGCGCGTAACATATCATCCGGACTCATGGCATTCGAAGGTGAGCTGCCGAAACCGCTGAACATTCCATTACTGGGCGTGTGAGACGAAGGGAAGGATATTGTATTCGTAGCCGAAGGCGAGTCAGGGGACGTGGCATCAAAGATGGTCTCATTGTGGGACTGACTGTAGCGGTTATCGTGTAGCTTGGCGGCGGGGGGAGGAACAATGTATTGTGAACCGATGTCGCCAGGGTCAGCATCAGAAGCAACGTACGTAGCAGAATCAGCTTGCGAAATGGACCGTATCACTGAAGTACATGTCAGTATGCCATCCCACAGAGAAAAAAAAATCTAGACACATACTGCTAATAGCCGGGCTCAATTCTTCATCCATGCTGGCCCTTACCGAGATATCTCCGTTAGCAACGCGGGCTCTGATAGTTTCGATGGTGAGACTCTCAGGTCCTTCAGTCTGAGTCGGGCTCATCGAGCCATCCGTTAATCCTTCATTGCTATCCTTGCGAGTAGGTATGGGCGGGACGAAGGAATGGTGGAATGCGCGGCTGTGTCCAGCGGTGGAGCGCCTTACTTCACCCGATGGCCTGGTACCTTCAGCAAATGAAACGCGGCTAACCCGATCAGCCGAGGTGAAAGAAGATTTGGGTCGGCGGAATTGGGACATCTCTGGACCAACGGACGTATTCTCCTGATGATAGAAACTGCTGCCGACGCCAGCTTGTCCACCATCGGTAGTGTAGGTCGAGCTGGGACGGATACCACCGAAGCTGAAGGAACTTGCCCTGTTGCCACCGGAACCAGTTCCTGAGACCGCGATACTGTTGCGAATGGCGGCGGATGCACCAGCAGCAGACAAACTTTTCCAGTCCTGGCTGATGGTGGACATCCGCTTGTCGATGGCCTCGCTGAACCTCTTCCTCTTCTCTTGGCCCTTCATGCGTTGCCATTTGATCCATGCCGCAACGCAGAGGGCGGCGAAAAGCAAGGGCACAATGACTGCTGCCGCAATTTTCCCGCCTGACATTGACGAAGATTTGTTGTCCCCAGAAAGGGAACCGACGGTCTCGCTACCCGAGTCAGTCTTCGAAATGTCGGCAGAATCAGGAACGCCCGTCGAAGGCTCCGTGTAAGTTGCGTTCCAAAGAGGGCCGGCAGGGAGAGTAGCGAGGAAAGGCGCATCTCCTGAAGCCAGAATGGCAAGCTGCAGCTGGATGGTGCTCGTGTCGTTCCACCATCTCGGCTTCAGAGTGGCATTGTAGGTCCCCAGGCTGTTGGCGACATTTTCCCAGACGTATATCCTGGGACTGGCCAAGGAAGGTGCGTACAGGTGAATGTCGACATTATCGGTATCCAAACAGGAGGAATCCCAAGAAATCGTGGTCGGTTCAAGTGAATTTACAACGGCACCCTTGGCCGGGGACGTGTAGAAACCGCCGGTAGAGCAGGCTGCGGACCTGTTAATATCGTTTTTACGGTACGAAGAGATGAAAAAACGCACTACCGCTGGCCCTTTTTCTATGTTTTGCACCAGCATGACCAATCCTGTAAGGCAACGAGCCTCCCATCTTCTATCTCCTCTATTTTCTGTAGTAAAGAACGTAAAAAATCGGTCCAAGGAAGGGCGGTTGGTCGGGTAGGAAGAAATGTGAGGGAGAATGGGAGAAAGAAGGGATGCAGGTAGGACGCCAATCCGAAACACGAGTGACCGTTAGGAGGTTGCCAAGGGCGAGGCTAGGCTCCATTTGGCAGGTGACCTTCCATATGTGGCGCGGACCGAGGTTCCGACAGATGAAATTCGTCGAGTTTTTTTGTGATCCCTGATGCTATCAGAACAGATTGACCATCCTACACAATGCTCTGCGGACTACCCTTATTCTAGTCGTCTCAAGAGAGCTCAAAAATCAGCAAAGATGAGTACCGATAATGAATCATTCAATCTCACGTGGAAACAATTTCAAATCGATGACACTGACAGCAGAAACAAGATCTTCCGGCTGGCCAAGAACAACATTATTGTGTGAAACTGACTTCGAAACTGATGCGTTACATTTACGACGAGCAGATTGATTTCTGAAATCAGCTTTACAATCGACAAGAATCTATATCTCTATTTGCGGAAAGTTATTTAAAGACGAATAATATAGTACTTCGCTCGTCAAACCAGGTGACATTAGCTTGACGGTATGCTATAGGTTGACGTTCGTTGCAACGTGTGTATAGCTACAACCGAATAAAGATAGTCTATCATCTCAAGAGAAAACACGACAGCGCTAACAAGAAAAGCAAAAAGAAACGAAACCGAATACCGTAAGGATATCGATACACAATTATATTTAACAATATGTCCTTCTCTCACTTGGGGGGTTCTGGGACAACCGGCGCATCCACGGTCACGCCAGTGCCATTGAGTCTGGCAAAGAATGTATCCCACTGGCCTGTAACGCACGATAAGTACACTTATAGGCTATGAAGACTACAGATACTCACCCCAATCGAACATCCCACCTGGAATTCCTTCGAGTAGTCCAGTATCAGTCAACGCCATCTCTTGAACAGTTCCGCTCATATCCAAGGAATTGATTACCTGGTTCAAGCCTCCCTTGGATACATAATTCATCGCAGGGTTCACGTTGATGCCTAAGGATCCAAAATCGCTAGGCGCAGACGCGGTTACAAATGAGCTCATCTCCATTCCATTTTGAGTCGAAGACGCCGATGGGGAAGCTATAGGATTCGATCCGTCCCTAGCGACGAACACGCCACCACCGGGACGAGATGGATCGGGTTTGTAGTCAAGTCCTTCGGGCGCTTTTTTGCCGGTGACTCCTCCCGTTGGATTGAGGACTGGAGGACCAGCAACAGCAACATCATCACCTTGGGTCGCTTCGTATAAGAGACCAATAATTTCAGCGGTCTATAAGTGTTACAGTCAGAACCCGCCGAAGAAGAGGAAGATAATGAGATCACCTTTCTCCTGGTACTCATGTGATCAGGACTCAGGCTAGCCTCCCACCTCCTCACACAGTCCCTAAGCTTCCTCAGTTTTCCCATTGCATCCCCATCTCTCCTTCTCGCCCACGTATGGTACTGTACAAGCGCACAGCTGGTAGCACCATACGCTATGAGGAGCCAGACGTCATAAACGCCTTCATTCGCATCCAGCCAGTCAATAGACTCTCCAGTGAGAGCAACGAGGGCACTCCATTGTTCGACAGTCAACCCAAACTTGAGATGTGACGGACAGGAATACGAGATCCGCATGAAGACTCGCCAGAAAATCATGCAGACACATGTGTATAGAAGGTGAAGGATACCTGAACGAAGAAAAGGAATCAGCACCATGCATAAGCCTATAGATCATCATTGACTGACCAGAAGTTAATGAACTCGATTCTCCCCTAAACCTCAAGCCTTCTGGAAGATTGGCTTTCCACGCCTCGATGTCAGCCAAGAGTTTCTCGAGCATCTCATCAGTCGTGAAAGTCAATCCACTTGGAGTGTATATGGTCTTGAGGACCCGTCCAAGTACAATACTGAGACGGACGAGCTCGTCCATATACATATCGCCCACGGAGCCACCACTCGGTAATCGCGCGTCGCAATCTTGAACGTCAATCATGTATGGATGTCCATAAGTTAAAGACAACCATCCTATTTAACATCAGCGCAAAGCTTAGTGATAAAGCCTCAAGTTACGTACGATCACTAATTACACATGCACCCCAGAGTCTGCGTCGCAGTTCAATGTCTTGCATAACAGTCTCTGCGCGATGTAGGCCGAGATCCTGAGCCATGCGTATCGCGCTTCCCAGGCGGACCCACAATGCTGAGAGAGCATTAGGTACAAACTGTGAGTGACAGTCGCCAGTCATGCACAAAATGAGCAGACTCTGTACGTTGATGATTGATGCGGTAGAGAGAACATCATCGGCTCTGATTAGAGCATTGACGGTGTATCGAATCGAATCGAAAACGCCTTGAGGAACCTCTCTCCTTGCAGCAGCGACTAGACACATGGAATAGAGGAGGATGGGCGGTGGCGGCGAAGAAGCAAGAAACTCTTTCTTCGTCACTACGGGAAGCAGTGGTGCAACATATTCGAAATACGCGTTGACAAGCTGCTGGATAAGGTCTGGTTCAATATGTGTGTCTTTGCCAGGGAGCGACCCGCCCCGAGGGTCGAGAGCGGGGGGCTTATGCTGAACAATAATCCTGTCGCCTGATTCACTGATTTCGAATGTGTGTTGATAGCGAAGATCGTATGATTCGTATGATCTTGGAGGCACGGTAGCTGTAGAATGAAGAAGATGGTTGACAGAGGTGGGACCTTGTTCAATTAGCATTCACCAGAACAGGACAAAGCTATACACACCGAAGACAGCGATGTCTTTGCCTGCAGACGCGCCGGCCTTGTCCTTGTCGTGATGCTCGTCTTCGGCTTGTTTCTTCTTCTTGAAACGCGTCTCGGTAATAGGCAAGAAGAAGGTACACTCGAAGCCGTATTGTTTGCAGTGTTGACAGATAATAGGCTCGCTGTCGGCAAGGACGTCGCAGCGAATTTTGCGACTCCTACAAGAATCGCAAGCACGGGCAGTTTTGGTGCGTTTTTTCATGTCGACGGCCGAGGCAGGGCGAGCAGCGTCGTCGTCGGTGTCATCATCCTTGCCGCCGCGCTCCGGTTTGCGCTTGCGCTTGCCAGAGGACGAGGCAGACGGCTGATCTGCCGACTGGGGCGGCGGCGGCGGCTGTTGGTACATTACGACTGGCTGGACGGGATGCTGGCCGACGACGGGCTGCGGATATTGGCCATACTGGTAAGGATATGGGGGCATGTGGTAAGGGTAAGCATTGGGAGGGGGAGAGGTGTGATATTGAGGGTAGGAAGAAGGATATGACGCCGGGTTCATGATGAAGGGCGTCGGATAATGAGGTGGTTGCGGCGGGGGAGGTGCCGGCGTCGGCTGCGTTGAGCGTTTCTGCCGACCTTTTTTCGGGGCCTCCTTTGTCGGCTGTGTTGTCGGCGGCTCTGCAGCAGGAGAAGGCATCCTACTCATGCCTTATATACCCAGTCCCGCTTATTCAGATTCTTGACTTTGCCTCCGTGTCTCTCCCTTCGACCTAACCGCTTCCAGTCATCTTTCTGTCTGTATCTAAGAAATAGCGGGCTCACCGGTTCTCTCGCTCGTGCTGGCCGCCCAAGGGTCGCTGTATCGCGCTGTGGTCAACAGTGGGCAGCGCAAACCTCTGCCGGGTAGTTTTCAAACTCCGACTCACTCCGACAGCCGCCTTGCTCCACCTCATGACTAATCCGCCTATTTCCATTTCGGCCCCATCGCTGCCTTGGCATTGTCCGGCAACGCTCCTTCAATCTTTCAAACATCGTCTTCTCATGCCGACGGCCTTTCCCACAGTCCTGTAAACCTCCATGCAGACTGTTGCCCGGAATATACGCTACGTTCCTTCGAAGCAGTGCAACCTCATGCTTGTGGAGCATCATCATTCAAATTTTCCGTAAACAAATGTCATGTCATCATAAACTGTAAGAAGCGCAGCCACGCGCTTGGACGGATGTAAGCATGACGCTATAGCTAAGAATAAGCTACCCCTAGGGTAGTATCGAGAGAGTACCAGCGAATAAGACAACAGTTAATCCAGCCAGAGCCTATATTTCATCGTATACACGTTCGTTGTTTGCTCAGTCTCGGCGAGTCTCCTTCTCAGAGCTTAGAGTCCCCAATACCTTCACACGACTGCTTAATCCGTTCAACCATCTACACTACAGTTTTCCCACGGGAAGGACCTTGAAAGTTGACTAGACCGGGCCACCATGCTTGCACTCTGTAATCACAACTTCTACTAGCCTACTCCACTTGTTTTGCAGTGAGTCGACCTAATCCGCGCCACACAGCTGATACTGGGCTTCAGAAAAAAACGCCTACGGCATTCAAGATCCCACCCATCGATCCTATATGTTCTTTGTACACGTCGCCTATTATTGTTGGCTCAGGGACAGATTCTAAAGCTAGCGCTTGAACACGGGCCCACCGGCAGAGAGTAAAGATAATATTTGACTGTTTTTCTCAGAGTGAAGAAAGTCGAAGCGTAATAAAGGCAGTCCCTGTCGGCACTGAGGAGCTTTAAAACGCATTGAAGATTTTTCTGCCCCTCCTCGCTTCGTTTCCTCAAAGTAGATTAGCATGGCGGGATGTTTTCCGCGATATTGACGAAATTTTCAGTTAGCCATGTGGACAATAAACAGGAACGGAATTTTAGTTCAAAATGAGCATGGTGGCGGCTCTGTGAGCGTCACCGATGTCGTTCTAGGTGAGGGGCTACACTGAACCATCCCTTTACGGACACGCTGCTTCTAACGATGTTTGGGCGCTCTATTAGTTGAACAATATCGACGAAAACAACTGTCAGACCTTAGTGTGGTAAGCATCGACCTATTTTGCAGCTAGAATTATATTGATCCTCAAAGAGCATCTCTGCTATTCAGCTGATTATTAGCGGAATCGGCACCAGGATACCGGGTCTTCCCTGCCCATCCATGGATTTGTTTGTGCTTCCGAGGTGTGGTTGAATCTCAGAGGAACGACCTCATGCTTGTGGTACCATCATTCAATTTTCTCGTAAACAGGTCGTGACATTCGTAAATTGCAAGAAGCACAGCGAAGCCCTTGAATGGATGTAAGCAATGACGCTATACCTAAGAACGTAGAGTGAATACCTTGGGGGCCGAGGGGTTACTAGCTAACCTCCCAGCCAGAGTAACCTCTTTACCCCATATTCCATCTTGGTATACATGCTCGTCATTCGCTGAGCCTCTGCCAGACTTACCACGTCCCCCTCTCTCACGAATCCACTATCTACTCCGCCAACATCTTCACACGCTCGCTTGATCCGTTCAACCACCATATTCACTGCTTCTCGACAACTCCCCGCTATCTCGACCTCTTCACTGCTTGCGCTCTGCGATTGTGACCGGGTGGGATCAATAGGCAGCATCTTGAGTGCCGCAAATGTTTTCTCCGCGTCATTTGCATGCCCGTTCCCTAGAATTGAGCTTAGCGTTACCCTGCTGGCCTTGCCCGATCCTACGGTCATGGACTTGTATTTGATCCCAGGCGATGACATGTTGGATTTGAGAGGCGGCGAAACTGCCAACAAGTCCAATGAGTTCCTCATCGAGTAGCTCGTCATGCGTGTGATCTCCCGAGTGCTCAACCATTCAATCACAAATCCTGCATTCTGTTCCGGATCCCTGCTCGCCTCTTCTAATGGAGACAGTATGTAGGTGCCTACAACCATGTCTTAGTGTACCACATAATTTAAGATCACTGGAATTACACTCACCTTTTGTAATACCAGTAATGTCGCCCAACGGAACGCGGGTATATTTCTTCACTTTCTGTAGGGTATAATCATAACTCTGTTCGGCCAGTCAGAAAATACACCCATTAAACAAACGTAAGGGTGCAACACTGACGATAATATAAATAGCTCTTGCAGTCTACACACAGGTCCCATCAGCACGAGCAAAAGATAGAGCAGATGACAAGATAAAACGAGTTGAAGAAGAGCTATTGTAGGCTCCACTAGCCTCTGAAAACAGAGAACTAAATGTTCACTCACCAAAAGTAACACCTTCTCTTCCCACTTATCTCCAACCTTTACGGCCATTTCCTCTGGCGCAAACATGGTCCATCCAGCCAATAGCCTCTCACCTTCTTCCAAAACTCTCGCTACACTAGTAGCTATAGCCTCCGCTCTAATCTTCGAAAGCCGTATCAAGTCTCTCGGATCTGTTGATTGTAATTTCAACAAGAATTCGCTGAACACGCTCAGCGTTCGATGCCCAAGCATGAAATCAATTACAGCCTGGCAGAACCAGTCGCTGAACGTAGACGTGTACATTCTATAAGAACCCAAATGTTAAAATTGGAGTAGCAGAGACCGGGCCTAAAAGGCTTACCGAGCTAGTGAATTCACACCATCGTTGAGTAGCCCACTCAAATCGCGTTTTCCGGTTCTATTTCAATTGCAATCATATCAACCACGGAAACGGAGAATTACTGAAAAGACTATACCTTGTGAAGTCGCCCTGTCATCCCCGGGAGCTTGAGCAGTTGACATGGAAAGAATAGAATGCAATTAATTACCTTCAACGCCGACGTGCCCGCACTGTTAACCTATCTTAGCACCAGATCACACCGAACCGTAAGATCGGACTCACTATGCGCGGCTTATAGCATCTCCATTGTTGGCCCAAACATCATTAAACACCAGATCGTTATCCCCCGTCCCACCGACCAACGCCACCGCCCTGAGCTGCGTCTGAAGCACATGACGCGCAAAGGCGCTTTGGACTACATTTGTACGGTCAAGGCAATCAATACAATTCACTCTAAAAGCGCCTTTCTGCGTCGAGAGAACATTCGCATCCGAAATCCACAAAAATCTGTCCGGCTTGACATCAGAATGACGGGAGGAGAATTGAAAGCAGATTCTCACCCTTGATGCTCGAATGTCCTGTCCATCTTGTCGATGAGCTTCGAAATGTTCTCGTATCTATAGGACAGATGATCAGGATTTATGAACTACGCAGGCCGTGCGCTTACTTCATCCCTTTAGTTTCGACATGAAAATCATACTCATGATACCTGCTCCACCATAAGCCGAATGATCTCAAGAAGTCAAGGTGGCACGCACTGTACATCAGGTAATGCTAACTCCGCCATGCAGTCTCTGTATCCTTGTGTAACGGCAGCTTCTTTACCATGTTGTTCCGCAAGGTTCACTACTGTCTATACGCAACTCATCAGAACAGAGCTCTCATCAGGGAAGACATAAATATTCCTACGTGAGGTCCATAAAGAGGCACCGTTCTCCCAAAATGCCTCTTCATAGCGTCGAGATTCTGCTTATGCGTCCGATCTGCAGCGAGTACAGGCGGGGGCTTCAGCCCATACCCAGTTTGCGTCCAGTAAAGGGGTACTGTAAGACAATTAATGCTGGAGCAAACAGATAGATGAGTAGACCGACTAGAGCCTCGAATCTGCACGTAACTAAACGTATTCATCTTTCCTTCTCTCTGCACAGGTAACTGAGTTCGAGCTTGATGGATCAAAAACTGGACACTTACCGCGACTTGCATTATTGTCTCGGTCTCCACGAAATTAGCCACATGGGCTTCGTCGTCCACTCCTCGCCGTTGGTACCTCAATCCCGCTCTGTCTCTCGACCGCCTGGATATGAGGACATATTCAACAGGTACGGGATCCTCAGCACCATCTTCTGGTATATCAAATGTAGATATTTGGCAGTAACCCTGCATGATAGGTAAAACGTATGGGTGCAACTGAAATATATTCAACTTTGACGTAAATCAAGGCAGAAAGAAGCAACGAACCCCAGCATCAATGAAAGGTTTTGCCAACCACTCGTTCCACCAATACTTCCTATCCACTCTTCGCCAAAGCGGCAGCATTGGATTCGGCTCGGAGACATTTCCGGTATGGTCCAATTTATGAGACGAGAAAACGTTGAGATCAGCGAGTAAGAAACTTTGCTTCTGTGTCTTAGCAATGAGATCGCGTTTATGTTGCATGGATCGTGTTATGTCGAAGTTGTATGCAAAGAACATCCCACCTTTCGTGAACTCCTTCACGCACTCTTTGACAATCTTTCTCTCCAACTCCGAATGTCGTTCTTCGGGTGAGATGGGTTCCGGCGCCACGATATGAGCTAGCACTTCTTCGGGATCTCCCTCTTCCAAAATATCCTTCTCGTCTTTAGGACTTGGATTGAAGACATCATCGCTCGCCTGCTTCAAGTCCCTAGTTCCAGGGGACAACCGGTTCCAAAATGACAGTCGCGAAGCTAGGGCCTTAATTACTGGAGACGCTGAAGATGCCTCCGATGATATTGACGACGCCTCAGATGGAGAGCGTGAACGTGGGGTATGTTCGGCTGTGTTCGAATCATAATCAGAAACTGGGATAGGTGTCTGTGCAAATTGAATACGAGGGCTTGGCTTGGAGATGGTAGGAATCTGAGGATGAGGGTAGCAAATCGCCTGTCAGATTGGTGGCGCGCGGGGAAGAAACGGTATCCAGAGTACGGCTAGTCGAGAGATGGCTCAGATTTACGCGTGATGCGAGCGTTCTAATCCTTTCATGGGCACCTTCTTCATGGAGTGGTATCGCTATGACGCCCTTAACGCCATAGATTAAGTGGTTTTCCTCCAACACTGGGAAGCATTATTTTCTGGTTATTAACAAAGAATGGACGCGGCTTACGGTTTCCAACGTCTGTCTTGGCGGTAATAACGAGCAGATAAGACGCTGATCCATTGTAAGTGAAATATTGAAAGCAAAGATAAGATCACGCACATGAAAAGAGCTCAAGAATACCGACGATACCGTGGACGACGATGTAACCTTCCCACTCCCCAACCACAGATATCTCTTCAATTTTTCCACCTCGACCCCAAGCAATCTTGGCTCCATGGATAGAGGATGTCCCTGCACCCAGTTCATAAGGTCTCATCAGAAGACCTTCTTTTGTCGCAAGAAGCGCTACATGTTCATATGGGGCTGGATGAGGAACTGGTGGAACGACATATTTCGGCTGCAAGTGAGGATGGGGCAAGGAGGTAGGAACCGCTGCGGGAGATGGAACAGAGCTTTCATCTGTACGATTTGGCGACCTGCTGAAGAAACGCTTCATCTCACCTCGCCGTCGTCGTCGTCGACGACGAGAAAGATAATATCCCCTGAACGTCACTGTCAGTGCTCGACGTCACTTTTACCAATTTGGGCTGATTAGCCGGACATAAATAAATATTTTATTTAACAAAGAAACGTCCTATACTTTCATCATCATCATGCCGGTGTCCCCACACTCCTTATCGTTCTCACCGCCTGGAACGCCGTCGACGACGAAGCGCACGTCGCTCAGCCAGCTTCCACTGCCGTCCACAATGACCGCCCCGCCCGGTTCCCGACGTACTCATCTACCAGGCATCAACCCTTCCGCCTCCTTCTTTCGCCCGTCCCGTCCGTCATTTTCGCGACCGTCATCGTCGTCGTCACAGCCAGACGAGCACCAGTATGACTCAGATGCTTTCCCACTTAAACGGCTTCACCCACTCGACGAGGACGACCACCCGCCATTCCGCCCGACGTCCAAATCGTCTTCCGTCTCTTCACCGAGCCCAGTTCCTTCTTCTTTCAACCCAACGCCGCCTCCGCTCCCTCTCAACTCAATTGTCGCGACTGACCCCCTGACCCACCGTCCGATTCGCCGTTACGCACAGCACCCTTCTCGCAATCGATTTTTCTTTCATGGACGGCTTTTGACCAGTGGCGATACCCCTTGGGCATTCGCCGCTGCCCTATGTATAGTGTTCGGTATTTCCGGGGCCTTCTTTAGTTCAACCGCTGTTTGGTGGTGGCACAATGAAGGTCCAGGAGGTATCGTGTTGGTGGTGATAACTGCCTACCTCTCACTTGTAACGATTGTCAGTATGCTCGTAACGGCATTCACTGACCCTGGCATCTTGCCTAGAGGTCTGGATGAAGACCCGCCATACCATGAAGTGGAAAGTGGAGATGGCTTGCGCGCTCCAATGCCAAGAATTCTAAAAGTTCGGGCGGATGTGTATGTACTCCAAACCTGTTTCTTAGCGCATCTCACATCCTCCCTCAGCGTACGTGTCAAGTATTGCCCTACGTGTCGAACATATCGTCCACCACGATCCACACATTGCAAGCTATGCGACAATTGTATCGACGGGTGTGATCATCACTGCCAGTGGGTAAATAACTGTGTCGGTCGCCGCAATTATACATCTTTCTTCACTCTGCTTCTTGCTGCCGCCACGACTCTCGTTGTCGTCATTATATCTTCAGCTCTACATCTCTTCTTCCTCACCCAGCGTAACGATGTCAGTTTCCGGAAGGCCTTGAGCCACGGACAGGGTACAGGAAGCGCAGTGGCCTTTTGTTTAAGCATCGCTGTCATTTGGCCTGTTGGCGCGCTGCTGACGTATCACATGCGCTTGCTGCTGCTCAATATCACGACGATAGAGCAGATACGAAATCAGGCTCACAAGACGCTCGTCCCTGGAGCTGCACCACCGAATCCGTTCTCGCATGGCTCGTGGAGGAGAAATGTTGTTGCTGTGCTATGTAGACCTAGAGGTTACTCCTGGCTTGATCCCACGGGAGTCGTATTAGAGGATAGGAGAGAGGTCAATCCTGGTATGACAATCGGGATGGATGCCGTCTAGTCCGCTCTTTGTTTATTCATCACTTGTATTCGGGTTCTGGGGTTTATATTACTTGCTATTGATGCTTCCTTCGTAACTGCATCTTGTACCAGTGCGTACCCGGAGGCCTGTCCGAGGTCAGCCAACGGACTGAACGTTATACAGGTGGTAATCATCGTCAGATTTATCGCTTCCCCCAGTTTCACCAAGTAGATGTAAGAATACAATTGAACTTTGTTACAGTCTTGATAATATTAAGAATAAAGTGTGATATATATGCGTGCGTGAGTAGTCATTAAGTCCGTAAATGTGTCTGCAATGAAACACAACCAAAAGAAATGAACCAATAAGTCAAGCAAAAAAATCGTAAACATAACGTCATGAAAAGTCATCTCGTCCTCGGGGAAACCTTACTCGCATGCAAATCCTTGATGTCGAAAAAGACACTTACGCCAAACGCCAAACATAACAAACAGGCAGCAGCGCTGGATACGTTGTACGCATTGCACCACCCTTCGTAATCACCACTTGGACACCTCTTGCCCAACAGTACAACCACGAACACGGCACTCCATATGATAAGTCCAAAGACGTCGATCACGGCAACTTTCTTAGCCCAGGTCCGCGCTCGCCGCCATTCAGCCTCCATATGAAGCCCAGCAAACACGCTCCTCCGAGCAGGTTTTGCGTTCTTCTTGCGGCGTGACGAGGAGGTCGACCCGTCCCACCGTGTAGCGTCGTCTTCTGAATCAGAAGCCTCCTCTTGGGGTGGTCGAAACATCGTCGGGTCAACGATAAGGTTAACCTGGACATCTTGCGACGCGGGACCTCCCTTCTTCCCTTTCTTTTTCTTCTTTTTCTTGTTATTGTCGCCTACAGGTAGCACCATCACTCCATTAACTCCAGGGGCACTTTGCTCCTTCTTCGGTCGCTTGACGCACGGACGCACGATGAACAAACCGAAGAGAAGCAGAAATGTCACGACGGAGGTAATGTAAAGAGCGTACGCAGCTGGTGTGCCCGCTGGCGGAGGTGTCCCCTTCGTTTTTATGGCCTGATCAAGAGCTCATTAGTATGGGTGAAACCTGAGACAACGATATTTCACCTACCACAGCAGCATATATCCCCGGGATACCAGCAGCCAGGGACAGCAGCACCTGAAAACCCCTCGTTGCCGTACGTTTCCTCGGCCCTTGGGTAATCAGATTCCCTTTCCCGTCTGCCATACCAATCTGTGGTTTCTCCTCTCCCTGCTGCGCAGTATTCGGGGTAGTCGCAAATTCCCTCTCAAGCATTCGTATGCGCTCTTCTTTGAGAGACGGGTCGAGGTACGACGGGGGATCCGGATCAGATGACCAAGGAAGAGCATTTGAGCCAGTATATTGTGTGGAATGATGAATAGAATGTGTCGGGAAAGAGTTGTAGGTGTGGCCTGGGTCGAAAGGTGTCCCTGTGTGTGATATTCGCTTCGGAGGTAGAGTGTAAGGGTCTTCGTCAAATGGCAGAGAATTCAACGGTGGAGCGGTGTACCAGTGTCGAGTGAAGGCCGGAAAGCGGGAGGTGTCAATGTCGTGGTCAGAGTCTGCGATGCGAGGTTGTGTCGGTGGTGGTGGTGGTAAAGAAAATGCACGAAATCTAGAACCATTGTTGTGCGAATTGGACGAGAGCGTCTCCCCTCGAGACACAAGGCTGGGTACTCCCCGATGAATAGAAGAATCATAGTCGTAATCGTGCGGATCATCATTATAGTCGTAATCTGGCTGTCTGCGCAGCGTCGCAGCATAGTCTGCCAAGTCCAATGCCTCTACGCTGGGCTCCCTCCTCTGTGTCGACAGGTTGTATGTCGGGAACCGAGAATAGTTCACTTCCGAATCATAGAGGTCAGTCCGTGGATTCGGGTCGAAAGGTTCAGGAGACCACGGCCGTCGAAATTGAGACGTCGGTGGCGGCGAATCGTAGTCCCTGTGCGAGGCGTACATGGCAGCAGAAGGAGGGAGGGCGTCGTTCCCGACGACGATGACAGCTTAAGCGCAAGGAACGTTCGTCACACGAGTGATGCATTAATAGGAGGCCGGCCCGCCCAAATTAGACGTCGACGACGGTCCTATTTTTTCTTATGTTTTTTTTTTGAAGAACGCACATATATTGTATCCTTGAAAGATATTTTCTCAGAAACCTAGTTAGCGAAGTCCTCTTAGTGCGCGTTCGACCATCCGGGCGAGGCCCGCCCAGGTGTTGCCAGTTTGGTATCGTCGGCCTTGCAGCTTGCGTTGTTGTACACAGAATGCTTGCACAAGTTACAGTACAGTGATAGACTGTTATACTGATTAAACTAGAAACAAAAATACACCGCACATGGCCCCAGTGGCCAGTGTTTAACAAAGATGAAAAGCTACTTGGGTATATTCTCCCTAGCTTGTTGACGGATCTTCTTCCTGGAAGACGTCAGCAGGATGGCAGTCGAGGAAAGATAATACGTACTCGTAGGCCACCTTATCGTTCCTGCAAATAAAGACCGAGTCAGCCAATAACCCAAATGTGGAATTATGCCAAGTACGCACTTGAACATCGTGTATGCCTCGCTCTGTGCAGGATCGTTTACATTGGGATCATCAAGAAGATCCTGGATACCTAGTAAAATCTAGACAGAGGCATTAGATGGATCTAGACGTCCGAGGGATTGACCGCACCTGTTTAATCGTGATAGCTGGTTTCCACGACTTTTCTTCATCTAAGATCGACAAGCAAACCGTGCCAGAAGGATAAACATTCGGGTGGAACAACGGGGGCGTAAATTTGCCTGTGTGACAGGTAAGAGGATAACAGAAAGGAAGGGTATGCTACGGACATTTGGGTGGCTTTGAGGGATAATCTGAGCCAGGCAATGAGGATGAGTGCAGGCGATACAGAACAGCAAAAACAACCGCACCTTCGGGAAAAATCATAGTTAGTTTGAACAACCCGCCGTCCCATGCAGTCTAAAGTTATTCGAGTCAACAAGTGGCGCGCTAACGACTACAATCCAGACATCGACGTACACCGGCTTTCCCTGGGATCCCGACTTCCCATTCCATGAGATTCATAGAGCCGTCAGACGCCTTCGAAGGTTTGGCGAAGAATCCCTGGACACATGTCAGCGACCACTGCACAAAAGAACGTTCATGGTAAGGTACACACGAAAGGGTGGTCCTTCCGCCACTGCTTGCGTTCCTCCGCTAATCGTGGCCTGCAAATACCAGACATGCTGAGCTGTCGGAAACTTGGCGAAAGGGAGAGAGTGGAGGTGCTTAGTCAGCGCAATGCTTGTTTTGAAGGACGTGACTGGATTGTGAGTGCGTCGTAAATCGAAGGGAACACTCTTTATAATGCCGAAAAAAAATCTTCGACCGACAAAGGAAAATGGGCAATTTCAAACTCTTATTGTCGTACAAAAACACAATAGATCTACACCAAAAGCTTTTCGATGGCAAGTTTAATGGTCTGTATCTGACTGACCAGCTCCCTCTGTTCATTTGTGAGAACACTGACAGCAATGACGGGCCTGGTGACACCGCAAGCACGTCCTAGGGCTGCCTTTGACGGAACAAACACATACGGGACGTTCTAAAGACACCCTTAGATCCATGACGAGACAAAAACTTTACAAACACACCTTTTCTTCACACAAGAGTGGAAGATGGAGCAAAATTTCCAAGGGCTCCGTGTCGGCAGTCAGCACGATGAACTCAGAAATTCCCCGATTCAGAGTTTTCGTTGCTGCCAGAAACTGAGTCAGGAACAAAACCCTTCGCCGAGAGCGCTAGAGGTGTACCTTCATTGGCACCTTTCTTAAGCTGCTTGTAGTCAGTAGCCTGCTGAACCAAGTCAAGAATCTACATGATATCAATTAGACCCCAAACCATCAATTGCATGAAGAATCCGCACCGAGTTCGTCAAGTCGGCATCAGCAAGAGGCCATGCTTTTCCACGTTCATCAGCCATTGCGATTGAGTATCTTTGGAGTGTGAAAAGATGGTGGGTTTGACCTCACGATTGATCCTTGGTCGTAAGTGGGTGTACGCGTTGAAGATGTTTGAAAAATTTCTCAGGCTGATATTGGACCGGATGTCCATATACGGTCTTGCTGCCAAATCATCGGTCGATCATCGCCTTTTTTTAGATTCTGCCGATAAGCACTTTGTGACTTTTTAAAAAAGTGCAACACTACGCGTTTGAACATGGAGTTTTTGAGGGGGCTCTGTATTTGATTAACCTCACTATCTACTAAGATGCGGTGGCGAAGCTGATGCTCAGGTCCCCTTCTTCGTTCCTGTACCTAGTCCCTCCATTCAATGAATCTAGTTTCTTCGGGTGTGTTGGCGTACGATGTAGAGTATCATTGAGCATGGAATTGACAGGCAAACACCCTCCTTGCTCCCGTCTCTTTAGTCCAGTTTCCTCAGGTGTGTGGGGCGTGACACGTTAATGTAGTATGACATGTGGGTACATACTACCGTACGGCACGTATGAATAGATATAGACTAGCTTCCTACTCTTTAGTAGGACATATTTTTTTTGCATTTGCGTTTGGCTTCGTCTTCGCGGCGCGAATATGTGTGGGCTCCTCATGCTTCGATGATTTTATGGGGATTATTCGCGCTCGTCCTCCGAAGGGTCTCATTCTCGCAATTCTCTCACCCTTGCAAGTTGTTCGTAATGTAGCTCGGCGTTCTTAGCTTACTAGTCCTTGTGATTGCACCCAAGCTGTCCGTGAACTTGCTGAGCTTCGGTTTCCTTCCTTTTTACCCGCTATGTCGTGATAAGCCCGTATCGTTCTCCGAGAAAGCCGCATTAGAAATGGTTTCCATTGATTTTTTTTTGAACCGATAGTTAGCGTCATTCAAATGTTGAAATAAAAAAAGACAATATAATGTTATAAGTCCAACCTGATTCGTGATGATGTTCTCATGATATACTCCGTTGTGTTAACCGTCCCCCGACGTGCATTTATAAGGGCGCATTCATGAATTGAAGCCAAGTCTGTCCGACAACGTACCGTAGAATGTTTCAGTCCGTCGAGATTCAGAACAGTGGCGCATTAAGAAGGACGAAACAGTAGATTGTTGCAGGCCGCAAAGACGCCGACCAGGCAACAAGCAATGAGCGGGCATACAGGGCAATAGAGCGGCAATGAACCGTTATTAAGACATCACCACCGAATTGGCATAACTTTTAAGCGTAATGCCGGACTGAAAGAGAAGACTTTAACGCCACTAATTCGTGTTACGACAGGAAAGATGAACGCCCCATTAAATTTTACATATAGTAGTCGGAGTGCAGAGGAATTTGCGGCCTGGAGACGTTGCCGTGACCCCACAGTACTTCCCGCTGCCATCACCGTTGTCAGCAGCTGCCTTGACCAGATTGGATACAGGAGACCTTCGTATGCGCAGCTGTGTTACCGCCGCGCTGCGGGTATTGCCGGTCCGAGGAGTACGTCGTTACCCAGGTCAACGGACATTAGTTTTCTTGCATTATCGAAAGCTGAAGTTCTAGTAGAATCGTGTATACAGAATTCGAACAGCACGAGAGCGAGCGAGCTAGCTGTCACCCATAAAATTTCAAGGACAGGGAGGTGGAAAGGTCCGTAAGGAACAAACGAAGGTGTCCGGTTAGAGCCGAATTGCGCACGTGGTCAGTGGCGTAAGGGCAAATCCTGTTCCAGGTTTCTCTCTCATCCCATACCCATGTTACGTCCGACTGCATCATGCACTGTTGGCGAGGTAGCCTGCCCGTACCCACCGTTCTGCTCTGGCATGTACTTGTGTACTTTCATTACCCTTTTACTTTCGCATGTTTGCAAACTATATCATTTTCTGGTATTTTTCTTGCACGCCGCTCCGAGGACATCGAGTTTTTCGTGCGTGGCGACGGCGGGGGTCACTGAGCTAGAAGAGCGGAAAAATGTTGTAGGTAACTGCATTGTGTTCACTATCTCTTCTCCCTGTTTCTTACATGCTCCCGATGTTCCCAGGCTTATGCATCGCTGCAGTGGCACGCGGGAGCCCACCACTCACACTGTCCCAGAACGCGCGGTATTTCGTCGATGGAGCTACGCTATCATGAGTTATATCGTTTCTGTCCGTGCAACTGGTCACTCAGATGATTGTCTTACTGTCCTTTATACTGGACGATTGTTCCGACTGAACGCCGCAGATGACTTTCGCGATGACTCAGGGTTCTCAGGCTCTATGTGCACCATGCACTTCTCTCTTATACCTTCTTCTGCCTGTGGTCTTTGCTAGCTACACCAGGTTCATTCATCCAAAGGCCTCCTGACGACGATTACGGATCTAGCGCGACCTGGCCCGATGTACGCAATTGCCTAGGCGCAGACGTGGCTGCCCTTCTACTGAGCGAATATGCGCGGGTTTCCCTGTTTTTTCCATGTTTTCCTCGTCCTGTTTGTACAGTGCGACTTTTTTCACAGGCTCGGCACGGGTACGAGTACCTGATTCTTAATGTTCGATATGCTTCCCATCGAATAAACCCACCCCGGGTCCTCCGCGATGTCATCACGCCCAAAATATACCGGGGGCTTCCAGCATTTTTCTTGGTGTTTATTATCACTTTTTGCTGATTGGAGACATCTTTGGAGACTGTCGCTTATGCCTTGACGGTATATCATAGTCTCTGAACACATGCAGTATGTTGCTTTTCACCGTATCGTCCCATCGCCCATCTTTCTGACTTGAAAACAGTTGTACGCTTCCATTGACACCGATCGGAGATAAACAAAGCTAACCATCGATTCATATCTAGAGTTGTAAAAGATTACTTTTTGTAGTGGACTTTCAAGGTATGTTTACCCTCCATTCCATCTTCTTCCTAAGGTTCTCAACGCCTCGTCAGCTCTGAATACTTTACAAATTTTAAGCCAAATATGAAGGCGCAGCATCTCATGTGACGTCATTGTTTGTGTAAGATAAGAATTTTCTGTGCCGAATGCGCCGAGCCGAACCCACCCAGTTCGGAAATCCGACAACGCCTCACGACGACGAGGGCGTGGGCATTGACATCGCCGACGACCTCAAGTATTATTGTGTGGATTTTGCCCATACTACCTTCTGATTCCAACGTACTCGACCTAGCACTCTCCATGACATGCCCCGTCCTCAACCACCGGTGCCATCCACGCTCAGGAATCGCAACCGGATTACGAACAAGAGCCGCCTCCGAGTCCACATTGGAAATGTCGAGGCCGATCCGATTATCCCTGATGAGGACGATGAGAAGAACCGTATGCTTCAGAGCGTTGCAGGTGTCGACCAGGAGGATGCGAATGTGAGTGCTCGCCGTCAGCCAATCAGAGATTTCCACGCCGCCATCGGAGGGTGGCAGTGCGTTCCGTGGAATTGCTGACCAATCATGCTGTTTTAGGAACACCACTTACAGCAAGTCCTCAGTGAGGCGGCACTGCGCCACCAGTCTTCTGTGCGGGCCACTCGGGGTGCGTCTGATAAGATTACTTCCGTCGCATATATTCCGACCCCCGACTCCACTGGAATCGTCGATAATTACGAGACACTATATCCTTCTAATAAATGGAGGGATCCCGCCTCGTATGTGTTTTCTTCGGAAACTGTCGAAGAGAAGTGTCAAATGGGACTTGCTCATGGATGCACCTATTATATGGATGAGCGGGACAAAGAATGGCTGGACAAGAACAATGAGGAAGCCAGAGGCGAAGGAACTAGCACCCAAGCATCACTTTCAGCGGGTACTAGGACGTCGGCACGAAGCGCCAAGAGTAAGGGCAAAGAACCTGACACTACGACTCCAGTCCATGTCGGAGAGGACCATTTTGAGTTGGTGATGGGATTGTTCGAGTTGATTACGCATGAGGAAACGGAGTACCTGCATCATGTACGCAAGAAATGCTTATATTATATCGTCAGCTCACTAACGAGTCATATGCAGAGTCTCAAAGAGGGGATGACCTTTCCGGAGTTCTCGAACTATCACGATACCTTCGCGAACCCCCTTCCGGCTTCCTTGTTCGCCAAATTTGCCGTTCCTCGGGGCATTCCTCCTCCCCCCCAGTTGCTTCGTATGGCCCGCTTGATATATCCGTATTGGAGGGAGCGCAGAATTGAACGAGGTGGTCAGCGAATTATACCACAGCTCAATGTATGTTCGATGTATCTTTTCGACTCTTCTTTTCACACAATCATTTTAGGGTGATGAGACGGATACTCTGAACGAATCCTACATCTGCTTCCGTCGGCGAGAAGTAAAGGCCGTCCGCAAAACTCGTGCTTCGCAAGCGAATTCCTCTGACAAGTTGACTGCTTTGAACAAACAGCTTTCTGAACCCTTGGAAATCGCGAAGAATATCGTCAAACGGGAGTATACCAAATGCGAGTTAGGGCGGCTTGGATTGAACGTTTGGCAACGCCGCATTGCAATCGTCGATCTTAAACGTAGAAATCCATCCCTTGATGGCGACGTGTCGAATGAGGAACTCCTAGTCGATAAAGAACCTCCTGCAAAGCGACTAGACCTGTCAGTATTAGATCGCAATTTCTTTTCACTAAACAAACTGATCTCTTTCTCTAGCCGTACACGCTTACCAGTCAAGCCGGAGGTTGTTATACCCTCACCCCCCATTCGTACGGAGCCGTCTATTCGTCCCAAAGACAGATTTGCCGCAATACACGCGAAAGTCGAGAACGCCTTGCAGAAGCGAAAGGAAAAAGATTATCAATGGGAGGACAGTATCGATGTAACTGTTTGCTTCCTTTTTTCCTTGGCCATTGTTAATCATTAACCCAGAATTCCTACGTTCCGCCATTTGTATCCTTTCCTTCTCGAGTCTTCAAACATGTGGGACCTTCCGATGCTCCCAAGTGGCCGGCAGCGTCATCGTCAACTCTTCCCGAGTCAAACGCTAATTCGACACAACTGCGGCAGCCGAGACCTGTTCGTCTACGTTATGGACGGGGCGGTCGTATGCATCTAGATCGAGGAAATACCCTCATTGGATTGGTACCTCGGCGGGGAAGCCCTACCAACCTGGATGCTATGGATATCGATGTAGACAACAATGAGCAGATGAAGCGATTGCAGGAACGTTGGCGATTCGACTCCGATGACGCACCATCGATTGGTATTTCAAGTCCTGATGAGCAAGATCGGCATCTCGTCGACGACTACAATCTCAAGTGAATATTTATGATCGCATATTTTCTATGCTCGGGCTTACCGTTTTCTTAGATATATCCGGCATTCTATTCACCTCTTGGCTGATGTAGATCAGAATCTTTTGACGGATCCCTCCATAACCAAGTACAACTCTGACGGTCGCAAAGAGGTTGTCATCCCCTTCAAGCTAGGTCACGCCAACCCTATCGTTAGACGTGACATGGGTCCCAGACCCGGACCACAGCCAATGATCTCCCATGCTGCTCAGCAAGCACAAGCCGTTGCCGCCGCACAGCACGGCACGGCAATGCCCATGCCTAACGGTACTCCCATATCCGCGCAGCAACAGGTGAAGATGTCGAGTGCTGGTCTAAGTCACCTGCGTATCTCTTCTAGCAGTATGCGCACAGGATCGGTGATTCCTAACGGGATGCACAGTGCCTCACCCCCGTTATCTTCTCCATCTTCCGCCCTACAACTTTCTCCTCCTCTCAGTGCCACAAATGGTGTTGCTCGTGCTGCTATCAATATGCCGCATCTTGACGCTGTGAAGATCGAATCTGGATATTCCATACCAAACGGTGCAGCAGCTATTCCGCAATCCTCCCCGTCTCCGCATTCGCAGGAAGTCATGTCTCATGTGCAAGAGGTTAATGTTAATGGCCAAGGAAATTTTACCAAGTCCCAGGAGCCCTTTCATATCTTACATCCCGGGTACCATATCAATGGCTTCCAAGGAACTCCTCTTTCAAATCATTCGCAGTACATGAATGTCCAGACTGGACTGAGCGCGCAACAGATGCAAAATCTTAAATCAGTATTTGCAGCTCCTGGTAACCAAGATATGACGGCTGTCCAGATCAATGGTGTGCGTCCTATTCCTGGTCCATACATGCACGTTGTACAGCCGAACGTGAACTACAATTCCGCCAATATCAGTAACATGAAGCTTCCGGCCGTGCGCCAACCGATGCAGTGGTCGCACGGAGTCAATGGTTCTCCGATGTTACGGCCGACGTCCATAGCTAATGGACTGGACGTCACAATGATCAATGGGTCGCTCTCGCCAAATTTAGCACAGGCTACGCCAGTTCGTACGCCGTCTGCGAATGGGACGAGGATGGGTTTGCCCCGGAATATGTTGTCACCTCATGCTCGGCATGGCAGCCCTTCGCCCGTACCTTCGATTTCACTTACCCAATCTCCACCTCGTCTACCCTCGACGCCAACGATGGCAGCCGCACAACCTGTGGGGGCAACACAAGGTAGTTATTAATTTTTTTTTCGCACTTTCTCGGGTTTCTGTACAGTTAGTATATCCCTTTCTTTCGTACTCTTTTGGTCGGCGTGTCTGTTTGTTTTTTATAATGACATAAATTACTTTCCCTCTTCGTGTCGTGTATTTTATTAGACTTATCATTGATCCTTTCGATGGGTGGAGGTCAACAATCCTGTTTTGTAGGCAGTTTCGATATATTCTTCGTAATACACAGGGCCTCTTATTGTGCTTGTGGATACTGTACTTTGGATTGGAATATTATGTGATTGTCAAACGAAATTCTGATGGTAGCGTCCCCGTGGTCATATGGTAGGGCCCTGGATAGACTCGTCTATTTGCAACAGTCACAAACCATTCCTGGGCACTCGACAGTTTGCAAGCTTCAAAGATGACTGAAGCCGCAACGGTCTATTTTGCATATGGTAGCAATCTCTGGAGAGAGCAGATGAACCTTCGCTGCCCCGAAAATAACTTCTTGGGCGTTGGGTTGCTCAAAGAGTGGTATGGAGTTCTTACAGACGGTACTGTCCTGATTGCCATTCATCTCATCTCTCTCAGGCGTTGGATCATTAACGGGCGTGGTTATGCCAACATTGTCCCGTCCAAAACTGGAGATGATGTTTACGGCCTTTTGTATAAGATCAATGGGGTGGATGAGAAAGTCCTGGATCTCTACGAAGGCATTCCCACGAGTTATCAGAAGAAGATCCTTCCCGTGATGATTCTCGGGACAGATAACAAGGACAATACGATGATAAATTGCCTCGTATATGTGGATACAGAGAGGGTGTTGGATAGTATACCAAAGGACGAGTATATCGGGCGAATGAACAAAGGCATCACAGATGCGGTAAAAGAAGGGGTTCCCAAGAATTACGTTGACAAGTACCTGCGTCGATATATCCCAGACGAGCACTAATATGGAGGGATTGTACCTACCCAACGACTCAGTACAGACAAATGAGTAACATTCCTGATAATACTGACCTAGGCAATCAGCCATGTCTACCGCCGCCTACGAAAGTCGCACCGGGCAGGTCGGACATACCATACTCCACGTCCTTGGAATGGAAAGAGAGTCCATCGGAGGACATGAATGTGAAATGCTTTGATATGCGAGATATATCATCGATATCCAACTTCTCCGCAAGATTTATCGCGAGGATATAGGCATCTGAGATCAAGTATAAGCGGGGGGGGCGCGGTTTAGAAATCACACATACAAGCCTGAACCAATAGAATGACAATATACCAGATGATTGGGAGCCCTTTCACGAAGGACCAACCCTTGCTACAGAACTGAATAGCGAACTCATCGAGGTCACCTTGTATGCAGGACGCGACAGTCAACGAATCAACATGTCTGAACGTTGAGTATAATGTGAACGCAAAAGCCGCGATGGTTGTCACGTAGTGAATTGCTATAAGCTTGCAGTAGATGAAGGCGAAGGTGCGATTCTGTGAGATGCCCTCGGCGAACCTGACGTTACAATTAGATCACAGCTTTTAGTGGATTCTGTAATTCAATGCGTACCCAAGGATGGAGAAAAGACCTAGCAAGGAGAAGACAATGGCTTGAACGAATTGTGCGATCTCGTCCTGGAGTGGTAGTGGATGTGACGCTGCACAGGGGCATCAGAAAGAGTGTTCAACATTTAGCAACATCATACCCATAAGATTGATTTCCATCCAACTACCCGCAGCCCCAGACGCTCCCAACATCAATCCCACCAGGGAGAGTAGCCAGACCCCCGACGCAAGTGGTAGGCACCCCAAAAAAGTGCGGCACCGAATGAAAGGCATTCCTTTCGAACCAAGCTCCAGGCTACGCGTCGCTCAACTAGGAGCGACGGAAAGAAACAAAGAAAGGAGGAAGGAAGGTGAAGAGAGAAAGGAAAGAAAGCAAGAGGAGGACTGTATGGTATCCTTCCATGGAAGATCGGCCATCACTTGGCCATCACGGTATCGATTGAAATATGGCAACTTGGCTCTTTCGGGGCTCACTGTTTCAATTTCTATCACGGAGAATATAAACGAATCTTTGGATGCACCAACCATCATTTCCGGTTCCACGCGGGGGGGAAAAAGTATAACTGGTTCGGATATCCGGCCCGTTAGACTGGCTTTGTATTTGCCTCCGGCCCTTAGACCAAGCAAACATCCAAACAACACGGCCGCGTCACCATTGGATTTAGCATACGTCTTCTCATCTCACCGTCATGAACACATTTGCAGACCGTTTCTCGACAACAGGCGCTCTGGTGGAGCTGCGAAGGGCGCAGAAGGATGTAGATGAGGACGAGTTTTTCCGATGCTGCGTGGGGTTCCGAGGCCGGCTTTGGTAGCCTAGCGAAGGGTGTGCCCACTTTCAGTGTCCCGAATATTCCGGATGTGAGCAGGATGCGTTGGTGTATATGAACAAGTGTATTGACAATCACATTACTAGCCAGCGGCCTTTCTAAGGCTACACACTGATGACCATGCCGACCCCCACTTGCAAAATCAAGATCTCTCATGGAACAACAACGCTTGCTTTCAGGTTCCAAGGAGGTGTCATCGTCGCAGTTGATTCCCGTGCTACCGCAGGCAGCTACGTTGGTGAGCATAAGCATCTTAATCTCTGCTTGGGTCTAATTGGATATCCAAGCTTCGGGAACTGTGAAAAAGGTGATTGAAATCAACCCTTATCTTCTTGGGACGATGGCTGGTGGTGCAGGTATGCCGTCAGTGTATATGCCATGAGCTTGGTTTAGAGCTATTTGCAGCCGACTGTCAATACTGGGAAACATACCTTGGAATGCACTGTCGACTTCACGAGCTTCGAAACCGGGAGCGCATATCCGTGTCTGCAGCAAGCAAATATCTAAGCAACCTTGTCTACAGCTATAAGGGTATGGGGTTGAGTATGGTATGCACTGTGATGCTCGTTCTTCCTTCGGTTTCTAACATATCATCATATACAGGGAACGATGATTTGTGGGTGGGATAAGACGGTACGTTCTTGGAATAAAACTCCAACGCTTTGCATTCTCATGGTATTATCTAGGGTCCAGCTGTGTTCTATGTCGACTCTGATGGTACCCGCCTGAAGGGCGACCTGTTTTCGGTAGGATCTGGTAGTACGTTTGCGTACGGTGTACTAGATCAAGGCTATCGCTGGGACTTGACGGATGCAGAGGCACAAGAACTCGGTAGGCGTAGCATCTACGCTGCTGGTCATCGAGATGCTTTCTCTGGAAACACCTGTAATCTCTACCACGTCAAAGAAGATGGATGGATATTCATTGGTGTGTGCCTATCTCACTGTGGCAAGATACGTTTCCTGACTATAAGCAAACCCTACAGGCAACTACGATATATCCAAGATGCACTACGATGGCCCAGGCGATGTACCTGGTGCTCCTGGTGGCGGATACGGATACGAGACGCGTGTTGAAGGGCTTAGTTCAGCAGACCCTCCTGTGGCAGCCCAGGCATAGATCATGGATGTGTACCATATATTATGAAAACCAAATTATACGTCAATTTTCTACGCTTGATTGGAGAAGCTAGTGTTAGCGCTTGGTCATGAATTAATCCAGTTCCAGAATCCAAGGAAACGATTTGAAGAAGTTTCTTCTACGAAGTTCTCCTCGTAGCGGTCTATCTGGGCTCGCTCTAACTCGAAGAAAGTGACTTCGGTAAGTCTCCGCCACTGGAAGAAGAATATCAGTGGCCGAACGTAATACAAAGAAAATGTACGAACTGGCGTTCGGTGATACACCTTCCATGCTACAAACAGGACGGGGCAGATTCCAATCATTGCATAGGAGAAGAGGAAGGTGGGCACGTCCCATCTGCCCTTAAGAAACACGGTATAGCCACCAACGAAGGCCATAACCACGGTACCAAAGAGTGCATAGTATCTGTAAGACTGCTGAGATACGGTGGAATAAGCAAAAAGTGTCGCATACGCGCAGAAAGGTTGCCAGAAACTTTTGTGAGGCAACGTCGAGCGGTCAATGCCCTGGGCCTTGAGCGCCTACAAACCACTATGTTGAGCACCCCGAACACGTAAAACGAATGCTTTGACCCACGTTGTAAAATCGGATATATGTGAACGAGATGCAGGCAAAGTTCAACAACTGCGAGGCTGTCACAAGGCTCACAAACCTTGGCGAAGAATTCGAAACAGTGGACAAGAAATGGATAATCATATAACCTACCAATTAAGAACCACAGCTGCATTAGTTGAGACCTGTAAAAAGGCTACCAGAACCTGTCAGAACCCAGCGTTATGTCATTCTAAACAAGAGATTCGCTTACCCAAGAGAGCTATCGCTAGCGTCAAAGCGACGGAATAGATGGGCACACCAGATCTCGTGCACCTAGCAAAGATCTTCAAAGCCTTGCCTTCGAGTGCCAAGCCAAACAGCGTCCTACTAGCGCAATACACATAACTGTTCCCCGCTGAGAAGATGGACGTCATGACCAGCGCGTTGACAAAGTGAGGGAGGACTGGGATCCCCATGCGTTGCATCGCAATAACATAGGGCGAGGACCCCGCCCCTGGCTTGGCATCAGAGAGTGCTTTCAATAGATTCGTGTCATTGTAAGGTACCACGATCCCAATGCACAGAGATCCAAGGACGAAAAAGGTGGTCAGGCGATAGAATACGCTCTTGTACGCTCGAGGGAGGTTCTTGCGCGGAAATTCCGCCTCGCCTGCGGTCATTGAAACGTAATCCGGACCTGACGCAGGGGAGATAAGCAGGCGAAGAAAGAAAGAGGGAGAAAGAGGGCGTACCTGCGATAGTGAAAGATGCCTGGATAAGACACGCGAGGAAGCCCATAAAGCGCCCGAGATCCCCTGTCTGGATGAATTCTGCGAATGGTGCTCCTGACACGTTGGACGCTGGAGATTTCCTGGTGAGCGAGTGGACGGTATGGGCAAATGTGAAGACGGACGATTCCAATAGCGGAATCCATACGCGTCGTGTAATGGATTACCGCCCACCATGGTAATGAATGTGAATGATATCAAGCCTAGAGCAAGGAGAACCTTGCCAAATGCTAACCAAAACTCAGACTCTTGAGCAGGTAATTAGATAATGCGAAATGGAGAATAGACGGAAAATTCTGACCTCCATACCATTTTACAGCGAAAACATTCAGAAAACTGTTATCGCTATCCCGTCAATGATCGCTAAATGGGGAACGTATTGTAACGTACGCATAGCATACGATCACAAAAGCGATAACAGCAGCAACAGGGATCTTGTCCGTCCAAAATTGTAATACGACGTTGAAAGCGACGATCTCGAATGGGACCAGTGCTGCTTCGAAGACGAAAAAGTTGATGGCGGCGGTGAAGCCAAGGGCTGGGTCTACAAAACGGTCGGCGAATCGCACCTGAAGCAACAGAATTGGAATTAGATTTGAGATAGAGCATGGTAACAGTTACATACAAATGGGGAAGAGATGGGAATCCAGGTGACCATCTCAGCTGGGGAGGTGGAGGGGAGGTGGGGTGAGTGGGGGCTTAGGCTGGGGGGAACTCGGATACTCACAGAGACAGTTGTTGACGGCGAGAATAAATGTTGACCATATCGTAAAGGCAAGAAACAAACTAGCTAGGTGGAAATTAAGTGATTTCTACGCGACACGGATTGAAAAGAGCGATACTAGGTCCTCCTTTGGTCAAAGATGCGCCAATTTGGACGAAGAGTGCCGTTCCGATGGTTCCTTTCAATAGAAGAGTTAGGCAGTGGTTGCGTGTAGAGTATGACAACTCACCCCCAATACCAATGAGCTGAATGTGCCTACTCTGCAGAAAGAATCAGTACAAGAAAAAAAAACAAGAACGGAACAAACACACCTTGAGTTTCCGATGAGTCTGGTCATCGGAATAGAGGCTCTCCGTCCCGTGATAGGTCAATGTCTCCTCGACATTAAGGTCCTTGTCGTCGACCGGGCGGTCTTTGATGCTCATAGTGGTACGAATACAACCTGCAGCACCTTCAAATTAATACAGTTCCGCGGAGCACGTCATCATACAGAATATGGACCACAATTGATGCACGCGAGGATCTGGAGAGGAATTACATGTGATCCTTTTGATGGGGGCTAAAAGTGGCGGGATTGTGTGGAGTCGATATCGATGAACTTTGAAGAGGCGGTTGGGCCGGACCTGGCTCGATGCTACGTCAGGGGGTGTAGAGGAATGGCAAAGGAAGGCCAAGAGCTCTCAGCTGTTGCAGAACACAGGTCATTGGGTATCTGGAGGTCTATTGATGTGAGATATCTTATCGTGTTTCTGTTCTTTGATAACGACGCCGCATTATGGTTGACGCTGACGGCCTCGCCTCTGCTCGGGTAGAGTCATATTTATTATTCGAGTAGCAATTGACGCGAAAAGTGGATGTATATAGTATGAGCTGATATTAGGTCAAGGGTCTGTTGCGGCATCGAAGAAAGGAAGGGGCGCACGTAATACCAGATGTCCTAAGTAATGCATCATCACATTTCTTCTTCAACGACAGGCTATATAGAAGAAATATAGTAGTCGTTGCAGTGGCAAGCGGCTTTAAAATGGAAATAGCCAGTGCTACTAAGGCCATTTCATAGCATCAGAGACCCACGCTGTGATTATTACCGTGGCGGAAACGTGGGTTTGGATCCATACCGAGGAACTAAGATACAAAATAAAAATATAGGAACGAAGCACTTACTGTTGGAATGTCAAGTGTCGCGCATCATGGTGCAGTCGACGTCGGGATCTTCAGTAGGAAGCACCGTTCATCTGTTCTCCTCCTCGGCTTTCCTTATTACATCATATTGCTTCTATTAGTGTACACGGCATGTAGATAAATAGGTAGACGAACGACGATGACCCTCGCCTGTTTGCGAGGGTTCCCTGCTATATCCGGGTGAGCGGCTGGAGAATTACCGCTTATCTCAACACTTACTAGGGTGAAAGCAAATGACATTCAAGGTACCTCTACAAAACATGAAGCTATGGAAAGAATAGGACGGGATGGATGCTGACCGTGGCGATATATACGCATAAATAACCCAGTGAATGCCAGAGGAATTATCCTCTGAAACACAGAGTAGGGCAAATATGCAGATGCGGGGCAGCGAGAAGCTAACAAAGCGGTGCTTCACACACACACGAAAGGGAGGTAGCGGAAGTGTGTGAGATCGAATGAACATGCAAAATCCTTCTGCCGAGGCTCGAGAATGTTGTGCTATCGAGAAGAACACCTTCCAAGAATTAACCAAAGGCCAGAATAGAGTTGAAGAGGAGGTATGGCCGTAGTGATACGGCCGTAGAGTGCACAAAAACGCCATCCACAGTACGAAGAACGGCTGAAGCCATATCCGTATCACAGACCCACGCTGTGCCTATTATCGTGGCAGGAACCTTGAAGTGTCTCGAGAGTTTGGATACATACCGGATTCCGGAAGGAACTAAGTCGACATGTAGTAGAGGGTGAAAGGCGATGCTATTCAGGGTACCTCTATGAAACATGAAGCGGGATGAATGCTGAGCGAGGCGGTGTATAGGCATAACCCAGTGCATACCAGAGGAAAGTGCCAGGCTTGACACACGAAAGGGAGGTGACTGAGGTGCGAGATATCGAAGGCACACGCAAAAGCGTTTTGCCGAGGCTCGAGTATGTTATGCTATCAAGAAGAACATCTTCCAAAAATTAAATGATCAAAGCTCGGAATAGCGAAGAGGAGGAGGAGCGATGAAGAGACTCGTGACGCAGAAACGGAGAATATTTCATTAATGCGATGGTTGCGAAACGGCGTAAGGGAACCCAGGTGTGGGTTGGCGGACGAATGTTCCGAGACATTAGCAAGAGCGTACGCCGAAAAGGCATTCCAAAGATCAGCTGCCAGCCAAGCTTGGTGAACAGAATACATGTTAGGGATATGCACTGTACCATTGCAGATATGACCGTAACGATACAGCCGTAGAGTGAACAAAAAAATGTCACCCACTGTGCGAAGTACGGCTGAAGCCATATCCGTATCATTACCACTGGACAGATTTTCGACGATAAATACCTGTTGTCAAAATATGAGTATGATTGTCTTCCATTAAATCCGTACATACATTAATAATATCGATGCCAAGTTATAGTCTCCTGCTTCTTCGAACTGTACTCAGACGTATTTTGGGTCGTCACTGGGACTCATGGTACATACCTGTATCCCGTATGGATACGGTGCACATCCCAAATAGCACACGTGTTTTTAGGAGGCGGAAAAAGGAAAAACAGAAATTCGACGGTGGTGGTCCGAGAGAAGCATGGTGCAATTACAGAAATGGTTGTGCGGTCAAGCTTCAAGTTCGACTCCACCAATGCACGTTCCGAACCAAGGGCGTTCATCCGGCTAGGCTCTGGTGGTTCAACTCGTATATTGGCCATGGTATACTGACCAAGATGCCTAGTGCTGCCATCTGATTTTGAATCCTTGTCGTTCGGTTCCGTGATCCGTCGAGTAGGACACATATCTAGGGATCAGAAGATACTGTGCACGTTCACCAGGTTCACGGTCGCTACCGACACCTGACGACTCATTTAGGGTGTATCCTGGTGCATCAGAAAGAATGATATATAGCCCCTGGGAGCAGGCGCAACTGTTTTTCCGCGTATTTTCTTCTTTGGCCATCGAAGTTTGAGGATGTTCACTGTAGTCAACCCAAGGCTATACATTCCCATAACCCATAGGATTGTCTGTCCCAAAATGCGAATTCCCCTCAAATCCCCGACCTCCGTCTAAACCCGTAGCGCCGAGTGGGAATGGAGGGGTATGGGTTATTACAGAGTTGACTGTAGATTATCGATGAGAGGTCTAGATTGGTGATGAAATAAGTGGTTTCCTTGACATGTAATACGTTGATGACGTAGATCCGTACATCAGGGGAACACAAGGGACGTTACTGATCCCAGGACCGCACAAGTAGTATGTATTTGCATTTCGGAAGTGGGACCGACGCTAGAAGATGCAGCGACTAAGAGGGAGAGGATTGACCTCATATTACGCCCTAGCTCTCGTGTATTGACGCGATAGTGCTGAGCTCGTTTTTTTGATCACTTCGAAGGCCACGATAAGGTTCACATTCAAACATGTGGAAGATGTCGAGCAAATTTTTCTCGTCATCATTGTGGAGCTTTGTGGAGCCTGCCAACCATAATAAGGCATGATAACTGCGTGCACGGTAAGTTCCGTACCTGAAACTCGACAGCATTTGATTTGGAAAAGAGGACGCGCTGCGCGCTCCTTTCACGTTCACGAAGTTCGAGGGGAGGTTGCCTTGGGATGATACAGCTTTGAGGCTGGTCGACGGCGACGACCGGGAAATTGTTGATGCATCATCGGGATGCATGCTGACAACACAAGTGATGGAAAGCAGGTGAGGTTACAGGCACTGAGGCAGGTGCATCTTCCATCACCGAATATTGGACACATGTGAGAAAGCAGCTCATGTTCGCGGGAGCATTAAACTGAAAGTTTCAATTTAGGGAGAGAGAACACTAGTGAAGAAGCCAAGCAAGATGTCTAGCAAGCTGTTAGCCAGGTAGGATGCCGCATGATACCGCAGAAAACGACACAGAAGAAGGAAGACAGAAAAGGATCAGCACGCCGGAAACGAGCGACAGTGCGGTTATTGAATGATGGATGATGGATAAAAAAAAATGATGGTTAGGTTGATAGAAAAATTGCTATACAGATTGTTGGAGACGAGGTAAGGCGTTGAGAGTTGGCATAGCGGCAGCTGAGAAGAAATAGGTGAATTAGGGAAGAAAATAGAATTCTAGGTCAGGAGATAATATTGAATATTCGAATATGACGGAGGCCGGTAAGTTGCCGGATTGGCGGACTGGCTTCTTACCATCACCTTGGGTCAACCTTGGTTTCAATTTGGTCCACCGTGGTTGCTCGCCGCCTTGGTTCCTACAGTCCTGCCTCGTTTCGTTTCCTTCGCCTTACCTTGCCCTAACTTATTCTTGGACTTGCCTGCTATTCTATTATTCGCCAACCTGATTGCATACCATTCCTTTTTCACTACCACCACCATCAGCGCTGGCCGTACCTTCTAATATTGCCCTCCCTGTACTGCGGACCATCCCGTCATGATGGCCTCGCTGCTCACACCGACGCCGGCGAATCCACCAGGTCGCATATCCCAACTACTGCCCACAGTGAAATGCTCAAACTGCCACCAGCCGGTCCCACTAGCAGAACTAGGTGAGCATATATGCACAAAACCGCCACCATTACCGCCAGTGCCGAAGCCAGCGTCGCCTGTACCGTCAGTCACCTCAGGCTTGTCTCAGCGGCTACAGAACCTGGTATCATCGCCTAAACCTAACAATATACCTTTGTCGCCTTCCCGCCCTTCTCCTCCAACTCAGCAGCGTCCTACAAGTCGCTCAGCGCCACAGCGTCCTACACCTCCACCACAACATCGCCCTACACCATCAACCGCTAGTGATCACATACGCGTACGTACGACCTCTGGGCCATCGTCTACTCCAAGCAGGTCCAGTCCTTTGGCCCGCCCTGGCCCGGACAGACGCGACACGGCGTCTCCAGCAGCTAGACGTGACCTCTATGTGCCGTCTACCGCGTCCCCGTTACGTTCTAGGACGCCTTCATCCGACTTTCGCACGCGTACCGTCTCCAGTAGCTCCAGTAGCTCATCACCAAGTACTGCCCGCCCTTCGTTCATCTCCACTCGGGATTCCCCTTCACCCCAGCCGCAGTCATCGCCTAAATCTGTATCACCGCAGCCTGTAGCTCCGTACGTCGTGCCTCAAATTGACACCAAAATCGGCGGAGAAGCGGGCATGGCTGGTGTTGGCCGTCGTGGTTTTGCAGCTGCAGCTCACGCGGCAGTCTTTCTCTCGTCTCAACCTCCACGCGAGAGTCGTCGTGATAATGCTCCTCAGTTTCTGGACATTGCTGCCGCTTTAAGTTGTATGTTCAATCCTCTTTATTGTGTTTCTTCTTTCCTCATCGTGCTACACAGCGAACGCCACTCCTCCTTTATCTCCATCCGGATATTCCTCGACATCTCCTGGTCCTGTTTCACCACTATCCCAATTCCATTCCCCTATTCTTTCTTCCAAGCCGCCTTCACCCACTGCTCTTAATGATAGCGATGCCAGTCCAGTATCACCGCTTGGCATACGTCTCCCCTTCCCCGATAAATTGCGTAAATCTGTTACACCCATTGATACAAACTCTATCCCTATCCCTAATACTCCATCAACGGCGACATCTCATACCCGCTCCAGAACCTCTTCCTCTGCTTCCCGGAGCCACACGCCTGCACGTTCTGTCAGCCGAAGCACGACCGCTTCACGGCGTGATGACCATATCCCCACATCCCCCAGTTCCGGATCAGAATATGGCTTAGCCTACGCTGACTCGACAGATTATGAAGAAGATGATCGAGACACCGATATCAACACTAAAACGAAAGCCAACCCCCCTCCTCCTCTTCCCCTAACCACCTCCATCCTACGTTCTACCTCTCAGACCAGCCAACAAAGTCACATTCGTTTTCCGTCAGCATCGGATCATGGCCGTTCAACTAAACAGCCATCTCCAGCACATCAGAAGAGCTCCGGCTCTGTGTCGTCTGTCTCCGATGCCGATGCCGCTGCTGGGATAGGGAGGGATAGGAGCAATTCCTCTCTTATCGCTCAGGCACTTGGGCTTTCTCAAACACCGCCGAGCAATTATGGACGGCTCGGTGGGCCGCCCTCGCGTAGTGGACGGAGCGCCAGTGGGAGTAGCAGTGGTAGCCGTAGCGCGTACTCTCGCAGCACCTCGGTGTCCTCTGGAACCGGATTGGGGATCATCGCGCAATCATCTTCTGGTCTTACTACCGGTAAACTGGAAAGGGCGATGGAGACACTATTGGAGGACGTTGCTTTGGATGATGCACGATCGTCGTTGTCCAAGAGCAAGTCCACGGGGAAACAGACATATTTCAAGAAAGAGGATGGTAGTGACGCGAGAACCTCGACGGTGCCAATACCGTATCGGAGTAATACGATGCAGGTGGTGAGCAGCCCAGAGAATAAACCTGTGAAGCTGCCGGCGCGCGCGAGGACGGAGAAAGAACGATCATCGGATTTGGAGAGGGTGAGGAAAGGGAAGGAAGCGCTGCGTGGCATAGAGCGACCGGCCAAGAAAGTTCGGATTTGTGTGCGCTGTGATAAGAAAATCGAGGATGGGAGGTGGGTACAAGTTGATACCGGAGGTGTGCTTTGCGAGCAGTGCTGGAAGAATATGTATTTACCCAAAGTAAGTGCCCCCCTCTTCAACTGAACGAGTAACTCATTACTTGTTTTCTCCTAGTGTCGGCGTTGTAATTTACCTATAGAAAAACAAGCAGTATCGTCTTCTGACGGTCAGCTTAAAGGAAAGTATCACAAGGACTGTTTTAATTGCCATATATGCCACGTACGTTTCTTCCGCGTTCATGTCGCGCCGTTGGTTTAATATTTCCTTGCCTTTAGAAATCATTTCCCGACAAAACGTTCTACGTATTTGACGGTCGACCATTATGCGCTTATCACTATCATGAAGCCAATGACTCCCTATGTGCTGCTGCTACGTGCGGCCAGCCCATCGAGGGACCGTGTGCGGTCTCGCATGCAGGAGACCGGTATCATCCTGAACATCTTTTATGCGAACATTCGGGATGTCATGAGAAGCTGGAGGAGTACTGGGAAGTGGATGGACGGATGTTGTGTGAGCGACACGCGAGGCACGAGGACGACGTGGATGATTACGCGGCGATAAAATCTATGAGGCGGGTGACGAGGTTTATTGACCTGGCTGGTGCGTCTGAACTTGGACTGAGATGAACATTCTACATTGCATCTTAATTTATTTCTCACTTTTTGACACTCTGGGGCTGCAACGGACTATATATCTCTTCACATTTTCAGCATACCATCATTTCGTTGGATCTAACTGTAGTTCACACCAATCCTAGCATCTTAATTCTACATTCGTTCGTTCGTTTTTCACTCTTTTGGGACTTTGTTTACACAATTTTGGTTTCTTGATTTGTTTATGCTTCTATGTACTATATCTATCCTGTAAATACCTAATTGTCTTTGACCAACGCGACTCTTGACAGATTTTATCGTAGATGGGGATTCTTGTCCTTCTGAGTAACCCCGTCATTGAACGGCACCTGAGGACCTTCAATACGGTAAAGGAGAGGGAACTGATAGTACGCGGCGTTGCAGCTCACCGATATCCTTCGTCTCGCTACTTACCGCTCCCATTCGACCTGTGTCGTTTAAGGCCAAGGCTGCTGTTCTGACTCTGAGCTATGGATTTGCGCCAGCATACGTGGCTTACTTGACGGACGTCTTCGCTCGCACAAGTTCGTCTCTTACGCGCTGCTATCCACTGTACACCCAATATTTTCGTTGTCTCTGCAATTCTCTATCATATGCCGATTCGAGGTGTATATCCTATACCTAAGGCGCTGTACTAGCTTGGGTTGGTTGATACGTTCAAACGTTCTCCACGGCACCGCCATCATTTGCCTCGTGATTATGCCAAGGTAACAATCGATGCATGCGACTGGACCAGTGGGGCCGACGTTTGGGTAAAGCATCAACAGAAAGTGCAGGAGTAAAATGATTGTCAGAAATCTGTTCCTGACACCAATCAGAGGCAATTTTAAACTATCATAGTTATAAACACTCACTGCTGACTCTTCAACCAACTCGCCTGAGAAAAATGCATCCAAGGTCTTGATGGCGAAACAGATATATTCCCTTTGTTTTGCTAATTCTTCTCCTGACAAGGTAACCCGTTCGATTCCACGAACGGAAGCCTGTCGATAGAAGAAATCCATTCCATCGTTTTCGAGCAATTGTTGAAGCATGCACCGGCATTCATCCCATACAGGATTATCCTTTTGAATCCGGACGAGTGACAAGATATTTTCTCTGATTTGCTTTCTGCGATTGAAGTCGTCAGAGTCATCTGGGCCATCGGTGCCGACAGCCAGGATAGAGCAGACAGCGAAAAGGTTGTCAGGTGTGTGGAGATAGTCAATATGTTTCCGTTCTACTGAGGGTTCAAGACGGATTTTCGAGCGATGTCCTATTGTGGAGAGGTAGCCTTCAATGATATTTACCCACCATGGGTGATATCCATGATGCCCGAAATATTCTAAGCCTTGCTTGGCACGAAAGACACTGTACATTGTCGGGTTGCCTGCGTGAAGACCCTTGGCTATGATGTCGCCTGCACTACTAGAAACATAGGGATTGTCGAACATGAGATTGACAACTGCCTCCAGGGATCTAGGGGATATGGTATGCCAACGTGTATGGACCAGCTCGGAGTAAACCCTTAGGACTCTGAAATACAGAAGACTGTCTGCCGTCATCAGTATCATCTTTAGATTATCCGTGATGAAGCGTTCAAGGACATCGAAGACGGCGGCATTTGCCTTGAGAAGAAGAAAAGTCAGGGTCGGTAATGCCAAGGATGACTGTGGCGAGGGTATGGAGTTCCTCTGCGTCTGAATTTGCTTGTTCTTTCAGAAGAAGTCTTGACATAAGAAATTCAGCAAACACGAGGAGGACCCTCAGAGATGGTGGGACAGAGTCAACATTTGAGGGGCGCACAAACGCGGCAAACATTTCCAAGAGATAGGTTGTCATGTCGGCAAAGAGATGATAGCTAATAGCGGCATGAAGTGCTATAGCTGTTGACTGGGCTTTGTCCCTTTCGGAGTCAGAGTTGTTCTTTAAGGAAGGAAACAAAAATGCGGGTAGAACCGTGCAGCATATGTTCATAGCAAACGGATTTTCGGTGCCGATATCAATGGGAGAGAAGACATCGTTTGAAGCGGCAGTCCTGATGAGACCAATCCAGACTAAAGGATGGAAACGCAAATATTCTGTCCCGGACGAACGATGGAATGCCAGAGCCCCATTGAGGGCAATGTCTTCCATAAGCAGGTTTACACCACGATAATCTCTATATATTGCTCTCAAGGCTGTGACAGTAGGTGGAAGCTCAACACCTGGTGTCTGCGGAAGGTTGATGAGAATATGGCATTCGTCAGAGAGAACTAGCCTGCAGCGTAGTAATCGCTCAAGCTTGGTCTCTAGTCCAGGCAGTGGTGTCCAAGTAGTTGAAAGACACTCTACAGACAATTGCCGTATCCTCAAGCAAATATCATCAACATCAAAGAGCCCTTGAGCTTTCGACTGAAATGCTGGATGCAAACTGCCAATAGCTTGAAAGATGATACTCTGCACAGTGGGGTTCGATGACATGGAAAAAAGCCAATGCAGGGCCTCAACCGATAATTCACCCCATACTGACTGTACCGCATCCGACTCCAATTCTTTCAGGTCCTTCCATTTTGCAACGTTGGGGGCAGACTGGATAGCCACTGTGTCAGGCGTGTCCACCTCGGTTCGACGGAGACCGCGCCGGAAAGTAAGCATGGTGTACTGCACCACATAACTGTACAGGACATGAAGTAGGTCGCATAGTGAGGTACGGTAGGGGCATTGTGGGAAAATGAGGGGGAGGATATGTGCCATCAAGTAGGCTGTATACGCGATAGTCGTGATCGTACCAACAACCCATGCAAGGGAATCTCGCAATGGGCCAAGGAAGATCACGAGTCCAACAAAGAAAATGGCAAGGGCGGTGTGCATCAGAACGGGGAGTAGCCCGATTATAACGAGAACGCGCCATTTCTGTAGCCCCGCAAATCGGAACTGCCGCAGAAGGCTACGCTCGCGGGGTGTTCCCGAGGGTAAAGCCATGTAATGATGGAGCCATTGCTTGACCAGCACCGAGACGAGCGCTGTCGTGAGGCTGAGCGCAAGACTGGTGAACCACAGGCCGTTCACCCAGACGCTCGTGGTTGAAGCAATGAAAGTGATGTTGGGGTTCAGAGGGGAAGCAGCGACGTTGTCCACGGAAGCGCCGCTGGCAATAGCACGCTGAATATTGACCATCTCAAAGAGTAGATTAGCAGACATCTCTGCATAGTCCGCTTGTAGACTTTGCGAAGTTTGGGCTACGAATGTTGTAACCACCGCCGAGAACAGACCCGCCTGGGTACAGAGAGATGAGCATGGGGACGAATAGAACATGGGCCACGTACGAAAACGAGAAGGACATCGACACCGTCTCTCGATTCTTCGATCATATTCGCGTCATAGATCGCGCGCTCATCGAGGTACGTTCGAAATACCCTAGCGTTGGGTCCCATCTCTTCACAATACGCATCTTCGGGATACTTTTCCTCGTAGTTGAAGGGATCGTTGCCTGATAAGTACGAAATAAGGAAGATTTCAGTAGCACATAAGCGTGATTTACCTTTTGGAAGCCGGTAAGGTCCGTAAGGAGCAGATCCTCGTAATCCAAACCTCTTGCTCGACTTTGCAGGATCGACATATTCAGGATACGGTTGAGGTGTAGTGTCGTTCTCCTCTTCCTCGACAGCGCCGCCCAGCGATGCTTCGAGTTTTGTGCCCTTCTCCGTTTTTGCTTCGGTGGCTGCGGGTACGACGTCGCTAGCAAGGGTGTCAGAATTTATGGGCATTGCGGTGGGTGTAAGAAGCAGGATCGAACAGTTATCACACATCTCAGTACAGCATCAAGGCACCAACGCTAGAACGAAAACGGAATCCTCCGCGGTCAAAGCCCGCATCAGAGTTAGACCGAGAAGGCCACCGTGATCTGAAGAGATCCAATTTCTTCCCTTGCCTGTCTTGCGTTGAAATACTTGGCTTGGCCTGAGAAAATCTGAGACTTCGACGTCGCAACAAGATCTCCTGCCAGTGAATATCGTGGAAGATATGGGGGGTTATAGCCAATTCGAATTCGAGCTTGCTATGATATGGTATCAGGACACGTATTTTGATATTCCTAGGGGGAAAAATCTGTTCAATACGCATCAATAATGCTGCAATATAGGAACAGAAGTACTCCGAACTCCAGGACGAAAGGCTGCCCAGGAGTACTTGACATTACAAGTCGCAATGAGAGCTCAGCAACTTTCTCGTCGTTCTTGAGCCAAAGCTTCACCTACGTGTGCCATTCCCCCTTATCTCGTTCCTCTTTCCATTGCGAACGAGGTCTACAACAGCTACGGCGCCATGAATGTCACAGTAATATTTTGGCTCGAGCCCCAAAGTCAAGTACTTGGGCTTGTGTTTACATCTTGAGAATCATCTCGAACAGCTCTCATTGCAATGATTTTTATGGCACGAACACATGGATTGGTGTTGTAATACACTGCCCAAAGAAAGTGATAAGTCATAATGCATAAGGTCGAATGCATAACTGGGAACGAACCTCGAGCGAACAAGTCCAGATCACCGTCTCGGTAGAAACGCCGCCCTAACCAATCCTCTCACTCTCCACTCCCACGCGACCAGATTCACCCTACGCGTCACCTCGATGCGTATCGAGTCTTTCGAGTGAAGTATACAGTGCAAGTACGCAAAGACGAGTGCATCGAGTGGTGTTGGAGCCCTACCTCGCGTCAGTTTTACGAAAGAGATGAACACAGGAAAACGGACTCGGATGACAGGAACCACTTGTCGGTGCCCAGTCTCTCAGAGAGCGCCCCAATGGCCTCCCGGTAGCGCAACTGTATAGCTTCGCGAGGGATACGCATACCAAAGGGCGGGAAGAGGGAAGTAAGACCTGACAGTGGTGCTGGGGGCGGCGCGAGAATTGACTCTATTGGGCGGGATTTCGTTTCCGCCAAGGAGAACGGCACCGACGTCGGTTGGACGACGAGCAGCGCAGCGTGCACGCATCCTTCCAACAACGCCACCCACGCTCGACTCTCGTCACGCGTCGCCTCATCTTTGTAGCCTTCTAGTCCACCATCATTGTCAATGTTGACCTTGCTGTCGACCCAAGCAGGCAGCTCCCTCGCTGCCAACAGCTGCGCGCCGTCCCACAAATTCGGAAGCTGCCCATCGATAGCACCCTGAGGGTCAATGTCGGTGCGCACGGCAGTGTGGTCAAGGCCTCGTAGAGCCAGATAGGCTTGCCATTTGAGGCACTCGACGTCGGAGCTGAGTACACCGTCGGGCGAGTGTGGAGGATGGATCCATAGACAGGGCGTCGGGTACGTATTGGTTTGGCGTGGAGGAGGTATTGCCGGGTAAGTATAAAGAGGGAAAGGGGAAAGCAGTTTTTGGATGATGGGTGGAACTTGCATCGTGAATATCTTTGTAGTATCCAGGACATTGGAGGTCACGGTATGATGGCCAGCGTGTGGTAGTTTCATATAGTTACGGCATCAATACACGAAGGTCGGGGGCATAGCTCAGTTGGGAGAGCAACAGACTGAAGTGATATCTTCACGTCTTCTGGAGGTCCCCAGTTCAATCCTGGGTGCCCCCACAGTGTTTTTGAGTGTTCTACTTCCAATTCAAGATTCAAGGTTAAGTGACTGCAAGTCAAGATTCAAGCTTGTCTCAAGAGCAGTCAGAGACTCAGGGCAGTTCCTAGGTGTTTCCTGCCGTATAACCAGAAGTTAGAACTTAAGATAATAGGAATTACTTACAGATTTTTTGGCTGGCCCATACATGTATACAGATGGCGAGCTATCAACATGACAGGTCAGTATGCATAGTGTTGAAAATCCCCGCCTCAGTGCGGAATCGTATACTTACTTGATAAGTAATCCCGCCAGAAGCGGGATTACGGGGTCGACTTTCATATATTACCTGAAAATGCCGCTGGCCGGCATCGATTGCTATACGTCATCTCCCAACAGCCATTGTACCGCATCTTCCCTTCTTTCCTGTTCTCTCATTTTCTACTCTTTCACAATGGCAGAAGAGATTCAAATAAACGTCAAAGGTCTCTCTTACACACTCTCTGCTCTGTATTCATGCCACTGATTCACGCTGTGTGTTAGGACCGGGCGAAATCAAACTCCAGATAACGATCGCGACAGATAAAACGGTTCTCGAGCTGAAGCAAGCAGTCGCTGAGAAATCCGATGTAGAGGCAGAGCGGCAGAGGCTCATTTATTCTGGTATTTCCTTTGATTTTTTACATTTTCGTGCAACAGCTTACTAACAGAATGGTTAGGACGTGTCTTGAAGGTGGCGCCAGGTTTTTCTCTCAGACTATTCGTGCTTACTGTCTTCAGGACGAAGATGCTCTTTCTACGTACAAAATCAGCTCTGGACATACGATTCACATGGTGAAAGGAGTGGCACGGGGGAATACGTCTTCGTCAGCAGCAGCACCGCAGCCCCTTCCTACCATGCAAACGGGACAAAATCCTCACGACCCACTTACGCTGCTCAACAGTCACCTTGGATATGGTGCCATGGCAGGCATCAACCCCTTCGCTGATATGGGACTAAACCAGAACGACCCCAATATGGTGTGTAACGCTTGCCACTGCATTCGTGTCAGCTAAGCAGTAATGATTACACAGCTTCAAACGATGATGAACTCACCCGAGTTTCTGCAACAAATGGCTGGAATGATGTCAAACCCTGCCGTTCTTGACCAAATCATCGCTTCTAATCCACAGTTGCAAGCCATGGCTCCACAGGCCAGAGAGATGTTTCAGAGTGAAGGATTCCGTCAGATGATGTATATTTTAATTAATCTTTTGCTTTCCATTGCCCTGATGCTGATTTTTATGTTTAGTTCGGACCCGCAACGACTTCAACAAATGATGCAGATGGCGTCAATGCTTCAGGGCGGTGGGGCGGGCGGACTGGGTGGAATGGGCGGATTTGGAATGGGTGGAGGCGGAAGTAGCTTCCCTGCTCCTGGTGTGCCAGGTGGTGGTACACCCACTACTGGAGCAGCAGCAGCCACAAGTCCTAGGACAGGTGCAGCAGCAGCCGGAACGGGGACGACCCCACTACCAACAAATCTATTCAATCCCTATGGCGGCATTCCCCCTGCACCCACTCAGAACGCTCGTCCGCCGTTTGCACTCGATCCTGCGTTGGCGCGGCAGCTTTTGTTAGGAGGCGGACTGCCTGGTGGACTTGCTGGTGGACCAGGCGGATTTGGTGCCGCACCCACCGCACCGACGGACACGAGATCGCCCGAGGAGCGGTTCCAGGTTCAGCTGCAGGTACGTGTTGTTTTACTCGTCTTCGTTCGCTTCTAATACCTTCAATAGCAGCTGCAAGATATGGGTTTTACAAATGCATCACAGAATGTTCGAGCCCTGTTGGCCACAGGCGGTAATGTGCATTCAGCGATTGAATATATTCTCGGTGGTGGTGGGGTATGAATGTAGCAGGCCGATGTCATTGTAACCTCTTTAGTGCTGATTGTTGCATGTATTCATGTTTTTCTCAATGTACCACTGGGCTAATGCATAGTCAACTGTAGTCAATCTACTGACGTAGAATGCGAGACCAGAGTGCATTTTCGCCCAATCTTTCCAAAGATGTGTTACGTACGACGCAGAATATTTTGACGTTGACTGCAACCACGGAAACCTAAAACCTCCTCAGTTACTGTACCGGATTTCCTCATAGATCTCATTAATTGCGAGCACAGCGAGCAGAATTGGCCGACATGTGAGGAACCTGTACGGTGCAGTGTGCCAAACAAGTGCCAATGTTACGGTCCCGATAACTTTTTTTGTCGTCGTAACCGGCTTTTCGTCGCGTAGCATCTCTTTCATTTCTTAAAGTTATCGTGACGCTCTAGGATGTGAGAATGTTGTTTTTACATGTATAAAGAATGGCTGTGCTGCTTTTCAACAGGTGAAGATGAGTATGTCGTCGTATTTCTATTTACCCGCTGAGGTGCCTTGCGCCTTGGTATTTTGGGCCTTCGGGTTTTGCCTCCGCATACTGGTTACTGGTCATCTCTTCCACGGTTCCACAGTCCGTATCCTGTTGTTTTCCGAGCATCATGCTTCCCGTTCTGAGTACTATGTCTTTGGTACATTCTTGTCACATTTGCCAGATCCGTCTTTGAGATTCAAGACCTAGAGTGAATAAATTTGCTGCGCTCGCAAAAGGTGGGTACTCCATTATGTCTTAATTTCTTTATTTCACCTTATGGCCTTGACATTATCTTAATTTTTACGAGTCGGCGAGGTATTGCTTACCTGAGCTTGTATTAGCGGAGTCGACCAATTCATACTGTTTCATGTCATGTAACGAACTCGGATCGAGAATCAACAGTTTCCATTGGATTACAAAGGTTACTGTCAACTCTCACCAGCGATGGAGCGCCCCTTGTTCGTCTATCTAGAGCCACGCCCAATCCATGCCCAACTCGGCCATAGTAACTACATCACCCTTGACATGTCCCTACCCTGTCCCTTCGAGTATGTCCCCTACATCCCTAACTACTCATCCAAACCCCTCCCACCCACCGCAACAGATCTCTACTCCCTCTGTTCCCCCACTCTCCACAATGCCATCCAAGAATTCCTCAACTCCCCCATTGCAAGGTCGCCTCCACCCAGTGACTTGCAGAACACCTCACACTTTACTGCTGTTCGCTACCGAGACACGTCTGCTCATGCCGTCCTTCGCGGTCTCTGCATGCAACAGAAATTCGAGACGTATCTTCTCATGCTCGCTCTCGGGACTGTGTATTTGCCGCTGCCCAAGAGTGAGAAGTGGCAGGAGGCGCTGAGTCGTATCAGGTCTCAGGGGGATGTTGATATATCTGCTGATAAAAAGGCTGTGGCAATACTCGTCTGGTCTTCCCTGATTGATAAAACCCAAGCGCAAATAAGTGAGCGGCAGATATTTTTCACTACTTGAATATAGTACTAATTTACCCTCAGTCCGATGGAGGGTGTATAGTGAACAGTGGCGACAAGTCACTGAAACGAGTGAGTTATGCTGCTTTCATTCCATCCAATTCTTATCGTTGTTCTAGACCCGTTTTTCCGCAACCTACTCCGTTGGCTTCCTCTGTCATCCCCATCGCTTTCAGCGTTGTTATCGAGTTCAGCCAGTATGGGTTTTAGTAAGTGTGAAATCCAAGGAGAATCAGACGACTACATGCGGGGTACGGTTGATGGTGATAATTGCGGTAAGCTATGCCAACAAATTTCAGTGCTAATCTGACTTTCTTTGTTCAAAGATCATACCAGCGCTGCGAGATATGCCTCACAGCAATTAGTGCGAAGGCGGCGCGTTGGCGATGGAGGCCTGTATGCAGATATTTGAAGGTACTTGACATCAGCAAAACAGCCCCTTCTTCTTTGAGGTCTTTCAGTACTTGCTCAAGTTCAAAAAGGTTTGAAAGATACAAAATACAACATCTTTCCGGAAGGAGAAAATGTATTTCACAAGACACGTACCTTGTCTTGTCAAGCAGACCGACTCTTTGAAAGAGACTAATGTCTTATAAGGTGCGACATCTTTCATGTATCTTAGATTGCTTATGGCATTCAAGTTGGAAATTTGGAATAGCGAAACAGCAGTATATTGGTCATTGGGATAAACATAGTACATGTATACAACGTGCATACGGTAAGTATAGAAAAAATAATTAGCGCCGCCAACCCTTGACACCATTGCCCGAGTCTTGTTCCTCATCCCGTCCATCCCGATCCAATACCCGAGTGAACATACAACACCTGAAAGAAAAGTCATTCAATGCAAATGACCACTGGGAGATTGAACGTACCATCACCTAGGAGAGCCCACTCTTAACATCTATACCATCGGGTGGAACATCTGACTCATTGAGGTGTTAAGCAAAGGATATGAAGGGAAGGGAGGGAAAAGCACTACACCTTACAAAACTTGGTGTGCAGCGCATTTGTCGTCAGGCATCCCTGTGGACCGAACAGCATCAGCAACCACGTTACTGACAGTACAAACAGATCCACTTACCATTCCCATCACCATTGAGTTGGATGGTGAAGAGACAGCTCCATGCTTACGAGCCAGAGAAAAGTTTAATGACAGAGGGGAGATGGTAAGGAGCGAAGTGATTTAATAGGGACCATGGTGGTAAGCAGGAGAAGGAAGAAAGGAAGAACCCACGACGTGAAGTTGAACATCACGTGAACCAGCGTGATCTTCTACGCAGAGACCCCGGAGCTTATCTCCCGGCGGACTTCAAAAATGACTTCGCAATTTTTGCACTTGCATGCCGATGGCCCATAATATTATCGCCCAGCAGAAGACAGAATTCCCGGTCGGTATATCAGTAAATAGTTAGTGCAGCACCTTAATCAAGCATTCAGAGCATCGTTAGGAGAAATTCAGGTAAGGGAACAACGAAAGAGTTGATGATGAGAGCAAGATCATAAAGGCGTGAAAGATCCCGGTTGCCCAAGATCAAGATGCCACATCAAAGATAAAGCTCCCGAAAGCGGTCTAGAAAAAGTCAAAGCTGCCAAAGACGAAGTTGCCCTTTTCCTGATGCTTAGAAACTAGGAATGCCCTAAGTGCATCAGATCGTTTACCCGTTTTCGTACGCACATTTCAGAACATCACAGTCTTCCTCATCACGTACCATTTCCAGATTCCTGTCATTTTTGCACTGTATAATCAAAAGGCTGTTGTATAATGAAACTTGAAACTGAACCGGATCCTATCTTGTTTAAAGTTCAGCAAAAGTTTGTGAGTTGTTCTCTGTTTCTCGAGCAACCGTTGCTCGTGGTTGTCTGGTCATCAAGCTGGGTGAGGTTCAACCTGGTTCAATAAGGTCACTTTCAACATTGACACGTAAAAAGGTCCTTAGATCATGCACTGTTTTGAGGATTACAAACGGTCTGTGAGGTTAAACGGTGCTTGTTCGCGTGAACATCATAACGCCAGATATTTATTTCTCTGCTAAATGCAGGAGTCGGTTGCTGAGGCTGTACGAGTGAGTCGGACTGGGCTTGTCTAGTACTAGTTCGTGAAGTAGCAAGGAAAGCGCACATGAATTCTCAGGGAAGAGCAACGCCTCCCTTCAGGTTGTCATTGAATTTAACGTACATCTACCTTTGATTCAGGTGTCAGTGTATGCCAATAAGCGAACGTACTCTCTTAGTCGTACGTATACAGGAGCCGCATGAGGTAGTTCCATGAGCGCTGGGGGGAGGACCTCAAAATCGCTTGACGTCGACATATTTCAACTTACAAATATGCGAAGCATAGGTGTTCTCAAGCAATATTTATGAGGAAACGATAATGCATTTGAAGTCCTTCTAACAAATTCTTTGATACGAAAACACACCACTCTACAAGACAATTCTCAAATCCAAATACTACGTAAGCTTGTGGACAACAGTGGTAGTGAACGTGACCAAAATGGGAACACTTGTGATAACATTCAGAAGCTGGAAAGAGAAGTAAAAAATTATCTTACATATTGATGCTGAGGAAGAAATACCGGGCGATGATGGGCCTAGAGGTTCGATAACGTCCGATGCGATCATGGATGGTGTACATTAAGTAGCACACCGCGACTATTTGAGATGCAAATTGGAAGATAAACACCCATGAATGGAACCACCCGACGCTCAGACCATTGGTAACAAGTTGAAGGACGGAGAAGAAGAGAGTGATGATGAAGAGTATCTCTGGAGTTGCCAAAGTCGGGGTATATGTACGAGAGGAAAAAGATAGTACGTCCTGGGAAGCATCCTGGCTACAAGTTATTACAGATGTTCATCGCTTGGAGCGATGCTCTTACCGTGTTCTGTGCTGCACTTGGAACTTCCTGCGTGTCATCATGACCAAGGTATGACAAGAGTATGGCGCTGTTGGTAGGGGTCGGCATCTTCAGAGTTGATTTGGTCTTGAACAGTAATGAGGAGCCTTCCGTTTCTTGTCGCTCTTCCTTGGGCATCGAAAATGATGCGTGACGAGGGCGGACTAGGCATATAGTCAGTTTATCATTGATTCGAGCGAGCGAATTTGGCACTTGCGAGGATTCTGGAGTGGTCATGGCGGTGGTGGTTTCGAGGCAGGCAGTTTCGAGGTAAATGAGTGTTTGCGATGAAGGAACTGGACAGGCACTATTAGAAGTCGATCTGTCCAACTGAGTCGCGCGATCACGATTATCTATCAGTCACAAAGTGTCATACTGCAAGCCTTTTCAGTCAATATATCACTTCGACATGCTGCCCTCCAAGGGTTGAATTAGCATTGTTTTGTCAACAGACAAAACCGCAAAGGTAGTAAGGTACCTACACGAGGAGTCGTACGGGATTGTTCTGTGTAGTTTTTCATATTGCAATTGTCTGTGAAGGTTTGTGAATGATAAAAGAAGCATTAGACTCGACGTCACCACATAATGCTTTTGGGGAGCTCCAGTTCAAGGCTCTCGTTGGGCGTTACATCCAACCCCAGAGAATTGAAGCCTAATCTGAGATTACGGGATGAATGCCATCTAGCGATAAATTTAACCTTGTAAGCTGTCAAGTTTCAACTTGAACTCTAGCCTTTCAACTGGCGTACACAATCATGAGGGAATGGTTACACCAGCTTAAACTGAGTCGGAACTTCCGAGTCATATGGGAGGTTAAATTAAATTCAAATTAAATTTCAGAAATTTCTGTTTCGGACCGACGTCGTGAGCACATCCCCGATTCTTTTCCGAGACTGTGAGGGGGTCTGAGTACTAGTACTTATCAGAATGGATATCGACCATCTTTACCTATATGTTAACCGGCTGGGTGATATTCTGTATCTTGATTAGGCTCGCTCGTCATTGTGAACAGTAGTTCATGTTGTACGTAAGTATCTTGCATGGACTACTTAGCACCAAACTAGCACTAAGAACTACTAAGAAATGAATTTCCAAATAGGTCAATTCTCCAATTCTGAACGCGAAAACGGTGACCGTGGGGAATTTTGTCGCCTGTCCAGCTATTCCAAGCATCCACTCGGTGATGCAGACGGACACTTAGTTACCGTTCCCAGCGTAGTAAGAGACGGGTATTGAGATGTTCCATTGGCTCCAGGGCATTCGAGTCTCTCCCACATCAAGAGGAGGATCGAATTCAGGGGGGATCACGGTTGCTTGGGATGCAAATGGACAATTTGAGCTGGAGATCCACCAGTCGTAACGGTTGCAAGGTAGCTTGCGCGCCTCCTGACAAGAGCCTCATCAACTTCCGACCTGTCGCATAAGCATCGAGAAGCTGGGGGTCGAAAACAGAGTTTGGAACAACGTGTTTAATGCGAGCCCAGTCCCTAGCGAAGTAGGCTAATGTTTGTGCATCAGAGAGAGGATGCGCCAGGCGAATGTCAATGGCAATTCCTCCACATGCAAACGTCGTGGCTTGTACCAACATGGCTGGTCCCTCAGGATCAACGGGAGCTAACGGTGTAGACGGGAGAAACTTGGCCTTTGGTAAATCAGAGGCATCCCATTCTTTGGATCGCGGCGAAGGGATGAGGTCTGCGAGTCGCACATTAGTTCGCGCATCGACGAAGAGAACTCCTGGGTCTGTGGCAGAGCCAAATGTTAGAGTGAGTCGGTCGATTGTATGGGAAGGTGGAAGACGGTGAAGACGGCTGCACCACTGCGGATAAAAGTCGAGGGTTTTCCTGAACGTGGATTTAAGGATTTCGGTGCTGGGGAGTAAAGGAGAGGCATCGTAGAACCACATGGCTTCGCAGGGAGTGAAATTGCCTACTGTCGAATCAATGATGGAGAGCGGAACCGTGTGTTCTCCGCCCGAAAGAGTGTGAGGGAACTCCCGGCTAGTAGAATGATTGAAAATGTTCACAAGCGCGGTGTTACTGGGCATGGTGACGAGAATTTACTACTATATGATGAATAGATATTAGTCTTATCGCCGTCCGGTATATATACACTAACCTGAGTCAGCCCAGGGCCTTCGGATCCGCCTTGAACGGTCCGATCTGGAAGAGAGGTAATCGGACCAGGATGCCGAAAGAAAAAGGCAGTATAATCTGAGAGCTCGATGAGCTTAAGTACTCGACATGAAGCTTTGAACCTTGAACTTGATGCGCTGACGAACGGGAGGCAAGTTATACTCTGAGTATGGATGCCTTTAGACGTCGCTGCAGGACAGTCTAATATAAACAAAAAGTAAACTTCAGTGGACAGAAATTCCAAGTGTATGCCAAACGAGAAGCGGCTGACAAAACGATGACGATTTGGAAGAGCAATCAGCTTGTAAACCGATGAATATATATGTTCAGAGATCGTGACAACAAGGAAGTCAGCACTGCGTGATGGACTAAATTTAATTGTTCTTCAACGTATAAGATGCTTGACAGCATTGGATGTGACACTGTAAAGAATATAAATATTTTCTAGTGCAGAATCTCGAGCTCGAAGAACAAAGACAAACCTTTTGGTAATTCTGGTGCGAATTAACGAGGTATCTGTACATTCGTGGAGCCGTGTTCGATTGAAAGAGTTTCCGAGGTGTCGCAGACTAACATCGCGTCGACAGACAGCTGTAAAGAATCTAGAGTAATGATGCCTGCAGCTTCTGAAACGAGATGGTTTGGCAAGACTGACTGACTTAGAGTGCATAACAGCCCGAAATGGAAGAAGGCGCCATCGGATGCTGTCTCGTTCACATTTAAGGAATACTGTCGGGTCGAAGGCGCAACAAACGAACCGTACTGACCGATAAAGTCTAAGTGGTGATTTTGAAATAGAAGCTACGTGTTGCCTATTTTCAGCATTCACTTGGCATCCTCTTGGCATGATCGTAACCGTCACTCACTATCTGTTCTTGCAGACATTGTCATTGGTAGTTCATATTTTTCTACCATGTGTACGTATGACTATCGGGCCTTACCACTTGGCTCAGAGCTTTGTCAGTGCGTGTTTTGCATATCACGAGGACTTTCTGGCGGGTCGAGATCATAAGTATGTCCTTGTCAACGGTCATGCACTCATGCACGAATGGTGCGATGGACTAGCGATTGTTCTCTTCGAACATTTACTCCGGAGATCTTGCGCCGGCCAGGCAGTTCTTTCTGCAACCCCATTTCCGGATCAGCCTTCTCCGAATACTGTTTCTGGCCGTCACAGCGTCGTAGCTGGTCTCCTAGGACTCCAGAAGACATAATGGCCCCATACTGCTTGTTCAACGACTCGGAAATTGCTGTATCTAGCTTATTTGCTGTCACCTTGCCGCGGACTGTGCCCCAAGAACGGCGGAAGACAGCCATCGTGGGCCTTGATTGTGCATCATCTAGCCTACAAACCGCGCTTCCGCCTGCATGGTATCCCTTCTCGGTGTAATACATACACATGCGCAAGACCCTTTTGATGTTCAAAAGAAGCCACAGGCAATATGGTGCTCGCGTCGCGATATGAAACTGCTTTGGTCTTATCTCGGCGTGCTGGTCGACCTGCGCGTATAAAGGTCGGAAAAAAACAAGGAAAGCGTTCATCACCGGTCTACTGGGTTGTCAACTGTAGCCATGTTCTCCCTCTCCGTTCGCTCCTTCTTGTACTCCCTGTGCATCTCTGCGGTCGCTGTATCAGCCGCCCCGGGTCTTTCTCTCTCACTTTCCGGTATCATTTCCTATTAGTATTCTGCATGCCAAATTGTCCTGACGGCCATCGCAGGTGCCGACTCTGTGGTTGATGTCGAGAACTTCAATGTGGCCGCAACTCTCACTAACACTGGTGATACGACAATGAAGATCCTTAACGACCCTTCCAGTATCTTGTCGACATTCGCCACCCACACATTCGCCATCAGCAGCGATAACGGATCCCCCGCTTTTACTGGAGTCAAGGTTAAATATGATCCCAACTACGTCGCGAAGAAGAACGCGGATTCTTCCTTTACGGTCCTTGCACCTGGCGAATCCGTCACCGTTAACCATGCCTGTGCGTGTTTTCGTGATTATAAGGATCATCAATACTAATTACTCCTTAGTGGGCTCTGCCTACAACTTCACTGGCTCTGGCGAAGCTGCATACAACATCGAGCCTTCCAGTTTCTTCTATTATGTTGATCCTGACACCAATGAGCTCGCCAGCATCAATGCTGACACGCAACAGCACACCGCTAAGATCAGCGGCACGCTTGCAGTCGCTCGCCGCTCCAACCTCGACAAGAGGATCAGCTACAATGGCTGTTCCTCCTCTAGGCAGACCACTCTTGTTTCGGCTGCTGCTGCTGCCCAGACCTACGCCCAGAATTCCTATGAGTAAGCTTCACCTTTTTAAATCGTTCGTTTCTGCGCCAACAATGTCAATAGCTACCTCTCGTCGAACACTGCTAGCACCACTCGATATGTCACCTGGTTCGGAACTTACACCAGCTCTCGCCACTCTACCGTCCTCTCGCACTATTCCAACATGCTTGACCACCCTTACGCTAACTACGAATACGACTGTACTTGTACCGAGTCCGATGTCTACGCCTACGTTTACCCCTCCGAGTATGGTCATTTTCTATGGATTGAGTGTGCTGCGCTGAGAATCTCTAGGTTCGGAACTATCTATCTCTGCGCCGTCTTCTGGGAGACCACCACTACTGGCACCGACTCCAGGGTAATGTTCCTTTACGTTATTTTTCTTCGACAACCACAGCTGACGCGTTTCTAGGGTGGAACTTTGATCCATGAGTCCTCTCATTTCACGATCATCGGCAGTACTGACGACTACGTCTACGGTCAGAGTGCAGCGAAGTCCCTCGCTTCGAGCAACCCCAGCGAAGCCATCGAGAACGCTGATAACCACGAATATTTCGCAGAGAACAACCCTTCGCAATCTTAAATGTATCTTTAAATGCTAGTAGTGGCTACTACTCAGTCGGAATGAAACTTTCTTTTGTGCTTTTCTCCTTCGTTCTTCCTGTCGAAACAGTGCAAAACCATGGAAAGTTATTACATTTTGAAACTCATCTATTTCGCAATAGTGTTGCGGTGGTGTTTCAAAATAGGACCGATTACTTACATGTAAGTGCAATGTAAGCCCTACTTTCTGTTCCGAACTCGGAAAACATTGAGATGACCATATGGTACATATTACGGATCAAACTTCCTTCTTGACTGTTAACGGCTGCATGTTCGTTTAGAAAGTACCAAATGAATATTTGAAGTTTTCTTCGTTGTAAAGTTAAGTGCTACATTGACATCGTAGCCGTGCATCTAAGCCTCCCTCGGCAAACGTTAGTCATTCCATACTATATTATAATGGTACTGATTGACTGTTATAATCTGAAAGTGTCCTCCTCCCATGCCTCATCCGCGAGTACCAATAGGCTCGTAGGATTTAAGCGGTTTCTTTTTCCTTTCCATTGTGTTCTCATTGTCTTGACTTTGCCAGATACTTGAAGGCCTCTAAGGATAATTAGCGGGGAATTCCATGACATGCCCCTGCTAAATATACTTGTCTCTTGATGGCAACAAGGTCTGGCATATATCAGTGTCGTGGGGTGTCACTAATAAAAGTAATACAAACAGACCGGATGCGATTGGCAAGAGGCGGTCTTCATTTCGGAAAATCGCGAACCTCTAATGTATCAGTGAAGGTACGTGAAGACGTTGTGAAAAACTTTAATTCATATTATACCCTCAAGACTCTACGTATAAAGTTTCTGGGCACCTGGGATCAAAAGAAATGCAGAGAAACGAATAGGGAGGTGGCTGAGGTCTCTCGGCCGCTTCTTTTAATCTTCAATTTTTGTGCGACAGCTGCCGGTAAATAAGAAACGTCGAGCGTCAAGGAGGTTTTGATTGAACGAAATAAAAGCTGGGCCCCGGCCCCCAATGCCTTGTCTAGAGAGCTGAGAACACTATGAATGCAACCAAAACTTAGCTATAAGAGGCTATAAGTGCCGTGAGGGACCTTGCAGCGCTCGTCCCGGGTGTCCGGTCCGAAACATCAAATCACTTTCTTGACATTTGAAGACACGCTTCCTTCTTACCCTGCAACCACGATGACCGCAAGACGCAATACCGACTGGCATTTACGGAAATTTCTATTAGCTAGCCGTTCGTCCTGAGTCTAGGTCCATGGCAGGTGCTCCTCAATCTGCTGTTCTAATGTGTCGATTCCGCTGTGGCCGGGAGAAGTCTGAGCTTCTTTGACGCGTGTCCGTATAAACACCTCCAGATTGACGCCATTGGACAGCTTTGGTGCCCCCATGTTTGCTCCAAACTCTACAGTGTGCCGTTTTTGCCTCCAAGGAAATTGCAAGAATGGGACTCGCTGTAAGAAACTGCACGCTGGCGGAACTCCTGTAACTTGTGCTATATGGTTTCGCCCTACATTTCACTGACAAGGGTCTTTCACGGCAGGAAACACAGAATACAGCACATAATAATGTTGAAAACAAGGGGGCAAAGCGACGAGGTCGTGCGTCGAGGAAACCTGTGCCTCCGAATGTCCCTAGTCCTAATCAGGGCGTTCTTCCCATTGTCGACGAGCAATCAAGCCCCCGCACCTCGAAAGCGCTGCAATATTGCAACGTGAAAAACGGAACACCGTGTCCGGGACATGGTCTACAAGGGGAGCGATGCAGACTTGTCCATGATCCCGAGGTGGCCTTCCCGTTTTCTAGCGCGAGTCGTGATACTGAATCTGTGAAATCATCCAGGCCAGTAACGTGGAAGGCCGAACCAATACTCCAATTAATCTGAAGCCCCGACGTAACGTCCGTAATCCTGCGGTATGATACAACTGTTTTAATCGCGCTATTATTCATTTATCAGGACAGGTCCAGAAAGTTGTCGAACTACAGAGACGCGTCGAGATGGAAAGACTTCAATTGCTGGAGCCCGAAGGGACGCATGTGAGAGAGCCTGAAATGGAACAAACAAGATTAACTCGCGCAGCTGAAGAACGGAAGAAACAAGAGGGCCGAAGGCGAAAGGCAGAGGAGGAGCGTCGGCGAAAGGCACAACAAAAACTGCGCAAAGAAGAGCAGGAACGTCACCAGGAGGAGGTTAGACGACGCACGGAAGAGCTGCGAAGAAAACAAGAAGAAGAACAACGAGAAAGGGAAGAAGAACAGCGCAAAAGGGAGGAAGAACAACGTCGACGAGAGGAAGAAGCAAGACAACGAGAGGAAGAGGCTCGACGGAGGAGAGAAGAAGAACGACGTCGGCAAGAGGAGGAGCAACATAAAAGGGAGGAAGAGCAATGCAAAAAGGAGGAAGAGCGGCGTCGAAGAGAAGAAGAAGCAAGACAACGGCAGGAAGAGGCTCGACGGAGGAGAGAGGAACAGCGACGTCGACGAGAGGAAGAGCAACGTAAAAGGGAAGAAGAACAGCGTCGACGAGAGGAGGAGGCAAGACAACGGCAGGAAGAGGCTCAGCGGAGGAGAGAAGAACAACGACGTCAGCAAGAGGAACAACGACGTCGTCAAGAGGAGGAACAGCAGCGTATCGACCAGCAGCGTCGTGCCACTGATGCCCAAGTCACTATGCAACGTGTCGTCCTCGCTAGTTCGATCGTCACGTTCAGTTCGGGTCTCTCCATCGAGAACACCATCACAGGCTTTGAATCCTGCAAAGTCCGCGTCAAAAATATCCCCGGCGACGCGCGCCAGGAAGAAATTGCAGCCTTGTTTACCCAACAGGGTCTTGATATGTCTGAGTTTCACGTCGTATCTATGAAAGACACCCCTGGGAGACGCGGGAAGAAAGAGGCAGATATCATCACGAACGCCGATGTTGCACAATCATTGGCGGTCGGCCTTGAAGGTCTCGAATTCAGAGACGAGAGATTGGAGTTTGAAGTCGGGATATTCAATGCACCTGGTGCCATGGGTGCTCTGACACCAAGGGACGAGAATACGTTGACAATCTCGTGTCGCGCACCTTCCGTCCGTTATGTTGTCGAATATCCCGACATAGCTTTCTGTCACACTAAAGTGAGGGAACTCGACGGTCGTATATGTGCCGGACGGCGGGTGAAGGTGGAAATGAACCAACTCCCCCCAGGGCGTATTGTGCCCAGCTTCCGACCAAACACTATCAAGATCAGTAACCTGCCTGATGTTGTCCCTCCCTCCATTGTGATTGACTTCGCCCAGTCTCACTCAATACGTGCTCTCAAACCTCATAGCTTCGATGTGGATTCAGCGATTCGCACTCTACGGCTACATATCATGCAGATAGAAGGCATCGGAATGCAGTCTTTCGACGTTACCTCCCGAGGTGATAACGAAGCTGGGGTGCTTTCAATTCGTGCCCGTTTCAATACTTGGGATAACACAAAGAAAGTTCATGATGCTCTCCTGGACCGACGTTTCAGTTTTATCTGCAATTCCGTGTTTTGGCTCCGGATTCCCCCTCAAGCACTTTACACCATTACCATCCCATCCGGACAGTACCGCGCCCAAGAAAACCTTTGGAAAGAGCTCCAGGAGAACATCAAAGATCGTAAAGCCTGCAACATCATTATTCGTGAGCTCAACGGCGGGAACTACCGCATCCAAGTGTCAGGGACGATCAAGGCTGCCCTTGGTGCACTCAAAGTCCGTGTCGAAAGTTTAGCTGCTGGTGAAAAGATCGAACGTTGGCACGACCATCTAGCTTTTCCTCAAGCCCCGTTAATGCAGAGGATCACTGAGGCAGGCGCCTTTTTACGCTCGGATTCTCGGAAGCGGACGCTCAAGCTGTATGGAGAGCCGAAGGTGGTGGAAAAAGCCAAAGCAATTGTTATGGAGGAGTTGGAACGTCTTGCGTCTCTGGAATTCACTGTGACATTGCGACGTCCCTCGGTTGGATACTTTGTCCGGATTGGTCTTGCAGCGATGAGAGAAGTTTTTGGTGAAGACAACGTGGCGCTGGATATTCGTTCTGCTGTTATCACGGTAAGAGGAGGAGAGGAGGTACGGCTCCATCTTGACAATCATATCGCCGAGTCCCTCAAGTCCGTCAATGTGAACGTCGCACCCGGATCCCATACATGTCCTATATGTTACGATGATGTCTCGACGCCGTTTCAATTGGTATGCGAGCATGTCTACTGCACAGGCTGTATCCGCCATTTCCTCACTTCTGCTGCTGAAACCGGAAATTTTCCACTTGTATGCATGGGGAACGAATCAACCTGCGGAACACCCATCTCCATTCCTGTCATTCAAAAGTTCCTTCCACCGACTGCTTTTAACCACCTTCTAGAAACCGTTTTCACGACGCATGTTGACAGACATCCGCAGGAGTTCAGGTACTGCAAGACACCGGATTGTGCACAGATATACCGCAGGTCGGAAGCCGTGTCTGTTTTACGATGCCCATCTTGCTTCTCAGAGATATGTTCTTCGTGTGGCGAAGATTCGCATAAAAGATTGAGCTGTGAAGATGCTCGTATTCATAATAACCCGGCGGAGCAGGAACGAATGAGTGAAGCATGGCTTTTGCAGCAGCGTGGTATCAAGAAATGCCCAACCTGTTCACGCCTTCTAGAGAAGATTGAAGGATGCAATCATATGACGTGCCCGTTCGTATTCAACCCTTCCAATTACTCGTTGAAGCTGACTAGCTTTTATAGGTGCGGAGCTCATATTTGCTGGCGTTGCATGGGAGTTTTCAACGCAGGTGAAATCTACGACCATATGAATACCGCGCACGGAGGTATATATGGTGATGAGCCTGCTCCTGCCCCGCCTCAACCTCAGGCTACTATACCCCAGCACCAAAACCCAGGTGTGGACGTTTTTCAGGGTATCGATTACCTTGAACAGGTTCGGCTTCTTAACGAGGCGGAAGCTCGCCGTATTGCACAAGAGCAGTATGATCGAGGTAGAAGGGAGCGGGATAGAATTGTTGCTCTCCGCGCAGAGGCCATGGAACAACGGAGGCGGGAAGAGGCTGACCGAGAACGGCAGCTGAGGCTGGAACGAGAGACCCAATGGCGGCAACAAGCTGAGCGCCAAAGAAGGGAACAGGAAGAAGCTGATCGCTTGTATCGACAGCAGGTCAATTGGTGGCGCACAGAACAGAATGAGAGAGATCAACAAGTTGCGCTAGGGCGACAAACTCTCTGGCAACAGCAGCCGACCAGGCCTCAGCCTCCTCCTCAGCCGAGCCGCCAAGACCAAGGATCGTGGTGCGTGGTGATGTGATTTCGTTCCTTGTGTAGGATGTAAATCGGAGGCCACGGTGATGTACTAATGCTCGTTCTTGCTATGAATACGACTTTGTAACTGATTCAATGTATCTATCTAATGCGTTCTATGGGACAGTTCGAACCGGTAGACACGGCTGTGATGAGCTGAATAGGGGCGTCGTCGGAATCGGAATCGGAATCAGTTACTACCTACTCTCACTCCAAGTCGGCCTCACGAAACTTTACCTAGCATACAATTCAAGTTGAGGCATCGTACAGGATTGAAGCCACAGTAGACGAAAGAACACATGAACCCTTCGCCACATCACTCCTCGACGTCGCGCAGAATCCGGATCGCACCCTACGCGTATTTCATCTCACTCATCCTCATTATATTGATGCTCAGTTTCTCACTACCACGCCTTTCATCGAAGTCCCGGACTTGGGTAGTACTCTACGTGGTGATAACCCAAGTCGCGTTGGGGTGGCGTATATTCGTGAGCGGCAGAAAGAGACTGGCATGAAAAGGATTCCGCAGGATTATCATCGACAAAGCACGAGGTCGCAGTCAGCACATCAGTCATGCCAATGTTCGGAAATATGTCCAGAGGTGAAGTGTGTAAAGTTGTATTATTATGGAGTACTGGAATCAGCATTCAATGTTCGTGTTACAATTTTCGAGTTGAGGAAGTATTCTTGTTCCCCAGCGTTCGAGAGCTCGAAATGTTCTGTGCCTCGGTCACCACTATAAGTAATAGACTAATATGTTGTAGCTGATCTTCTAGTATGTATGAGACACGCCGGAACACTTTGTGCGATGGGTTTGGACGACACACCTCAATAAATGGGACCGTCGATATCGAGTGTCATATTACTTGCGAGTCCGCAAGTCCTTCCACACTACGGCGTCGACTGCAGGACTACTTAGGTGAAGCTCGAGGTTTCGAAGTCTATAGCCCACGTCCGAAGGACACATGAAATACATTTCACAAGCCTACGGCGACCAGTTAGTAGGGGGATGTTAAGGACAAAAAGAAGTGCGTCACGAAGTCATTTACGCACACAATAACCATGTGTACCAATAACTCCGCAACGGACACAGGAAAATCACCAACGACATAAAACAAATAGCCAATTGCATGAGATAGAAGATTATGCTCACGAGCTTTAGGCCCATGTAGCGATGAAATTACAGCCTAACCAATACTGAGACAAGCGCTTTCGGGTCGGCAAGGCTACATGTAAGCTAAGCATTGGCCCATGCGCCCATAGAAATAGTGAATGCGATGGTTAGATTGAGTAAGGTGCGAACATCGGTGACCCGCTTACAAGCGGCCGCTGGCTATTGATCTTCTTACATGATCTATCTAAAGCTTTTGAACAGCGGTCGTAGCAAGTGGTGAGCCCGCCTAAAGACATATTTGTTAACAAACCAAAGAGACAAAATAGTATACTAATGAGACTTACAACGGCAAGTTAAACGACGTGGTCTCTTTCACCAGGTTCGCGTCAAAATTGCACGCTTATTGAAATACGTTTAAATTATCCTCGCTTTGGGCCCTATCTTCCTATACGACATCCCCAGGATACTTGTTTCATCAATCCTAACATCTTCTTCGACTTGGTGGGATAAGAGTAACGATAATCGTAGACCGGAGTGTAATAATGTCGCCTGTGGAGATTTTTATTCTTTTCTTCACTGGCCAGATTGCTGTCATTCCTCCAGAGCATCAAGTACTGATACTAGTTACCTGATGATCTCTCTCAAGATAGACGACACCCTGTTTCTCTGTTCGCAATGCTGAATTACAAGTGCTTGCTATATAAAGAATGAACAAGTCATGCCTCATGGGCAACATAAATACGACCTACGTCACAGTGACAATCTCGCCTTTCCCATCCTTCAGTATGATCAATTCGCACTCAATCTTCTCCCCAGTGTCAAGACACACAATGTCTGTGGGATCAATGGGATTTGTCTGTATCTGTCGGCGTTCGAAAAACGACCTCCCAAGTACAACGTCAAAGTGTGGCTCTTCTGAGAGGTACACAGTTATCAGGGTCACAGTTTTTGTGGGATCCTTGTTATCAGAAGAGTCTTTCTTTTTGGCGCTATTCGGTTTAGGCACAGGTGGAGGGGGTGGAGCGTTTGGGTGACTGGACACCGCGGAAGATGGTGTCAGTGTTATTGGCCAAGTGCCAATATTCACAAGTCCGCCGTATCCGTAATGCCCAGGTGCAGCATCATGAGGTATAAAACCGTGAGCCTTTGCAAATTCCCGAGAAATGTACACATGTCGGTATCCAGACTTCAGTAGCATGCGTACTAAACATGTTCTTAGTACCAAGAGTCTTCGAATTTTCCAACACTGAACGTACCATTTTGCACAGGACCAATGCTTCCCATGACGGTTCGGACTCCATTTGCACTATGAAACTTCTCAAATTCCCGTTTGAATTTGGGCACGCTACTGTCTTCGTCGCTTAGCGTAGATTTGTTCGTGCGCTTGCTGCCCTTGGTCTTGCGAGATTTTGTGCTGTGTGGGCGTGGTGATGGGCTCTTTCGAGGAGGAATGTGAGAGGGATGGAAGAGGTAATATGCCGCGTTTTGGTATGCGGGCGGAGCAGGAATGGGTTGCGAAGGATTGTGGAGGTAAAGAGTCGGCGTTGGCGTCTTCTTATTGATGGTTATTGAGGGCACTGCCGTCGAAGTAGAAGCTTCCTGGTCATCCAAGGCCTGCTGCTGACGCCAAACGAAAATGGTATAATCCGAATCTACGTCGTCTAGAATGAGCAAACGATGTTGGTCTCCTCAGGTGGCTCTACTGACCATCGTCAAGGTTCCAGATGGAGTCATTGAACTCATATTTGAGCCAGCCAGGTCCAACACGGCTGCCATGATAGGCAGTATGGGCCTTCCTGCTAAGCTTGTCGTACAAAGCTTCCAGAGATTCCTGGGTCACTGTGAGACGTATGTCAGGACATGTTGGAGAAAATGGCCGCTTTTACTTGCTGGAATGAACGATGGCAAAGGATTCTGAAGGAGTATGAACGTCGATGATGGAGGGTGGTAACGCCATTCCGCAGCCAGGTGGTGGTCCGAGTTGAACTTGCTGTTTGGATCGAGATCGAAGACTTACCTCGGTCATAAGCAATATTATTCATCCAGGGCTACTGCGGCGACCACGAATAACTAGTATCCTGGCTGTAACACCACCAATCGTCACACGTAAATATCTAAGTAGGACGTCCTCAGGCAAAGTGACGAGAATAATTCAATGTTCAATTAGTTTGGAGGATGAGATGATATTGGTCTACAGCTACGGATAGCAAATGACTGAGGACCTTGCGTTCAACGACCGTCGACATATTAGACCACAACTTGGTCCCAATTACGATGATCTTTGCCTCGAAGCACGCGTCAACTGTAAGTGGAATGGGATATGGTAAGAAATGGTCAAAATTCAAAGAGATGTTGTACCCACTCTTCTTCGTTTCTTTCGCCTAGACAACATAAATCAGAATAAAGATGTCATCGCTAAAGGAAAAGGCCTCACTTATGTTTCTTCATCTTCTTTCGTCTCTTCCTCTTCACGCTGTCCATAACAATGTCTCTCCAGACCTTCCTTATCTCCTGTTGCGAGCCGATGCGATCCGGTTGTGCATTTACATCCAGGCCTAGACGCTTAAGCGTATTCTCCCATGCAACCGCACTGCCTGCCTGCGACAACGTCAACGCTCGAGTCAGTTGACGCGCGGCATCAGCGTCTGCATCAGCCACGGCCTCCATAGACTCTGCCCCGGGTGATCGTCCTTCAGACCCATTCGCAGCAGCCACTCCTTCGTTTGGGTGGAGCGGTCCCATCCTCGGTGCAGTCTGCAAAATCGAAGCAGGGTCCGAAAGTAAAAGAAGTGGTCGATGAAGAGAGAAAAACTGATGAAGCTTGAAATCTCGCGACTCTATCATCGGATGCGGATGGCTGGATTCGTAAAGAGAAAATGGTCGAGACGGTTCCTCGCGTGGCCCTGTGGGAGATGTTGGTGAGCTTCCGTCACCAGAGGACGACGACACGGTCCGGGTAGTGGAAGTATCCTCCGTATCCGCTGCCTTCACAATCTGAGCACTTCTACCTGATACATCTTCTCCTTGTGCAGTCTGAACCGCTTCGCTGGCCACTTCGCCCGCCGAAGATCCGGATTCAACAGCACCTCGAGTCCCTCTGTTGCTCTTCTTTGCAACGCTACCTGCTACGACAGTTTTCGTCGGTCTCGCAGAGTTAAAATATCGCCCACCGCCAGGCTTCGATGAGAAGAATGAGGAGTAGGCTCGCCTCGCAGCCGGTAGAGGCTGGAGAAAGCGAGCTAGTGAAGACATACGTCTACCTAGCAGCACTACGATAACAGCCAAGAACAGAAAGGGCAAGATTTGAAAACGGGTCTGCCCTCTAGACGGCGATGGCAAACAAAGCCATGTGCTGGTGGCTGTGCAGCTGGCCGCGATGCAAACTGAAGTTCAGCTGTTTCTCCATATTCCCATATTCGCGTCTGATCCTCCAACAATGATATCCGGTACTCATTATGCCGCGAAGACCAAGGACCTCTTGGGTTTGGTCAACCAGTTACACAGTCTAGGGTCAGTTTTGCTGTAACAGCACTTTACGAGAATTGACATTCATTTCCTAGTGCTCAGCGAGACCTTGACCTCCCACGTATCGCAGTGATAGGAAACCAAAGCGCAGGTTCGTGATTTTCTCATTTTAGAGCGCGATACTTATAGGCGGACAGGAAAATCGAGCGTCGTAGAGGCTATATCAGGAGTAAGCGCGCCATGTGCCTGGAGTCTTTCCCGCCTTGTTCAAAATTCCTCATTTCAGATCAATGTTCCAAGAGACGCTGGAACATGTACTCGCTGCCCCATGGAATGTCGCCTGGCCTCATCCTCGAAACCATGGCAATGCAAGGTTTCCATCAGGCGAGAATATGACAAGAACGGGGAACGTTTGGATGACATCTCAGAGACGCCTTTTGGCGGGATCATAACGGACAAGTCTGCTGTTGAACCTCTTCTCAGGCGCGCCCAGTTATCTGTTTTGAACCCTATGATCCCTCTCGACAGAATCCTAGATTCGACCCCGGAGGAGCTCACTAAGTGGTCCCAAGAATCTCAGGACGTGCAACCCTTTTCGCGTAATGTCGTCTGCGTGGATTTGAGCGGACCAGAATTGACCGATCTTTCTTTCATTGATCTTCCTGGTGAGGCTTATTGGCTCTGCCTTCATATGCACGCTCATGGTGGAGGAATAGGTTTAATCCAGAATGCTGAAAATAACGTTGTCAGTCTTGTAGAAGATCTTGTAGTGTCCCACATCAAGGGTAACTGCTTGATATTGGTCACTCTTCCAATGACAGGTATACAACCGTTTAAGCTGTCGATGCGATTAAACAGCTGATTTTCTTCTCAGATGACATAGAAAACCAGAAGGCTGTACAACTGGCGCGAACACAAGACCCTCGAGGTCGACGTACCATTGGTATGCAATATAGTGGATAATTTTAAGGTCTCTAACTCATGAAGCACTGATAGGGGTCTTGACAAAACCCGACATGCTTACTGCTGGTTCCACCAAAGCCCTGCACTTATGGCTAGATGTGATCGAAGGACGTCGCCATCCTCTCACTCATGGCTACTACTGCACTAGGCAACCTGACGACAAGGACAGAGAAGAATCCATCACACCTGAGCAGGCTCGAGCCAAAGAAAAACTATTTTTCGAAACTACTCTTCCCTGGTCAAAATGTACTCAAAAGAAGCGATTCGGCACTGACAACTTGATTGATACTCTCAGCCGTCTCCTCATTCAAGTTATCAACGAAACGTTAGTGTTCTCCTTTCAGTTCGGGATCTGGTTGTTCATGATGTATGCAGTCTCCCCGTTATCCGTTCAGAGGCAATGGAAGCGTTAGAAGAATGCCGTACGGAGCTTACCACAATTCCTACAGCAATCAATGAAGAACCCGCTACCTACATGCTAAAACTTGTCACGTCTTTCTCTACTGAGGTCCAAAGCCTTGTCCGTGGTCGATCGGACGCGAGTCGTTTGATCCACGAGAACCGGCAGGCTTTTAAAGATTTGAAAATTGCAATCCGACGTACTGCACCAAATTTCGTCCCTGTGGAGGATGATCAGCCTCAGCCCGTCATGGTTAACTCGCTGGAAGATGGGGAAGAAGAAGATCTGGCTCCGGAACTTAACACGGATGAACCCTTCACCTTGACTGCCATGAAGCGTCATATTCAAAGGTAGGTTTCACTTTGTATCATGATATAATGGTTCTGAGGGTTTTTAGGTCCCTAACGCGCGAGCTTCCCAATAATGTACCTTTCGAAGCCAAAGTTGAACTGATTACTGCTTTCCAAGCTACGTGGCATGCTTCTGTCATGAACTGCTTCAATCGCGTGCAAGGATGCACGTACGAAGTCTTGATGGGGTGTATCGAAAGAGACTTTGCTCGATATGCAATTCTTAAAGGACATCTAAAGTAAGCTGTCATATTTCTGCCCCACTATGCCTTCTGATCTCTGTTCTCAGGACGTTTATCATGGAATTGATGAATGACTGTCGCGCGACTTGCTCGGTTGTCCTGAATGCCACCCTAGAAGTCGAGAAGAGCCCGTTCACACAAAACACCCACTATCTCGAGGACACAACGGATAAATGGCTGGCGAAATACAAAAATATTCGAGCTGGGAAGACGATTAGGTCAGCGGAGCCTCCAGCGAAGAGACAGAAGACTGACGTGCGCGCAACCTCGACGCCACCCGAGCCCACCGATGGACGAGCTAAAACATCCAAGGCGTCCCAGCAAGTCAATGGCACCCCATCAAAGCAGGGTAAGGGCGCCCCAAAGCCGGCTCAGGATCAGGTGCAGCAGACCCAAGCCAAACCCGGAGTTTGTTAGTGGTGTATCTTTCTCTCTGTGTGGCTGAAACAAACTTCTCTCTAGTCCAATTCGATGGTTTCGGTACCCCCAATTCACCATTCGTATTTGGTTCCCCTGCATCCGCTTCACAAACATCTAAAGCAGCAGCTGCTCAGCCTGCTCAAGCTCCTTTGTTATCCGATGCTGATATTGCCGCAAGGGCTGAGAAAGTTCAGGAGGCTTTGGCCGCATTGGCAGCCCTTGGCTATACAGTGAAGCCGGAAGATCTGGGAAAATTGAATCCTACGGACATGTTTGAGACGGAGCTAAAAGTAATGGCAGAGGTGCGGGGGTACTTCCAGGTCGCGTATAAGGTACATGTTACCGTCTTGTTAATGGTCATAAGAGGCTGATAGGCATTTTCAAGCGTGTTATCGACAACATACCGTCCTTCATAGATCTGCTGTTCGTCAGAAAGGTGGCGGAAGAGTTGCAGCCCTTCCTGATCTCCAAATTCGGCTTGGGAACTGCTGCCGCGAACGAGAAATGTGGCAGGTACCTGGAGGAGGATCCGGCGCTGGTCGCTCGAAGGGAGGAACTGATTAGTCGAGAGAAACGTCTGATGAACGTACAGAAGGAGCTTAACAGCTTCGGGATATCGACGCAGACGTAAACGGAACAGGGTTTCATGTCTAAAGGATTGCTCGCACTGACTATACCCTTGCCTCGTCGCCTGGCCCTCCCAACGTCGCTGGATGTCCGTTTCCGTCTATTTCCATTTTGCGAATGCCCACAATACCCTGTCATAATGTACTCCAAGCTGAGGAGTCCCGAGCTCGAGTTTGTACGCAGGATAATCGTCTTGTCTGATCTAGAGGTGAAACTACTGGCTCTTTGGACACCTAGCACACGAATAGAGTTCGTGTCACCATATACTGGATACGCTAGCGAATTGATGTTGTTGGATTTATAGAACAATATAATAGTATAATAGTTGTTTTTGGGGAAGTTATATGTATAGTCCGTGTTCATATATGTCAGGCTTCGAATCCTTTTACGAAGAGAAGCAAGCAGCTTCCCGTGCTTCCTTTTCTTCGCCAAAAATATGGACGGCGACGAGCACACCGTGCATACCATGAGTACGATTACGACTAGCTGTCTCCCAGGATCGTCGCTGAAAACGACAGTCATGGGTCCAATTACACTACCGCTGCTCAAGGTTACTGGTCTAGGATCCAACAACAGCCTGTCTACAATGCTACTTTTAGGAACATATTACGTTCCACAGGGATGAAAATGAGTATTTCTCTTGCGTCACGTTCGAGCAAAACTTACGTCGCAAAAAATTATAAAATGAGTACTTGCTACCCATATCAGACGTACAAGAAAAGAATCAGAAAATAAAACGGAAATATACGAGTACAACGAAACTTCGGTGCCTTCCAACAAAACAGATATCGAATGCAAACAGAATTTTCATAGAAAATCGAAAGTTAAGTCCCTTCATGAAGACGACTGAGCACGAAGTTGTTTCTGCTTCTCCTGCTCCAAGCGCTGTAAAGCATATGAGCAGCTGTATCATAGCAGTATTAACAAGTCACTCGCATGATAAAGCAGCTGTACAGCCATCTGTATATTTGATGGCTGGCCAGTGATGACGACCAAGCGTTCTCCCTCTCCACCTGGTGACGCAGCTGGTATACCCGGACCGACCCCGACAGCTCCAGGTTCCATGATCTTAATCTGGCTTGCGCTCATATGCCTAATCTCGTTGATCTTGCTGCCACCCTTGCCGATAATGCAGCCGACGAAATCATTAGGGATGTATATCTGCTGTGTCTGCATCTGCTGTGGAGGGTTGTGATGGGAGGGCGGAGAATATGGGTTCGAATACCCAGGTACGTATGACGACCCGCTGTATGGTCGGCGAGAGTGACTAGTAGGTCGGTAGGAAGAGTTGGAGGCGGACGGCATGCGTTCTTGGGCTTCGATCAATATAGTGCCGATATAGTAGGTTGCTATATGGATGGCATCGGCGACCCCGGCAACACTGAGCACTCGCTTTGATAAAAGTTAATACCTAGAGTTAAAGTCGTTTTGCGAACGGACCTCAGTGGATCCAGGGAGCATCCCTTCACTCGCGTTAAGGCGTGCCCCGCTGGCATCCTGTATTTCCTTAATCTTGGATCCCTGTTTGCCAATGACTGACCCCATTCTGGAGTTGGGGATCATGAACTTGATAGTTACAGCACGGCTGCCAGGGACCGACGGTGTGTCAAAAGGTTCGTCATTAATCCTCCGCACGATAAGTCCAAAAGCCTATGCACGTTCAGAAAACAATCAAGTATATCAAACGCAAGCTATACCTTTGAGACAGCGTCGAGCGGCCCACTGACATTAAGGATACGCTCAGGATTTCCAGGTATACTTTCGGAAACGACAACACGGGCACCGCTTTTCTCCCTGATTTCGTTTACATGAGACCCGCCCTTGCCAATGATGATCGAGGCGTCTTGAGTGACGATGAGGCATCGCATGTGTATGTTGGCTGAGGGTGCACTACTAGTCGAAGACGAGTCTGCACTGTTCGGGGCAACGTCGACATCATCATTGGACTTGGATTTAGTAGAACCTGGAGTAGACGAAGGCGAGGCGGCAGATGCGTCAGTCATGGTCACGTCAGTCTGGGTGAGGCGAGCAACTGAACCTGAGGGATTAAAGTCATCCGAGGAAACAGCTGCGCCAGTGTTTGCCCGTTTGTTGTGCTTCTGTTGTTCAGAGTCGGAGGGCGACCGAGAGCGCTTGCGAGTCGAGTCAGCGTCTGGCATGGCGGAAATGATGCACGTCAAAGGTCAACGACAGCAAGGATTCAAGTTATTGTCAGTGTTCTCTCCGTTGAATGCAAGGACTTGGGATGGGGGTTCGGGAGGGAGTCTAATGGACAGGCATGGGGGATGGTGTGAGGGGGGGCGGAGTTGGAGGAAGGGTTGCGGCACAGAAATGCTACATACCTTACGGTTTCCTGGACTATCCAGCTGCCAGCGATGTCTCTGCCCCTCTGTCTTTCAGCGACAAGGTGGTGGTAAATGGCCAAGATGAACGTCGCCTCCATCGTAGCGCGCAGGCCATTTGATCAGCCACAGTAAACATGTGTCAATTACGAGACACAGCCTCTTCGAATCCTTCTCAGCCTCTTATTTTCAAGACAATTTCCTGAAGAATTTAACAAAGATGCCGTCCATGACAATTGAATGATATGTCAATCATTATAACACCCTTTAATACAAGTCTGGAAATTTCTTTTGAGCGAATAAAAAAGTCACAAGGTACTTAGTTGCTGAACTAGTAGTACGAGAGTAGTACGTTCGTGGCAGACATGGTTCCTAGACTAAATCTATCGGCATCTCAATGACCATAGTATAGAATGTGTACCTTTCACGCCAGCCTACTGTCCGTGCTAGCTCCTGGCAACTAACTTGCTCGCACATTATCCTCTTGCGAGTACGACTTATCATGGTTAACATCAGCGCCCTTGAAAACCCATCTGTTACCTGGCGCAGTGATAATGAACAATGGGACTTGATTAATCAGTTTCATGAGTAACCATGCGCGAACTTGTAGCGGCTAGCCTGACAAGTCCGGCTTCGTAGATGCGGAACTCGTAGCTAGAGCGCTGAACTGATCTTCCTTGATATCAAGTTCGTTGACGTGGGAGTGAGTATGATACAAGCCATAAATGCTACAATCATTGTTTGAAGGGTAACTACAGAAATTAAGAACTCATATGAGCGCTATATCCAAATACCTTTTTGTATAATAAGTATGTAGGGAAGGAAGATCAAAAATATATCATGGATACAGAGATGTCAAAATATGCACGAAACAAACCTGTCAATGCGAATGCGAAAACAAGATTAGACAGAAGGCCAAAAGAGTACGATAGATGCAAAGCGAGGGTATTAAAATCATAATAGTGGCGTCGTTTCACTTGAGTTATCATCGTCATCGACATGTTCAACTTTGCGACCTCGGTCAGATGGCTCGCATGGTTCATCAGGATTGGCCGAGGTCGACTCAGAAGGACACGATTGTTCATGTGCAGTATATAGCGGAAGAGGGGTGGAATCGAGTTTACGGTCACCGTTAGAATAGAAAAGTTGTGAGTAGGCGGGAAGTACCGTCTCGGAATAACCGGAAGAGATGGCTGGCAATGATTCTGCGGAAGGAATGATCATAGATTGAGATAGAACGGGTAGTGGAGAAGAGTGTGCCGACGGAGGCGGAGGTGGAGGAACATGAGCGAAGCGGAGAGGGATGGCTGTACAGATAGGATGAACGTCAGCAACGGAAGACAAGAATGAATTGAACTGATCGCACCAAAGGTAAGCGTCTCAGTTGCTTGTTGGTTTTGATCAGGAAGATCGTATGTTATCATCAAAGATATACAAACTTCGTGACGGAGAGTCAATAATGGCGAGGAACCCGTTGGCCGAAGACATGGCGGACCAATCCAGTCAGACGATTCATCCTGCTTAATGTCCGGATCTGAGATGAAAGGGATGCTAGTCTGCAAAGTGTACCAGATTGGAGTTTCTCCAGGAGCATTGTGTGCGAAAACATAGTTGTGATCGCCGAGTATGTATTCTCCATTTTCTTCGGACGGAAGAAGAGAGGCGGTACGGATATGCGCTGCATCACTGTTGATCGGAGGGGAGTAGAAACCGTCGTACAGGTAACCCAGTCGGTGACAGCTGCGAAGTGGAATGTTAGGAGGCTGTTCAGAATCCGACGGAAGGGGAAAGCGCCGCCGGTACTCCGCTGAAGGTCGATACCTGCAGGAGAGCGTCAGAGATGCTTCTCCGTCTGTGTCGGGAACACTTACCGGTACTTCTCTCTTTGCAGAACGTTAACAGCAAAGGCAGAGAGTTGGAGCTTCTTGCATTGTTCTTCTTCCAGGCCGTGAGCCCTCATACGAAGCGTCAAATCCACGGCGTCTTCGTTAACATCCACGTATTCAGGAATAGATGCAAGAATTTGGAGTTTTGAGACGATTTCTTGTGGTATACGGGGTCGGTCCTCGTTGTTTTTAGGTGGGGTTCTCTTCGAATTGACGAGGAATGTCGTCCGAGGGACTTCTGTGGAGTCCAAGAACTGGGAATCCACAAAACGACGTAGAGGAACGATCTTCTCGGCATGAACCTCCCTCTCTCTTGAGCGAAACGGCGCGCATAACGCGCTCAATGACCACGGCGAGGTGTTATCTAGGTCTAGGAATTTGGCGGTCGCATAAAGCGCATACGTTGTCCCCATGTCTTCAGTGCCGTACTGTGAAGATGCAGGAAGCCATCCTGGAATCGGAATATTAAATACCACGTTCCAACGACCTAAGTGTTCATTCGTCAGTAGACAGCGAGTGGCGGCGTGGTCTTGGAAACGTACAAGGCGCATGGGATTCCTCCTGGCCTTCATTTGAGAGCTCCAAAGACTCACTAGGCGCGAGTTGACGCGTTATACTGCATAGTCGAACACCAGTGTAGCCAATATCCGGCGCGACTATTTCGGATTGGCCCTCAAAGGTAAGTTCGAGGGACTGGAGGAGAAATGATGTCGTTCGACGACGTTCGAATATGGAATTAGACGAATGTAATGAAACAGTGACATGGCCTGACAGCGAGTATGCAGAGCTAGACGCGTCAATGAGCAATGGGAAATAGTAGAGAGCAGTGAAAAACTAACGAAGAGTCCGGATCTCCGTACATGTCAAGGGTAGGCGCGAGAGTGACGATATCGATAGAGACTGGCATAGTGGCAAGGCCAATAATGGGACAAAGGGTAGTATATAAAGTCGTTAGTTCGTGATTATTATAGTAACCGGGGAGGGAGTAGCAATGCAAGAACAAAGGGAAGTATGGGGACAATTAAGCGAACCTGAATCATGGCGGGCCTTTTATTGGACAGCCGTCGCTTCCGGGGAAGAAACGTCAACCAGTCCTTGTTCCGGCACTCTTGTTTCACATCCGTTTCTGGCTGATATCTTATGTAACCACAAATGATCAGCTCTTCGCGGACAATGGACGTCTCCAGCACGTTCCTGTTCCTTTGCCCGGGGTTTTCGTTCCAGATGGCTGATGTTCTCGGTAGATAACAGATAGCGTCAAGTCTACACCTTTTTTTTCACTTGGAACAGTTCCCCGGAATTTGGAATCAATTAACATCCGCCCTCGATCGGGGTGCACTAGAGCGTAATAATTCGTGTGGAATTTATTGACATGACAGCGCAGTCTCGTCGTGCCAACGACCCGGCAGTTTCAATTATCGTAAGCAATCCCCGCTCCATTTATATTTGCCGTTATGATTAAGACAGACCTAGCCACTTTGTCGTGTGAACTAGACGCGTCCATCAGGTAAAAACTTTCGACACTGCGAGCTCATCCTCGTCTCTCTTCCGGTGTTCCTTGCGCCGTGACGTCTCCTGCTCGGCATCCTTCCGGATATTATATTTCTTGCTCTGCTCTTGTCGGATGCTTGATCTGATAGCAGCAGGCGAGATGAATTCTAGCAGATGGTGTCAGACAATGGGCCCAGGAACAATGGATGGGTCAATAACTAACCGGGATTCGAGTATACCGTGGCCCCTCCAAAGGCACCTTCAAATATTCGTATGGGAGTCAGAACAAACCGGGGGCCGATCTCCACGAGGGTCGTCTGGGGAGGCCCATTTGGCTGTAAAGGATCCTTCTCCATTATCTAGCAGATTATTGTGGGACAAATTAGACAAGAACAACGCAAAAGCGTACCTGGAAATTCCGGAACCATATCTTTGAATCTAGTATGGAAAACGTAAGAATGTGATCAATGAACGGCTTGGCTCTCCGGGCTGTCGAGGGAACGCCGAATATCTATGTTCCAAAAACGTGAATTGGTGAGAAAGTAGCAAATGAACAATCGCCCTTACGTGCGTAAAAACCTCCTTGGTCAACTTTCCCCACTCGGTTTCGTCAAATGCTTTATCAAAGCTAAGCAGCCCCCGGCTTCCTTTCAAACAATTGCCGGTCATCTTGAGTTCGTCCATCGTATGGACGTTCTGCACATGCATTTTTATTGAAGGTCCATTTGGTGTCTTTGTAACCCAAAGATAGAGGTCTTCGTGCCTGCGGGCCTCGAAATAAAGGGTATTGTTGCAGTTGTTGAGATCAGCCAGTTCAGGGAGGAGGTGAAGCTGGGACTTTGAGTCCAGTTTCGAATCTATCAGACGCCCGAAGGTCAAAAACAGCTAACAATGGCACGGAAGTGAAGTACCTTTCTTCACATGAGGAAGTAGGGCCTCAATATCACTCATCAGATGCCTCATTCGATGAGTAATGCCACGAGACGATAGCAGAAGGACTCGTTGCTTGTTTTTCTTGGGTTTGGGCGCTGAAGATTCGATGTCTTGGTCAACATCCATCTCGTCTGCTTTTCTTTTGCCTTTTGATTTGGCGTCCCGTTTTGAGGCATTCGCCTTCTGAGCTTTTAGGATCGAGGCCATGCTGGAGGAACCGTGGTCAGAGGTCAGAGCAGGTTACTGCAATGGTCGAAACCAAAATTTCGGTGATGGATTAGTCATCCGGAAGATCGGGCCGTAGACACTCATGGCCTGCTAGTGCATGTTTCTTTCTTGTTTTTGGTCGAAGAAAGGAAAATATCTCGAGCAAGTTCAAAATAAAAGTGTTTGATATCAGTCAGTATCAGTCCTAGTATTATATATCCCTGAATTCCCTACACTTGGTCGCTTCCAACCACGTCACTGCATTTTAGTAAAGGTGAGCTCTTGTTTCACCGTTCGGGGCAAGGCACCCTCCGAAGAGCTTAAACAGCATGACTAGACATTTTACGCGTTACGACGTATCCATATCATCCTCTGCTGAAGGTTCTTCCTGCCTCACATAACACCGTAACGCCGTACTCCACACAAATTCATGGTTCAACAGCTTCGTGAGCGTTTCATACGCCCAGATGTTAGCAAACGGCACCCCCGTTCTTGGATCAAGATACGGCGCCGGTTGACCAGTCAGTGGGCAAATCTGCTTAGGTCGCGCTGTGAAAGACATCTGTCAGGTAACAAGAGAGAGACGCAGTGGAAATCTCACATGTAGGTCTTCCCTTTCCACTATACACTTTAACTTGATCCCACCTAACATGGTCACCAAAAATGACCTCCATCGACTCAGTCCACGATGGCTTGGGGGCTTTTTCGTATTGCGCAAGTTCATGGACGAGGTAATTTTTGGTTACCCTTTGCGTTCGTTCTTCAAAGACTGGAGCAGGAGGAGGTACGGGAGGCGGAAGATAATGCATGTACGGATTTTGGTAATGCGTTGTCGTAGCTGGAGAGTAGTAGGAGTAAGCCGGTGGTGTAGACGTTCCGGGTGCATTATAAGCACCATATCCATGTCCGTAGCTATATGCTGGCGTGGTTACAGGTGGTGGCGCAGGCGGAGTCACTTCCACTTGGACTTTTATATCCTCGCCCCGGCTTACCCATCGCAATAGAGGGCCTTCAACAGCATCTCTCACAACCCGCGCACGTTTACGTTTCTCCTCCTCGAGTTTGAGATAGTCACGGTGTTCTACGATGTTGCCTTCCTCGTTATCGAGTGCTCTGGCGATGAGTTCACCCTGTGTTATCTCACGAGTAAGCGCCTTGACCTTCTTCGGCGTCTGCGCGGCCTACATGTATGGAAAATAAGAAGGCAAAGAGATCCGACATAAAGATATAGGACTTACGCGTCTCTCTTCCCCCTTTTTGAACCTCTTAACCGTCGCTGACGTGTTCTTTATTGTGTGTGTTCTTTTACTATGTCGCTGCCCCTTGGCGTCACCTTTGATGACTTCCCCAGTTTCTGCATTAATGGCCGTACCCAACGAGACCTGACGTTTTGGTCTCAACTTGGTCTTTGGTGCACTAGATGTTGAAGCCTCAGGATTAAATGTGACTTTCTGGCGGGCATGAGCGGCAGCAGTGGCCTTTTCTACGCGGGTGCGAGCAGCCTGGGAATGATGGTCAGGAAGACGAACAATGTGACAGGTTAGACAAACCTTACGTGCTTGCTTCTCCTCATCTAAGGCTTCCTGTTCCCCAGCGTCACCTTCCTCTTGAGCCTCTTCGTCAGTGCTTTCAAAGTCGGACTCGAAGACATCTTCTTCGTCTGTGAAACAAAATGAGTCACCGAGAACCTGTAAGAGTCAACGAGAATGTACATTTTTCGACAGCGAAATCGACATCGTCATCAGGGTCTTTCGCTGCGTCGTCTATTAACATTTCAGCAAGTGCAGCTTCCATCCTGTCCGGATATTTATCAAGGCATAGAACTCAATGAATAATGAAGTACCTGTTTCCTGCCGTGCTTCGCCTTGAACGTCGAGCTACGAGGGTCTCTTCGACCGGTGGTTCTGCCATCGTTGTGTCGGCTGTCGACATGTTGCAAATGGAAACGCGTTTATGATGAGGGAGGGAAGAAGGAATAGGTCGGCAGCTTCCGAGATCAACACGCGTCAACTCATCTTCCTTTTCTTCCACTTATGCTGCAATGGTCATAAAAGCAGTAGCGAAGGATGGCACCCCCGAAAATCCCACAGAAAATAGATTTGGTGTTGGATTGGCTGAGAGCGCCTCCAAGGCTCCAGCTGCGTGGCGTGCAGAAGCTGAAGATATCTCTGGCATACCGTAATGACCACTTTGGCGCGAGGTTCGTTTGCATTTTCTTGAAAGTTTCAAGTGTATCTTCACTTCTTTTAGGCATTTCGTGAAGGAACAACTACCTCGTATCCGTTTTGCCAATCCAAATCTCGATATCCAGGTAGAGAAGGCTTTAAAAACAAAAGTCGGAAGCATGGAGGCCGGAGATCGAGCTCGTATTTGGTGTGTTTACTCCTTACCTTCTTGCATTCAAGCCCTGAGCTTGGAATAGAGGATGGCAAGCAGAAGACACTCGACCTGCACGAAAAATGGTCCACTACAATAGTGAAAGAACTCATGGATACAGCGGGCACTGAAGGTTGGACCAGATGGAAAACGAACGCACTGGCCAGTGGGTTACCAATTGTTCCTGGGGAGGAGAACGAGGCAAAGGCCAGAGTATCAATGGATGTTACGCGGTTACCTTCTCTGAAGGAATTCCGAGCGGCGAAACAGAGGGTAGAGGCAGCTAATCCCAAAGCTAACCCTCCACGGACGACAACGAAGCCTTCAGCGGCGATTGAGGCGTCACCGGACTCATGATATCTTACAATACTACAATTATAATGCCACAAAAATCTGGGATTAAACAACTATGCAGCGAACCATGATGCCAACCATACTATGAATCCCAGTCCAACAATCAGTCCCGCAAGGTCATCAAGCAGCATAGAGAACAGCGAAATGTACTTCCATCCATAGACAATGGTGGATGAAAGCTGTGGTGGCAGGAGTGGAACAGCCATATTCAGTAGGAAAGGCAGAGGTGCCGCGTCCTGTAAGAAGAGTCAGCTAGGCATTTTGCCCGGTACTGAAATGACCCACTGTGCCAACGAATATGCGAGTAGAGTGCAAAACAATTTGAATCGTCGTCAATGCCCAGAAAAACGGCTGTAGAATGATGCTTGAGAAGGCTCAAAGGAAAATAACGGAAAAACTGACCACTAGCTGAATACGACCTTTCTCCGACCCAAGTTCAGCCCATCTCTGCCACAGCGCATTCCTTGGATCGTTCGTCAATCCTCCTAACGCCTCCTGTACTTGGGGCTCCTTGTACAGTACAAAGAATGCCAGGAAACCCCACATGATGACGAGATGGAGCAGTGGTAGTAATTTTTGCAAAAGGGATTTTGGCTGCACGACTGGCTCTGGAACCTTGCCCATGGCTGGCATACCACCAGCTAAACCACCTTTTCCGTTACCCCCTCCAGAAGCCGCAAGGAGATTGGATAAAAAGGGATTGTCCTCTAGGTTAGGCATGGGCGACGTCTCGGCTCCTGCAGGTAATCGCCCCATGAGCGCCTGCATGAGCTGCTGCTGCTGTTGCTCGGACCATACCGATGGATCTGGCGCGCCAGTGGGAACTGTGTCTCCTCGAGAAGGAGGTGTCGGTATGGATGTCCCTTCTTCTGCAAAGTTCGAAAGGCTGGAAAGTTTTGGGACAGGCGGATCGTCGTGCATATAAGCCGGTGCATCTTCGCCTCGACCGGATGTGGTGAGTTTTGCGAGTCGGTCACTGCCACGACTGAGGATGGCTTGTCGACGGGCTTGTGCTCGTGCAGATGCAGAAGACATGGTGGTGGTGCTTTTCTTGCCGCTTTCTAGCAACGTGGTGCGTGTTCACAAAGGGCGGGATATCGGACCGAAAATACCGGTATTCTGTTCGTTAGTGTGAACCTTCACGTAGGAGTTTGTCAAGGACATATGACGGCTGGCTTTATGCAGCCGTAATTTACATCGTATAAATGTATATTTGGTAGCTATGAATTACAACCAGCTCATACAATCACCTATGATATATGATCTTCGACATGAAACTCGACCGGTTCCAAGGTAGTAGCGGCTTCGCCGTAAGTTAACAGACCCACGTAAGGCATCACGTTGTATTTGAGGGTATAATTTGATGTTGGAATGTCCCTGAAACGACAGGTCAGATTCTCACCTTTCGAAACACAATGAATACTCTCACTTGAATTTTCGCGAGACGTCTCGGAACGCATATTTGTTTTTGCCTGATACTTTGATGATGGCATCTTCTTTCCTCCGTACAATACGGTCCCATATCACGACTTCATTATGCACCTTGTTGGGAAAGATGATCAGAGTAACGCAAGTAGTATGACAACACCTTCACTGACCCCTTCGGTATTGACGTACTCTGCTTCTAAGTATAGAAAGAGTTGCTTCGTATTCCAGTTGAAAAGTGGTGTCAAGTCTGTGGTACATGTAAGCATCGGCGACCCAACATATAGCAGCGCATACCAGCTTTGAGATCAAAGTTTACGAACGCCATTTCTTGCTTTCTACGGGGGTATCGAGGGACTTTGGCATTATATCTATAGAGACATTAAGGTTTTTAGCATTGCAAAGTTCCAGAGGGACTTACACTTTCACAGCGGCGACTGTCAGCTCTCCCTTTGGATCGGCGGCGAAAAGAAATGATGAGAGGGCGATAGCACCGAGAAGACACATCATGCATGTAGACAAGAAGGCGGACACATTGTTGACGCGGGAAATTATGCTATGCATGATGAAAGGTAGAAGCAGACCGTGTTCACGAAGCGACACGTTGTGGACCAAGATGAGAACGTCACACGATGTCACAACGTTACGCGTTGGTGACAAACGTGACATAACCACTCACGCGTCGTCCGACAAAAGCATGTCCGATGATTCACTAGGTACGATGACCATCGATGCCCTCCCTGCCTGCACTCTGCTAATCAGAATTCCCGTTTTTCTTCAGACCTGGGTGGACTGGGACCTACGACTCCGGCGCCAAACCCAAGGATGGCTCGTACGGCACAGGGTCGAAGCGCGGTAGCAGGTCCTTCGAAACCAGCGTCCAAAGCAGGGAGGCAGAAGAAGAATGTGACACCAAGCTCGTCCGGTGATGAGAGGCATCCCGTTCTGGTTCCTGATGATGACAACGACAACGACAACGACGGCGAAGAGTCGGTGACAGAGGTGCCTCTCCGCAAGCCCCAGACAGCGCGAAGGGGCCGAAAACCCAATGTAAACGGTGTGCCGCGTGTGAAAGGAAAGGGAAAAGCCAAGGCGCCATCACCCAAAATGACGCGAAGGGATTCTCCTCCCGAAGTGCTTGACGATTCGGAGGACGATGGTGCCGTGCAGGTAGCTGCTATGATAAATAGCGCGATCGATAACAACTCGGGTGGGGAGATGAAACGTCTTCGACGTGAACTAGCAGAGGTATGTTCCAGACCTTTTGTTCCCTACTCAAATTACAAGTTCTTCAACAGACAAGAGAACGCGTGAACAAGTATTCTAAACAACTGGAAGAACTTTTTGAGATCAGACATACTGAGCCCGAGCGTCTACTAATTGAGTACCGAAAACAGTCTGACTCTAAGATGGAAGGTCGGTTGTCCTCACGTTCGAGTTACTATAAACTCTAACATTATCATCTCAGCCCAGGACGCGATAATCAAGGAGTTGACATCTAACCTGGCGAAGAAAGAACCGTTGATAAGGGAAGGAAAGACAGTCTGTGCTACACCTTATGACGCGTGAAGCTGTGGAAGAAGAGAAGGAAACACTGGAGCGCGATGTTCAGAGATACAAAGGGAGGGTGGAGGTGTGCGATAGGGAACTGAAGGAGAAAGATAAGAAGATACTCGAACAGGAGCAAATCAGTCTGTCTATTGCATACGTTTCTTCTGAATGCGATATCTTACCTTCGTCTAGTCAAGGACCTCCGGGTAGAACTCCAGGCAGAAATCGACCGAGCAAATGCCCTTGCGAAGGATCCACGCCGTCCACCTGGATCAGCACAACGAAACAGAGGTCAGACTGTCCTGGGTGGGCAAGAACCAAAGCACGGGGCAATCATACAGTTCTACGAGGACGTAACGAACCTTCTCATCACCAATGTCAGAAATGAGAAGTGTAGCAAGCGTGATAAAGAAGAGGACTGGGTCTTGACATGTATATACCTACGTTGACGAAGACTCGCCAGGAGATCTCGATTCCAGCGGCAAAAGTATGTCTTCTACTGTTTCCAGTCGAACTGAGTGTATGAACACCCTTATTCCCAGGCCTCAATTTCAATCTTCGCTTATGCCACGAACTTGTCGAAGGAAATGAATACGCCGATGCAATACTGTATTCTCCGCTCGAGCTGGACAAGGAACCCGAAGATTTTGTCAAGCAACTAGACTTTTTGGCGGGTCCGTTCACTTTTCCGCGGAGACAGCTACCGGTCTTTATACGCACCATCAATAATACCATAGGGAAGACGGCGCAAGAGGGTGAGGAGGAAGAAGGCGGAGGTGAGGCAGCAGAAGACGACGACGACGTCCAAATGGTTGAGTAGTAGTTTTGGCGTGATGTTTTTTCCCATCTATTTCATGTAAGTATCTTCTATTATGGGCATCTTGGTGCGTCTGTTGGTGCTATTTGACTGGTCACGCTATTCATGTTGCTTAGGCCACACTCGCTATTGTTTCACGCGTGATGCAGATGCTGACGATCATGTAACTTTAAATTGTTATCCCCAGAACCGCTCTCTGAAAGGCTTGCAAGGCTCATTCTGGCGTTGATACTCTCATGAACCGAACCAACTGGTCCGGCCGTTGTCTGAGTTGAATTCACAAATTAGGCTTCAAATCCACATGTAACGCCCATCAGCACAAGGTTTTGAATTTCCCGATCCCACGTCAGCTATCTATTCACCATCGAGACTATTGGCATTCCCATGGCTTTACACTATACGAAATTGGGCCAGAGAACGTTATCTAGTTTCTCCTATCCTGGTATATGGCTGGTATACGGCTCCGGTAGGTCCAAGGAGAAGTCGGAGTATCTAGTTCCGGGAACGTTAATGAAGACCGTTTGAAATGTTGACAGGTTGCGTACTAGTGCTTCGATGTGCAGATCTTGTACATGTTGACTTTGAGTTTGTGCCCTGTCTATACGTTGACTCCGACGGCGTCCCATATCTCTTGACCTTTTCGGTCGTGAGCTCGAACGGCATTCCTTGCTGCTGTCCTCGCGAAGCTTTCATCCAAGCCACCCAAGCTGGCTCCGGCCTGAACCAGAACTCCAACGACATCTCGGTGACCTTGTCTGGCAGCCTGCGATTATTAATTCATAAGCACACCAATAAAATGGCTGTTGAATATTGCGTACGTAGTATAACGGTGTATGTCCTAGAGTATCCCGCAGATGAACGAGAGCACCCGCGTGCAATAGCACGTTGACAGATTCGATGTGTCCATTCAAAGCTGCTATATGCAATGGCGATCGACCAGAACCAGGCTCTAGTGAATTCACCAGCCCACCAGCTATGTTACCGTACTGAGGTGCATCTACCAATGGAGAATCCGGGTCCGAGTATCCTGATGGAGGAGATGATGAGTCCAGACAAAACCGGATACTTGAAGTATCGTTTCTCGCGGCCGCGAGATGGATAAGGAATGGGAACAGAACTGCCTCTGTCGAAGCAGCCTCAGCTGCAGTCCAAGACCAAGAGGCAGCCGCATCCTGCGACGCCTCGTCTAGTGGTGCAGACAAGGTTATCTTTGGTACAGGCGAAGCAGGTTGTTCTGATAGCCGAACAAACTGAGACAGAAGTCCTTGGATTTTCTCAAAGTTCTGGTCAATGGTGGGTTGACTTGGAACAGCAGCCGGCAGTGGTCGGGTGAGCTCACCGCGGAGCGGCGTACCCATAAGCTTTCTGACTTCGTCAGTGCTCAGCTCAGGCTTCGACAGCAGATAGCTTAGCTTGGCCAAGGCACACTGCAAGATTTCATAATTAGAACTGTAAAGGGTATTCTGGTAAGAGTGGACCAATCTTACTTCGGGCGTCATATCATGCCCGGGAACAACGCCGGCTTGAAGAAGTGTCCTTCCAGTCTCATAAGCATCTGAAACCGTACCCTTTGCACACTGCGAGATCGCAACGACGACGGCTCCCCTTTCACAGGCTTCTTTCAGGGCAAGCATCAGATCTTTTCGTTGCGGGGCGTTCCCGGCCCCGAACGTCTCCAGAATTACTCCTCTAATGGGCGGCATAAAAAAGGCGCTCACGGTTGCAGCTGTAATTCCCGGGAACAGACGAAGCGTGGCTGTAGCGGACTTGTGTGAACGCTGTATAATGTGACTCGGAAGAATTTAGGATCATACCGACATGAGGGCTCATCTCTGCAAACGAAACGATCAGAATATCATCACTGCATTGACAAAGGAGAGAAGCTCACGTTTATGGGCTCGGAAGCGCCGTAGACTGGTTTGTCTGATGACATCGTTCCAGTTCACTACGATGTCGATGCCAACTTGGCTATAATCAGTACCGAACTTCTGATGTTAGCTTCTAATTCTTACCGTTCACAAGCGGAGCAAAGTTGGGGCTACCGAAGGCGCTGAGATCGTATGAGGATATTTTCGAGACTCGGTTTCCCCGGAACAGGGTATGATTGAAATACAGAGAACATTCTATGCTGTACAATTAGTGGGATATTCACATGAAGAGATTGAGAGTGGGTACCGGGAATAATATAATGTCCAGCGATGGTTAGTGCACCCATTAAGTTGTCAGTAGCGTCATTTCGAAGTTGTGATAGTGGTATTTGTGCGCCTGTGACGATCTGACATACCATGGTCAGCGGTTCTACATTGGGGCAGTCGAGATTTACATACGACCGTCTTTCCCAAATCTTCCAGAAGGAAACTCAATGCGCTTGAAGTATACGACATTGTGTCCGTGCCATGGAGCACAACAAAGGCGTCAAATGAGTAATTGAGTTCTATTTCAGATGCTATACGTATCCAGTCTGACTTGCGGAAATTATCGATGAGAATGGCCAATTACAAAAGTGAACACTCGTCACCGTCAATCTCGATATTACTGCTGTCCAGTAAAGGGTTCCACTGGACGAAAGATGATCAATCGGAAGTTTGTCCGCAGTCCGTGAACTCTCGACGAACCTCTAGAACAGCATATCTGATGGACTTGCTGCCGCCGCCTCCGGGAACTGCACTCCGTGGTGTGACGAGACTGGGCAGGTGAGCTTCGTATACGTTCTCGGTGACCTGTATGCTGTGCGCAAGCGCCGATGATTGATTTGGAGTCAACGCAGATGTCCTTCCGATAGGACGGGATGATCGCACGAGCAATGTGGGCTGATGAGGCGTTGAAGACATGCTAGGTGTTGCACTGCCCCCAAGAGGACTATTCCTGCCACTTCCAGAGCTCCAATCTCGGAAGCCTTGTACGGACCCAGAATTCGAGAACAGAGAATTTTGGAGCGGGTCATGGAACCGCGCCTGGCTACGAAGTGTTTCGGTCAAAAAATGAGGCTCCGGGACGTATCCCCTGGATCCAACGAGCATCCCAATGGTGCCACCGGTATATATAACAAGGACTCTGGATTCATCGGATAGAATGGGAGTAGCCGCGTCCATCAGGGAGAAAAAGATGGTGATGGTGAAGAAATGCGATAAGATAAAACGATCGATCTACTTATAGATAATTAATTTTATTTGATCCTTCCAAATCTGACTCGACCTGCTCTCATCGTCATGGACGCTCTCAAAAATGTTTTCGAGGCCAAGAAGGCTCAGGTTGGCCCTATTTCTCGCATCCTTTACATGTTCATTCATGATCCTGGCAGGGATCGCCCGCATTGGTCACTTTCGTCACGGCGGGGTATCCTACGAAAGATGCGACAGCTTCCCATTATGTTCGCTATGCAGAACGGAGGCGCAGATATCATCGAGCTGGGGATGCCTTTCTCGGATCCAATTGCTGATGGTCCTGTCATCCAAGAGAGCAATACAGTACGACCTGGCTCACTCGGACGAGTCCATAATGCTCATCTCCCGTAGGTTGCGTTGAAGAATAACATGGACTACGCGACGGTCTTGGGTCAACTTCGCGAGGCGAGGAGCAAGGGACTTACCGCCCCCGTTATCCTCATGGGTACGAAAGATACAATCAACGACCGTATAGGCGCTGACAGTAGGCTAGGCTATTACAACCCGTTACTGGCGTATGGCGAGGACAAGGCTATACAAGATGCAAGCGAGGCTGGAGCTAATGGCTTCATTATGGTTGACCTTCCACCTGAAGAAGCTATCACGTTCAGAGAAAAGTGCACAAAAGCAAAGTACGTACATGAATCATACTCAAGGTACTTCTTGATGACGCGAGATATAGCTTGTCATATGTTCCTCTCATTGCTCCGTCGACCACGCCATCTCGAATAAAATTCCTCGCGTCAATTGCCGACAGTTTTATTTATGTCGTGTCTAAAGTCAGTTCATTTACTTTTTCATTCCGATATCGCGCTCATTATCCTTTAGATGGGTACAACTGGATCGTCCGACAAGGTAGCGATAAACGCTGAGCTCCCAGATATTATCGCTCGTGTCCGGGAACATGCGACCGTTGCCATCGCTGTCGGCTTTGGTGTATCCAATCGCAGTCACTTTGATTATGTTGCCGATGCCGGTGCAGACGGAGTTGTCGTTGGCAGTCGGATCGTCAATGTTATTAAAAGCGCCCCTGCAGATAAAATTTCCCACAGTGTTGAAGCCTTCTGCAGTGAAATTACTCTGAAGGGTCAGCCTCCTAAGGCCAGATCTCCTCTTCCAGCTCGGTCGCCTACACCTGTGACAAAAGGCAGGAAGGATATCTCGAAGGACTCTTCGGCATCGGATTTACCCGCGCGATTTGGTCAATTTGGTGGTCAATATGTCCCAGAGTCCTTGGTCGATTGTTTGGCAGAACTCGAGGAGGCTCACAAATCTGCCATGAATGACCCGGAGTTCTTGAAGGAATTCCAAAGCTATTACGAATATATCAACAGACCTTCAAGTCTCTATCTAGCAGAAAATTTGACCAAACACGCTGGTGGGGCTAACATCTGGCTCAAGCGCGAAGATTTGTAGGCGAAGTGTATTCCGCCCGTATTCCTAAGCTGACGTTTTCAATGCAGAAATCACACGGGATCTCACAAAATCAACAACGCAATTGGTCAAGTAAGTCGCTTCCTCTGCAACCATAGGTCAATTTACTGATCTCGGGGAAACAGATTCTCCTGGCTCGCCGCATTGGCAAGACACGTATCATCGCCGAAACTGGTGCGGGTCAGCATGGTGTCGCAACAGCAACGGTCTGCGCCAAATTTGGCTTGGAATGTATTATCTATATGGGAGCTGAGGATGTCCGGCGCCAAGCGCTCAATGTTTTCCGTATTGAGATGCTCGGAGGCAAGGTGCGCCCGTTCCTAATATACAGTCATCATTCATTGCAATTAAACCTCATAATTCAAAGGTCATCCCTGTCCACTCAGGGTCATGTACCCTCAAAGACGCTGTAAACGAGGCCATGCGGGACTGGGTATCAAATCTGTCCACGACGCACTATCTTGTAGGATCTGCTATCGGACCCCACCCCTTCCCCACGATCGTCCGTGATTTCCAAAAGATTATCGGAGAGGAAATCAAAGTTCAACTGAAGGAGAAGCGAGGTAAACTCCCCGATGTCGTCGTGGCCTGTGTGGGTGGTGGAAGTAATTCCATCGGAACTTTCTACGATTTCATTGGCGATAAAAGTGTTAGAATGGTTGGTGTTGAGGCTGGTGGCGAGGGTAGGTTACTTTTATTGCTTCATTTATCTTATTTGAATATCTTTTAAGGTACCGACGGCAACCGACACAGCGCTACGCTTTCCAAGGGTCAGCCTGGTGTCCTCCACGGCGTGCGGACGTATATTCTACAGTCCCCGGATGGCCAGATTATCGAAACGCATTCTATCAGCGCAGGACTTGATTATCCCGGGGTAGGGCCGGAACATGCTTGGTTAAAAGACTCTGGTAGGGCAGAGTACGTCGTCGCCACAGATGAAGAGGCATTGAGAGGGTTCAGAATGCTTACACAATTGGAGGGCATAATTCCGGGTAAATATTCTTTAAATCATGCAACTAACGAGACTGATCTTCGCTGGTTTTTCAGCCCTGGAGTCATCACATGCCATCTGGGAAGGCGTCCATATCGCGAAAACAATGCCCAAAGATTCTGATATTGTCATTGTAAGGTTTAACCATCATAAATAACTTCTTCTCTAATTTCATCCATCTGCAGTGTCTTTCTGGTAGAGGTGATAAAGATGTTGAACAGATCTCTGAGCTTCTTCCCAAGTGGGCGGATATCCTCGACTGGCACGTCAGCAAATAGAAATGTAGATGCAATGTTATAGTATCTGTACTTTATTTTCAAGGATGGTCTGGTTCTCTAAGACTACATACACTCTGGCAAAACACAACAACAATAGCACACTGATAAGATTAGTTCTAAGAAATGCACCACAGATCTGCCTCCCATCAATTACTTTGCCATGTATTGTGCAAACCCACCGTATCATCCGCCCCGTTCATCGGCCCACTGGACATCACCGTGACGTCTTCATGTCTTGAGCCATTGATCCCGTTGAGCTTGGCTTTCCCTCGCACATTATCTGCACGCTGGCCTTCCAAAGCGGCAAGATACGGCTCATCAACACCGCCCGTAACGTATTCACCCGTGAAAACAGAACAGTCAAACGCTGAGATGTGGGGGTTAAACTGCCGCACGGATGATATCAGGTCGGGTAGTGTTTGGAAGATTACAAGATCAGCGCCAATGGCCGAGGCTATTGAATCAGTGTTACGTCCGTATGCGACGAGTTCAGCTCGGGATGGCATATCAATGCCGTAGACATTGGGGTATCTATGACGCGTACGCATGTAATCCTTGAGCTGACTGCGCCGAAGGCCGTAGGATGAACATACCTGATGGGAGGGGCACAGCTGGCCATTACGACCTTCTTTGCTCCGACATCTTTGGCCATTTGAATGATCTCCTTTGACGTGGTACCACGAACAATGGAGTCTAGGCTTTAAACTGAGAAATAGTACGAGGATTAGAACACAAGACTCACCATCGACTAGCAAAATATTTTTTCCCGAAAATTCGAGTGCCATGGCATTGAGCTTCCTTCGAACGTTCTTCTTGCGCATCTGTTGCCCGGGCATAATAAAGGTTCGGCCGACATAACGATTTTTGATGAAGCCCTCGCGGTAAGGTAGTTGCAATTTTTGTGCAAGGTTCAAGGCTGCGACCCGGGATGTATCGGGTACCTGAGCAGAACGCGTTAATATAAGATTTGCGCTTGCATGGAAGCTATTCTTACCGGAATAACGACATCAACGGAAAGGTCCTGCTCGGCTAATACGCGTTTGACTTCATCAGCAAGCGCGTCGCCCATAGCCATACGACTTCGGTAAACGCTGATTCCATCCAATACGGAATCGGGACGCGCAAAGTAGACGTATTCGAAGATATCCGGTGCGAAATCCGCGGGTGGAGCTACCTGGCGCCGAGATACAGTTTCGCGCGTGATAATTACGGCCTCACCTTGAGCCAGAAATGAGAGAAAGCCAAAGAGAGGAGGGAACATACATACCAGGTTTTACGTCTTGCCACTCACTGAAATCCACTGGCGTCCGGCAACAACGCTCTCACTGGCAAATAAGTAATCCTTTCCTTGCGAAGTGGCAGATTTTCTGACTGCCATGCCGACGGGCCTAATTCCGTTCGGGTCTCGGAAGGCAATGATTCCAAACCCAGCGAGCATAGCGACGCATGCGTAGGCCCCCTTGCATTGTTTCATCAGCCCTCCAATTGCAGTGAATATATCCTCTTCATTAATACGGAACTTGCCCGTTTGTTGCAAGTTATTAGCGAAGATGTTGAGAAGGAGCTCGGAGTCTGAGGAGGTGTTAATATGGCGGTGCGCAGTGGCGTCCAAGAACTGCAGAAGAGACGACGTGTTGATAAGATTCCCATTCTACAAGATAATCAGGAGAAAGTAACAGAAACTGTGCGAAAAAAAGCATACATGTGCAAAGACGATCCCATATGGTGAATTCACATAGAATGGCTGGGCCTCCGCATTATTAAAGCTGCCGGCAGTGGGATATCGCACTATCAAATAAATTAGACCAACCGCAGGCAGATGGAGACTACTCACCATGTCCCACACCCATGCCTCCAACCAAGCGTTGTATAGCCTTCTCGTCGAAGATATCCCGGACCATACCATTCGCCTTGCACTGATAAAAGCGGCCTTTCGGTCCACACGTAACTATTCCACATGCATCTTGTCCTCGGTGCTGCAGCAGCGAGAGGCCCTCGCAGACTTCCGGCGCAGCGTCTGTACTGGGGTCATGAAGAAGAAGACCAAGAATACCACACACTGGAAAACAAGGATGAGTGAAACCAAGAAGCTAAAAAGGGACGGACGAACTTGTGAGCGGATTGGATGGATCGACGATGAACGTGCTTTGCAATGTCCATTTTTTTTGAGACGGGTACGCTCGAAACGTAAATTGAAAAACGTGAACAGGGTTACATCAGCAAGCATAAAAAGTTTAATCCGTGACGGTCCGCCTTTTCCACCGGCCGACACCGCCGAGAGCTGAATCTCACACAAGACGCTTGGAAGGGACGATTTATTCAAATACAAGGGGAGTTAAAGAGGGAAAATGACATTGACGGATGCTATGATATATGTCTAGAATTAAGTATCTGTATGACTCTTTGGTCTTCTGACATACGATGATGACCGCGCTGAGAAGAGCTAGATATGACTCCCATGTTGTACCCCCCTACTGCAGAATGAAGTGGTGGCAGTGCCGAGTGCCCAAAAGTCTCCGCGGTACCATCATCTCCTTTCCTGGCCTTCCCACTTTGGTAAATTCCTGGTGGAACGATGATGTTTCGCAGGACCGCGTCCATGTCGACAGTTGGTATTGTCGGAAGATCAGCATATGTGAAATAGGCAGTGAGATGCCATTTGCGGGGTGTACTTGTCGGTGAAAGTTGCACCCAAGCAGAATATGCCTGCTTAATTAAACCGGGATGATTTCCGCCACTGCGATCCTGATGGAGAAGTGCTGACGATGAGGGGATCGTGCGGGACACGCCATCGACAAATCTGAAAGCGGGTAGTGACCTATTCCAAAATGTTAGTAAGTCATTCGTGACCTCGCCCCAGAATCATCAATACCGTGTAGAGGTGGATGCCTCACCTCCATGTGCGGAGGGAAGTTTCTCGTCATAAAATAAGTATGGCTGCAAGGGTTGTCGATCAGCAACATGCTTGACGATACATTGGCGAGGTCCAGACGCACTTCACGCATACGGGACTGCCCCCAAAGGCGTCCGTCTATCGGAAGGGGAGGTCAGAAGGTCTTCCGGGGAACATCGATGTTGACTTACCAGTCCAGCGTTTGAGACCTGATTCGTCGTCGCGCTCTTCCCAAACGAACACGGCACCAGAACGTACTGACATAGACCTCTCAGCCTCGTTAAGACGTCTAGTAACTGGCTTAAGAAAGCCTTGCCTGACGGCTTCAAAGATGATATGGGCGTCGCGCGTGTCGCGGAGGTGAAGACGGGGATGGGTAGCCTGCTGCATGGAAGGCAAGTGGGGAATAGACAAAGGCACGAGAAAAGCCCTTTTAAATCGCGATGTAGAGACAGGCAGGCGATCAAGACGCAACCAGAGCAGCGAGGATAGGGGAAAACACAGCGCGCGTGTCATATATATACGTGATATCCCCATTGTGGGTAATAAATAAATGAGCTGTAGAATGCCACATTTGAAGGGTCAAGTACCGGGTTCACAAATGACATTGACGCGCGAAAGTGTGGGTAAAGCCGACGACGAGAGTGTGAGAGAAGTTAGTCATGCTCGCAACGTTTAAAAAGACGAGATGGGTAAAAATAAAGTCTACCAATGATCTGGAACTGGGATAGCACCCTCCTGACCAATGGAATGGTGATGAACTCAGAACCGAGATCGTCCAGGGAGAAAATCATGTAGCCTTATAGACATCGGCGAGCCTAATCCTGGGAATCCCGGAAGTACGGGCTTCCTAAAGATAATAAGATATATATGCGGAGCAAGAGATTAAATATTCGTCGCGGAGTAGCCATCCGAAGGATAAGAAACCGACAGATCCGGGAGGTAGCCAATGGTTGTTCCACGAGGAAGGAGCCTCCATACCATACAATGTCACAGTGGGAAGCAAAGGAGCACGGGCTGCCTTGTGAACTACCAAATTTAGCACCGGCATACGGCGGCATTTCGCGTAACGTGGCTCAACACTGTCTGCCACTAACCATCACCGATACTCTTATTGTCTTTAAACAGCTCCTTGGAAGGATCCTTAGGGAGCTGTTGTTCGTGAATCATATACTACGAAATCTGGAATGGCTGCAGACTTTACTACAGCGACAAAGATTCCAGCACTGGTTTCATACTGCCAACGAGGTGGGATTATTCGTATAATTCTAGCTGGATTCGTTGTGACTTTTGTTCCATTCTATCAGTTGCCGGGAAACACGCTGAGTGTCAGCAAATATCCTTAACTATTCCCGATTGCTTCTTGACATTCATTTCCTATCAGTCATCCCCACACTCGGCCAAGAACTTAGTCTTCGTTATGATCTAGTCAAACCCATCCTTCAGCAGTGCGAGCCACACGACCTTCTGCGGCTTGAACGAGGCTCAACGGTGAGTCGCATGCCTCGCTGTGACGGACCTTTTTCATTTCTCTTCAGAGGCTCCAGCACAATACCCAAGGCAAGTGATTCTCATCGCTTCTTTGCCTGCCGACTAACTTGGTATATGATCCAGAATTATGGAAGATCCTCTCTATCAAAAAGTATAGTATTCAGCTCCAGGGCTATCTCTCAGGGGAGGCACCAGAACCAGAGTCCTGGAGAGATCATTACTTTGTACGTTCTCCGATGATACCCATATGCCATCCCGTGGTTTCTGATTCTTTGATTAAGGTTCTCCAGAAAGCCGAAGCGAAGCATCTAGAAGAAGTGGCATCACGCCTGCGCTCTCAACGACTCGAGCACGAACAACAGAAGAAGGAACGTGAGGTCAAGATCACGGACCGAATTCCCCCACAGAAGCGTCTTCGACCATGTAAGTCGATCATGACGTTTATATCATGTACCCACTCTTATGCCACTTCGCCCTTAGGGTCAGGACCCAGTCAACCCAAGACTTTGATGCAAAAGACTTACTCCGAGGCCTCCAAACTGCACAAAAATGTGTACAATGCCAGGTTCACGGTCAAGGGCAAACCTATCTCGAAACCCCCTAGCGTGCCTCTACTACCGACGCCTTCCCCCAACTATGCAAGTCGAGTGACAGTCACCACTGTGAAGCACCGACAGCCTACCTCCTCTTCACCGCCAAGCAGTATGGGTCCGAACTCTCGGTCTTCTACGACTACATCATCAACATCTTCCAGTGAACCCACGACATATTTACCACCTCTTTCTCCTTGCAAACTCTCACCTGATGATTGTCGGCCGTCTCCGTTATTTACAGAAAAGACACCTGAGGCTGTTCAAAGAACTGCACTGCTCAATCAGACATCGCCATCACCTGCGCCACGGCCAAAGAAGAACCCCATGACCTCCATGTTCATGCCCAAGGATCGAGCTTACTCGCAACGTCCAAGAATCTCCAGATAGCTATAGTTATCTTTAATTTGGCGTTATCTTTTCGCGTGTGCATTCCCTAGTACTCCTTTCCCTCTTTCAGCATAATGGCTCCTCATCATTGACCACGATCTCTCTATCTTACAACATGTACACTATACACATAGAAGTCTCCAGACTACGCTGAGGTCGTAGCGGTATGTATATCCCTCCGGAACATACGTGTACCACTACGCATTTCATTTTCCCAATCTGATTCCGCGTCAACACTCGCTCCCGATATCACAAACTACTGCTTAATTTCTCCCGTCCTACCGCGTTCCTGTCAGACGTCTACTGTCTGTCTTTGATCCTTATTAAATATACCAGTCTCGGTTAATGAAGCGACGGTTGGTCATCTGGTATGGAACGGTGCTAGTGTTAACGAACTTGGAAAGACTGCCCCTGGCCGCAGAAAACGAATGTTGCCTGGAAAATATATTGCTCGTTCCAAGTGGACCGATACCGACGTTGGAATGCTCCCCAATTCTCACCCTGGTACGCCAAGGTCTGCTTTTAGATGCTTAGCGGTCTTTGCAACGGGGTACTTGACCGGTAGTTCGTACCTATTCATCGGTATCTATGTACATGTCAACAATATATAAATGCTGCTGGTTTATTGTATTGGACTTCCAGATCTGAGAAGCGGTGTAGCTATGTATGAATATGTATGCAAGAGGAGTAAAACTTACTGTGACAATTGTGATATAAAATTGGAAATGAACCTTTGCTTTATAGAAAGTATTGAGACTGAGAGTTATAAAACAGATGTGTGCAGGAAAACAGAGATGGTTCAGATGCAATGTGGGGATGGAGGGAAAAAAAAACCAAGTAAGAGCAGATACAGAGAACAATAAAGGAGCGTTGGTATTAGTGATAGACGTGTAAAGCAGGAAAGTTTGGGGGAATTGCCACCAAAAAGGAGGAATGAATGTATGATTGGAGTTCTAGAGAGATACCTCAGATGCACAAACTAGGCCAATGAATCACAGCCGCGTCATACTCGAGCCCGAGCCGGATTCCATGCCGTCTCCATCCCAGCGCTGTCGGGTCTTCCCCTTCCCCTTCCCAGCATATGAGCCCAGAACCGGACTCATTGGCGGGGAGTCAACACCCTAGCGCCTCCCATATCCGAATCGTATGATCATCCGAACAAGATGCAAACATACGCTCGTTCCGAGGATTCCATGCTACGGAGTTCACACTACCCTCACCATGCCCAGGAAGGACCTCTAGTAATGCCCCCGTATCACGATGCCACACGTACACATTGCCATCTAAATAGGTAGGTGAGAGTCAAACACTATAACGGGGAGTAGGAAAACCACCGCGGACCTTCACTCCCACTGACAACAAAGTTTCCATCCATCCCGCCGAAACAACTCCGGATAACATGTCGGCCTTGTCGTTGACCAGTAAATTTGCGTGCCACGCGCCCAAGGTTTAGATCCCAGAGACGGATTTCCTATAATAGACGGGCAGGAGATCTGATCAGAACCCGGGTCTTTGGTATGAATCGTACAAGAAAAACTCACATCTGGCGCATGATTGATCAATGCATACTGCGAGTTTTGGGAAACCTTGACACTTGTGACTTCGCCTTCAAGTCGCACGGATCTAAAAAGGAATGGATCGAGTCAAAATTTGTTCTCACAGGAAGGGCAAGGGAGGAATTTGAGATAAAAACGCCACAACGCGTTCGCAAATCAGGAGGAGAGGAAGGAGAGCCGACGTACGATTCTACCTGCTTCGTTGCATAGTCGTATGTTATAAGCCAGTTATCCGAATTTTGCCCCGGTCCATGAGCATTCCCACCGTTGCCGGTCGGGTTTGTCGTCGCAAACTCCCCGGAACGACGACTACTTCCCCTAGAGCTTCCGGAAGGCGTATTAGAAATGTAATCCATTCCGACAGTCACTATTCGCGTGAAGTCAGGCGTGATGGCCAAACTTGTTATCCGGATGGCAGTTGTGCCCCAGGAGTCCCGCTCTTTTCCATCCGCGTCCTGTACATTGAAGAGTTAGTCGACGTGAAGAATGCGGCCTCGAAATGAAGGACACAATGTGGATTGGATTGGACCTACCCAATGTATGATTCTCCGATCCAGAGCAGCGGAAAGGAACCCCGAGCCATCCGGCAGCCACGCTAAGGATGTTACGGTTTCTGAATGCTTTTCGAGCGATTTCAAGCACACCCCAGTCTATCTCAAAAGTCAGTGTCATGCCTGCGAGCTTAGAAGGGAAGAAGTCCACCTTGGCATTCCATAACTTTATGATATTCTCAGCACTGGTCAGGAGGATAGTATCGTCTATGGACCACGCCAGACAGCCTACAGGGTACGGGTGATCGCGCAAGACCTGGTGCGTATCCCATTGTCGTATTGACGGTTCGGTTTCAGGCTACAGAGTAGTCATTAGGACCCGCGAAATTATCAAATGACATGGAGAACGTTGCTTACGCCGATCTTCCAAATGATGGCCGATCTGTCTTTGCTGGCACTCGCAAGATACGCGCCATCGTGACTCCATTCAATATGCCATACTTCGTCAGTATGCACGTCGAGAATGGTCGTGGTGACCCTCGGAAAGCCTGACTTATCACACTGGTGATCACTGTATAGTGAAAAGTCCGCGGCGTTTGTGGGGAGATTATGGTACACGCATCGCTGACGTTGATATAACCGTGATTGTTGGAGGAGGGTGGCAAACCGACGTTGGGGAATCATGACGGAAGAGGGGATATATCCTGGATGAAGGACCGTTAAGATTTCGGCGGCCGGACGCGTTGTGGATAAACACTTACGTTGTAGATTGTCTAATAGATGCGTACGGGAGGCGCCCTCGGCACCATCCCAACCGGCTCGTTGTCGAAGATCGTCAGGTTCCGAGCACATTATCAGACTACAGGATTCAGTTAGATGTGGCACACGTCAAAGTTGCAAGAGAGTCACCTTGATAAAGTATGAAGTTGATCAGGTTCGACATGCAAAGGTGCGAGTTCATTGCGTAGAACATGCAAAGCATCTGTCGTCTTCTCCGCCTCGAGGAGTTCCAGATACTTTTGCTGATTGATCAGAAACTTTGCGTCCTAGGGCGATATGAAGACAAAACACGTCGAGAAGAACAGATAGCTGCGCACCATAAGCCCATCTGCGTCTGTGACGCCTAACCGTGTCAAAGCCACTTCTGCCTTGTCCCACACCCCGTTCTGGATATACTGCCTGAAATGCGTCACATCTGAAGCCTCCATTGAGAACCCCGACTCTGCTTCGAGCGTGTCTGCCGACTGACTGCATACCAGCAGGACGATATCAGTGTGCCAGAACAGCAGAAAGAGCAAGAGGGACGTACGTGTATCCTACATCCCGTAGACTCTGTATCACCAGCCTCACGTACTCCTCCCGATCGAGAGTCATATCGTTATACAACAGGGTGCCTGGTAAATTCACCCTGGCCACCGCCTTTCCGTGCTTTGGGGACACCCCGTTCGATACTGTGCTTGAAAGGCCATTACTGGTGCCGTTCGACTGCACCTGACCGTTATGACTCGCACTGCCGTTGGTGGTGACAGTACCCGTGATGGTATGGCCATTGGTGGCTGACTGCGTTGGTCCATCAAGCCCTAGCGAAGAAGGACCAGCCTGCATGGTGGAGATAGTGAAGTCAGGAGAGATGGAGAGTTGAGAATCGATATCAGAATCAGGTAGCCTCATGTTAGCTGGGGTAGGAGAAGAGATGTCGCCTGTTCTTTGTCTCTTGCGGGCTCTGTGATTGTCGTCGTCTGAAAGAGAGAAGAACATGTGAGATATTCAAGAACAAGGGCTAGCATTTTATGAAAAAGAAAATACCGGTTGTTGTAGAAAGTTCAGGTAATTGAGAGCCGGTGCTGCCCTGCTCTCGCTCAGATCTAGAACGAGTGGCTGGAATTAGACTGGGTGAGACAGCAGCGACAACAGTCGAGTTGAGCGGTGTAGAAGAGAAGGAAATTGAGGAACCCGACGCAGCTACAGCGACAGGACGGGATCCAAGAGATAGAGACGATGATGAGGAATGGGGAAGCGAGTCCCGCGGAGGGAGTCTGTTGGTAATTGAATCAATGGTGGCCGACGATGAGTACGGACAGTTCTCGGTTTCTGCAGCGCTGGCGGCGCCGTCGACGATGGTGGCGGTGGATACTTGCTTGTCTCCACTGTCCTTGTAGTGGTTCTAAGCCAATTCTGTTTGATATTCCATTGCCGCGTTTCGACTTCTCGCGTGCGTCTTCACACGAGGTATTCTCGTTTTTTTGTCTCTGTCAACGGCGATAAATCTTTCTGATATATTGGCAGTACTCTTTTATTGTATCTACGCTCGACGACGACCAGTGATAGCCCTAATACATGATAATACAATAAATACAACGCTGCTCCTTATCGGGCATTCGGCATTCCTGAGCCAGTGACACGCTCAAGGAAACAACCAGCAGCCTACACTTGATCCTTATTCCAGGCAGGTATTGCACGAACAGTGGCACCACAGATTGTCGACCTTGTGGAGACGTACTATGACTGGGGTGGTAGCCTTGGCTAAAAACGAGTCCGCCCACTTGCTATTTCAACGAAGAAACCCAGATAGCGGAACAACATATTAAGAGAAACCGGTAACAGCACTGAAAATGCTTAGCCTAGAGGTTCGGTCGCGACAATGATGACTGGTCAAGAAGAAAGAGGTGAACAGCCCAATCAGGAAGCCATCAAGTCAGCTCGGACGAAATCGGTGCACTGCATATTTGAACCAATCCGATCGTTCCGACAGTCATGTTCGTTATCTGGCCTGCAGGCGTGCAGCGGTCCCTTCAAGGATGTCCTCTGTACCTTCTTGCTGCGGAAAGCTTTCTTGGAAAACCTTGCACGACGTGCTATGCGCGACCATCGATATATCCTCACTGCGACGATTGACTGTTATTAGATGGAATAGATTCGGACACTATCTCTCTCACCTGATAATAGCGAAAAATGACAACAGACCCACGGGAATCGGATGTCTTAAATAATCTCGTCTCGTCCAGTCCCACTCGCAAGTCTAGGGTCGACGTCAACCCGGCTAAAGGACGTGACAAAAGTTCTATCTCTGTCACAGTCTCTCCGTAGATTCCAGGTCTCAACCACCATACTAGTACCCATATGCCATAGCGGTCCCACTAGTCTACCGAGCGCCGTATTGCACGGAAAATACCATCCGGAAATAAAAACCCTCGTTTAATAGTATTATTTACCCGCACTACTAAATTCGCATTCACCGCGACTGCGCCGGGAATATTCCTTTAAGCGCACCCTCCGTCGACGCAACCGTGTCTTCACCGTCGAGTACGCGCGCGCGGAAACACCTTTTTGGCGACGTCATCCAAGACAGGAACAGGAAAAAAATGATTCAAACAAGTACATGTAACCGCGTCAGGCATAATAATTGGGCCTGATCCACAATCCTTCCCGCGACACAGCCGTTTCCAGCCTGTTCCAGTTCCGGTAACCATGAGGCCCTCGGTGAAATTACCTGTAAGAAATGTTACTTGGACACGAAATGTGCTCTCCCATGCACGCCTCGTTCAAACGTGCAAGGATACCCACCGTTGAACGACGTTCGCTCAGCCACACTTGCGGACCGATCGACCGATGATAGAATCATTACGCACGCGTGCACGTGTGCAAGTCACGCGCCACCCCCGCAGAGGACGTCGGTCGGTGGTACCCCTGAACGTCAAGCCAGCTTAGAAGATTCGCTGTTATCGTCCAACTCTAACGCCTCTGAATCTCCTAAATCTCTCGTCAACAACATACTACTACTTCCGCCATACTCGCGCCATGAATCACACAGGTGACAACAAATTCTCAGGGGCGATCGCTCGGCGCGGACTATTGCAAAAATATTGCGATGACCCGACCTTGTCGTCGTCCTTGCGCTCGATAATGTAATATTTCCGTGGTCCGGCTGCTAAACAGTATATCCGGTAGGCTCAATGTCCGTCGCAACAAGGTGAATGCAGATGATGACAGCGATGCATGTTTTCAACGTATGTATGTAGATAGCAGCAGTACTTAAGATGACAACAGCAGAATTTGATTGTGTGATTGTAACTCCGTTCAGTTTGCATGAGAATAAAAGAAGTGATGAATGCGTGCGTTAGATTGTAAAGAGTGGTGTGTATGAAACGTGCGAAGGACAGAAAAAATGTAGTAATAATAGCATTGGTGGACCGCAAACGACAAGGTATATTTGCAGAGATGGGGTAACAATGGCGAAACCGGGAAGTGCTCGAATGGCCCGAAAATGAAGACTTGGTGAGAGTATGCCAGGGAAAATATATGATATGAGGGCGATGACGAATGATGGTTAAATGCTGATGAGGGTGATGCAAAATCTTCATTCTACACAGGCAAACGCAGATGAGGCTGCGTCCCGGTTGTCTTTTCGTGGATGATGCGTTGATAAAATGTTCGGTAGTCGCTGATACAAATCGTGTGGCGTCTTGTCTTTGATGCGGTGCTTTTGAGATGGAGATTAACTAGAAGGAGTAGGGACGATAATACAGCGATGGGCGCAAAGCGAAGCAAGGTACGAGTGAGGGCATGCTATCAAGGTCAGGCCTCATTACGACCGGAACCTTCCCCCCACCCTGTGGCCTCGCTCCCGGTCGATAAGTCCACTTCGCCCATAACCAAGACCCGGGGCGTCTTCGGACCCACCGACTCCATCTAACTCCTCGATCCTGGCCCGTCCCCGTGTATGGGGCCTGGCAGTGTTGTCCCTGTAGTGGTCACGACTTTCGAACACAAACATCGGTGCCGTCATTTTCGGCGGCGGAGAGCTGTTCCTCCTTACAGCAGTCCGACCACGCCGCGGGTCTGGCACTGAAGAGCAGTCGAAAACAGATTCCTTGTTACCACGGCTATCCAGTCGTGGTCGAGGAAGAAAACGCGTCTCCCTCGGCGGTGAACGTGCAAGGGAGGGGTCATGTCGCGAATCGCTAGTTGAGCGAGAGCTGCAACTGGAAGAATCATCTGACCGGGAACTACTCTGGGGTGTACCCAGGTCCCTACGACGGCCGCGAGGAGAGACGAAAGGGGGAAGTCCTAAGGACACTTTTGGTGTAGGAGGTGAAGGCCTGACCACGGTCTGGCCTGAAGAATTCGATATGGTGGGCGAGGCCCGTTTTGATGCTTGGCAAATAGGAAAAGTATTTTCTGTGCCGTTCATTTGGAGTAATGATGAGAAGTATGCTGGGAGACTGGTGCGATTGCGAGACCGTTTGGTCTTAGTTATAGTAGAATGGTCCTGCTCATGAGCGAACTGGTTAGGCTGTCGTTCTGGCGCCGACTGAGGAATCATCTGTTCAATGTAATCCTCTAGTCGGGACGAGAAGCCGGAGTCAGTCAGGGTATCCTCGTCGTGCGTCGTGTGGGGTTGAGAAGTGGCGCTTCGAAGACCCCCCACGTGGCTGGAGAATGAACCAGACGAGGACGTGCGGCTGTGAAGACGCGGAACAGTAGAGCGGGTGTTGGTACCAGAAGGACGTCGTGCATAGGAAAGTGGTCTGGGCACGAGGCCATGTGATGTAGAGGACTTGGACGTGGGTTCGTAGATAGACTCTCCAGCGCTGTCGGGCTCACTTCCTGTTCCAAGTATAGGGTCTTCGTCGTCATCGTCAGTGACCACTGACCACGCAGTCGATGAGGCTGAAGATGAAGATACTGAATAGCGATCTTGTTGGAAGTTTCTAAGCGCTGTGCCTAGCATGGACGGAATGAGGGCCGGAACGTCGCCTCCAACGGCATATCCCAATGAAGGCGACGAGTAAGCACTGCTAGCAGACGAGATAGATGGCGACGCCGAGTCCAGTGTTTGGCATTCATCACTGCAGTAGGCTCTCCTGAAAGAAAATGAGCGACACGGTGAGAACGGACGGCGACAAGCATACCCATCATCCTGGAGATGACTTCCGCATGTTAGGCAGCGTTCTTCAAACATAGTCAAGTAAAAGGGATGGTCGCAAATGCGAGCGACGACGAGGAGAAAGGCGACAGGGTGGGAAATTCAGAAGGGAGGCGACGGTTATATACCGAAGAAAAGACAAAAAGTCGAGTCAAGCAGCGCGATGTGACTTCCATTTTGGGAGTTAATTCTGGTCGCGTCACAGCTGTCACGGATCCCAAACGAGCGAATCGCCGGCGAGACCCTTCGAGATCTGGTGAACAGATCGGCCATTGTCCTTGCAAGCGAGCCACGCGAACCGGGCATGCCAACATTTGGAACCATCAACTGCACCGGTTACGCAAGAAATGCACGAGCCATTTGCACGCTTTCCACCGAAATTCCACTACCCGTCTATTCACGTTCGTATTTCTCTTTCCACCAAAGGTCTGGCTGACGGTCGAACGTGCCAGTGCCCACCACGTTTATCTTGACTGGCAGGGTGTGTGTGACTGTAAATCTGATTTTCAAAGCCCTTCTTCCATCATCTCTTGATGCCTTTCTCCTTTATTTCCGCGTATTCATGCCGCATTCCCACCATATATCGCGTTTCTGTTCTTTGAATCTTATCACACTCCCCTGTGCAAACCGGAGGGCCCTCCTTTTCCCCCTCGTTATGACTTGCCTTTCTCGGTTATCCTCCATTTCAAAGAAAGACGTCACCCCATATGGAAATGGCGCCTCGATTCAGAAATAGCATCACTTTGCCGCGATGTTGCCATAGTACCGATGGCGATTTATCCGCGTACATGTATCGTTATAAAAGTGAACAAGGGAAAAAAAAAAGTTTATTGAAACAACATCGACGAAATAAATCACCATTGATATTGATATCGCCAATCTTCGGACTGCTAGGACCTTCGGAGATGGGCCACCCGAAGACACGGCGCCACCAATAAATGTCAATGGCGCGACTATGCCGACTTTAAGTAACCTTGAAGGTACCCCGGAAACGGCATAATGTCGAGACTGCTGTAGATCATCAACGACCGCCCCAGTTCACCTGACGGCGTCTGCCCCGGACGAGACATCAAAGTACTGACTCTGGGCAGCAGCGGCACTGCGCATCGTGTTGTCATCACCCCAAATCATTTCAATTCCCACCCGATGCCCCCCGCCCCACTTAAGAGTCTAATATCTTCTCACCGGCATCACGGTTTCGGAGACTTGCGACTCTCAACTAGTCTAGGCTTCCGGCTCACGGACCACCTTTCCATTTCTTAACTGCACATGATACTGCGTATACAAGTCTTTCTGGCACTTGGGCCATCTTTTCCCCCGCTCACTCAACTCTCTCATATGTTTTTGATTCCAACATTCACAAGACTCTGAATCATTCGAACCGATGCACCATCAACATTCGAACCAAACTGCGTCGGGTGAACTGAGAACAATGGCAGCGCCAGATTCCCTTGAAGGGCCAAACACGTCGCGATATGACTTTATCTCATCAACGATCTATTCTAATTCGCCGAAGGCCCCCTCATTCCAGTCAAATTCCACTGGCTAGTAGACGCCGAACACGCCATTGTTAGTCGCGTTATTAACAATCACCCATGCGTCATGTCGTCTTCGTTTGGACCAACAAAAGCCTACATCCGTATCACGCGGCATGCTCCCTGCATTGCTTGGATCAATCGCGCCAACCTGCCCTCTCAACCAGATCCACCTACTCGAAGACCTCGTTGGGCCCCCGAGATGACCACGCTCCGTATCCGTCTAATAGTAGGACCGCAGCACTAAAACCACCTTCTGAACTAATAGAAGACCTTCCTGAAATGATACGATTAACAGCACACGACCTGCCCAGTGAGGAGTACTGAGTACCACTCCTGTGTACCAGTCATTCAGACCTTTCCCGCGACCACGGAGGTCGTCCATGGATATAAGTGACGTCTTCCAAAATCAATATACAATCTATACCCCATATACAGAAAATGTCGAGAGAGCCTAAATTCGCCATACCTCGTCACCGTAATGCCTAAATTGATGACGACGAAGCAAGGAATCCATATAATTATGATCGTAAATGACGACTTGTGTTCGAGTCACAAGCGGTTGACAAGCGTGTAGTGTAAATGTAGAGAAATCCGGTAGGCATCCGAGCGAGACCGGGAGTTGCGTTTTAGGTTCATCACGTTAATGTTATGGCTCGCCGAAGCCTATTACACCTGCACATGGGAACCGGACGCCTGACGCCCGCTTCTTCAGGCTTCCTATTAGACATTTGGCAGGCGGTCATGATGCAGAATGTACAGCTTCAGAAACGGATGCAGGTGATATGCTGCTGTCTATCGGAGGATTCTGAATTGTCTCTGCAGGAACATCATTATTGGAGGGTGACGAATCAGATGCCCCGTCTAAAGTTGGAGATACGGATGGCCCTTGCTCTTCTGATTGCACTGAAGTTGCCATTGTCCGAGTTTCCTCGGAAGATGTTGTTGCTTCGGATGGACCTGATTGAGTGGGTGGAGTAGATTGACCGACATTGTCATCCTGTTGCGGTCCAGGACTGTGGTTCGGCGGACTCTGAAGGTTCAGGTTCAGTTACTTCTATCTGTTTGAAGCCAGAAGAAGGGGGATCACCACCTGCCCCTTCTTCTTGAATTGGAGGCGGAGGTAAGGGCGATTCTCGACCATTTATGCCTGATTTACTGGCACCGTTGATTCCGTTCGATGGCGGAGGTAGAGGTGAGGACGCTGATGTCGGTGTAGGCAATACTTTATCGAACGAAGTTCTTCTCCCAGAAAGCAGACCCTTCAACCGAAGATTGGTGTTTGACCCCCATGCCGCAGAATGTACTGCCAAAGAATCACTTCTTGTAGGCGTTGGAGGAATATTCGGTCGAGGAATGCTCTTTTCTGAAATGACCACCTCCAGCATATTGCTCGGTACTCCGACGTTCTTGAGCTCAGAAATCTTCTGGTAAAAATGTCTGGCGTCTGCGAGGAGCCTAAAATAGACGCGGAATGTTAAACCTTGTAAAGCAGAAGTCGACAGTATAAATCAACATACCTCGTTTTGGCTGTGGCATGTGGCAACTCGAGTTTAGTGTACTCTTCCGACAATCGATGATTGATCGCTGCGAAGACTTGCGTCATGACGTCCTAATGTTCATGTATATAAGAAGCTATTAGTTGGCGCGAGCCCTAGTTAAAACCCACTTGAACGATGCCCGTCGACAGATAGCGAGACAGCACTTTATGCAATGTGACCGTCTCTTTAGTCAAGACTACTATGTATTCATTGGGCCCCTCTCCCTCTTTTAGAACGCTCCAATCCAGAGCCTCATGGGGCGGTGATTTAGGCGATTAAATGCATGAAAAGGCAGCGAACTTACCTGAAGAGACTTGATATGAGCAGATAGTCGTTCACCCATAATCGCGATGAGCTTGGCATGAATTTCATTCTGATGCTCCTGATAATCCTTTGGACAGGTAATTAATGATGCTGCTATCCAGAGCTAGAAGTGACTAGACTTACTCTCTTTAACTTGTCAAACTCAACCAACATAACAGCCTGCTTAGAGCTCAAATGGCGCCTGAATGTTTCACGCACGTAGGGAATGAGCGCTATCATGATCGACAGTGACTGTGAGGCCAAGGCTAAGAATAGACGAAATAACTTTCCGTTAGTGAGCAGCAGAATAGAAGATAATTTACTCACCCAAGTGCTTCGCCGTGATGTTCTTCAGTCCAGCCGATCTCATTGCACCGGCCCCTAGTACAACCTGGCATGTTCGCGAATTGAACGCCTTGAGGAATTCGATCACTCGGCTCATAGTGTCCGTCACAAGCATGCCAAAGTTCACTATCACCTTGACGTAGTCCAATAGTAGATATAACACCTCGGAGGTAGCATGTACCGTAAAGTAGGCTCGATCCTCAATATGGAGATGTTTATGGGATCCACCAGCCAAAGATGAGGAACTTGACGACGACAGGACTAGACTTTTCATCGGGGAGGAAGAAAAGAACGATTTGATACCATTGGCAGGTGATTTAGGCGGGGAAGCGGGGGTACTTTCGGGTTGCGGAGGTTGTATAACCAATTCAGGCGAATCTTTCACTGCGGAGTCTACTAAAAGATCGGCAAGATGCTGCAAAGGCTGAGGGACATCGCAAGGATTCCATTGTTCGTCTTCCACGAGTTTTGCGGATTGTGTCAGCCGGGTCTGATGAAACGCTTGAAGGAATGTCTTTCCCTAAAATGTGACAATGAGTTTACCTGCACCAAACGAACGTGGCTAATTACACTCACTTGTCCAACAACGGCGCCTCTTAGCCCAACCACCATTCGGCGGCAAATTACCTCACAACCGATTACGAAAGACCATGTCTCGTTGAAAAACTCCCAGAACTCGTGGAGCGGCAACGAAGTATGTGGCTCTGATCGAACAGAAATGACTTTGGCTACCATGACGTGAGCGAGCTCCGTTACCGAGCCAAGAATGTCTGTCAAATCACTCTGGATGCTGGAATCCGGACTAGACTGATATCTACAGGAAAAAATTGCACGTTGACGGACGTGTCAGACACACCGAGGATATACGCACTTCAACTTATAAATGGCCTCGAGGACCTCGCCTATTACCATTCCTTGGATCTGGAGACCTTCGATAGCTCTCAGGAGGCTCTTGTAAGTCGCACGTAGAATTTTCATGAATTCTATATGTGTCATTTCTCGAAGATGGTTGCCCAGACCAGCACTGAAGTGATACCCTCAGCCCTCATTCGGAACAGAGACAGCCCCACGCACCGGGATTCAGATCCGTGTTGAAGGTCTTTGTCTGACGTACGAGCAGTGTCACTTTGCTCATCAATAGCGGGAAATTTCTAAAACGAAGTGTCAGTACTCGACTGTAAAGCCAATTACGAAGAACACAAACGCACTTTTTGTACGATTCCCCCCACCTGGCTCAATGCGACGTTCCTCCAGGATGACGTTGCTTGCCGAAGACCTTTGGTTCTAACGAGACCCTCCAACAGTGGATTCAAGCTGTCTTTGAGTCCTTCATTCATTTGACGAGGCGAACCACCCTCCCCCATGTCGATTTTACTGAGTAAATCTTCGCGAAGAGCTGAGCAAAGATTGGTGGAAAGGGATGTCACTATTTCCATGGTGAGGCTCCGAAGATGGCCAGGGAGTGCTGAGAAGGCTTGCAAGGAGCCGAGAGGGACGGCGAGCGATGGCCGGTTTGACAGTGGTTTCCCAGGAAGCATTTCTGGTGGTTCTGACGTCTCTTCAGGCGTTGCAGGTAAGGGGGGTAATCGCCCGTGTCCTGGCGTTGATGGTATAGGTTTCGAGACGCCATTCTGCGTCTGAGAGGTGTCCTCTGCAGCCCATGTGCGCTCCAAATCATCCACAATGTTCAAGGCGTCACCCCATTGGCCTTGACTAATTAGCTGGCGGGCCGTCGCAGAGACCTCAACAATGCCCTTGATACCTTCTATCCCTTCATCGATCTTCTTTAGGTTACTCTTCTTCTTCTCCATCTCTACTACTTCCAGACCCTTCTTTGCCACGTCATTGTCAACGTCCTGCAGAAGTTCTCGCAGTCGGGAAATTTGAGATAAACAGGAAGCAGACTCAGACTGGAGATGATGAAGGTTGGACAACGCAGCAAAGAACGATGATGAACGAAGAGATATTTCGTGGGTGAGATGAAGCTCGATGGTATCCGCGTAGTGAGAGAATTTCTCAAGAAGCGGAAGAGAATGTGCAAGTGCCGTTGGATCCACATCCGGGTCTTGACCATTCTGTTCTGTGACATTAGCAAAGGTCCCTGGGTCTGCCAAGTTAAAATTAGATTCGAAGAAAACCGAAGGGACAGAATCTAATGAAGGAAATGACTTGGCGTTTGTGGGGTATGATGATGATGCATGGGAAAATGAAGGGCGAGGCGTCGAAGGACCGGCTTCTGGCTGGTGAGCATTCTCGAAACGCTCCCATTCTGAGGTTATGGCACGAAGGTAGGGGTCGAAATCCTTCCTGCGAACTCGAGGTAGCTCTGCTGGTGGTATTGTAGGCAACGCTGAATGCGCCTTAGGCGGGGCTTGTCGCTTGTGAGGATTATTGAGAACGGTAGAGATGGCTAGTACGTGTCCGGGTCAGCATGGCTAACACGGCATTATTTCATGTACTACGCACCATGAAACCCATGTTTCGAACTACTCCACTCAGCGGGTAATGCTCCAAGCGACAGGGTCGCTGTTGAAGAGTTAAGATTGAGATGGCCAAGTCGTGGGATGGTATTGAAGTAATCTGGGCCTCTGCCGTCCGTCGTCGTCCCCGAAACACTTTCTGGGCCAGGTTGTCGCGATGCAGGATCCCAGTTGAATCTATACGGTCGTACGGTATCTGGAAGGGCGGGTACTGGCGACGTTGGGCGTGAAACGCTGCTGGTGTTCGAGTCCGACATGGAAGCAAATGCCCAAGTTACATTACCACGGCAGCCACCGCCGCGTACTACGGCTTCCTCCTCTACCATCATGACCATCTATGCGATTTGGCTTTCCCGCTACTTCATACTGTTGAAATGTGGCGCACATTGATTGTAGGGTGACAACGACAGCCTGAGCTCGTACAGAGAATCTATCAAGAGGAGGTAACTATGTCTTGCTAGTTCGTTGTTCCGCTTTCTGGCTATCGAAGGTTAACAATCTTACGGGCTCTCACATTGTAGGCGTGTATATATTGTCTGCATGGCGCTGTCTTGTCTCGCATATGGTTCCTATTACACGATGGCTTCTCTAGAACTGGCTGTCCCATCCGACGGGATGTTGGCTTCTAGCGCAGCAAACTCGGTCCTCACTCATTTTTATTCGAACGACGGATTCTTTCGAGACACATGACTGACCTAGCTGCCCGAATGTACGGTCGAAAAACTGCATCGGCACTGCTGCGATATTATGTCTACGCGAAGACTAGATGCGAGTCGTCTCGTTGCTACCTTCTCCCGGTCTGGTTTTGAGAAGACAGATAGGAAAGAATTAGTATAACCCTCGTGTGTATGTCTCAATCGTTACTGCATTCATTCTGGTTGAATTTATGTTTCGGGAAGGAAGGAAGTTTTATTGGGGGATTGACTCTTTTACCCCTTTTCCGAAGGCACCCTCTTCAAGGTCTGGGCCTCTTCATCTCAATCCTTCGGTTCCGGGAGCCATACCTACGGCTCAATGACAATTGACGGGCCTTTATTGAAAGACAAATATGGAACCGGTGTTCCAACCAGAAAATGATAATCATATGTGGCTTCCTCTACGTTATTACTCGTGAGCACAATGGACGACAAGCGTGTGGTATAGGACAAGTAGATCACATAAAAGGTGCGGTAATATGGTATGTCATACGTGTACGCCTCTTCTTCTAAAGTCTCCATGTATGTGTGGCACTTAATTATGGCGAATCTGGGAAGGAGCCAAATGAATGCGAGGGATCTGATTCCTGGGTCAGAGTAAATCTGTGCGAGCATATGCTCGTCGCGTTCCATTATAACGGAATAGGTTCTTGAGTAATGGACTCCTAGGATTGTGCCCCAATTCAACATCTGGTATCATGGGCTCGGCGGGACCGTTTGGAAATCGACCCAGTTCGAGCTGAAAAACGGCTGCATCGGTACTACGGAAATGCTAACGGCGTCCCCTCCTCATTTATAGGACGCCTCTGGGTTTTGCCTCGCTAACGCAATACGACATCCGTACCGAGCTTTAGACTGCGGTGCGCGATGTGTCCCCATATGAACTAGTGTTGTACGAATGTTTCGGCCCGCTGGATTCGGTTCCGTCCTTGTAACGGGTAACTAATAATGACCGTTGGCCAAGTTCTTCTCATCCGTGAGCGAACATATCTCCTTGGATCGTGGGATAACAAGAGCATTCTGTAATACTGTTAGGTACCAAGAAGCCGCGCAGTATAGAACGGGAGGTTACCTCTTGAAGACGCACAGGACTTCAATATGGGAACGTCCATAATGAATAAGTAACATGAATAGAATTGTCAAGGGTTGACGGAGGTGGTTGCCCCTGACTACTGGTTGGTAGACCAGCCCGGTGTTCACCCCGGACTATGTCGCCTGAAGAGCGACTGCCTCACATGCCCTTTCTCCGAATCACGGTACAGTAATTGAACCGCTCAGAGTCGGTCGGTTGGGGCTCCTTTTAACAATCCGAGCCGAGTCTAGGAGGTTTAGCTTCTTTTGCTCCACCGTAGATCCTCTGGTAAAAGGCTGGGCTAGAAATCATAGGTTCTCGAGCTAGAACAAAATCAGTACTTAAGTGCTTGATGTCAAGGAACTCTCCTTCCCCAGCCGATTAAAGACCTTCAAAATGTCGGAGTCAATCATAGCCCATCCGCAGTTCGTCCATAGTAGACAGCCGAACACCAAGAATGTTAAGAAGTTGGAGACAGTTCAGATGCGGTAAGACTTTACTGGTTTGGCAAAACCCTAGGTATCGACCGTAGTTCCAAGCCCCAGCCTGAGTAGCGATAGAGACCGATGATAGCAACCATATCCCGCGCCGCAAGCAAGGGTAAGTGATCACCAGGTGAGCCCAAAAACGTGAATTGATTGTTTTTAGGTTCGGCATGATCTCGTTGTATCCCTGTGGAAATCAACCCCGTTACCGTGCGGCAATGCTCGAGCTCGAGCAGATGAAGATTATACGCCCCTACTGTTCATAGATATCTCTAGTAGTCAGTCCTGATCCACCAGATCGTCCGATATCAACTTCGTAAACACAGATCTGGGCCGCATCCGACGCTCGCCTGTAAGAGCATTGTCACGAAGACAAGTCCAGAAGGTTGAAAAGACAGAACTGAGAACGCTTCCTTTTACTTAGTTTGCAAATAACGCAAAGCTATTTCCCAAGCACTGGTCGCGAATCATGGTGGCAGAACACACAGCCACTCACATTTATCTCAGATACATCGGACCTCGGGCCGCAATACACCCTCGCAACCACTCTCGGTCGACATCGTTATCAGGACTAGCAGAAGATTCGAATGTGTACAGCAGTGCTGAATATTCCGGCTGCGAATGTCGCCTATGATAATTATCGTGGGAGAAATGTCGGCCCACAGGTTCTTCCGTAACTATCACTATTCTATACCTACCAGCTGTCCACAGCACTGTTAAGCATCTCTTCTCACCTTGAGCGCCTGAGAAAAACCCATGTGTTCCATCAGACCCAGAACTGCAAATGGCATTTGACAGGGGGTCACTGTTCCCGAATTTCCGACAGCTGTCTCCTACACAGCACACTTGTTCGCTCCTGGAATCAGAGAAGCACGACAGCTCACTCGCTCCCGCTGAAATGGCCTTAAAAAAGATCCGCGTAATAGCGCGTACAAGCACAGCGCTTAATCTCGCAATTCTATCGTCGGCATTGACCAAGGAGATGTCGACGATGGCGATCTTTCCTCCGGCATGCGCTGCTTTCGCCATTTTGGAGCAAATATTGCAGATAGTAAAGGTAAGGGTTCTATCAAAGGCTTCTTTTCGACGAATCTCAAAGACTTTCAGGACGTTCAAGTTCGTCGAATCGTCAGCATCTATGTACCGAGTAACGTGTCTAAATCAGTTTCCAGTCTAACAAAGAAGCCTGTCATCGCCTTGTCCACAGATGTGCTCGGATTTTATTCAACATTAACGAACAGATGGAAGGAAGATGGGAATCTGCGTCTCCGTTGCTACTGAGGAATATAAGTCGGTTTCAAGAGTGCGTCCCAGTACATTTCTTAGGGGAAGTTGCTGGGCTTACTTTCGTGCAGGACGTTGACCATGATACACGCCTTCATGGTAAAGGAGAGACAGGCTAAATGGAGCAGCTGCTTGTTACGCAAGAATTCGATTGAAAGCGCGTTAAACGATTACGCCGAACTGTTGGACGAGGCATCACAGGCGTTTCAGGCATGTTTCCCACCTCTGATTCGTAATGCCAATGACCCCATGGCGTAGATAGCAGCACTCATCAACATCCAATACACAGTCGAAGCCTCTGCCCAGAAACAGAATTCCAAGTTCGCGATAGAAGCACAGGACAGTCGCGCCTTTGAAACCGTCGTTCATAAGCCACCTCGTTCTTCAGCACCTCCACCATATCATGACACCGACAGAGCCTTAACCGAAGAAAGAGTCACAGGCGACTTCCAATACGTCCTCGATGACCTTGACAACCATGGGGTAAGTGAACAAACAGCCACATCTTTCTCTATATCTTCACACTCCCTGTTCCTAGTTCCGAAGATATCACCAGTCAGAAGTTCGTTTGAAGGGTTCATTTGGATCTTCCAATTCCAGCGGCTGGTGGTCGGACGTGAACGAAGCACTTGTGTACGGAGAACCTTCGCTCATCCGAAGGTACGATCAAGGTACCAAGACCGGTGCTGTTAAGGCGAGTATACCGTTTCTCGCTTCGTATTTGGCTGCGGGTTAACGTTTACCTTCTGTTGTAGGCGTGGATCCATGACGTGAAGATCCTTCAAAATTTATAGCAAGTCCCGGACTCCCTTGTGCATATGTAAGGTTATGCTGACATCAAGTTGGGACACGTATAGCCATCCAAACCTACCCCAAATGATCGGGGTATCTTCAAATGAAGCTGGAACGCCGTTTGTTATCCTATCCCATGGTACGAATTTTTTTTTTTCAAGTGGCGAGAATAGATGGTAATAATTCACCGTCATCAGCCCAAAGGCGATCTCCAGAGAATCTCTTGATCGATTCTCTCAACAAATTCGGCTTAGCGGGATGCATAAACACCGTCCTGCATTTTATGAGGACTTTACTCCGACGGAAGACCTTCTTCGAATTGAATTTATGTTTGTATACATAGTACACCGACATTTCCGTAAGTCACACTTTCCGGACATGTTCGCTCTACTGTTTTTGATTAATTTTGATCTTATTGATTTTTTTCCGTGCGCCCCATAGAATGCCGCCGCATATCTTCAACGACAGCTCGAGCTGACCGACTCGCAAGTGCAGGACGTCATCGAGGTTGGGTCGTTCATTTCCATTATGCAAGCAGTTAAGGCTCACCGTTAAATGACGTGCAGAGTGTGGCCTTCACGGCAGACGGGGGTAAAAATTTGATCATGGGCCTCCCGCCGCCTAAGGAAGGCACATGGGTGACCGCCAGAAATTACAGCTTGGCCGACACCATAGGATCTGCCGCTTTGAAAGTGCGTTTCACTTGGTGCTATAAAAGGCCAACGAATTCGAACCGGTTCTCATGACCTCGTACAGTTTTTGCCACCCCGAGGTTCGGTGATATTGAACAGAAACGGGTTGATTGGTGAGTATTTATTTATTCATGGTTGTGACTGTCAGTCGTTTATGGATATTGATCCTTAGATGACGACGAAATTATGCGGCTCCATCATGTTGCGGCATTGGTTGAGGGGCTTATTCCTAAAGCGCGGGAGCCTCATGGCCTTCCCGAACGGACAAGGGCATTGCTGACCGACGTCGACGAGCCTTTCAATGGTCTGATGAAAGGCAAAGCACCTTCTCTTCGCCAGTTGAGATTGTCAAGCCTAGACGCGAAATCTCACGATCATGTCTGGTATACAAGCTTGGGAGTCCTTCCATGTCGGTTTTCAGTGGGAGATTTTGGATATATTCCTCGACATAAAAGACACGCAGCGTCTGGTAAATCCTTCGAGGACTTTGTACTTTTAGGAAACATATTCCGTGATGACTTCGCCAAGTTTGTTGTGGAGAGAACTTACCATGGTACTCGATTCTGCTGGAAGGACTTTCCTATGACCCGTCAGCCAGTCAACCCATTCAGTTTAACAAATGATATTCAATGGCGAGGCTTCTTTTCCCACTAACTAAATGTAAATCTGATGAAATCCTCGCTCAGCTGGCCGATAGTGGTCCCTCCGGGAGCACAGATAAACTGTGACATAACTCATGAACAGTGCATAGCCAATACTGCTGACGCTTGGCGTTTTCTCATGCAAGAGTCTCGCTCCCTCGCTGACGAACTGGGCATACAACCCCATGATCTGATTCTTAGTCAGTCTATCTACACCTTCATGTCATTCTGACCGTAACCTGTGTCTAGTCACTCGAACTGGACTGTCTAGACACGCCTACATCAATGACTTTGCAACCTCTGTCAAACTCGGACCGTCGCATTGGGGTCATCAGCCTCCCGGCGTACGACAACCTCCCCGGCCTTTCTTCCCGCATCAGCCGCCAGCCATAGCAACGCCCATGTACTTGCACACATCTTTTGATGATAACTACGAGCCCTATTGGTCGCGTCAGCCTCGGTATACGCCACATGAACCGCAATCAAAACCGCCACCCCTTTCGCGAGGGTGGACTTCCACAGTCGGATCGTGAGTTGAAGTAGTTCTGAATGACATGGACACTTATTATTCTCAGGGATACACAATTCGTTTACTGGATTCAGCTTCTTCCTGAGGATTTCAATGACTAGCGCGCCGATGTCAATCAATTCCCGGAGACACTTTATGGAGTTTATCACTGGCGTTGGCATTCTTGATTAAGTCGGCAGATGGATCCTCACTTAAGAAGTACCTGCAATGGGATCCGCTACGCGAAGTGATCACTACGATAATGTTTCCCCACCGATTGTCATTGGCCATTATATGAATTACAATCAAGCCGACGTCGACGTCGACAGCACTCGGGCCAGAATAGTTTCAATTTCGGACCCCACTTGCAAGTCAGCTTCGTAGAGAAGCATTGTTTGCGTACCTGACCGTGGACACTATACAAAACAGGACCGGGTTGGCATGTAATCCAGTGTTATCCTTAGTGGCAGACAGACGTCCCTCGTCGCTCATTTTTGTTCTATTTCGTTTTATGTATGGAACACTAAGGGTACTCACTCGAATCAGGCATATCACGCAAGGTTGACTCTAGGTAACCGCCGCAATGTGAGCTACGTTGATTTGGATCGACCAGAGGCGAAAGAGACTCCATTCACTCCGTGCAAAGATCGGGAATCAATACTTTCAAGCTTGGTATAACTCAGATAGTCAAATTATATGAAAGAACACCCATACGTTTACTGTAAAAAGGTTGGCAAGAGTACTGGGACTCTTCGTGATGGAATCAAGATCCTTGAAGTCTTGGACCTTGAGTGTAAAAACAAAAAAAAAGCAATCTTAAAAAACTATGGGGACACCCAGGATTGAACTGGGGACCTCCAGAGAGCATCTCATGTCAAGAAACTTCAGTCTGTTGCTCTCCCAACTGAGCTATGTCCCCTAATAGTAAGAGGGAAGACGCAAACTACTATCAAACCATCGGATGGAAGTAGTGTTGCCGCGGCTCAGCTTATCTCGGCTTAACACCGAAGTCGGTTTTGAGCCGCCGAGGATAGAAGGGTAGGGGGAACAAGAACACAGTTTCTGATAATACCAATAAGTCTCCTGAGTGAATGAAAACATCAAAACACCTGTCATTTTGCACGTTGGTGCAGTCAGAGCAAACGGCTCAAAACCGACTTCGGCGTTAAGCTGAGATAAGCTGAGCCGCGGCAACACTACCATGTATCCACTTCCATGATGGAAGTGGATACATGGGAAAGGAACTGGACGCGTCGACTGACGATGCAAGTTCCACCCATCATCCAAAAATTGCTTTCCCCTTTCCCTTTTCACACTTACCTGGCAATCCCTCCTCCACGCCAGTCCAATAGATACCCGACGCCCTGTCTATGGATCCATCCTCCACACTCACCCAACGGCGTCCTCAGCTCCGACGTCGAGTGCTTCAAATGGCGAGCCTACCTGGCTCCACGAGGTCTTGACCGCATTGCCGTGCGCACCGACATTGACCCTCAGGGTGCTATCGATGGGCAGCTTCCGAATTTGCGGGACGGCGCGCAGCTGTTGGCAGCGAGGGAGCTGCCTGCTTGGGTCGACAGCAAGGTCAACACTGACAATGATAGTGGACTGGAAGGCTACGAAGATGAGGCGGCACGTGACGAGAGTCGGGCATGGGTGGCGTTGTTGGAAGGATGCATGCATGCTGCTCTGCTCGCTGTCTAACCGATGTCGGCGCCGTTCTCCTTGGCGTAAACGAAATCCCGCCCAATCGAGTCTGTTCTCGCGCGGCCTCTAGCCCCGCTGTCAAGTCTCACTTCCCTCTTCCCTACCTTTGGCACGCGTATCCCCCGCGAAGCTATACAGTTGCGCTACTGGGAGGCCATTAGAGGGTTCTCCGAGAGATCGGGCACCGACAAGTGGTTCCTGTCATCCGAGTACGTTTTCCTGTGTTCATTTCTTTCGCAAAACTGACGCGAGGTAGGGCTCTAACACTACTCGATGCACTCGTCTTTGCGTACTTGCACTGTATACTTCACTCGAAAGCCTTGATACGCCTCGAGGTGACGCGTAGGGTGAATCTGGTTGCGTGGGAGTGGAGAGTGAAAGGATTGGTTAAGGCGGCGTTTCTACCGAGGCGGCGATCTGGACTTGTTCGCTCGAGGTTCGTTCCCAGTTACGCGTTCGACCCTACAACTTATCATTTTGTTTGAGTAGTGTATTACAACACCAGTTTATGTGTTCGTGTCGGTTGAATCATTGCAGTGAGAGTCGCGCTGCGAGACGATTCTCAAGATGTAAACACAAGTCCAAGTACTTGACTTTGGGGCTCAGGTCAGAACATTGCCGTGACATGGTGCTGTAGCCGCTGTAGATCTTATTTGCAATGGAAAGAGGAATGAGATAAGGAAGGATAACACCCGTAGGTGAAGCTTTGGCTCAAGAACGACGAGAAAATTGTTGAGCTCTCTCTCATTGTGACCTGCAATGGCTAGCACTCCGGGATAATCTTTTGTCCTGGAGTTTGGCGCATTTTTGTTCTTATGTTGCGACGTCATTGATACGTATTCAACAGATTGCTCCATCCCTATGAATGTCAAAGTACGTGTCCTGATACATATCAAACTCAGCAAACTCGAACTGATGGCAGAATCCAAGTGTTGCTTGCCGAAACACCATTCTATCCCTGCTGAGGGCTCAAAAACTAGATATGAATATTTCGGCTTCTAACTTTGAACCTTTGTCTACGTGCCATTGAACTACGGTTTTCCCATCGAATTCATGAACTAGCGAACTGGACGTCGGGGATGAGCGCTGTTCGAAGGTGCTACGGCGATGTGCGAAATTGATAATCTTCCTGTATCACCTATAATTCCCTATATCTTCCACAATATTCACTGTCGACTGGTGTTGCGACGCCGACTCGGCCCTCCCGGTCTTGTCCTGATGCGCGCATAAGCTGTGGAACATTTCCGTTTTTAGTTGGATCTGGCTTTCTACGTTACTACAACGCCCACAAATTCTGACACCCTTACTAGCGAGGTCGTACCCACAACTACCACAATAAAAATGGAGAACGGTTCAAAAGTCGAAGCCTCGCCTGTCGCTGCCGAGGAAGAGGAGAACGATACTACAGTCCAACCATATCTTGAATATGTCAATCCTGCAAAGTCGAGCAAGAGGTTCGGATTACGAGGATCTGCTCCTTACCGGATTCCTAAAGGTAAATCACACTCACATGCTGATGAAATCGTTCTCATCTTGGCCGTATCAGGCAACGATCCTTTCAACTACGAGGAAAAGTATCCTGAAGATGCGTATTGTGAAGAGATGGGACACAACGCCAGGGTATTTCGGACGTACCTTGATGAGCGTGCGATCTATGATGCGAATATGGTTGAAGAGGCGAGAGACGGCGTCGATGTCCTTCTCGTTTTCGTATGTGGCCCATGTTCTATTCATCTCCGTGCTCATCTCTCTGTGCCAGGCGGGTCTTTTCTCGGCTGTGGTTACAACATTTGTAGTCCAAACATCGCAAAGTCTACAAGCGGACTATGCAGAGATGTCTGCTAATCTACTGTTCGAGATGATCAATATTCAGCGTGCTATTGCCAGCGGCGCTTCCTTGGACACCGTTGCTGCTTCCCCTCTGAACCCCAACGTCACGTTTATCGCTTCAACCACGAGCGTCTGGGTGAACGGTCTGTGGTTCACGAGTCTTGCACTCAGCCTCACGACAGCGCTCGTGTCGGTGCTGGTCAAGCAATGGCTCCATCATTACATCGCTTTACCCTCTGGAACACCCCGGGAGCGTAGCCTTCTGCGGCAGTTCCGATTTGCGGGATTGCAGAAGTGGCGTGTTCTCGTTATCATCGGGCTACTCCCCGTTCTAATGCACACCGCCCTTGCGATATTCTTTGTTGGCCTCGTGATCTTCCTTGGCCCATTACGAGATTCGCTTTCATGGGTTATTGGTGCGATTACAGCCATTGCGTATACGGCCTACTTGATGGCCCATATTTCCCCCTGATTTTCCCCCAATGCCCCTACCGTACCTCACTGTGCGACCTACTCCATGTTTTGTACAGTCATATGGTGCCGTACACCGTGCTTACTTTCTGGCGCGGTCTCTGTCGAACCGAGATGAACACACCTGACACAGTGGCTCACCAGTCTGCCCTCAACGTTGCAAAATGGAAGGACCTGAAAGAATTGGAGTTGGATGCGGTACAGTCAGTATGGGGTGAATTATCGGTTGAGGCCCTGCATTGGCTTTTTTCCATGTCATCGAACCCCACTGTGCAGAGTATCATCTTTCAAGCTATTGGCGGTGTGCATCCAGCATCACAGCGGAAGGCTGAAGACCTGTTTGGTGATGCCGGCTTGTTACTCCAGAATTCGCTTTCTCAGTGTCTTTCTATCACCTCCCATCCCTATGGGGCACCACTGTCTGGATTAGAGACCAAGCTTGAGCGGTTACTACGTTGCAAGCTAGTTCTCTCTGATGAATGCTATATTTTCATCAACCTTCCACAGACACAAGGCATTGAGCTTCCATCCAATGTCACAGCCTTGATAGAAAGATATACATATAATCATGATATAAACCTGCTCATGGAAGACATTGCCCTCAATGGAGCTCTGGCATTCCGTCATTTGTCTGGGGCAGAATATTTGCGTTTCCATCCCTTAGTCTGGATTGACCTCATCAGGAATGCCGCTTCAGCAGGAGTCTTTTCTCCCATTGATATCAGCGCTGAAGACCCTTTCGCCATGAACATATGCTGCGCGGTTCTACCCGCATTTTCATTTTTTTACTCAAACAACTCCGGTGACTCCGAAAAAGACAAAGCTCAGTCAACAGCCGTAGCACTTTATGTCGCTATTTGCGATCATTTCTTTACTGACATGACAACCTATCTCCTGGAAATGTTCGCCGCGTTTGTGCGCCCTTCAAATGTTGACTCTGTCCCACCATGTCTGAGGATCCTCCTCGTGTTTGCCGAATTTCTTATCTCAAGGCTTCCTTTAAACAAAGAAGCCAATCCAGACGCAGAGGAACTCCATGTCCTCGACAGAGTCATCAATGGCATTATGAATCATGACCATTCTTCTTCTCAGGCAAATGCCGCTGTCTTTGATGTCCTTGAACGCTTCGTCACTGAGGATAACCTGAGAATGATACCAATGGTGGCAGACAGTTCTCTGTGTCTCAGAGTCCTACAGGTTTACTCCAGGCTGCTCCATAAGCGATGGCATACTGTGTCCCCTAGATCCCTGGAGGCAGTTGTCGATCTCATGTTCAACAGTCCCTATAGTTCTACTAGTGCAGGCGACATCATAGCCAAGGGTCTTCACGAAGGCAGCCTAACAATGTACAATGTCTTTCGTGCAAAGCAATGTTTAGAATATTTCGGGCATCATGGATATCGCTCATGGTTGGTGAATATCATTGGAAGCTATCTCTCCACAATAGGACATCACTCAAAATCCCGTCTTAAAGCTTCGGTAGAACAGGAACATATTGACTATCTCCATACACCTGACAACCTTTTCGCTGCCTGCTCCATCCTGGCCGTCGGTTGCAATGACCGATTTAACCGTAATTTCAACCGCAGAAAGCAAATCAGGGAAAATATCTTGTCACTCGTCCGGATTCAACAGGATAATCCTGTATGGGATGAATGCCGGTGCAGGCTTCAACAATTGCTCGAAAACGATGGAATGGACTTCTTCTATCGCCAGGCTCGCATTCGTGGAATTGAACGTGTTGCCTTGTCAGGAGAAAAAATTGCGGAACAGAGGGAATATATTCGTTTCACCATTGAGACCTTGGATGCATTTTTCTCGGGCGAGTTGGATGAAGAGCCGGTGAGTGTTTGTGATTACATTGATAGGTTTGAATTATTTCTGATTGGAGCCGGAAACAGATTTCTGACCCTCCCGCACTTTCTGTCGATGTTTTACCCAACCCTCGGCCTCATTGGTCCAGTCGCATGCATCGATTGTTACCTTGGCACAATCACGAGGCAAGTGACGGAGGTGCCGTAGGGAACGTTTGAACGTATCCACCAACCCAGGCTAGTACAATATAGGAAGGAATACACATCTCGGTAAGCGGTAGACAACGAAAATATTAGGTGTACAATGTACATTTCACGATCATACATGTAGTACCCAAAACACGAGAAGAGATGTGCAGAGATGCGCTTTGGAGAGGTATCTGTAAAGAACAGTGCTCACAAGAATACAGCTGCTATCGTGGATACAGCCAGAGTGCGTAGGAGATGAACTTTTGCGAGTGAAGACGTTCACCAAGTAGTTCATAGCCGCGAATGCTGATGCGAATTGATAGCTCAGAGTCAGAGCGGCACCCGTAGCCTTGAACGACACACGAACAAAGACCGTGACGATAAGTAGCTAGACGACTCGGAAGGATGTCGGTGAGCTGCAACGCCGCGTACAATCGGTTACCTCTCCTGCGCGGCATCAATCTTGTAGACAAAAAGTCCCAAAAGAGTGAAAAACGAACGAACGAGTGTAGAATTACACAAGATGCTAGAATTGGTGTGAACTCGTTTGTTGAATGTTTATCCCCCTGGTCCCTGGATCGGTTCCTCCCCCTATGTAATCGCTCGTTCCCATTTTTTCTCAACCACCACCACTACTCGTCGTGGGCGCACTTTTTTGGTCGGAGAAGAACACGGGAATGCTTTCCCAAGCATGATTGACTAAAACCGGCATTGATTTCGTATCGTAAGCCGATCACCCGGGACTCGTCACGACCATGACCCATCCCCAACCAACACCAGTGTGTCTTAGCTACACCCCACACCAATGGACACCCTCGCCCTCTCCCTAGGACTCACCGCCCTCCCGCCACACCTCCCCACCCTCCTCGTATCCCTCGCCTCCTTCACCCTCGTCCACCTCGTCCTCGCGCCTCTCGCTAGCCACGCCTTCTTCCCGGATACATACGGCAAGATGGGGAAGAGGGCGAGGAACAATTGGTTGGTTTGGTTTCCTTTTTGTGTTTTGTGTGTGGCTGATGGTAGGCAGGTGTATACACGTCGTGTCTCAAGTGCACGTCTCGCTGGTCATCCCGCTCGCGCTGGGGTGTCTGAACCTCGAGACTCTGGATAGAGATCGGGCGTTTGGGTGGGACGAGGGTAGGGTGGGGAGGTTGATTGCTATTTCTTGTGGGTGAGTCCTCGCTTTGTGTCTGCGGGGAGCAGTTCTGACTTGGGCGAGCAGGTATTTCATATGGGATACTGTCGATGCGATCGTCAATTTTGTGGATATCGGATTTGTCGTACATGGCCTAGCGTGTTTGGCGATTTATCTTGGGTCGTTCGTGCGTCTGTCTGTCTATTCGTGCTTGGTTCCGTGCTCAGTCTCGTGTAGAAGCCGTTCTTGGCGTACTACGCTGCGCGGTGTCTTCTCTGGGAAGCGTAAGTCTCTTTCCCAACATCCACTAACCCTCGCCATTAACCTCTACCCTTTCCAGGAGCACATTCTTCCTCAACATACATTGGTTCCTCGACAAGACCAACCGCACTGGGAGCAACTTTCAGCTTATTAACGGCCTCCTCCTCCTCGTGACGTTCTTTGTCGTGAGGCTCGTGTATGGAGGGATGTACGTCGTACGTATTTAACGCGCCTTTCTCGGTGTTCGCTCGACCTGATCTTCGGTGGTGTGGTAGTCATACCAGTTCGCGCATACGCTATACCAAGTACGGCATCAAGTACCGCTTGCTTATATCTTCATTTATGGAGGAGGAAACGTTGTCTTGCAGGGACTTAATTGGTTATGGTGAGTGTTGGTCTGTTTTCCTCGTTGCCGTGCTGATGTTGGGATAGGTTCGGGAAGATGATTGCGGCTATTCGGAAACGATTTTCTGAGGATACGGACAAGAATACTAGTAATGGGACCGTGCCAAAGTAGAACGGACGCTTGGATACAGCAACATACTATGCAATAAACAGATTTTTAAGGGAGAAGAGACGGTGCATTTCTCAAGCCGGAGAGATTTCAAAAGTGCACTGGATTTTCCAACACGGCAGTAACGCTCCCATTAACGTATTGCCTAACGTCGGATGGCCGTCTGTAACAAGCTTGCGCTTGGTGTCCCTCTGAGATGACCATGCCCAAAACAGCTCAAAGTAATGGGAACATCTGTCGGGCCCAGCGTAAGGTAATCGGGGTAAGGTTTAATGAGAAGGGGAAGTGGGACATGGCTCACTCGGGGGAGCAACAGATTACCATCCAGTTCGATTCTGGATTCCTACGATAGAGGGCCTTGGATCCTAGGTGTGCTATTTTGAAAGAGGTTCATTTTTGTATGCGAATTTTACAACACCAAGTGATCCGACTCGTCTTCCGTTCAGCGTTACTCGTGAACCTGCATTATCACTTCTTCTCTCAGTGAAATAACAAACGTCGGAAGTACATCTGTGACGAGCTCGGGCTCGGCATTCAGAGTGTATAAAATGCTGGGTATGTTGCGCCGGGGCTTGTCACTGTCAAGTAGAAGGGCTTTTCGAATCAGGGTTCAGCGAGATTCTTTACTCCTCCAGAACAAGACTCGAGGTAACGAGGACATCTATTGGGCCCACCGTACGGGGTAGTGTTTGATGGGAGGGAGGATGGGGCCAGTGAATGCCGTGGGAACGTGGCTCAGGCGGGAGAGCAAGAGACTAACAGTGACATCCGGTTCGATTCCGGGTTCCCGCAAAATGAGATGAAGCAGTACTTTTGGTACGTGCGTTCATCCACTATCGCGGTCCGCGGAAGCCCCAGATGACGAATTATAATAGGTATATTGCTGCATCGAGAGTCGTCGCTCCCGGTGACTTCCCCTTGCAAGGGAGAGAAGGGGAGGGGTGTTGTCTCGTAAGTTTGGCACTCGGAAACTGAAACAAAAAAGTTTGGTCAGTCCACTGTCCAATGCTTGATTTTTAATGTCAAGATATCTCCTCCGGTACTGTGCTTTGCGAGCAGATGTTCTCCCCCAAGTACCGCTAGTGGAGAAGAAATTGATTGCCTCCTGATCTCTTCCTTGCAGCGGAATCAGTGGTGGCGGTGTTCAAGTTATCAGTGCGTTGGCCCGGGCGTAAAATCCTAGGAGTTTGCTAGCCAGGTAGGTGGGGTTTCTTTGAACTCGGTCTTTTGGTTATGACCAAATGTAGAGGGAGGGCACGATAATCGGGATAGTATTTGTGGGAACGTTAGCTCAGTCGACAGCAACTAACATCCCCGTTCGATCCTGGGTTCCTGCAATAATGATATTTTTCCGAGTAGGTTTTTTTTGGTAACCCTGGGATCACGTTGAAAGCCATATGTAACCAAGGTCAACGTTGGGGGCAGGGTCAGGGGAGGCGTTGCTCAGCTGGGAGAGCAATCGAATCCAGGGTGTCCTCAGTGCATGTGTCTTCTAGTGTTATCGTTTTTGCCACGAAGAAGACGCGTCAAGCAGTATTCCGGTACCGAAATCCATCGAGAATACGACGCGAATGCCGAAACAAGAATGGGGCACCAACGTACGGAAATTGGAGTAGTGTTCGATGAGAAGGGAAGAGCGCCATGGCTCACTTGGGAGAGCAGCAGACTAACAACCCAGTTCGATTCTGGGTTCCCGTAATGAAGGTGTAGCATTAAGAATTTTGCTACCTCACGTTCAAAGCACCAGCCTACGAGGAATATAGCCTGCAGCCTTGAATACCTTTGACGATGTCGTTGTAAACGTCGGGAGAGGTTGAATGGAGGATGAGAGTCATTGCTCAGTTGGGAGAGCGACTGAATTCAAGGGCCTAGTGCGATCCTGGGGCCCTCAATATGGCATTAGGTGTACTTTTAGTACTTCGAGATAATGCCCCAGTATGCGAAAGTCAGACGCGTCAAGTTGAGTACATACATACCAAGGGAAAGAGCGATATGCCGAATGCGTAGTTCAATCCTATTTTGAAAGAGGTTTATTTTGTATAGCATCTTACAACGCGTGTGCTTAGGCTTTTTCTTAAGCTAGTATTTTCAGCAACGAGTAACCCTACGGCGGGAAGAAGAGTCAGTCAGTTTTACGAGCACTCGACTGAGAAAGGAGAATGTTGTATTGCTAATGCGCCGTGGCCCGGGAGAGATAGTTCAAAGCCGCGCCAAATCATTTCTCAGCCACGGCAACTCGGGATCTGTACCTGCGGCGAAGCAGTTCGGACAGGCAACTGCGTTTTCATGCAAAGAAGGGACAGTGTACTTGCCATATCGGACAGAGAACAGAGAACCCCCGGGCCTCACAAGCTACCAGATAGACGACTCTTCGTAGCCAGAAGGGTAACTACTTGGAAGCTGGGGAAGTACAATGAGTGAACCCCACACCTCGCGTTAGATAAGATTCCCCCGGTGTGAGCTGTGAACTCTGCGTTCAGGCCCAGATTAGGAACATCGGTTTCCGAGTCCGTACGTTGACGCGGCGGGGTTCAATGCAAGTTGGGGGTTTTCTGACTCGGTCTTTTGTGAGTTACAACAAGCAAACGTAGAGGGAGGTCACGGTAGGTAGCGAAAGGGGATGCGGGATGTGGGGGCGTAGCTCAGTCGGGAGAAGCAATGGCAGCAGTGATCCTGAATAACATGGGAGCGTGTCATTTTTTTGGTACTTGTGTTGAAAGTCACAGGGGAGATGAGAGTCATCAGCAACTTTTCTTCGCGGAGCCCTCCGACGTCAATGATAAGCGCCGAGAGAAGATAAATGCTCAGTTGGGAGAGCATCTGACTAACACCCAGTTCAATTCTGGGTGCGCAATACGGCGAAGACTAGGAACTTGTACGTTCCAGCATTGGAAAAGCAGACGCACGAAGAAGCGAGTTAAGTGATATAAGAACGATATGATGTATACGTAGTTCAATCGTTCATTTTGTATGGTATCGCATTAGGGAGCAAGGTGATCATATATCCCTCAAAAACTGGTGGACCTGGCGTTCCCTCAGCGTGCCGGTAAGGTCTTGATGGCTTTGCCGCCCTAGAATGCCACGACTATTGGAAGTGCGTGTGCCTGTACCTGCTCAGTACGAGGAACATGCCATGACAATTAGTAAACACACCTTGAACCGCTCACAGAGCTCCTTTCCCTCCTCGGTATCGCTGTTAATTGTGACCAGATCCAAAGGCTGGCGGGATGTGGTTTCGGTGGAAGGATCCTCTGTGAGTTGTTCAAGGATGGGAGAGAGAATTTTGCATGGCTGACACCAACTGCGAAAAGGTGAGCCCATGAGCATGGTTAAGTATTTTCTGCTTATTCTGCGTAGAAGTCGACGAGAACGATGCGTCCTTCTGCTGTAGTCACTTTTTTAGAGGTCTACGATGGGTTTAATTAGGTGGGTAGGGAAGGGAAGGGACGGAAGATCGGCGCGGGGTGGTGAAGAAGTGACGACGAGAAAGGCGAGATACGAGGAACCTGAAGGAAGCCATGGCGGCGGTGAAAAGCTCCCGACCGTAGCTGTGGAAGATTTCCCATTTTGTTCTAGTGTTGGTGCCTTAATGCTGTTCGGAGATGCTGTGAAGGTGTTTGATGACTTCGACCTTGCTTCATACGCCCACCGCAATGCCCACAAGCGACACCATACCCACAACCACCCAAGCAAAAACGGAGAAAATCTCCAAACTCCAAACTTCGCAGGGCGGCGCTGTCGAGGAAGGGGAGAACGGCACTACAGCCCAACCATATCTTGAATATGTCAATCCTGCAAAGTCGAGCAAGAGGTTCGGATTACGAGGATCTGCTCCTTACCGGATTCCCAAAGGTAAATCACACTCATATGCTGATGAAATCGTTCTCATCTTGGCCGTATCAGGCAACGATCCTTTCAACTACGAGGAAAAGTATCCAGAAGATGCGTATTGTGAAGAAATGGGACCCAACGCCAGGGTATTTCGGACATACCTCGACGAGCGTGCGATATATGACGCGAATATGGTGGAAGAGGCGAGAGATGGTGTCGATGTTCTTCTCGTTTTCGTACGTGGCCCACTGTGTTCTATTCGTCTCCGTGCTCATCTCTCTGTGCCAGGCGGGTCTGTTCTCGGCTGTGGTTACAACATTCGTAGTCCAAACTTCGCAAAGTCTACAAGCGGACTATGCAGAGATGTCGGCCAATCTACTGTTCGAAATGATCAATATTCAGCGTGCTATTGCCAGCGGCGCTTCCTTGGACACCGTTGCTGCTTCCCCTCTCAACCCTAACATCACATTCATTGCTTCAACCACGAGCATCTGGGTGAACGGCCTGTGGTTTACCAGTCTTGCACTTAGCCTCACGACAGCGCTCGTGTCGGTGCTGGTCAAGCAATGGCTCCATCATTACATCGCTTTACCCTCAGGAACACCCCGCGAGCGTAGCGTTCTGCGGCAGTTCCGATTTGCGGGACTGCAGAAATGGCGTGTTCTCGTTATCATCGGGCTACTCCCTGTTCTAATGCACACTGCCCTTGCAATCTTCTTTATTGGCCTTGTGATCTTCCTTGGCCCATTGCGAGATTCGCTTGCATGGGTTATTGGTGTGATTACTGTGATTGCGTATATGGCTTACTTGATGGCACATATTCTCCCCCTCATTTTCCCCCAATGCCCCTACCAGACCCCACTGTGTGACCTACTGCATGTTTTGTACAGTCATGTAGTGCAGAACATGGTGCCCACTTTCTGGCATGGTCTCCATCGAACCATGATGAACATGCCTGACTCTGCTCCCAATGTTGCAAAATGGAAAGGCTTGAAAGAATTGGAGTTGGATGCAGTACAGTCAGTACAGGGTGAATTATCAGTTGAGGCCTTGCATTGGCTTTTTTCCATGTCATCAAATTCCACTGTTCAAAGTATTGCCATTCAAGCTATTGGTGGTTTGCATCCAGCATCACAGCAGAAAGCTGAAGAGCTGTTTGGTGATACTGGCTTGTTCCTCCAGAATTCACTTCATCAGTGTCTTTCTAAAATCCCTCGTTTCTATGGGGAACCACTGCCTGGATTAGAGACCAAGCTGGAGTGGTTACTACGCTGCAAGCTAGTTCTCTCTGATGAAAGCCATATTTTCATCAGTCTTCCACAGACACCAGGTGTTGAGCTTTCACTCAATCTCAGAGTCTTGATAGAAAGATCTGGATATTATCATGGTATAAACCTGCTCATGGAAGACATTGCTCTCAATGGAGCTCTGGCATTCCGTAGTTTATCTGGGCTAGAATATTTGTGTTTCCATCCCTTAGTCTGGATTGACCTCATCAGGAATGCTGCTTCAAAGGGAGTCTTTTCTCCCATTGATATTGGCACTAAAGATCCTTTTGCCATGAACCTATGTTGCATGGTTCTCCCTGCATTTTTGCATCCTTCCTTAAACAACAACTCTGATGACTCTGAAAGAGACAAAGCCCAGGCAACAGCCATAGCACTTCATGTTGCTATTCGCTACCATCTCTTCACTGACATGACAACCTATCTCCTGGAAATGTTTGCTGTGTTTGTGCATCCTTCAAATGTTGACTCTTTCCCACCATCTCTGAGGATCCTCCTTGTGTTTGCTGAATTTCTTATCTCAAGACTTCCTTTGAAAGAACAAGCAAATCCAGATGCAGATGAAATCTATGTCCTCACCAGAGTCATTGATGGCATTGAGAATCATGACCTTTCTTCTTCCCAGGCGATTGCAGCTGTCTTCAATGTCCTTGATCACTTCATCATAGACAATTTGAAGATGATACCAATAACATTAGGTAATTTTCTGCATATTAGGGTCCTAGCAGTTTACTCCAAGCTGGTCCATAACCAATGGCATACTATGTCCTCTAGATCTCTGGAGGCAGTTGTCAATTTCATGCTTGACAATCCCCAGGCCTATGCTTCCCATTTTGCAGGTGACATCATAGCCAAGGGTCTTCATGAAGGCAGCCTGACAATGTACAGTCTCTTTCATGCAAAGCAATGCTTAGAATATTTTGGGCATCATGGATATCAACCATGGCAGGTGAATATCATTGAAAGTTACCTTTCCACAATAGGACATCACTCAAAATTCCATCTTGAACCTTCAGTAGAACAGGAACATATTGATTATCTCCACACACCTGAAAACCTTTTCATTGCCTGCTCTATCCTGGCTGTTGGTTGGGATGGCCTACATGGCTTTGATAACTTCAATCACAGAAAGCGAATCAGGCATGATATCTTGTCACTTGTCCATATTCAACAGAATAATCCTGTATGGGATAAATGCTGCTGCAGGCTTCAACAATTACTTGAAGATGATGGAATGGATTTCTTCTATCGACAGGCTTACATTGATGGAATCACACGGGATGCCTTGTCAGGAAGAAAAATTGCAGAACAAAGGAAATATATTCGTTTTGCCATTGAGACTTTGAATGCATTTTTCTCGGGTGAGCTGGATGAGGAGTTGGTGAGTGTTTATGACTACAATAGGTTGGAATTACTTCTGATTGGGGTCAGCCTGAGGAACAGATTTCTGACACTTCCGCACTTTCTGTTGATGCTTTACCCAACACTCGGCCCCACTGGACCAGTCGCATGCATCGATTCTTACCTTGGCACAATCACAATGCAGCAAGTGACGACAATGCCATGAGGAATGTTTAAACTAGAGATACTCACCATGCCTGTACCATCAATGACTCTTTATTATAGCTCAGTGATGCAGTACGGCTGTAAAATGGTTGTACAGCATATACAGATTGAATAAAAACACAAGTAGAGTAGTGACTATATGAGGGTAAAATAGCTAATTATCATCGTCAAGAACAATATTAATGGCTTCACGTGCTTTCTGAAGTCGAAACATGAAAGTCCGGATGGTCTCCGGCCGTAATCTAGCACGCCACATTGAAACTGAATCCCTCTAGCCAGAAGGACATTTGCTTGGAAGCTTGCGGAGTACAGTGAGTGAACCTCATCTCGTGTTAGATAAGACTTTCCTGCTGTGAGATGTGAACTCAATCAACGTTGGTAGTGTTCAAGTTAGGAACATCGGTTTCCACATGCTCCTTGGGTCATGCATAAAATCCTAGGCAGGGTTCAATGCAAGATGGAGGATCAGTCTTTTGTCAATCATTAAATGTTATAATGACCAAACATAGAGGGAGGCTTGGGAGAGGTACGATAATCAGGGTAGTGGACGAGGATGCAGGAATGTAATTCAGCAATAGCAACTAATAATCCTGGGTTCCTATAATACATGAGAGTGAGTCGTTTTTTTTGGTACTTGTATGGGATCATGTTGAGATCCACAGGAAAAACTACAGCTGCATTGGGAATCCAGAGTCATCAGCAACCTTTCCTCGATGCAGAGCCCCGTGATGTCAATGGGAAAGGATGAGGGGCATTGTTCATTTGGGAGAGCATCTGACTGACACCCAGTTCAATTCCGGGTGCCTGCAATACGGCGAGGAATATAGAGTTTTTAGTACTTGTTCCAGTAAGAAAGGCAGACGCATCAAGAAGTGAGTTGAGTGATATTCCAACAATATGATGTATGCGTATTTCAATCGAGGTTTATTTTGTATGATGCCATTACAGACGTTCTGAAAAACCTTGTCCACAGTGTTGCGACTGCAGCCTATTTACACGTGTAATTTTGCAATCTAAAGTGTTTTACACGCATACTGAGATATAGTGAGCGAGTGGACTAAAACAATGCGTCGACACTAATGCTACATGATGCAATGATATGGAATATAACTTATGGCATAAGAAGCAACAGGATTCTAAACAGGACTTAGTCACAGCACTGTACCTGATGGGCATGCATGATGAGAAGGCCAAACCCTATACCCAATGCCTTAGGCTCTAACTTACAAGCACGCTCACGGGAGCTAGATAAAACCTTGAAGATTGCAGTGACACTGAGAGTACTTAGTGTGCTCGCTAACTGTGACGTGTCATACCTGAAAATCCGGGGAAATCCTTAAGCGAGATGACAGATATCACCGGCACGAACTTGGGCAATGGGCTTTGGCCGAAGTCCGTGAGCCCACACCCCATTGTTCTGAGTCCCATTGTTAGAAGACTCACTTGTTGCCATGTCTACGAGAAGCCTCTGTGAATCCAAGAAAGAAGTCTTGAACGACATATGCCAGGACTGATAGTTCCAGGCACCTAGACCTGTCGGTCGCTAGAGAACAAGCCCACAGGTGTCGGGAGAGCACCTCTTAGCACGCGTTTAGTGAGCTCACTATAGAAATGAGACTAAAACTGGGAAGTCCGACTCGGATGCTCAGTAAGGCGGCGGTGGCAACATGCTATGCATGTAGGAGTCTGGGTACTGCATGATGTTTGTAATTCTAATTCCCCTGTAGTATAAGTAGGCTGGTTACAGTAGGTAGAGGCCAAGTTTCGAGCTCCCGAGTTCTCATGCACGCGTTGAAGGCGGTACTGTAACAAAGGATCAGTTTGTGACTTTGAGCTTTGCATAGAATTAATGAGCTCACTCAGAGAAATACGAGATACCCTTTTGATAAGACTTTTGAGAACTTAGTCAGAGTGAATATGAATCAGTGACACTGTTTCTGTTCTGTTAAGTGTGATAAGTCTGTTCGGAGAATGTGTTGAAGTGGAAATCTGAGATTTGTTCTGTTCTGTTTTATTCTGTTTCAGTCTGTTCTGTGTCAGTTCTGTTCAAAGTTCTGTTTCTGAGTCTGTTTCTGAGTGCTTCTGAAGTGTTCTTGAGTCGAGATAACCTGCTGGAGTTAGTTGGAGAACCCCTACATACAGTTGTGTAGCGAGCAGGCTAAGTCAGTGCTTGCCTGTGGTGTTCTTTTAGCGAGCTCACTAAAGTTTCAGCGTGTATTGCCTCTGTTTCTGTCGGGATCAGTGTCCCTTGTGTATTATAACTCAAATCGGCCTTGAAGGTTGCGTCGTGCCAGTGAACGACCTTCCTGTAAAAAGTTCCTAGACTTAGGAATTCATTAGAGAAAGCTTAGCTTCACTAAGAGTGCTGAGAATAAGAGAAACTCTTCAAGATATTGAAGTATAGTTGGATCGCATTAGAAATAATCGCTCCCCCTAGAACTTACGAGGGTGATTGTAGTTTGTGTAGTTGTGTGAGTGTGTGTGTGGGTTTTTGAGGTTTGCCTTTTAGCCTGCTCACTATTCCACAGGTGCCCACAGCCAGTCTCTTCAACGGTTGCCAAACAAGGCAAGTAAAATAAAAAAATAAAAAAAATGCAAGAAAATCATGAAAATAGCATGGTGCCTTCATTCGTGAGTGTAATGTATCATAAATAGATTCGTTGAGGATGTACAAGGTGTATAGAGGTAATGTAACAGGTATGAGGCCAATAGGTCAGTGGTAGGACGTCATGAGTGGGGTCTGTGCTAGCGGTAATGGGAGGCAGCAGCAGAGCATTAGAGTGGTGTAGGAGGCTGTGGAGATGTTTTCTCCCTTGTAAACAGTAATAAGTCATTCCAAAACGAAAGTGGATAACTTCCTTTGAAGATGTATGTTTAGCATACCAGCCACTGTGCCCTCTCCAAAGCTTCCCAGTCTACAACGCCTGAACCCCCACTAGCCCAGTCCTAACCATGAAAACTGACGAAATAAAGCCAGGATATCCAGTTGCAGGTGTCTTTGTCACAGTGAAATGGTGCAGGCAGACTATGGCATTGTGTTGCAGGAGACTGGGAGCTGTCGACATCCAAACTGTGGCAAAATCATGGTGGTGGCCTGCTTGACTGAATGCAAAATCGTTCTTCAAAGCTGTCTTGTCTTTTCTTGTCTCTTGAATGATGATGATGGCAAGAACGAAGGTGTGACCAGCTGTTCGGTGTGAGACAGCCTGAACATATAAATCTGGCGGCGCTCACTAGTTCTTCATCAGTCAGATGCTCTTATTTCAAGTATTATCTTTATGACACACTGCAGCACCCATGGATCATTAAATTTGTATCTTTCTACTAAATGACACGCACAAATGAAGTCTGTATGCTATTTCTATGATTTTCTTGTATTTATCTGATTTTTTGATTTTACCTGCCCTTTTTGGCAGTGTGGACAAGGTTTTTCGGAACATCTGTATTAAGAAACAAGGTAGGTCATATCTCCCTCAGAAACTGGTGGACTTGGTGTTCCCTCAGTGTGCCGGTTAAGGTCTTGATGGCTTTACCTCCTTGGAATGCCACGACAGTGGGAAGTACGCGTACCTGCACTCGGTCAGTATGAGAAATACACCATGACAATTAGTAAACGTACCTTAAACCACTGACAGAGCTCCCTTCCCTCCTCTGTATCGCTATTAATGGTGACTAGGTCCAATGGCTGGCGGGACGCAGTCTCGGTCGACAGATCTTCGGTAAGTTGTTTGAGGATGGGAGAGAGGACCTTGCATGGCTGACACCAGCTACGAAAATGTGAGCCTATGAGCACGATTAAGCATTTTCTGCTTACTCTGCATAGAAATCGACAAGAACGATATGTCCTTCTGCTGTGGTCACTTTTTTGAAGGTCTACGGACGGATTAGGTGGGTGGAGTCTGTGGAGGAAAGGGACGGACATGAAAGTCAGCATCCAGGTAGTGCTCGAATCGGTGTGGGGTGGTGGAGAAGTGACAACGAGAGAGACGAGATGCGAGGAACCTGAGTGAAGCCATGATGGCAGTGAAAAATAGAGAAGTGATGTCATCACCGAGTTCTCCGATGCTGATGATCACCATGGGAAACCCAGGCAACATATAAAACACAAGAGCAAAAATGCCTCTTCTCTGACCCACATTCATTATGTCTTTGTTCTTCTTCTTTGCTGTCCTGGTGTCAGCCATCTGTGTTTTTGCAGCAGACCATTTGGTGACCGTCGGTGATGGAGGAGTGAGTTTGTCTCCCACCTTTACCTTGATTATGTTTCTCACAAAGGCTGATAGATGCTGGCATTCAACCCAACAAGGTGATTTCCTGTCTGTGCACGCATCTATGTGCCAACTGAGTTTGTTCTGCAGCATGACTGCCGTCCAAGGAGACACTGTCACTTTTTCATTGTACGTTCTTCCTCCCTCCCACACAGCCACATACCCTTTCTCACATATTCTCCCTAGTCGTGCCAGAAACCACATATGCCACCACATATTATCGTCTCCTCATTTATGTAACACACATCACAGTCTGCAACACAATCGACGTTCGCCTCTCCCTGCACAAAATCTGGCATCGACTCGGGTTTCGTCCCCATCACCAACAGCACTGTCTTTGGCCAATGGACATTCACCAGTCGACAATTCCTCTACCCTGCTGTGGTTCTTCTGCACCCAGATGGGTCATTGTGAGAAGGGCATGGTCTTTGCGGTTAATCCCACCCAGGACAAGACCTTTCAGGCATTTTTGGCTAATGCGCAGGGGAATGGGACGGCGGGTGTGAGTGCGAGTGCGTCTGGGGTGGCATCAAGTGCGGGTACCATGGCTTCTGCTTCCAGTAGCACTGTCAATGCTGCTGCCTCCAGTACTGTCAATGCTAATACTGCCAGCAACAGCGCTGTGCCCAGTCTGCACATACATTGTGTCATACTCACAGTAGCGGCTCTGGCTTTTGGTATCCTATTTTAGAAGCTTGTACAGGAATACAAGACTTTCTTTTTGACACTCGGGTGTATGAAAGACTCGATTGTACTAACAAAGTACTAAAATAATTTATTTTGTTGTGATAGTGGGAACTAGGTCTTCTGTCTGCTGCTCTCCCAAGTGAGCTATGCACCCTCCCTTCTCCCGATGTCGAGCGCCTTGAATGAGTGGAGTTGTTGAGGCATAATGTTGGTCTGATGTGTCTTCTTCTGGGTGCCCCCATTCTTGGCTCCTCAGTCGTGAATATTTTTTCAGGGAGGGAAATTTCTGTCGAGAGTTGAATAGGGTTGCGCACGAAACCTCCAGGGGGAGTAAGTAACCGTTTGTTATAAACGGTGCCCAGCCCTGGAGGCTTGACTCTTGGGTTTCTCTTTTACAAGTTTGGAATCGGTGATGCAAGAGCATATTAGTTTTCAGTATTTTACCGATGTTTGCAATAGGATTATTGCGCAGTAGCCTTGCGATGGAACATCAGTCGATCATTAATGCAAGAGTGGGAATACCTGACACATATGATGGAACAAAGGGACCAGTGGTTTATTCATGAACTGATACAGACAAATGAGGTATCCTCCAGCATGATGTCCCCATGACTGGAGAGGAGCTTGGAAAACCAGGGATCACTCGTCCATTGATTAGATAAGGAAATTGATATCCCCACAAAGCGAACTGTGGGCCCGGGCTATATAAACCCCTCGAAATGCTGATGAGCCTAAACTTCCATGGCAACGGCAAAAACCAAAACTCTAGAGGAGTTCATGGCAAATGGCGTGTAGCGGCAATAAAGGCTTTGTTGTTGTGCGAGTGTTTCGGTGCACCTCCGTGTGATGAATTCCTCAAGAATGCAAGTATACACTGCGACTTTTCAGTCAGCGAAGTAGTACCCTTAACAATCGAGTACTAGAAAACGTTGGCTGTAAGCCGGGAAGGGTCTCGATAGACGAGAAGGAACAGAATCCGGTATAACTGGGAATACCAGCAAACCGTGAACGAAGTGACGGCAATTTAACTAGTAAAGCTGTGGGCGAGGTTGATGGAATTAGAGAAAATGCTGTCAAAGAGCAATACCGTTGGCAAGATAACAAATACCTGTGACAGCAAGAGACGAAGACTGTAGTCGAGAAACGAGAAACTGGTGGTAAAACAAAGATAAGACGAACTGGCGATGATATGAGGGGGAACTAGTGATGGCAAAACGATGGCTGGGACTGGGCTGGACTGAGACTGAAACTATACTGAGGTTAATGACGGCAAAATGAAACTGATACTAATCCTGAGTCTACACGGAGACTATCCTATACTGAAACTGACGGCAAGATACCAAATACCGTGACTGATGATCCTATACTGAAGCTGTTGACCGAAATTCCGTGACAGATGCTGCTGGCAGGCAATAACAATCCTAATCTGAGTCTACATGGGGACGTAACGATCCTGAACTGAACTGGGTAAAACGATGGCGATGTAGAAGGTGAAAACTGATGAAAACGATCCTGGCTGGTGAAAGTGAAATGATGCTGGCAGATTTAAAAGATAAAAGCGAGTTGTGGACACCAAATTCCGTGTATTGGCGCAATATGAGCATACACCAATACCGTTAGAAGAAAAGCCGTGACAGAGAGTATAACTTGGAGTGACTATGTTGTTATTGTCTATCTCCTAGCAAGTACAAGCGATAACGGTGGTCGATAACGTGGATGATGGCTAGTGTCCAGTAACTTCTGTCTAGCAACCACTACTACACTAGCTTTTATACTACAAGTCCAGAATAAAATTAGAATACTTGAAACGAGTCCTTAGTAAGTCCTTAGTACATTGATTGGTAAGAAATGATACAAAACAGCGTGCTCCCAGAGTTCTAAAGTAACAGCACCCACACAGTTTTACCACATATAGACTTAGTGATCAGAAAGAATTCCGCCGACATACGGACTTTTGGGCTGCTGTGTTGCTGCGGCAAAGTACACTGAAGGTAGTACGCTGAAGTAGATGCGTGCAGCATTGTCTTGGCATTGTAACAGCATTAGTAAAGCTGGTGGAAAGGTCACGGTATTAAGTCTTTTGCCGTGGAATAGGTACTTTGGCAGCGGCATTCTATTAAGTGACGCTTGATGCTGATGTCAGTGATGGCTGTGCTGAGCGATCAATGATGGTCCTAATTCCATGAGATCTGCAATCAGGTGCCTGGCAGCAATAATGAAGTGGCGCATATTGATGCGGAATATGAGTTGGGATGGATAGTTGGCGGTAAAAGTGGGTATTGCCGTGATTGCAATCATTGACTTAGTGAAAGTCCGCTAAGTGGACAAGGCATTTATTATAATGCTAAATCCGTGAATTCTGAGCGTACAGAGCCTTGAGGCTCATCAACGCGACTATGCCATGTATTATACCAAAATAACCACCATAACTAACGAGTCATAGGCTGTCCACTTCCCTTGTGCGCATCACTTCAAGAGATGGCTCCAGCGAAAAAGTTCTGCTTTCCCATTCCGGTGATATTGGAGAGCGAGCACGTCAAATTGGTGCCTTTCAATGTAAGCTAGTGGGGGCCTTGAAGATAGGATAATTATTGATAGCGCTCACGTTGTGTCAAGATCGCTGTTCACACGAAGCTATTAATCACATCCTGCTCTGATGTCAGCCTCTACGATTTCATCCCCATAGGTCTGTACAAGGATCAAGAAGAATTTATTGCCTCTTTCCAGAATGAGAAGGTGGAAGATAATAATGGGATGACTATGTTCGTGGTGTATGACAAAACCAAGGAGGAGGAGGGGTATGCAGGACTCGTTGGCTACGTGAACTCGTCAGCCCAAGATCTAGTCACGGAAATCTTCGTAATCATCGCTCCGGCATTCCAGAGGACGCATGTGATGTCCAACGTGATCGGGATCCTCTTGAAGTACGTGCTTGATCTGCCCGGTGGTGGTCTTGGCTTGCGGAGAGTGGTTTGGCAGGCCAGTGCAGCCAATGCTGCTAGCATCAGGACAGCGGAGAGGATGGGGTTCAAGCAGGAGGGGGTTCTGAGGTGGCATAGAGCATGGCCTGAGTCTAAGTCTCGTGGTGCGAATGGGACTCGTGTGAGGAAGGGAGATCCTAGGGAGGAAGTGTTTCTGTTGGGATGGGATACGGTGGTTTTGAGTGTTTGTTGGGATGATTGGGAAGATGGGGTGCAAGCACATGTTGAGGTAACGATGGTGTGAACAGAATAAAGAACCAGTACCAATGCAGTGTAAGGATCTGAGGACATGGATTGGTGTCGCCCGCATGTTATTTATACTTTCCGAGTTTTTTTAGAACTAGTAGAATGCATGAAGCGGCAAAAGTTCAGTCAGACAAGTCACTGGACATGAAAGTGTATATTGTCCCTAACACCGATGAACACTAACTGTTGCAGTCTTTCAATCTGTTTCACGCATAAACATTCAGCAAACGATTTCAATTTTTTCAACAAAAAAACATGCGCATATGTGCTAGCACTCATATACATATCTGAGTTGACGCGTAAATGGTTTCCCAGAGTATCACCATTCCCTGCTAATAGCCTTGGTTTCCAATAGACCGCCCTCAGGCTAATTGCTGAAGCTCATTGCACAGGAATCCTTCGAACTGTGATGGTTAGACAGACTAGTAAACGAAAACCCCCCAGTATCACTTACTAGATGACACCGGCAAGAACCAGAGTAAAATATCGAGAAACCACGATCTTGGAGAAGGGAGTTTGATGGAAGAGAAGAAGAAAAGCAACTACATGTACTCACTTGCTTCAATGGTCTGTCGCCATTGCACACTGTACATCTTCATAGGGCTGAGGATAAATTATGAGTACGTTGTTGAAGAAAAAGAAAAACTGCAACTCACTTATCTGTGTTTGAGTCCTATCAATCAGGGAAGATAATACGAGGATCACTAGGGGCATTCTATCGGTAGATATATCGACCTCCCCTTGAGACCTGAGACGACTTAGCGTCTCATACCACCCCTTACTCTGGGGTAACGGGACATTTGCCATCCTGAGACCAAGCCTGAGAAGGCCTCGAATCTCCATAGCATGCAAAGAGCGGAGACGACATCATAAGCGGATGTATCTCGGTAGCGTATGGCGGTGAGGTGCCAGGTGTTCTGAAAGTCGCTGGGCGGAGGTGACTTGGCGATGGGGGAGTTGAGGTATTCTTGGATGGGGGAGGAGAGGATAGAGGAATGGAGGATGTGGAGGTCTGTTGCGGTGTGTGGGAGGGGTTTGGGTGAGTAGTTGGGGATGTAGGGGCCATGCTTAAAAGACAGGTCGAGAGTGATGTAGTTCTTGTGGCCGAGTTGGGGGTGGACTGGGTGAGGCTCTAGGTAGACGAACAAGTCTCATGACATTGTTGGTGAGAGTTGTAAGTTGACCATTGTGGTTTCACTCGTTCATGAAATACGAAGGGCAGTACTTGATCATGGCCGTCGATCGTTATTCAGGTGAAAGGTGGCAGGCATACATCTTCGTGTCCCATTGACATCATCTGAGCGGATAGATAAATGTCTATGACACTGGAGTTTAGTAGTATGATGTGTCATTGGTATTTTGAGATGCTCTAAGTCTGGCACTGTGGTACAGGCCACAGGCTGCAAGGATGTAGAGAGTGGGACACTGGATGACACGTAGTTAGGTGATTATTGTGAATTATTGGGCTCAGGGCAACAGCTGTGTCCGTACTGTGCAGAAAGGGTGTGGTTTGAGGTAAAGCTGGTAAACTGAGCATCATCAGCAAAATCCCCCAATGATTGCAATCATTACTATTCTTGGAATATCTTATCAGTGCCGATATTCAGCTGACAATCAATATCATAATCATATCAATTTGTAATTGCATTATAATCTGCTGCAACGCTTGTGGATCTTACAATGCATACAGCTCAATTGCAACCAAATTGCAACACTCTTACCATGGTATTGTAAATGTGCATCAGCTTATTTCCAGTAATACTTCAAGGTTCATCCTTCCTTGTGCCACATTCATTAGTAGGGACCAAATTGGTTTGATAGTGTTGCAAGAATTATGTTAATGTGAATGATGTTTTACTAGTACATAGGTCTTTGTTAGCGACCGATTACACAAACAAGATTAAACAACTAGGCGTGACTCGCACTTCGGTCAGGTGCCTTGTGTTGCTCGCAGGTTTATGTGCAGGGAGCTATCGCTTAGTTGAGCGAGAGTGAGTTCAGACTAAGTTATCGGGTGAATAAACTTTAGTTCGAGACTGAGGTTTAAGACCTGCAGTCGAGCTACTTAAATACAGTTTGGGTCATGCTAAATATAATACAAGAGTCTGCAACGGTGCGTTAAACACACTGAACCCTCATGGGGAATGCGATCAAGTTCGGAAAGTTAGTATAGCAGGATTATGAGAGAGTTGATAAGATGAGATAAGACGCGAAATCGTAATATTACCCCCCTGTTAAGGCAGTCGTCCCGACTGCTGTATAACTTGGTTTTGAAAGATAGGCTCCTACGAGAGAGGGTGCATTTGGTTTTATCAGGTATTCTTGGATTGCCTGTACCAATGGGTGGTCAACTTCCGACTCTGTTACAGATTCGTGTTCGGACCAGGAATCTGATTCGTCCTCGTCCTCCCACCACTCGGCAGGAGGTTGGGTGATGAACGAGACTTGTTCGAAGTCTTCGATTGCATCCCTGGCGTTGTCCAGGTCTTGTTCGTCTACCCAGGAATTTTCCTCTCTCGGATATCCTTTCCATTTGACAAGGTATTCGATCCCGGTGCGTCGTCTTCTTCCTCTTCCCCTGCTCCTTTCCCTTCAGTCTACGATTTCCTCCACTTCATATTGTTCTTGCCCATCTATAAGGTCTGGCAGTGGTGCTAAAGGCTGTATTTAGATTGGGAACTCCGGCGGGTGGTATGGAGTGAGAAGATTCTCGTTGAAACGGTCGTGGATTTTCCACGAGGGGGGAAGTCATAGTTTGTATGCAGATGCGCCATGCTTGGAAATTACCTCGAACGGCCCGACTCGTTTGTCTCCTAGTTTTTTCATTGGTCGAGGGAGGTGTAGATTAGTGGAGTCAAGCCATACTTTGTCCCCTGGTTGATACTCCACTGCCTGTCGTTGGTGTTTGTCGTACTGTCGTTTCATATTTTCGGCCGCCTTTTCCAACGCTTTGGCGGTTTGTTCGTGCACCTTCTGTATGTCGGCTACAAAGTCCCTAGCCGCTGGGTTTGTTCCTTCTTTCATGGTGAGCGGTGCAAGGTGAGGTTTTTGTCCATGGTTGACTTCGAAAGGGGAGTATCCGGTTGCCGAATGCTTTCGGTTGTTGTGCTGGAAGGCAGCGAGCAGTAACCACTCACTCCAGTCGTTCTGTCGGTGATTGATGAAGATGCGAAGGTATTTTTCAATTTCTTGATTTGCCTGCTCTGTTTGCCCATCAGTCTGGGGGTGATACGCTGTGGATGGGTTTCCTTGGATGTGTAACATGTCATATAGCTCCTTCATGAACTTGGACACGAATTGGGGTCCTCTGTCCGAGATCACCTTTTGCGGCATTCCATGTTTGGCCCATACATGGTCTCTAAGGATTTTTGCCCACCTGGCTGAGGTTAGCTCTGTGGAGCATGGTACCGGAATAACTTCTTTAGAGAACCGGTCCACAATCATGAGAATGGCGTTGTACCCATTGGAGTTAGGTAATTCGCCTATCATGTCGACAGTGATATGCTCCCATGGTCGAGAGGGTACTGTGTGCGGGTGTAACGGTGCCCTTTTCTTTTGTGTACTCGTTTTCATTCGCTGGCAGGCTTCGCATCCCTTCACGTACTTTTCTATGTCTTGCTTCAGCTTCGGCCACCAGTAATTTCGTTGGATGAGCTCTTTGGTTTTTTCAATGCCCGGGTGTCCAGCCGTGATGTGGTCATGATGGATGGCTATCAATTCTCCTCGTAGCTTGGCATCTCGGGGTACGTATAGTCTTCCGTCATAATGCATCAGGCCTTCCTGCTGAGAGATCCCTCTGGGGTGATGAAGAGAGGCCTCTATCCCTTTGTCCCACCGGGTTACGTCGCGCAGCGCTGTTCGTATCTTTTTGTGAATCTCCTCTTCGCTTGGCATGATAAGGGCTCGGAACATTTCCGGTTTTAGGACTACCATCTCCTTATTATCCTCGCTTCCTTGATCGTGGTCTGCCCTTCAGGATAATAAATCCGCCTTCTTGTTGGCGGTTCCCGGCTTGTGGTGTAGGGTGAAATAGTACTCGGCGAGTTCTGTCACCCATCGGGCTTGTCGTCGGTTAAGCTTCTGGGGTTTCCGGAAGTATTGGAGGTTTTGGTGGTCCATCCATATTTTGAAGTCTTGGTAGGCTCCCATGAGGTAATGCCTCCAGTCTTCTAAGGCGAGCATAATGGCTAGGAGCTCCTTGTCATATATCTCGTAGTTCCATTCCGTGGTGGTTAGAGCTTTGGATAGGAACGCTACTGGTCTCCATTTTCCTTCCTGTTCCTGCGATAGCACCGCCCCTATGGCTCCTTCGCTTGCATCCGCCTCTACGTGATACTTCCCTGTTCGGGTGGGTATCGCTAGTACTACCTCTTCTGCTAGCTTCTTCTTGATCTCCTGGAACGTGTTTTCTTGAGTCCTTCCCCATTGCCACTCGGCCTTTCCTGTGAGCTGGGTCAGTGGTCTCACGTGTTTGCTGTAATCCCGAATGAACCTTCGGTAAAAGTTGGTGAACCCCAGGAACGATTGTAGCTCTCGTTTTTTGGTGGGTTGGGGCCACTCCGTGATTCCTTTGACTTTTACAGGGTCCATGCGTATCGATCCTTGACTGATGATTACTCCAAGATACTCGGTTTCTAGTACCTCGAATTCGCACTTTTCCGCTTTTAGGAATAGGTTGTTGGCGCGAAGGATGGCTAGGACTTCTCGTATGACAGCTTGATGTTTGTCTTTGTCTTTCGTGCAGATTAGGATGTCGTCTAGGTATACGGTAACATCCCCTCGCGCAATCTGTTCCTTGAATAGGTCGTTCATCATCCACTGAAAGGTGGCGGGCGAATTGGTGAGTCCAAAGAACATCACCATGGGTTCAAACAGCCCTCGATTCGTTCGGAAGGCGGCCTTCCACTCGTCTCCTCCTTTGATTCGTACATTATTGTATCCCCATCTGACATCCAGCTTTGTGAAATATTTGGCGTCTTTGAGTTGGTCCATTAGTTCTCCGATAAGGGGAAGGGGGTATCGGTTTTTAATGGTCATTTCGTTTAGCTTGCGGTAGTCTTGTACTGGCCGAAGCTTCCCGTCCTTTTTTTTTGACGAAGAAGAATGGTGACGCCATGGGAGACTTGGAAGGTCGGATTCTTCCAGACTCCAGGTTTTCGTCCAGGAACTTATCTAGCTCTTCTTGTTTGACTGGGTTGAGGGGGTAGACTTTACAGTCTAGACTTGCATTTGCATTGGGGATTAGTTCAATAGCATGGTCCCATGGTTTTCACGGTGGTAACTCGTCAAAGTTTTCTTTTGCAAATACGTCCCGAAATTCCCGGTATGGTTCCGGTACTATTTCTTCAAACGTTTTTGCTTCCTTGGCTTGATTGGCTTTGGCGGCTAGTTCGTTTGCCTTGCTTCCCATGGCTTGAACGTGGAAGGCTTCTTCGAAGTCAATGATAAGGATGGTATCTCCTTCCTCTACTTCCGTTCCCCAGTGTTGTTCTGGGTCCTCGTCGGGTAGAAGGAAAGGTATTTGACGACATGAACACCTGACTAGGGATACCGCCCCCGTTTTCCAATCGATGATGGGGTTATGCCTTTTAAGCCAGTCGTGTCCCAGGAATAGGGGTACGTTTCCCAGGTCCACGACGGCTAAGTCGACCTTTTCATGATGATCTCCAATGGTCATTCACAACTCTACTATCTCGGTGATGTCTCCTCCCTTGTTCCTGCTGCCATCAGCATTGTATACGGCCTGGGCTTTGGGTAGTTTTACCGTGTTGATCTGGTGCTCCTGTACGAATGTTCGGTTTATGCAGCTCCCAGTGCATCCGCTGTCAACTAGAGTGTCAACTGCTCGTACTTGGCCGGTATCCAGGGTTTCGAGTTGTACTCGGATGTTGACGCTTCAGCCCTTTCCTCCTTGAATGTATTGGGGAGGAACACGTAGGTCCTCCATGTTTTGTAGGCATTGCTCCCGTTGTCTGTATGTCTCCTTTGAGGATCCAATGAGATCTACGACTAGATCTTCGTCTACTTCTATGAGGCGCCTCGGGTGTATCCACATGCGAAGGGTGGCCAACTTCCCTTCCATGGTCTTTTCCTGCCTCATTTTCCTTCTTACCCACTCGGCGCTATGGGGTTTGAGCCATCCCTTGTCCCACTTGTCGTTGTAGTATTCCTTTTCCAATTCAGTTACCTCGTAGTCTTCCGGGTACTCCTCGGTGTAGGTCACCGGGTCTTCCCCTTGCTTCTTGAGGCTTTGTTGGTAACTATAGTCGTCTTCCTCATCGGGTACTTCTTCGAGTGAAACGGTATTTTTATTACGAATAGGAGGTGCACATAATGGTCCCACTGACCCACCCACCGGGGAACACGGGCCCCCGGTGCCATTATGTGTTAGCGATGAAGGGGGTAGGCATACCTGATATGTAGGGGTTGGGTCCCTGGGCGTCTTGACTGTTCTTTGCGGGGCAGTGGTTTTCTTGATGGGGATTCGCGTTCCCTCTTGCGGCTCCGTCGTGTCTGGGTAGTTGGCTGCATAGGGCAGGTGCATACGTTCCGCCTTCAGGCGAGGTCCTGCATCGTTCCTCTCCCGCCTGGAGGCGCCCTCGCCCACTACTAGCTCGGCCGCTCTTCCTCCGTTTTCTGTGCCGGTACCTACCCGCCACGGAGCGATGTTGACCTTGATCCCGTGTGTCCCGCCGCCTTGCGCAGCATGAGCCGCTTGTGCTTTCGCACCAGTGGCCAAGGAGCTTGAGTGGGGTTCTTCTTCGAGCATGGTGGAAATCCCCTGTACACCGTTTCTTTTATGCGACTGAGTAATTTCATTTTGTGATAGCGTGAAAGTTTGATCATTGCCTCGAGGTACTACATGCGGTACATTAGTCCGACCTGTGGGTTTCTGTGATGCACCACTAAATGAAATTGTGTCCTTTGCCGACGCGCGTTTGTCGCTTACGCTGCCGGCTCATCTTTTACCTCCTCGATCTTCGATGTGGAGGCCTCTGCTTCTTCATCCTTGACTACTTGCTGGTACATGGCACGAATTTGGGCTCGGGAGAATTTGGGCTGGTGCTTGACGAGCCAAGTGCTTTCGTCCTTGGGGCACTTGTTGTCTTGCTTCCGATGTCCCTTGTGACCGCAGCGGAAGCATCGTCCTTCCTTGCACAGTCGATCTATTTCCATCGGTTGCCCTTGCCCCCTGTATGTGGTTCCTGTTCCCGTCTTTTTATCTCCCTGGGAACTCCCGGAACTTCCGGCCTTTCCTGTTCCCTTGTTCTGTTGACCCTGGGTCCCCTGATTCCTGCCTGCGTCTTCCGCCAGTCCTACTCGGTAGTTGTAGTCCATTTGTTCTACGCGGAATTTCCATTCTGTGTATGTTCGTGGTAGAGCCGTTCCGGTGGCGTGTATGGCCATTTTTACATTCTTGCGGATGGCTGGTTTGAGTATCTCGATCATGTATTCCTCATTGTGATGCTTTCCGGACTCCTTCGCTAGGCGTTCGAAGTCGCGGAAGAATTCTTTAGCCGATTTGTAGGTGTTTTGGCGAATTCGCTTGAATTCCTGTAGCTTGAGTTCAACTTCCGCATCGGTCCGGAATTGGTCTTCAATGATTTGCCGGAACGTTTGCCATGTTGGATATCGCAGGTATCCGCACGTTTCGTCGTAATATTCATCCCGTGCGTGGTTCCACCAATGCAATGCTTTGTCCGCAAGTCGGAACGTGCAGAACACCACCCGGTTAGGGCTTTGTCCATGCGCGTTCATCGTGAATTGCTGCGGAAACACGTGGAAGTAATCTTCGCACTGATTGAGGAACCGGTCCACATTGCTAGATTCTCCTTTGAACTTCTCGGGAGGTTCCGCTAGCTGCGGCTTCACTTGTCCCCATGGGTTCATGTTTGCCACTCCTACAATGAATGGTGGTGGCGTGTTTGGTGGTTGTACAGGGTCAGCGGGGATGGGAATTGCCGTGGGGCACGGTAGCGATCGTAACGTGGGATTGTGATGCGGGGAAAGGGGTCCTTGCGGTGCAGGTGATGGTACCACGGGAACTGCTGCAGCTGCGGCTGCAGCTGCTCCTGTGCTTCCCGGTGTTCCTGCCGCCGCGAATAACCGGCTAGGGTCGACGTACCCTGTCCTTCTAAGAATGGATAGGTGGCTTAGATCCACCGTGCTTCCGCTCGACGCTTCTGATGGGGTTGGCACCTGGTACCATTCTCCGGGGTCCGTGTAGTCGTCCGGGTGTACTTGGTTCCACAGGATATTCGTGTGGAAAACGGTTTCTCGATAGAGCACCTGGGCCCCAATCCTCGAGTCTTTTTCCTTCTGGAAGTATCTCCCCTGTGGTGAACCATTCCACGATATTTCTCTTGGTAACTTTCGTTCTGTCCAGCGCAGCATCTCTAAATAGGTCATATTCATTAGCTCAGCCTCAGTAGGCTCCCGAGCTAGATCCTTCCACGAACTCCGGGATGACGTCTTTGTCTCCATACTCTCCGACCCTATGCTGCTGCTGTAAGTCGAAGTCCGCCCTATTCCAGGGTTCTCGTAAATTTCTCCTTCTTCTAAGTCCGATTGGTCGGACTCGCTCAAAAGGCTCCGTGCTTCCTGTGATGATTCGGTTCCAGTTGCGAACGATTCAGGCCCACTCATTGACCCTGAGAATGACTTGCTCGAAGTCTGGTCTTCAGGGTCTATCCCATACCCAAGGTGCGATGAAGGGGATGGGGGCTGCATGGGGATGTTCTGGGGCGAGAGGGTAGATGGCATAGGGGACGACGGAGGCAGGGGCTTCGATTCCTTCGTACATGAGCCATGCGTCGGCATAGTCCTGTATTTGTCAGCATATATTGCAGCTGGCGTCGGCGTCATATGTGGGCTCGCATTGGTCGAGCGCGGTAGTGGCTTCCCCGGTCCTATCGTTGATGATGATTGGGGTGTTCGGGCGGGTGACGAGGTTGAGGTAGCTTCCTTCATCGTCTGATGAATCATCACGGGCGTAGTAGTTGCCCCATGTTTCTCCTCTGGAGTCCAGCCTTGGAGGGGACCAGTCGTTGCGTGGCCCTGGGAGCTCATCGCTGTGGTCGTCTTCCTCTGAATAGCTGCCTTCCTCATCTGAACTGCTTCCAGTTCCATCTGTAGTCGCTGCTCTTTCTCCCAGATGATATCTAAGCCCTCTTTGATAGAGGCACTGTCCGTCTGAATCGTATCCAGGGTTGGCGGCTGAGTTTTTGGTGGACGTGGGGGAGGGGGCATCCCAGGGATTACTTCCTTCGCTTTCCCCTTCGCTTTCTTCCTCTGTAATGGGAGAGAGAACACGCTGGTCCACCCCTTGTTCGTAGATTCTTCGCTCTTCTTCTTCTTCAATGACTGGGCCTCTTTGTGGGGGCCATCCTTCCATTTCGGCGTTGGGCTCACTGGACTCGCTTGTGTCGGAGTCCTCTGTGATCCACTCGTCGTCTGTGATGAAGATGAAATGGATGATGGGGTCAGGTCTGTCGTCGATGTAGTCGGGAGGGGGTGTGTGCGGTCAGTCTAGCCTCCGGGTTGGGGGCTTCGACGGGGATAGTTTCTTCGGAGACTGGCTCCTGGTTTCGTCGGTACTCGTATCCATATAGGAACGCGAGATAGGCTACGGCGATAAAGCCTTGGAGTCCAAAGAGGTCGGTGAGGTATTGTTCGATGGGGTTCATTCGTTACTGTCCGACAATGTGGTTGTTGTTGAAGAGTAAGAAAGTCTCGAACTAATTGTTAGCGACCGATTACACAAACAAGATTAAACAACTAGGCGTGACTCGCACTTCGGTCAGGTGCCTTGTGTTGCTCGCAGGTTTATGTGCAGGGAGCTATCGCTTAGTTGAGCGAGAGTGAGTTCAGACTAAGTTATCGGGTGAATAAACTTTAGTTCGAGACTGAGGTTTAAGACCTGCAGTCGAGCTACTTAAATACAGTTTGGGTCATGCTAAATATAATACAAGAGTCTGCAACGGTGCGTTAAACACACTGAACCCTCATGGGGAATGCGATCAAGTTCGGAAAGTTAGTATAGCAGGATTATGAGAGAGTTGATAAGATGAGATAAGATGCGAAATCGTAATAGTCTTGGCCAGAATTGAAATGAGTGAATCGCTAGTACAAGCAGACAGAAAGCAACTATGGCATGGTATCATCGAATGGTGGCAGGAAAGCGTGGACTGGGCCATAAAATAATTGCAAGTCCTTTCAAACTCTGCTGTTTCAGGTTCTGCACTCCCGGATCGCATCATTGCACGTGATGTTGACCTTTTGTTGATGCAAATTCCGACTCCCTTTCTCTCGTTCTTTCCACTACCATCGTTCTTCCTCAGTTCTTCAGGCATTGATACTCCATGAAAAAGTCTTTGATAATTATCCAATCAATCTGAGTCCTTCTGATGGTGTTCTTTCTGTCCTAGGTGCCTCTATTCATCCACTTCTAGCTCATGGCCAGGGAGAACGGTGTTGCGGTTGAATATTTCTTCGAGTATGTAGACCATAGATTTATCTCTTCTATTGTCACTGACTACTCTTCTCTATTTGCCTCAGAACTCGACCACATTGACATCCTCTCTACCCCCAGCTATGGAAGTTGTGCGACAATTCCATGTGAGTTCCTTGCAGACTTGGCACTTCAAGATTATTTATATGATCTAGGACTCTTTGGTGCCCTTGTGATATCTGTTTAGGGATGGAGGACATTCCCGCAGTCAGGGTGAGTCAAGACTGCCGGCTACTTTTGATGCAATGATTTATTTTGATGCCGTAGCCACTCACTCATTAATACCTCTGCTGTGATGACACCATTATCAAGTGCATTGATAAATCTATAGCCGCTGCTGCTCGCAAGAACCTGCTGAGGGAGTGTAATGAGTACGTACATTTATATCTGAGTATGCTCATACTGACTGGGTGCTTGATAGGCAGGCTTTCTATCAAAGGAATGGTGCGCCATGAAGGACTGGAGGATCGTATGGCTCGTTTGTGCACCTTTCGGGGAGATTAATACATACTAGATGTCATTTTGTGTACCTTATGCTGCAATAAATTTATCCTTTCGTGCTTTGCATTGTATGCTTTGCTAGCTGAATGAATGATATGATCCATTTAATTGCTTGAGTAACAGTCATATCATTCACTTAATTGGCTTTTACAGAGGCCTGATATGAAGGTTGTATTCACATACAATCATAATAATTCTATCAGGTCATACGAGAACTACCATTCTTGTAGAGATTATATTCCGCTTATAATATGGGTACAACACGGTTATAAAATGTACGCATCGACGATAATCAATTATAACCGATTACACATGTTATAAGTAATTATTGCGATTACAAGCCTCTCGCATGTATTTGTAATCGCTCTGCATTTTTGCTGATGGTGATGGCGAGTAATCCACGTGTACCGAATATTTCCCATGCCGTACGCGCTCCACCCAACACAAACCCTCTTGGACCTACTAGTGATATACACGTTCGAACGTAACGATAGTTGACAACGCCGAAGCCGACATGTAGAGGTCGGCTTCTTTAATGAGCTTCAAGGGCCGGCTACGCTTGAAACATGTACGTGTATTTCACCAAAACGTACGCAAAAATCATATACGATGTTTACCGTGAACTAATTCAGACGCATACGAAGTAACGAGAAGAAAACAATATGGCAGTGACGAAGATATGACAAGAATCGGTACAGGTGAGCATCCATTCGGGATACCACCGTCCCCCAAAGAAGTCGCGAGTTCTTAGAAGTCCTTTCAGCGCGGGACATCTATCTTTGCATCGCATTCACTATGTATTCACGTTCAACGTTCGCATAGAATCACGGCAGCCACATTGGACATTGCCTCTCGCCTCGCCCTTCTTCATAGCCCTCAAGTCTTCGGTAACTGCTTACCTATCAAGACATCTGAGAATCTTCGTAGGAGAAGACTACACCATCACGTCTTTGCGGTTTCTGATTGGACGTGCTGGTGTGCACAGGGTGACGGTGTGCTTAACGCTGGTGCATCGCATCGTCGCTATTCGCTGGATATTCGAACAGCATGACCATTCTTACGGTACAGACCTGCTTAGCTGGTATTGCATAGTTTGCATAGTCTTCAGTATCGTTGAGTTCTGTCATCTGTATACCAAAGAAGCACCATGGTGCTAGAATCGGAACCTTCGTAAGAATATGGGCACACTTTAGTAAACCGCACTTGTGATAGAATCTGCTTGCCACCCACCGATTGTCGGCACGAATGGCTGCACGTTCGTACGCACGATGCACAAACCACTGCTGTGTCCAGCCTCTAACACCGCACTCCAGTATACTTCAGTGTCGTCGTTGCGATGAGATTCATGGCTCCAACTGCCAAATGGAACTTTAGGGAATTAAATCGATCCATTGGGAGGTACTTTGCTCACCTCGCGAATGGCACGAGCTGTCCCCGCGACCCCGGTGTATCAAAGTAACTTTGACTGGGCCTAATTCGAAGGCAGATAGGATTGCGATACGTGCGCACCCATGCTTTCTCTGTACATATTTGGAGTAGAAATCGAACGACGGATTGTTTCGAGCGCCGTGTCTCCGTATTGCATCAAAATCACACGCGCGTTGGAACGAACAGCCTCGCCTGTCTTTAGGCCGTGCCTGTGTTATTCATACAGGATGTTAGTGAGTTACGAGGATATAAGAAGACGTGAGATAAAGTAGTTATTTTTCAATGTGCACAAACTTTTCGATGCGTTTCTTTTCCTTCTCCCACGACGGCCTGTGTTCATGCGAATCTCCCTGCGGTAAACATGGCGTCGTAAAGCTTTGTTCCACTGCCATGACGTCGCCATGGCAAGAACATGAATACCGGTGCTTTGTGGTAAGTTCTGTAGGCGGCCAAGTTGTGCTATATCAAGGTCATAAATTCTTCTCTGGACGCTGTGTCGCTGTCGCATCATCAGAATCAGAACGAGTACACGCCGGAATACCCGGATTTCGTCCCCCGTAAGAGCATGCAGTAAACAATGGGGTTGGAGGAAGTCATGGCGGGCGGTGAAAAATAGAGAAGTGATGTCACTATCGTGTTCTGTACGTTTTTCCTTCCACACAGCCACGCACCCCTTTCTCACACATTCTCCCTAGTCGCGCCGGAAACCACGTACGTCCTGTCCCCGCACCTCATCATTTCCCCATCTAACACTCTATCCAGTCCGCAACGCAATCCACGTTCACCTCCCCCTGCACAAAATCCGGTATCGACTCGGGCTTCGTCCTAATAATTGGTTGGTTTTCTTTTTGTTTTGTGCTTTGCGTGTGGCTGACGATGGGTAGGTGCATATACGTCGTGTCGTCGGTACACATCTCGCTAGTCATCTCGCTTGCGCTGGGATGTCTGAACCTCGAGGCTCTGGATAAGGATCGGGCGTTTGGATGGGACGAGGGTAGGGTGGGGAGGTTGATTGCTATTTCTTGTGGGTGAGTCCTCGCTTTGTGTCTGCGGGGAGCAGTTCTGACTTGGGCGAGCAGGTATTTCATATGGGATACCGTGGATGCGATCGTCAACTTCGTGGATATCGGCTTTGCCGTGCATGGCTTAGCGTGTTTGGCGATTTATCTTGGGTCGTTCGTGCGTCTGTCTGTCTATTCGTGCTTGGTTCCGTGCTCAGTCTCGTGTAGAAGCCGTTCTTGGCGTACTACGCTGCGCGGTGTCTTCTCTGGGAAGCGTACGTCCCTCTCCCAACATCCACTAACCCTCGCCATTAACCTCCACACCTTTCCCAGGAGCACGTTCTTCCTCAACATCCACTGGCTCCTCGACAAGACCAACCACACCGAGAGCAACTTTCAGCTCATCAACGGCCTCCTCCTCCTCGTTACATTCTTCGTCGTGAGGCTCGTGTATGGGGGGATGTACGTCGTACGTGTTTAACGCGCGTTTCTCGTTGCTCGCTCGACCTGATGCTTGGTGGTGTGGTAGTTATACCAGTTCGCGCATACGCTATACCAAGTCCGGCATCAAGTGCCGCTTGCTTATATCTTTATTTATGGAGGAGGGAACGTCGTATTGCAGGGACTTAATTGGTTATGGTACGTGTTGGTTCGTCTTTTTTACTTGTTGTACTGAAGCAGGGGCTGGGATAGGTTCGGGAAGATGATTGCGGCTATTCGGAAACGATTTTCTGAGGATACGGACAAGAATACGAGTAATGGGACCGTGCCAAAGTAGAATGGACGCTTGGATACAACAACATACTATGCAATAAAGAGATTTTTAAGGGAGAAGAGACGGTGCATTTCTCAAGCCGGAGAGATTTCAAAGGTGCACTGGATTTTCCAACACGGCAGTAACGCTCCCATTAACGTATTGCCTAACGTCGGATGGCCATCTGTAACGAGCTCGCGCTTGGTGTCCTTCTGAGATGACCATGCCCAAAACAGCTCAAAGTAATGGGAACGTCTATCGGGCCCAGCGTAAGGTAATCGGGGTAAGATTTAATGAGAAGGGGAAGTGGGACATGGCTCACTCGGGAGAGCAACAGATTACCATCCAGTTCGATTCTGGATTCCTACGATAGAGGGCCTTGGATCCTAGGTGTGCTATTTTGAAAGAGGCTCATTTTTGTATGCGAATTTTACAACACCAAGTGATCCGACTCGTCTTCCGTTCAGCGTTACTCGTGAACCTGCATTATCACCTTTTCTCTCAGTGAAATAACAAACGTCGGAAGTACATCTGTGACGAGCTCGGGCTCGGCATTCAGAGTGTATAAAACGCTGGGTTTGTTGCGCCGGGGCTTGCCACTGTCAAGTAGAAGGGCTTTTCGAATCAGGGTTCAGCGAGATTCTTTACTCGTCCAAAACAAGACTCGAGGTAACGAGGACATCTGTTTCGCCCACCGTATGGGGTAGTGTTTGATGGGAGGGAGGATGGAGCCAGTGAATAATATGGGAACGTGCAACGGACTAACAGTGACATCCGGTTCGATTCCGGGTTCCCACAATGCTGATGATTGCGAAGCTTTTGGTACGTGCGTTCACCCACTATCGCGGTCCGCGGAAGTCCCAGATGACGAATTAGAACAGGTATATTGCTGCATCGAGAGTCGTCGCTCCCGGTGACTTCCCCTTGCAAGGGAGAGAAGGGGAGGGGTGTTGCCTCGTAAGTTTGGCACTCGGAAACTGAAACTTGAAAAAGTTTGGTCAGTCCACTGTCCAATGCTTGATTTTGAATGTCAAGATATCTCCTCCGGTACTGTGCTTTGCGAGCAGATGTTCTCCCCCAAGTACCGCCAGTGGAGAAGAAATTGATTGGGTTGTCTCCTGCTCTCTTCCTTGCAGCGGAATCAATGCTAACGGTGTTCAAGCTAGCGTGCGTTGGCCCGGGCGTAAAATCAGGGGTTTGCTAGCCAGGTGGGTGGGTTTCTTTGAACTCGGTCTTTTGGTTATGACCAAATGTAGAAGGAGGGCACGATAATCGGGGTAGTGTTTGTGGGAACGTTAGCTCAGTCGACAGCGACTAACATCCCGTTCGATCCTGGGTTCCTGCAATAATGATATCTTTCCGGGTAACAGACTACTCAGCAACGAGTTCAATCCTGGGTGTCCTCATTAATATATGTATCGTCTAGTGTTATTGTTTTGTTTTGGCCACAAGAACACGCGTCGAGCGGTATTCCTGTACCGTGACAACGAAATCCGTCGACTCGAATACGACGCCAGATACCAAGACTCGCTCAAGATAATGGGGACATCAGCGTAAAGAAATCGGGGTAGTGTATACTGAGAAGGAGAAAAGGGATATGGTTCACTTGGGAGAGCAACGTCAACAGACTAAGATCCAGTTCGATTCTGGGTTCTCGCAATAAAGGTGCTGGCAGTGGACGCTTTATATTTTGGTACCTCGCGTTCATAGCAAGCTCGACATGACGAATATAGTCTGCAGTTTGAGTACCTTAGACCACACCGACAGCTGCGACACCCCGGCATGTCGCCAGGAGAGGAGGGATAGCGATCGACTTGAACCTAGTTCGATCCTAGATGCCCTCAATATCGTATTCGGCGTACTTCTAGCACTCCGAGATAACGTTCCGGTATGCGAGAGACAGGCGCGTCGAGTTGAGTAAATATCAAGGGAAAGAACGATATATATGATGTATGCATAGTTCACATTTGCATGGTATTTGACAACGCCGAGGCCACACTCGCGACCTTTACTCCCAGCACTAAGCTGGCGCTTTCTTTCAGCAAAGGGTCAAGGTAGCGGGAGGAAGAGCCAAATCACTCGACCGAGAAAGGAATGCTGACGCGCCTGGGCCCCAGAGAGATAGTGCAAAGCAGCGCCAAATCATTTTCCAGTAGGGTGACTCGGAATCTACCTGCCGCGACGCAGTCTGTGACCTGTGAACTGTACGTTCAGGGCCAGGTTTAGGAACATCGGTTTCCGAGTCCGTGCGTTGATGCGGCGGGGTTCAATATAAGTTGGTGGGTTTTCTGATTCGGTCTTTTGTGAGTTACTACGACCAAACATAAAGGGAGGTCACGATAATCGAGGTCGCGGAAGGAACGCAACAGCAGCTGATGATCCTGTACATGTGAGCGAGTCATTGGTACTTGCGTTGAAAGTCATAGAGGAAACTACGAGAGTCGTCAGCAACCTCCCCTCGATCCGACGTCAATGGTATACACCGAGAGAGGATGAGGAGTATTGCTCAGGTCTGACTAAGACCCAGTTCAATCCTGAGTGCCCACAATACGGCGAGGACTACAAGGTTTTTAGCACTTGTTCCGGTATTGGAAAGGCAGACGCACCAAGAAGTGAGTTGGGTGATATTCCCGTACGATAAGAAGGATATGATGTATGCGTAGTTCAATCGAGGTTCATTTTAAGGAACAAATTGGGTCATATCTCCCTTAAAAACTGGCGGACTTGGCGTTCCCTCAGCGCGCCGGTAAATGTCTTGATGGCTTTGCCTCCTTGGAACGCCACAACGGTTGGAAGTGCGCGTACCTGCACCCACTCAGTACGAGGAATAAGCCATGATAAGAAGTCAACGCACCTTGAACCGCTGACAGAGCTCCCGCCCATCCTCGGTATCGCTGTTAATGATGACTAGATCCAATGGCTGGCGGGACACGGTTTTGGTGGAAGGATCCTCGGTGAGTTGTTCGAGGATGGGAGAAAGGACTTTGCATGGCTGGCACCAGCTGCGAAGACGTGAGTTTATAAGCGTGGTAAAGCATCTCTGCTTACTGTGCGTAAAAGTCAATGAGAACGATGCGTTCTTCCGCTGTGGTCACTTTTTTAAAGGTCTACGATGGGTTTAATTAGGTGGGTAGGGAAGGGAAGGGACGGAAGTGAAAGTCGGCATCGATGTAGTGCTCGAAGCGGCGCGGGGTAGTAGAAAAGTGACGCCGAGAGAGACGAGATGCGAGGAACCTGAAGGAAGCCATGGCGGCGGTGAAAAGCTCCCGACCGTAGCTGTGGAAGGTGCCTTAATGCTGTTCGGAGTTGTGGAGGTGTTCGATGACTTCGACCTTGCTTCATACGCCCACCGCAATGCCCACAAGCGACACCATACCCACAACCACCCAAGCAAAAACGGAGAAAATCTCCAAACTCCAATCTTCGCAGGGCGGCGCTGTCGAGGAAGGGGAGAACGGCACTACAGCCCAACCATATCTTGAATATGTCAATCCTGCAAAGTCGAGCAAGAGGTTCGGATTACGAGGATCTGCTCCTTACCGGATTCCTAAAGGTAAATCACACTCATATGTTGATGAAATCGTTCCTATCTCAGGCTGACCAGGCAATGATCCTTTCAACTACGAGGAAAAGTATCCTGAAGATGCGTATTGTGAAGAAATGGGACCCAACGCCAGGGTATTTCGGACGTACCTTGATGAGCGTGCGATCTATGACGCGGATATGGTGGAAGAGGCGAGAGACGGTGTTGATGTTCTTCTCGTTTTCGTACGTGGCACATGTTCTATTCGTATCCGTGCTCATATCTCTGTACCAGGCGGGTCTTTTCTCGGCTGTGGTTACAACTTTCGTAGTCCAAACTTCCCAAAGTCTACAAGTGGACTATGCAGAGATGTCGGCCAATCTACTTTTCGAAATGATCAATATTCAGCGTGCTATTGCCAGCGGCGCTTCCTTGGACACCGTTGCTGCTTCCCCTCTGAACCCCAACGTCACGTTCATTGCTTCAACCACGAGTGTCTGGGTGAACGGCCTATGGTTCACCAGTCTTGCGCTTAGCCTCACGACAGCACTTGTCTCGGTGCTGGTCAAGCAATGGCTCCATCATTACATGGCCTTACCCTCTGGAACACCCCGGGAGCATAGCCTTCTGCGGCAGTTCCGATTTGCAGGACTGCAGAAATGGCGTGTTCTCGTTATAATTGGGCTACTCCCTGTTCTGATGCACACTGCCCTTGCAATATTCTTTGTTGGCCTCGTGATCTTCCTTGGCCCATTACGAGATTCGCTTGCATGGGTTATTGGTGCGATTACAGCCATTGCATATATAGCCTATTTGATGGCACATATTCTCCCCCTCATCTTCCCACAATGCCCCTACCGTACCTCACTGTGTGACCTACTCCATGTCTTGCACACTCATGTGGTGCAGAACACCGTCCTCACTTTCTGGCATGGTCTCCATCGAACCGTGATGAATACGCCTGACACAGTGGCTAGCCAGTCTGCCCCCAATGTTGCAAAATGGAAGGACTTGAAAGAGTTGGAGTCGGATGAGGTACATTCAGTGTCGGGTGAATTATCGGTTGATGCCCTGCATTGGCTTTTTTCCATGTCGTCGAACCCCACTGTGCAGAATATCATCTTTCAAGCTATTGGTGATCTGCATCCAGCACTTCAGTCGAAAGCTAAAAGGCTCTTCGATGTTGATGATATTCGCTTGAGGCTACGGCTACTGTCTCATGGGTGTCTTTCAACTGATTGGACACCACTGCCTGGACTAGAGACCAAGTTTGAGCGGTTACTACGCTCCAAGCTAGTTTCTCTCTGATGAATCTGATATGTTCATTGACCTTCCACAGACACCAGGTGTTGAGCTTGTACCCAATATCACAGCCTTGACAGAAAAATACAGATCTTATCATGGTATAAACCTGTTCATGGAATACATTGCCCTCAATGGAGTTCTGGCATTCCATAGTCCATCCAGGACAGAATATTTCTCTTTGCATCCCTTAGTCTGGATTGACCTAATCAGGAATGCTGCTTCAAAGAAAGTCTTTTCTCCCATTGATATTGGCACCGAAAATCCATTTGTCATGAACATATGCTGCACGGTTCTACCTGCATTTTTGCCATTTCCTTCCTTCAACAACACCATCAGTGACTCTGACAGGAACAAAGTCCAGTCAACAGCCATGGCACTTCCTGTCGCTATTCATGACCATTTCTCCACTGACATGACAACCTATCTCCTGGAAATGTTTGCTGTGTTTGTGCGCCCTTCAAATGATGACTCTGTCCCACCATCTCTGAGGATCCTTCTTGTGTTTGCTGAATTTCTTATCTCAAGACTTCCTTTGAAAGAACAAGCCAATTCAGGCACAGAAGAACTCCATGCTCTTGACACAGTCTTCCATGGCATGCAATTTTGGGTCTATGACCTTTCTTCTCAGGCAAATGCTGCCATCTTTGATGTCCTTGAACACTTCATCACAGATAATCTGAAGATGATACCAATGAAGGCAGACACTTCTCCATGTTTCAGCGCCCTAAGCATTTACTCCGACCTGGTCTACACATGATGGCATACCATGTCCCCTAGATCCCTGGAGACAGTTGTTGATTTCATGTTCAACAATCCTAATGGTTTCAGTATTGCAGGCAACATCATAGCCAGGGGTCTTTATGCAGGCAGCCCAACAATGTACAGTGTCTTTCATGCAAAGCAATGCTTAGAATATTTTGGGCATTGTGGATATGACCCTGGATTTGTATATATTATTGAAGGCTACCTCTCTACAATAGGACATCACTCAAAATCCTGTCTTGAACCTTCAGTAGAACAGGAACATATTGACTATCTCCACACACCTGACAACCTTTTTGTTGTCTGCTCCATCCTGGCTGTTGGTTCCAATAAATTTTCTATCCGTTACTCGAATCGCAGAAAGCAAATCAGGAAAAATATCTTGTCACTTGTCCAGATTCAACGGGATAATCCTGTATGGGATGAATGCCGGTACAGGCTTCAACAATTGCTCGAAAATGATGGAATGGATTTCTTCTATCGACAAGCTTCTGTTCGTGGAATTGAACAAATTGCCTTGTCAGGAGAAATGATTGCGGAACAAAGGAAATATATTCGTTTCGCTATTGAGACTTTGAATGCATTTTTCTCGGGTGAGCTGGATGAGGAGTTGGTGAGTGTTTCTGACTACAATAGGTTGGAATTACTTCTGACTGGGGTCAACCTGAGGAACAGATTTCTGATGCTCCTGCACCTTCTGCCGATGCTTTACCCAACCCTTGGCCGCACTGGTCCAGTTGCATGCATCGGTTGCTACCATGGCACAATCACAATACGGCGAGTGATGACGATGCCGATAGGAATGTTTAAAGTCCAAGGGATGTCTACCGTAGTACTACTCGCACTGCCAATGACTCTTCATTAGCTCGATGGTGCGGTACAGCCGTAACACAGTTGTACAATATATGTAGATAGAATAAAAACACAAGTAGCAACTATATGAGGGTAAAATAGCTAATTATCGTCGTCAAGAACAATATCAATGGCTTCGCGTGCCTTCCGAAGTCGAAACATGAAAGTCTGGATGGTCTCCGGCCGTGATCTAGCACGCCGCATTGAAACTGAATCCCTCTAGCCAGAAGGACATCTTGCTTGGAGTACAGTGAGTGAACCCTATCTCGCGTTAGATAAGAACTCTCCCACTGTGACCTGTGAACTCGTAGTGTTCAAACTAGGAGCATCACGCTCCTTGGGACATGCGTAAAATCCCTAGTTCTTGTTACGCGGCGGAGTTCAACGCAAGATGGAGGATTCTCTAAGGCGGTCTTTTGTCAATCATTAAAACCAAACGCAGAGGGGGGCTTGGGAGCGGTACGATAATCGGGGTAGCGGAAGGAGATGTGGGGGGCGCTCAACAATAGCAACGAACGGTCCTGGGGGTTCCTGTGATACATTAGTGTAAGTCACTTTTTTTGGTACCTGCGGTGAAAGTCTCAGGGAAAAATACGGGAGTCGAGAGTCATCAGCAACTTTTCCTCGCGGAGCCCTCCGACGTCAATGGTAAACACCGGGAGAGGATGAAGGTATTGCTCAGTTGGGAGAGCTTCTGACTGAGACCCAGCTCAATTCTGGATGTCCACAATATAGCAAAGAGTAGGGATTTTTAGTACTTGCATGTTCCAATATTGGAAAGGCAGACGCATCAAGAAGCGAGTTGTGTGACATTCCAACAATATGATATATGCGTAGTTCAATCGAGGTTCATTGTGTATGATGTCGTTATTAAGGAACAGGGTGGGTCATATCTCCCTTAAAAACTGGCGGACTTGGCGTTCCCTCAGCGCGCCGGTAAATGTCTTGATGGCTTTGCCTCCTTGGAACGCTACAACGGTTGGAAGCGCGCGTACCTGCACTTAGTCAATACTACGAGGAATACGCTACGACGAGAAGTCAACGCACCTTGAACCGCTGACATAGCTCTCTTCCCTCCTCGGTATCGCTATTGATTGTGACTAGGTCCAATGGCTGGCGGGACGCAGTCTCGGTGGAAGGATCCTCGGTGAGTTGTTCGAGGATGGGAGAGAGGACTTTGCATGGCTGGCACCAGCTGCGAAGACGTGAGTTTATGAGTGTGGTAAAGCATCTCAGCTTACTCTGCGTAAAAGTCAACGAGAACGATGCGTCCTTCCGCTGTGGTCACTTTTTTAAAGGTCTACGGGTGAGTTAGGTTCGTGGAGGTCTGTGGAGGGAAGGGACGGACGTGAAAGTCGGCATCTAGGTAGTGCTCGAAGCGGTGCGGAGTGGTGGAAAAGTGACGTCGAGAGAGACGGGATGCGAGGAATCTGAGGGAAGCCATGGCGGGCGGTGAAAAATAGAGAAGTGATGTCATCATGTGGGGATTTTCATCGTCTCTCGTCATCCTCGAGACTCAGCACTTACTCAGCTTTGCTTGTACCTATTGTACCATTTCCTTATATATTCTTTGCTACAGTATATATACGACGCTTTGTACACTAGTAGAACCCCTTGGACTTAACGAGAGTTGTTCTAGTTCTCTCGCGTGACACTAAGCTTCTCTCCGCAAGTTCACTTTGTGTAACGCCAGATGACCGAAGCCAAGTGTCGCTACACATCACCGGGTTCGCCGACTTGATGATGATCACCATGGGAAACCCAGGCAACATATAAAACGCGAAAGCAAAAATGCCTCTTCTCTAACCCACGTTCATTATGTCTTTGCTCTTCTTCTTTGCTGTCCTGGTGTCAGCCGTCTGTGTTTCTGCAGCAGACCATTTGGTGACCGTCGGTGACGGAGGAGTGAGTTTGTCTCCTACCTTTACCTTGATTATGTTTCTCACAAAGGCTGATAGATGCTGGCATTCAACCCAACAAGGTGATTTCCTGTCTGTGCACGCATCTACGCGCCAACTGAGTTCGTTCTGCAGCGTGACCGCCGTCCAAGGAGACACTGTCACCTTTTCATTGTACGTTCTTCCTCCTTCCCACACAGCCACACAGCCTTTCTCACACACCCTCCCTAGTCGTGCCGGCAACCACGTACGCCACCATATATTATCATCTCCTCATTTATGTAACACGCCTCACAGTCCGCAACACAATCGACGTTCGCCTTCCCCTGCACAAAATCCGGCATCGACTCGGGCTTCGTCCCCATCGCCAACAGCACTGTCTTTGGCCAATGGACATTCACCGTCGACAATTCCTCTACCCCGCTGTGGTTCTTCTGCGCCCAGACGGGTCATTGCGAGAAGGGCATGGTCTTTGCGGTTAATCCCACCCAAGAGAAGACTTTTCAGGCGTTTTTGGCTAATGCGCAGGGGAATGGGACGGCGGGTGTGAGTGCGAGTGCGTCCGGGGTGGCATCGAGTGCTAGCACTAGTGCGGGTACTGCAGTTTCTGCTTCCAGTAGCACTGTCAATGCTGCCGCCTCTAGTACCGTCAATGCTGCCGCCTCTAGTACTGTCAATGCTAATACTGCCAGCAACGGCGCCGTGCCTAGTCTGCGCATACATCGTGTCATACTCCCAGTAGCGGCTCTGGCTTTTGGTATCCTATTTTAGAACCTTGTACAGGAATACAAGACTTTCTTTTCGACGCTCTCGTGTATGAAAGACGCTATTGGAACGAAGTACTAAAATGGTACATTTCACTGCAATAGTGGATATCCAGGATCGAACTGGGTCTTTGTCTGTTGCTCTCCCGAGTGAGCTATGCGCCCTCCCTTCTCCCGATGTCGAGCGCCTTGAATGAGTGGAGTTGTCGAGGTTTAATGTTGGTCCGATCTACAGGAAAAAGACGCATCTTCTTCAGCGCGAGTAGTAAGTATAAGTTCCTAGGTCTCCTGTTCGCATACCAGAAAATACCGTGCATACACGTGCATTGCAAGTCCCATGCAAGGATGAAACACTTGGGGAACTTGGGAAACCACGTATCACTCGTCCATTGATTCCATAAGGAAATTGATATCCCAGGGAGCGAACCGCGGGCTATGCAACCCTCTCGAAACGTGGCGTATTATACCAAAATAACTGCCGTAACTAACGAGTCATAAACTGTCCACTTCCCCTCTTGCGCATCACGTCAAGAGATGGCTCCAGCGAATAAGTTCTGCTTCCCCATCCCGGCAGTATTGGAGAGCGAGCGCGTCAAATTGGTGCCTTTTGATGTAAGCTGCGGGGGCCTTGAAAATATGATAATTATTGACGCTCACGTTGTGTCAAGCTTGCTGTTCACACGAAGCTATTCATCACAGCCTACTCTGATGTCAGCCTCTACGATTTCATCCCCCTGGGTCCATACAAGGATAAAGAAGAGTTTATCGCCTCTTTAGGTGAGATGGTGGAAGGTAATGATGGGATGACTATGTTTGCGGTGTATGACAAGACCAGAACCAAGGAGGAAGAGGGGTATGCAGGACTCGTTGGCTACGTGGACTCGTCAGCCCAAGATCTAGTTACAGAAATCTTCGTGATCATCGCTCCGGCATTCCATAGGACGCACGTAACGTCCAACGCTATCGGGATCCTCTTGAAATACGCCCTTGATCTGCCCGGTGGTGGCCTTGGCTTGCGGAGAGTGGTTTGGCAGGCCAGTGTGGCCAATACCGCTAGTATCAGGACGGCGGAGAGGATGGGGTTCCGGCGGGAGGGAGTTCTGAGGTGGCATAGAGCGTGGCCTGAGGCCAAGTCCCGCGGTGCGAATGGAATTCGTGTGAGAAAGGGAGATCCTAGGGAGGAAGCGTTTCCGTTGGGACGGGATACGGTGGTTTTGAGTATTTGTTGGGATGATTGGGAAGGTGGGGTGCGAGCACATGTTGAGGCGACGATGGCGCGAACAGAATAAGTAGCCATTCCCGTCAGTGTCGATTCGGACCAATTGGAGACGAGACCATTATCCAGTGCCGCTTGCAAGTTATTTGTACTTCGAGTTCTGAAACTCCAGAATAACAACTACTAGGATGCACAGAGCAGCGGAAGGTCAATCATACAAGTCGCTGAACGTGTATAATGTTCCCAACACCAATGACATCATAAGCGGATGTATCTCGGTAGCGTACGGCGGTAAGGTGCCAGGTGTTCTGAAAATCGCTGGGAGGTGACTTGGCGATGGGGGAGTTGAGGTATTCTTGGATGGCGGAGGAGAGGATGGAGGAACGGAGGATGTGAAAAATTGTTGCGGCGCGCGGGAGGGTTTTGGGCGAGAAGTTGGGGATGTAGGGGCCATGTTTAAAGGACAGGTCGAGGGTGATGTAGTTCCTGTGGCCAAGTTGAGGGTGGACTGGGCGAGGCTCGAGGTAGACGAACAGGTCTCGTGTCATTGTTGGTGAGAGTTGTAAGCTGACCGTTGTGGTTTCACTTGTCCGTGAATTGCAAGGGTAGTGTACTTCGATCATAGCAGTCGATCGGCATTCAGGCAAAAGGTGGCCGATATACTTCTTCATGTCCCATTGACATCATCTGAGCGGATAGATAAAAGTCCATGACACTGGAATTTAGCAGTTGTCGTTGGTACTTATTTTCGAGATGCTCTAGGTCTGGTACAGGCTGCAAGCTGCAAGGATGTAGAGAGCAGGACGCCGGAGGACATGCAGTTAGGTAATCATTGTGAGTTCTTGGGCGTAGGGCAACATAGCTCTGTCCGTACTGGGCAGAAAAAGTGTAGTTGGAGGTAAAGTCGGCACAATGAGCGCGATGCACGTGTACCAAATATTTCCCACGCTGTACGTGCTCCTCTCAACACGAACTCTCTTGGACTACCCTTGGACATAGGTCATATACAAGTTCGAACGTGTAAAAGTGATGATGACGGTTGACAACGCCGAAACCGACACGCGGAGGTCGGCTTCTTCAACGAGCTTCAAAGGCCAGTTACACTTGAAAGGTGTACGTATAATTCACCAAAACGTCGTACACGAAACTCATATACGATGTTTACGGTGAACTAATTCAGACGCATGCCAAGTCACGAAAAGAAAGCAATATGGCAGTGAGGAGAACATGACAAGAATCTGTACAGGTGAGCATCCTTCGAGATACATACCACCGTCCCCCCAAAGAAGTCGCAATCGAAGCACGAGCAAAGTCCGCTCAGCGCGGGACATCCTAAGTACATCTATCTTTGCATCACATACACTATGTATTCACGTTCAACTTTCACATAGAACTACGACGGCCACATTGGACATTACCTCTCGCCTCACACCTTTCTTCATGGTTTCCGAGTCTTCGATGCGGATAACTTGCATACCAAGAAATCTGAGAATCTTCATGGGCTGAGAGGACGTCTCTGAGGTTTCTGATTGGATGTGCTGGTGTGTACAGGGTGGTGTATCGTATCGTCACAGTTCGCTGGATATTCGAACAGCATGACATCCTTACGATACAGACCTGCTTAGCTGGTATTGCATAGTCTTCCGTACCGTTGAGTTCTGTCGTCTGTATACCAAAGAAGCACCGTGGCGCTAGAGTCGGAACCTTCGTAAGGATAATATGTGCACACTTTAATAGACCGCACTTGTGATAGAATCTGCTTGCCACCCACCGATTGTCGGTACGAATGACTGCACGTTCGTACGCACGATGCATTATCCACTGCTGTGTCCGGCTTCTAACACCGCACTCCAGCATATCTCATAGTGTCGCCGTTGCGATGAGATTCGTGGAAGGACTTCACCGAAATGCCTATAGTAGTTGCGAGCAAGTTTGGGCCGATTCTTCCTGAGGTTCCCATCGGTTGACATGGTGTTGCTCAAGCTTCAGAGTTGCTATGCGCCAATACATGGTTCTAAAACCTGCGGAATAAGATATCAGGACCGAAGAACATGATCGATCAGACCAGGAAGCTGCAACACTTTCCTCGTCCTCCGGTAATCACCACCACGCCCGGATATCACATTAAAAAAACACAAACATTTCGACCCTCTTTGCTTCTATCGTTCCGTAATTGCATCTTTTTATGCAGCTTGGCGTGATACACTGATATAGGGTGAAACAGCAGATTATATATAACATGATCAAGAACTCACACGAGTCCCCATCCAACAGCGCTTTGGGAGAATGGAACTATCCCCCATCCAAGCGCCGTGTCTCCGCCGCAGTATCTCATCAAAATCATTGCCAGCTGTCATGGCCAAAGTGCATGAGCGCGTGTATATTACTGGCCGGGGCTGGGCTCCAACTGCTAAATGGAACTTTAGGGAATTAAATCGATCCATTGGGAGGTACTTTACTCACCTCGCGAATGACACGAGCTGTCCCCGCGGCCCGGTGACCTATCAAAGTAACTTCGACTGGGCCCAATTCCAAGGCAGATAGGATTGCGATACGTGCGCACCCATGCTTTCTCTGTACATATTTGGAGTAGAAATCGAACGACAGATTGTTTCGAGCGCCATGTCTCCGTAGTGCATCAAAATCACACGCGCGCTATTCGCAGAACTGGCTCGTGTACACGCGTGCTAAGCGAGAATGAATGATGCAGGAACGAGTGGCCTTGCCTGTCTTTAGGCCGTGCCCGCGTTAAGCGTACAGGATGATCTTTCCTTGGTGAGCTACGAGGATATAAGAAGACGTGAGATAAAGTAGTTCTTTTTCGATACGCACAAACTTTCCGATGTGATTCTTTTCCTTCTCCCACGACGGCCTGTGTTCATGCGAATCTCTTTGTGATGAACATTGCGTGAAGCCCTTGTTCACTGGCATGACGTCTCCACGGCAAAAACATGAATACCGGTGCTTTGTGGGAAGTTCTGTAGGCGGCCAAGTTGCGCCATATCAAGGTCATACACTCTTCTCTGGACGCTGTGTCGCCGTCGCATCATCAGAATCAGAACGAGTACACGCCGGAATACCCAGATTTCGTCCCCCGTAAGAGCGTGCAGTGAACAACGGGGTTGGATTTGGTCCGAAGAAAAAGCTTTTCGTGTTTGGAGAAGGGGGGGGGTCCCTAAATTCAAGGCTCGGACTTATGTACATGTGTAGAGTCGAGCTGTGCATTTATCCTCCTCGTGGAGTGATCTCTTGCGATAGCCGGAAACTTTCGTAAATATGCTCGGTGGAAAATAAGCGAGGCTCGGTAGCAGTATGGCCGGGGCCTGAGTAATGCTGCTGGTAATTAACCGGTAGCGTCCTTACTACTTGAATGAAACTTTACAAAAATGCAAGGAGAATAAATGGAGGACTTACAAGACGAGGAGGAGGACTGTTGATGGCTGTTGACTCGACATCAGTAACGGAAATTCAAAGTCCGCTGATCCAGCTTTCCAGTGTGCCAACCTTCGACCCTTGACCTCCTCTCCTTTTCTTCAAAAGGTCAGCTGCACGAGCCTCTTCCCTGGGTCTCACCTCATCCTCATTTCCAGCTTCCTTTCCTTGTAATCCAATCTAAAATATCCCTTATCAACATGAATGCCCGGCCTCACAAAGTGCGCCTCGTTCTCTTGGTTTTTGGAATGTTGGCTGATAGAGATTACTAGCAATCAATGTCTGAGCTGAAGCTTCGACGGTTAACTGAGCATAACCAGCGGCTGCGGGAGGACCTTGCGAGGCCTAGGGTGCGAGTGAGTGAGGCAAGCGCGAGGTACGGGTCCAGATATCTCCTTTCCGTGCAGCGGTGACAACTTTTGCCGATTTTGTTAGTTTGATACGTTACTGCAAGACAACGAAAGATCATCTCGTATGCCCATTGCCTTGTTGTTGCTCGCTAACTAGCTCACGGCTGTTGTTGTAGGTGCCCTCAGTATGGGGACCAGTCGGAAAGGGAGAGGATCCGTACGCACCGCCAGCGCAGGGCTGCAGTTGTGTCGTTATGTGATTGCTCTCTGTTGTTCCAGTTTTTCTACTTGGATTTTTCACCACTCATGGAGGAGTTGTCCGTTACTTCGGAATTTGTACCAAGGCAGACATGATATTCGGATTGCCCCTCAACAAGCCAACCCTCACACTCGTTTACCCCTTTACCAACAGGATACCCATCCACCGATCCTGTTCGGTTGGCATCCAATAATCATCAATATCCAGTTTTCATCCAGTTTTCACGTCTACATTATTTTTCTTTGCTGCTGCTTTCTTATCATCATCATCATTCGGTATATCATCAGGTCGTTGCTTTACTATAAATTTATTGGTCATCGACTCGATTCGCTTGTCCCGTCCACCGTTGTCCGAATTCTATGTTAGATATTAAGTAGACTGTCTATAGCCAGCGTGGAACGCGAATCATAACATAAATATGGGCGGACAAGCCAAACTTGGAAAAAAGGAAAAAGGTGTGATTTGCAGTGCTGATAAATACCCGCTTTTGATGCCGAGTATATATGTATCTTTGCCTGTGACGACCAAGCACCCATCTTATAGCCAAAGGATACCGTCGCTCACGGTTGTCCTTTGCATCTTAATTGCCCACCCTGAGTGAGCTGTCCGTTCTATCGTAATATTCGCGCCGCTTGCTCACCATTTCTGCCAAGATCGTGAATACCGTCAGCCTCGATCACCCCCTATGAGCACCCGTACAGGAGGCCGCCAGGCCATGTCCGAGCTCAAGCTCCGTCGGCTGCTGGAGCACAATCAGCGGCTGAGAGAGGACCTGGCCCGGCCCAGGGTGAGGGTCAGCGAGGCCAGTGCGAGGTACGTTCCTTTCTCTCACTATACCATCCTGGTCTTACCGGCGCTCAGTCTCATACGGTACTGTAAAACAACAAAAGATCATCTCGTGCGTTTCATAGCCGATTATCCTTGGCTTCTGCTCACTTGAGAATAGGTCCCATCGGTGTGGGGTCCGGTTGGACGGGCGGAGGATCCTTATGGACAACAAAGAACGGACTGTCATTGCTGCTCTTTGCAGTAGTTCTCTTCCTATACTTGCTTGGTTACCTGTTGATGTTGTTGTATGTACGCCCAGTGTCTACTATGTATTGCATGTATCATCCTTCCCCCTCATCGCATTCAGGCCCCCGCCACCTTATTATTAATCCCGAACGGTACCTTGATCTGGGTTCCGTGATAAGAGTGGTGCTGGGCAAGCGACTTGCTTGATTCATCCACCTCGCCCCTGCTAGGAACAGCACGAGTGAATCTGATCGAAGCTTCGTACCTTGCCAATCATCGAAGTACTCCACCACTGACCAGAAAGAGCAGGTCGGATACTTGTCTGGGCTCCGGGGCCGTTGTAGTTCTATCACCGCAGAATTATTCGTTTTTGGGTCTACTGCTGACGAACAAAGGATCCAATTTCAGTAACAAGAGAACTCTACTAGGTTTTCCCTCAGTCCTCCACGCTAGCCAGCGTCAATGATATCAATCACTGTCAGCGGATGGAGCCAGTCACCGGCTGAAACAGATGATGCTGGCTACCGTTGCTCTTCAACGGCAGGCATCAATCACATCTCGATAAGACACCGAGTATCGACACCTTTTCGACCTTCGGACCATGGTGTAACGGCAGCTTGTATTTTATAATCCACGAATGTTCTAGGTGCTCATGCATTCGTGACCATCCGTCATTTACGAGCACAACGTACATGACAAGACGACTATTGAATGTGCTCGTGGGCTAGGCGGAAAGCTGAATCTGGCGAGAAAGAGTTCCAGAAAACGGGAGAAGCAGTATCACCAATATTCTAAGACACTAGAACTACATGTGTACAATCTATACACCGTAATAATCTACTATGCATCGATGTATAGCGCCAAAGTCCTAGCGCAGGTAGTGTGAAAAAAGCATGTGTACGTGAGAGTCCAGATACCCTCTGTCAGCTGATTCAGAGCCTTTAACATCATGGTTATCCCAGAGCCGCGCGCCTATAGACAGTGCAGTTTCCGCAGCAAAGACTGATCACAGCAGTGACGATGCTCACTAATGGAAAGAAATCTACCAGTGCCGTTAGAAAGACTAGCCAATGTCAACTGCTAATGCGCACAGCACAGCAATCATATCAACGAACCGTCCAGGCGATCTGCAAGTCCTCTCTGGAAGATACGCAACGTCTTGCAGCACAGTAGAGGTTGCCGAACCCAAGTTGACCAGAGAATTACTAGTAAGACATACCAAGACCATTTGACTAAGGTAAAAAAATCCAACCACGAGCTTCAAAAGCATATCGGAGCCGCAACAAGGAACAATGGCCAAACGCAAATTTCTCTGGAGCCAAGGAGTAGGATAACGTCAGAATAGAAGCAGGTCCAACGGAGCCGGTACCACCGGTGACACCAGCTAACGTCCCCTCCTCACCAAATGCCTAGCCTTATCGATAAGACACCGAGTAAACGGCTTTCGATCCTCTGACCGTTGAATAGCGATAGCTGATATTTCATGATCTAGGGATGTTCCAAGTATTCGTGCATTCCTCGTGAAGGCCGCTGTCTCACCCATCATTAACGAGCGCAACACACTTGACAGCCTGATGTCCGTCTCGGGACTAAGGTTTGACAGAAAGCGCGGGAGAAGCTTCACTGTTCGAGAATGAAGACACTAACAAGGTACAAGAAGCCAATCACGAATCGATTAGTACATTCTATAAGCAGAGAGGTTCAGAAGCAATCGGAGCCGCAGTAAGGAATGGAGGCTAAACACATAGACAAAGAGTAGGGCAATGTCTGCAAGCAGGTCAAAGGAAGCATGAATCAAGTCAGTTTTGTTAAGAGGTCCTTTAGAGTCTGCTCCGGTCCGACGTCGTCCTTATTTAATTTCTTGCTCTGTTTATCGACCTCGGAGATAGCACGTTCCATTCTGACGGGAAGGTCTTTGAGCATGTCAATCGTCGGGTCCACTGTAACAAGTTCGAAAAGGAGAACACGCGAAGAGACGAGGTTGAGCGTACCAATCCCATTGAACTTGACCTCAAAGTCGACCCAGAGCTGGTCCCTTCGGGCATACGCATCCTCAAGTTTGGCCATGATTTCCACGATGCGTACCTGGGAAGACAAACATTGAAGAGAAAGTATTGAAACATGGAAACCCAGCTCACCTGCGCAGCTTCATATTCCTCCTTCACCTCATCTGCATCCTTCAACATCGCTACCTCTATCTTTTTACATGCATCGTGGAACTCCCACAATCCCTTCCCGAAATCCTCGTCGACACGGGTGTTGAGAATATGATGGGCTTCCTTGACACGTCTGACAGCAGGAACAAGGGTCTGTGCGATGTCGTCAACAAGGGTATTGGAGTAGCGCGTAAAGGAGGTTTGGAGCGAATCGATGAGCCTGAGAACTTCGTCGTCGTCTGGTTCGCCACCACTTTGGGGCAATTGAGAATGAATAAAAGCTGATTATATGCGCGTCGATACTCACCCATCACGCGAGAGTTCATCTATGAGTGTCTGCTCGTCCTCCCAGGGAAACGGCACGTCGTTGTCGTCGTCGTCGTCTTCCTCCCTCTCCTCTGGCACGCGAAAAGAGTCTTCGAAGTCGAACAATACCTCTTGCCTCCGCCGGTTAGGAGGGCTCTCATAGATAGGATCAAGAATAGGTGGTCGTTGGTTCCAGTTACTTGAGACTCGATGAGAGCGAGATTCTGGTGGGGCACTTTGTCGAGGTCCGGACCTGTTGCGGTTGTACTGCAGTGGTGATCGTTTGTATGGTTTGATAGCTAGAAGAGGAACACTGGTTACGAAGTGTGAGGTGATGTAATAAAAATCCTACGAGAGTACGGAGTCCTGTATTGGGTTTTACGAGTGGTTGAAGGTGCGGGACGATAGGGAGCCATAATGGTGGTTGAAAGTAAAGAGCGGGATACTCGGTCCGGAAGTAGACTCCCTTATTGATTGCGGACTGTCTCTGAATGCGAATGGTTTTTCTGATGTGATGAAACATTCCGCTTTTTCTAACATTGTGTCCACCCACCGTCCACATGCCTGGTTGATTGCTGAGACCAAGTCCCGTTCCTCGGTGCGTTCACGCATCAACGTACGAGACTATAAGGTATTCGAATCTCCTGGCCTTAAAGCTGATAAAACCACCTCGAAATGGGGCGTTGCTTTAGGAGTTACTGCTTCATTGCACTCGCAACTGGTCCCTCTGCCGCCCCAACTGGCTGGAAGAGCTGTATGCGTTGATGTCGTTCTTCCCTCTGACAGTGGTAGGGGCTTCTCTCATCGCCTTGTGGGAGTATATGCTCCGTATGACCCAGGGGGTGCTCCAAGTCCGCATGACGCTCTCCATGACTTTTGGGTCTGCATTTCTCACTTATGTGCATCTGCTCAACACTCTTGGCAAGTTATAGGTGACTTTAATGTTACTCTCACATCCTCAGAGGTTATGGGTGACGCGACAGGCGACAACTATGCCCGCACCGCGTACCGTGACTTCCTACATCAGTCTCGTGGGATTGATACATGGGAGAACCAGAATGATAATGATGCTCGTCATGTGTACACCTTCAATGCCTACAATGGCACTTGTCGGTCCATCATTGACCGTTGCGCTCATTCATCCCATGGGATTGATCTCTCTGTGATCTCTGTTCCTCGCTGTTTTATGCCAGGAACTGATCACCAATTGATATCATCAGCAGTCTTCTGCTCACCGCCTATAGATTTGGATGCATCCTCATCTCTAACATCTGCATGTTCTCAAGACAGGTCTCCCTACCTGCCTCGCTTCATAGTCCCCAAACGCCATGAGTCTTACCGATTCGAAACGTTTGCAGACCGTGTTGATTGCCTTGCGCGGGAAGCTCGACTTCATGAGCATCCTATAACAAATGACTCCGACTATCAACTTCGATGGCAGGCTCTAACAGACATCTTCCTGGCCGCTGGCAACGAGGCTTTTGATCTCCCCAATACCTACGACCGCTCGCATCAGAAGATAGTAACCCCAACCATCACTATCATTCTTCGCGAGTATTCTCGCTTGAATAGGATGATTTCCGCCTTGAAAAGACGATCTCTGCCTCAGTTGTGTGCCCGGAATCGATGGACGGGCACCTATCTTCAGGCCCTTTCTGGTCATCCCTTCCTTCATCCAATTCTGTCCCCTCCATCACTATTCTACTCACCTTCTTCTCTTCTGTTTTATAAAAAGGCTCGCTCTGCTCTCTCCAAGCTTCGATACAAGGCTGAAAGGGATGAACGACGTTCGCGCTCCACCAAAGCCGATAAAAGTCGTCTTAACAGATGTCTTCTTGGTGGCTCTGCTAAGCGTCTCTATCCTCCTTCGCAGTTTCAAGGACCTCCACCAGCTATTTCAATTCCCGACGACCACAATCCTAATGCTCGCAAATACTTTACCGGTGCCGATGATGTTAAGGCTCAAACGATGGACTACTTTTCTGCATTGTACTGCAGGGATGACCGTCCTGACCCACCAAAGCCATGGATGGATTGTCCATCTGTTCGTTCAATCAGGGAAAACGTCAGATGTGATTCCTTTCAATGGCCTCAAAAGATGGACCTGCTTTCTGGCCGCTCTCTGATTCGTAAAGGTAATCCCCGACCGGCTCCTGGTCCTGATCGCTGGGAGAAATGGATGGTAAAGAGTCTTCATGACTTCTCATTTCAGCTTGTCTTGGATCTCTGGAACTACTGCATTGACACCTCTCATTTCCCTTCTTGTGTTAAGCCCTCTTCTATTTCCCTCATTCATAAACGAGGGGATGCAACTGATCTCACTAACTTCCGTGGAATCTGCACAAGCAACTTGTGCATGAATATGCCTTTTGCGTGGCTGAATTCCTTGCTAACTCCATATCTATCTCAACACTCTGTCTTACCAGAAGGACAGATTGCGACGCAACCAGGCATACAGGGAAGAGATCTGACCTCTTTCCTTGCTCAGCTTGAAACTTGGGCCGACCGCACCAAAACTCCACTATACATCGTTCGGCGAGATCAGAAAAAGGGTTTTGATCGACTCGAGCCTCAAGGATTTTACGACGCCATAAGGGCTTATGGTTTGCCTTCCTCTATCATTGATTTCGATATTTCAGCCCAGAGTGATGTCTCTTATCGGATAAAGACATTTTACGGATTGACAGACGCACTGACAATTAGTGGGATTACGAAACAGGGCGGACCACTGTCCCCAATCAAGTGCACCTTGACGAGTAGTATGGGTAGTCACTGGTTATCCGATTCCCTGCGTCACCAAACTGGCCACCTTCATGTTGCAACACTTCAAGCCTCCCGTGGTCAACCTCATCTCCCCGACGACAGAATCTCGATTCCGGTTGTGATGGTGGAGGCGATGGATGACTCTGCCATTGTAACAACCTCATTGCCAACGTGCCTCTCCTCTATAACGATGTCGGAACGTTTCCAAAGCGCATATGGCGGTGAAACCAACTGGCCCAAATCAGCCGCCTTCCTTCGAAACGTTCCTAACCCTCCCTCTCATCTCCAAGTTACATCGGTCCACCCAGCACAGCCCGATATCCTAGTCCTACATGATCTCTCGGTGTCGACCTCTCACATCGAGTTCCTGCGTCTTTCCATCAATGATCCTTCTGCGCAGTACCACAAGCTCAAGGGTTTGATATCTTCCTTTGATTTCCCTTCACTCCAAAATTTTCGCCTTCCTTTGCCGGCACTACGCCGTGTCCTTTCACAGTGCCTAGTCTCAAAACTCAGGCCTCATTTGGCCTATCAGCCAATTACAGAGACTGACGCTGTTCACTTGGACCATTTGATCACAGCAAAGGTACACGAGTACTTCTCCTTTCCTTTTCATTTTAACTCTACCTTGCTTTCGCTGCCTCTGTCACTCCATGGTTTTGATTTCCCCTCTATCTCTCGCTTGAATCGCGTAGCAGCCGTGAACGGCCTGCTTCGTGACCTTAACCATCATATAGGAACATTCCGAGATATGGCTCGTATCACGCTCGTGGACTGGACATGTCAACTGAACCATTGTGTCTTTCCTCTTCACGGCGCGTCTCTCAACACCTCGTTCATGCGGCAACAAAGTGGCCTGCCTTTCCAGTGGCGGCTTGCACATGACACTATGCGCCAAAACGGTTTGTCCATCCGTAACACGGATCTCTCTTTCCTTTTCTATGGCGATGTGTCTCTGCGTCACCTGAATCGCACGTTACACACTCGTCTCAGTCTACCACCACAGTTTATAACCAACTTGGCTAATGCCGGACTGACTCACCTCTTTGACATCGCATCCTTCACCCTAGATCCCGCAAAACATGACGTTGTGCAACTACAACCTCATCCCAATGTCCACTTTCAAAATGCTACCACTCGCGCTCAAGAACAGTGGTTACAAACCTCACAGTGGCTTTCCGATTTAACGCTGATGGATCTGGTCAATGGGTATATGGCTACGGACTCGGACGTGACAGATAATGTTGTAGGGAGACGACGGAGAGCGGTTGGTTGCCAAACTCGCATACAGATCGCTGGCACGGATGACAATCTCCTCCGTGGTGCAGCTGCGAGTCAGTGTCTGGACTTGGAGCCCCTTTGGTTCCTGGGTTTACCTCCAAGGTTGCGTATGCAACAAGCACAAGATCTCATCAATGCCTACTACGCTGTTTCCCCTCACGCGCCCTTTCCCACCTCCATTCCTCCTGGGATTTTCGCATCTGACGCATCTATGCTTCCGGCTGCACCCTCTTTCCGACATCAACGTTCAGTAACCTTCTCGTCAATTTCTCATTCCTCTGCCCTGGCCATGAATCTCGACTGCTTCCGTACTTCAGCGTGGGTTTATCATGGCGAGACGTACGGACTCATAGCATCAACAATACATCAATACAATTTACCATCACCCCCTTCTCACCTACCCTCTTCTCCAACTCTCTATACCGACCACCTCAACTCTTCTCGTATTGTATCTTCCGCTCTCCACCTCCCTCCTCTGCCTCATCAATGGTCATCTCTTCCTGGTCGTTCGCTCTACCGATGGCTCCTTCATCTCTTGCAGCATTCTCCACCACCACATCATCCTCCCAATATCATCTACACTCCAGCTCACACCAACTCCTCCTCGACCCCTTCAACAGTTAATGCGCTTGCAGATCGGCTCGCATCAGGTTCTCAGCATTTACAAATTCGGCCACCTCCCGCACCCTTACCTACTTTCTTTATGGATTCTTTTATGCTTTACTCACCAAACGACGGCTACATTGAAACAAGTATATCATCATATCTGCCATCTGTACTCACTTCCGCTGCTTATTCTAGCCCAGACTTCCGCCCTGCCATGACGATGCTACTGCCGTTCCACGACCAACACACACCTCCCGAACATCCCTATTTGCGGGCCTCCTCGGCATATTCAGCCTTGGTACAGCTCTACGCGAGATCAGATCAGCTGGACACGACGTACGCACGATTCCGACGCTTCGGAAACGTATCCCCCATGTGCATCAGTGGATGCGATGCACTGGAAACCGTCCACCACGTCTTCGTCTCGTGCCCTGTGTATCGCTCCTTCCGCCAACATGCCACACAAACACTGATTACTGAGACATCCCGTATCCTGGACTCTGCAGAAGTACCCTTGCTCATTTGCAGGTCCTTTCTTCAGGTGGTCCGATGTCTCTTTGAAGATGGCCCCGTTTGGCCCCAATCTCTATCTCGCTTCTACCTTGGCCTAACGCCACCCTTGCCCGCACTTACTGGTTTGCCGGGAGCGAAGACAAGTCGTCTGTTGGTACGCATCGCTCACACGTGGCACACGTCATGCATTCGTCTGGCTGGCAGGATTTGGGCGGAATATAAGCGAAGGGTACGTCCGGCTCCATCGAAAAAGAATAATAACGCCGTAGCCATTGATTTACCATCCTTTTTATCTCCTATCTTATCGTCCTGACCGTTTCCCTTCATACGTGTACCTTTACTTACAATGAGCTACCGAGGTAGATTAGTTTGCGCTTATTTACCTGAGCTGTATCAGCAGAGGTGGCCAATAAATCCAGTTTTCCAGTTTGCGTCAGAAACATTTCTGTCCTGCTCCATCACGACGCTATATACTGTCTCATAGTCAGTCATCTCTGGTTCATACATTGCTATCCTCAACCCGAGCTCTATTCGATACATTACCTTCACTCCAACGGATACCACCAAGAGATGTTCGCGGAAGAAAATAGAAGCCAATGTCGAGGTCAAAGTACTGTCTAGGGGCACAGAGGACGATTTAGACTGCTTCGATTCGGATCTATGGGACATTTCCACTCTCGAACCAGATATAAAGGATGAAGTCAAACAGTTCTCGTCCGCTTTTCAGCAAACTATTGAACGCTATGATGTCGAGGGAGAATGCCACCGGGAGGTTCTCCGGCTCATCCGAGAGTCTGTGTTCGAATCCTGAAGTGACAAGCGTAAAGGCAAATACCAGATTTCTTACGACCTTGCGACGGGATACGTGCACCTCCTCCCGTGTACACAAGTTCCTGGCCTGAAGTTCGAATTGTTTGAGACTAAAGGTTGTTGATATCATGACGAAGTACTTTGGTGGTGATAAGCAGACGTCTTTGAATCTGTCATTTCAACGGTGGGCATGGCTTTAATTTGACTTCCAGTCGCTTATTCCATCCTTCGCAGGGTGCATCGCCCTTCCAACATTCTTCCAGATGAAGATCATCGCAAGATGATAAAGGAGCCGGACGGCTCAATCACAGACCGACTCGAAATACCACTCAAGACTCAGGATCAGCGTATACTACCCCTACTTCGAACTCGTTCTTGCCTGGTATCGTCATCGAGGTTGCCTCCCCGAAGAAACTTGCCTGGAAACTTGGCCCGCACTAATCGAGGAGATAGAAGCCTGGAGCCGATCAGCCACCAAGCGCATAAGGCAGACGTCGTTATGGCCATAGCTATCGGACCCGATACTCAAAATCCCTCTGACCCTTTCGCAGCCCCCGTTGCAACTCGTGACGATGGTCTTCCGATTGTACTTCCATTTGGATCAGGATCGCCTGTGTTACCGACCTCTGTCTTTGAGCACCGGACCCTATAATACCGCTCCATTGCGCTCCCTGGTTTTCTGGATCACAGTCCCGAGAGTTCTCAGATTAGTGAAACAAGTTCCGTTCTTCCGCTTGGAAGGATCTTCCAGCATCTTGATTCGAACAGGCCTACAAGGTCACAATCTCACCAGACGACAGGAGAGGCTTGATTTAGGACAGTCGAGGTTTGCACTCCTTTCGTTGGTTTAATAAACGGATTTCATCAGATTCATCAGGATCTTTTCTACCGTCATCACGCATTCTGAATTCTTATGGAGTATGATGGCATCGCACAGTGTCATGATGACTTTCAACAGACCTGTATATTATCTCATAATCGACTCATGCACTATTTAGAACGGGACCAGTACCGAAGACCACTAGCCAGGTCCAACAACAACTCTGAGTTTTATGTACGCCCGACTTCATTGAAAGAGGTGGTCTAAATTTCTGAAACTGCAGACTTTACGCAACTTTGATTGTGACGGTGCATAAGTTCGAAGGCGCTTCGAGAAAGCTCGCGTATATAATACCGCCCTAAAGCTTACATTCCCGAGATTCTAGATGCCAATGCAAAACCTGCCAAGGCCTCATTGACTTCGTTACATAAGTAAACAAGGCGCCCAGCCCGTTGTCCGGTCCGAATCCTTTTTTGACATTTGAAGGACTCCTTTCTTCAGCTTCCTTCCTGCCCTTGTAACCATGATACACAAGGCGCGACACCCACTGGCATTCGCGAAAGTAGCTAGTCATTTGTCCAAGGTCTAGGTTCAATGCTCTTCATTCTACCGCATCAACTTCGTTGGGGCCGGAGGAAGTCCGAGCTTCTTTGATGCGCGTCAATGTGAACGCTCAAGATTAGCGCCGTGGAACAGCTTTCGCACCCTCATGTCTGCCCAAAACTCTACAGTATGCCGTTTCTTTCTCCAAGGAAACTGTAAGTATGGGACACGCTGTAGGATGCAGCATTCTGGTGCAAGTTCTGTAGGCTTTGTTGACATATTTTCACGTTGCCTTTCACTCACAAAGGTCCTCATGGCAGGGGACACCAAGCACAGTCGTCAACAAGAAAAGGAAGAAACGACGGGGTCGTACATCGAAGAATGACAGCTCCAATCAGCGTATCATCGACAACGTTGATGCTCAACCTAATCTCAGCTTATTACAATCACCGGAAGACCGCATTTCCAACCACACAATATCGTCCTCTCTGTCACAGAGAGGAAACTGTGAGCAAGGAGAGCAGTTCAATTTTTTCGAGCTAGTATGTATCTTCCTCTTCGAACGTGGGTGGCGACATCATCTAATTCAATTATCAAGGCCGACGCGGTAGAGAGTCCACCATCAGATGCCCTAGCTAGCCTTGATCGGCAGCGGAAGGAAGAAAGTGTACAGCAAGCATCAAGTTCCCATCGTACAAAGAAAGGCGAGCAACCATGCTATTCGTGGAAGAGCGGATCCTGTGCCAAAGGCGAGAGATGTTGGTATGCTCATGATCCTGAAGTACGTAAATAATTCTGTTGGTCTCTCAATCACTAAGTCATGCGTACAGGTGCAAGCAGCTGAAGGGCGGCGCATAGAGACTGAAAGAATCAAACTGGAGCTCGAATTGGAAAGGAGGCAGAAGGAAGAGCTTGCAATGGAACATGCGAGATTGGCTCGCGAAGCTGAGGAACGAAGGGAGCAAGAGGAACGTCGACGAAAGATAGAAGAAAGGCGCCGTAAAGAAGAACAGGAACGTCAACAGAGGGAAGAGGCAAAGCGACGTTTAGAAGAGGCACGAAGATGGAGAGAAGAACAGCGCAGAATAGAGGAGGAAGCAAGGCGACGCCAGGAAGAGATTCGACAAAGGAGAGAAGAAGAACGACGTCGGCAAGAGGAGGAGCAGCGCAAAAGGGAAGAAGAACAGCGCAAAAGGGCGGAAGAACAACGTCGAAGAGAGGAGGAGGAAGCAAGACAACGGCAGGAAGAGGCTCAGCGGAAGAGAGAGGAACAGCGACGTCGACGAGAGGAAGAGCAGCGTAAAAGGGAAGAAGAACAGCGTCGACGAGAGGAGGAGGCAAGACAACGGCAGGAAGAGGCTCAGCGGAAGAGAGAAGAACAACGACGTCAGCGAGAGGAACAACGGCGTCGTCAAGAGGAAGAACAGCGGCGTATCGACCAACAGCGTCGTGCCGCCGATGCCCAGGTCACTATGCAGCGTGTCGTCCTCGCTAGTTCTATCGTCACGTTCAGTTCGGGTCTCTCCATCGAGAACACCATTACGGGTTTTGAATCCTGCAAAGTCCGCGTCAAAAATATTCCCGGCGATGCGCGCCAGGAAGAAATTGCAGCCTTGTTTACTCAACAGGGTCTTGATATGTCTGAGTTTCACGTCGTATCTGTGAAAGACACCCCTGGGAGACGCGGGAAGAAAGAGGCGGATATCATTACGAACGCCGATGTTGCACAATCATTGGCGGTTGGCCTTGAAGGTCTCGAATTCAGAGACGAGACATTGGAGTTTGAAGTCGGGATATTCAATGCACCTGGTGCAATGGGTGCTCTGACACCAAGGGACGAGAATACGTTGACAATCTCGTGCCGCGCACCTTCCGCCCGTTATGTTGTCGAATATCCCGACATAGCTTTCTGTCGCACTAAAGTGAGGGAACTCGACGGTCGTATATGTGCCGGACGGCGGGTGAAGGTGGAAATGAACCAACTCCCCCCAGGTCGTATTGTGCCCAGCTTCCAACCAAACACTATCAGGATCAGTAACCTGCCTGATGTTGTCCCTTCCTCCATTGTGATTAACTTCGCACAGTCTCACTCAATTCGTGCTCTCAAACCTCTTAGCTTCGATGTGGATTCAGCGATTCGCACTCTACGGCAACATATCATGCAGATAGAAGGCATCGAAATGCAGTCTTTCGACATTACCTCCCGAGGTGATAACGAAGCTGGGGTGCTTTCAATTCGTGCCCGATTCAGTACGTGGGATAACACAAAGAAGGTTCATGATGCTCTCCTAGACCGACGTTTCAGTTTTATCTGCAATTCCTTTTTTTGGCTCCGGATTTCCCCTCAAGCACTTTACACCATTATCATCCCATCCAGACAGTACCGCGCCCAAGAAAACCTTTGGAAAGAGCTCCAGGAGAACATCAAAGATCGTAAAGCCTGCAACATCATTATTCGTGAGCTCAACGGCGGGAACTACCGCATCCAGGTGTCAGGGACGGTCAAGGCTGCCCTTGGTGCACTCAAAGTCCGTGTCGAAAGTTTAGCTGCTGGTGAAAAGATCGATCGTTGGCACGACCATCTAGCTTTTCCTCAGGCCCCATTAATGCAGAGGATCACTGAGGCAGGCGCCTTTTTACGTTCAGATTCTCGGAAGCAGACGCTCAAGCTGTATGGAGAGCCGAGGGCGGTAGAAAAAGCCAAAGCAATTGTGGTGGAGGAGTTGGAACGCCTTGCGTCTCTGGAATTTTCTGTAACATTACGACGTCCCTCGGTTGGTTACTTTGTCCGGACTGGTCTTGCAGCGATGAGAGAAGTTTTCGGTGAAGACAACGTGGCGCTGGATATTCGTTCTGCTGTCATCACAGTAAGAGGAGGCGAGGAGGTCCGGCTCCATCTCGACAATCATATCGCCGAGTCCCTCAAGTCTGTCAATGTGAACGTCGCTCCCGGATCCCATACGTGTCCCATATGTTACGATGATGTCTCGACGCCATTTCAATTGGTATGCGAGCATGTCTACTGCACAGGCTGCATCCGCCACTTCCTCACCTCTGCCGCCGAGACTGGAATTTTTCCACTTGTATGCATGGGGAATGAATCAACCTGCGGAACGCCCATCTCCATTCCTGTCATTCAAAAGTTCCTTCCACCGACTGCCTTCAACCACCTTCTAGAAACTGTTTTCACGACGCATGTTGACAAACGTCCGCAGGAGTTCAGGTACTGCAAGACACCGGATTGTACACAGATATATCGCAGGTCGGAAGCGATGTCTGTTTTACGATGCCCGTCTTGCTTTTCAGAGATATGTTCTTCGTGTGGTGAAGATTCGCATGAAAAATTGAGCTGTGAAGATGCTCGTATTCATAATAACCCGGCAGAGCAGGAACGAATGAGTGAAGCATGGCTTTTGCAGCAGCGTAGTATCAAGAAATGTCCGACGTGCTCACGCCTCCTAGAGAAGACGGAAGGATGCAATCATATGACGTGCCCGTTCGTGTTCATTCCTTCTATTTACTCATTTGAGCTGACCAGTCTTTCTAGATGCGGAGCTCATATTTGTTGGCGTTGCATGGGAGCTTTCGACGCAGGTGAAATCTACGACCATATGAATACCGCGCACGGAGGTATATATGGCGACGAGCCTGCTCCTGCCCCACCCCAACCTCAGGCTACTGTACCCCAGCGCCAAAACCCAGATGTGGACGTTTTTCAAGGCATCGATTACCTTGAACAGGTTCGGCTTCTTAACGAGGCGCAAACTCGCCGCATTGTGCAACAGCAATATGATCGAGAGAGAAGGGAACAGGATAGAATTGCTACTCTTCTTGCAGCAGAGGCTGACCGGGAACGAGTAAGGTTAGAGCGAGTGGCCCAGTGGAGGAGGCAAGAGGCCGAACGGGAGCAGCAAGAAGCTGATCGCAGGTATCGAGAGCAGGTCAATCGATGGCGCACGGACCAGAATGAGAGAACTCGACAAGCTACGCTAGGGCGACAAACTCTCTGGCAACAGCAGCCAGCCAGGCCGCAACAGCCGTCACGCTCAGAAGGCCAAGGATCGTGGTGCGTGGTGATGTGACTAGGGTGTGGATTGGAGGTCACGGTGATGTACTATTGTTCTCGTTCCTGCTACGAATAGGTACGACTTTGTACGGCTTGCGACTTTGTAACTGATTCAATGTAACCTATCTAATGTGTTCGGAATAAGGTCAGACCGTGTCGTCGGTCTTTTTTAGAGAGAGAGAATCTATATTTCGAAAACCGCAACCCGTAATCTACGTACACTTGCATAGCCTTTCACGGTCCATCGTAGCATACACGGATGTCGTGGTCCCGAGTTTGGATAGGCTCTCCACAGGGGTACTGGATGCCTTCATGTGGGACAGTTGGTTTCGGCGCAACCTGTAGGTAGTACAACGGTGGATAGGTGAGGCAGATCAATAACAAAAAAGTTATAGCAATGCCCGCGAATGGATACAAAAGATCTTACACATCATGCATATTGTGGTGGAGGCTCATAGAGACTCCTCGCCCGCATCTCGTCCACCTCTCTCTCCGTAGGTTCTCCATCTCGCTCCGAAGTTGGATCGTGGTGTGATTGTTATCTGAGTCGGATCCCCCGCTCCGGTTCATGCTTGATGGTCCAGAGGCTGTCGTTGATACTACGGCAGCTGGCTCAGGACTCAACTTTGACGAGATAATCGGTTGTCCTCTCTTGCCTGATCGTTGCCCTGCTTGAGGATAGGGGTCTTGCGACCCATAAGAACCGTGTAGGTCGTATGGTTGGGAAGTAGTAACCGGTTCATTCTCGTGTTTTGGAGATCTCCGTTGGCGAAAAACGCCCATAAAAAAGGGAGTGACATTGCCAGATTGTTGGTTATCCTTTACCTGCTTTCGCCACTGCCTTCTTCGATACATGAAGACACCGAAAACAAGCAGAGTGAGAGCAGTAAGTCCGCCGACTACGCTACCCACAATTGCACCAATTTCGGATGAGCCTGAGGACAAAGAGGTTCGATCATTATTACTGGATGAACTATCCTCGCCGGAGACAGTCTTATTTTGAAGACTATAGACGAGGCTGCGTAAGTGACGAATAATTAGAGACATACGACAACTGAACACACCTTAGAGCCATTAATGAAAATACGGCTCCTTGGCCAGGGCTGGACAATGGTCTGTTAGTGTCTCGGCTTTGCGAAGATGAGTGTTATGTACCTAGCCCGACCACCAATCGTGCTCCCATTATTAGGATTGTAAATCAAGGGAAAGACGCCAGAAGTATTTGATCCCACTTTCGCGTGAACTAGTGATACAAGGGTATTCCGCACGGTGGTATCGCTTGAAGCTCCAGCAGCGAACATCGTCCAGTCTAAAAAGCAGCTATGATTAAGTTCCAAAAGAGAAGAAAATAGGTCAGAACATACGAGTTTTGGCTTCGTTGGTAACACTACTGTCATACTGTATCCCATATCTAGCGGCTTGACCCCAACTGAGACGCAACAAAACGAATGAGAAACGATGAACTTACATGTACTATCGGCCTCATGGGGGTAGAAATTATCTTGGTTACTGTAGATCTGTGAAGGAAATTAGCGATATATACATATATAATAGTATTCTCTCTGAAACTGACAATGGAGTCGACAAGCACTGTTCCTAACAACTTGTCCGCAAAAAGATTATATACAAGAGACCAAGATGATGAATCGGCTGTGGCTCCGTAGGTAGAGAGGAGGTGGCCTGTTGAGCCTGCCAAGGTCTGCCATTGCTTAACGTACGATTCGGCTGTGGACTACTATAAATCAGCACAAGACAGACGAAATCACAGACTTAGCCTACCAAGTATGTTTCAGCATCTTGGCTGTTTCCTAGCGCTTGACTGATCTCTGACATGGCCTTGATGCCAATGATACCCTTGACGGCTAAGTTGGTCATGTTCACGTAGTTTAGCTCATCTGCATCCATACTAGAGGAATGATGGCGATAGTAAGAGTGGAGAGCCGCTGAAGTTGCAAAGACGCACTAGTTGTTCGAACTCAACGTGAAATTAACTAGGTAGTTTGCCCATTGCTTATACAGATCATACTTTGCGCCGCATTAGTCTTGACAACCAAATGAAGGCGGAGTGCGACGTACGTATCGTGATATCACTGAACCATCGCCAGAGAACCTGGCATGAGCCCAGCCCATGATGAGCATGTTTCCAGAATCTGCAGGGTTCGTCGGGTGAATTTTATGATTTGGAGACGTAGTACGGCTCACCTTCAATGGCTCTGAATGATGATGGACCATTATTTCCCTCGGCAATTGGATACGACTGGCCTTTGAGACGGGTATCAGAACACAACTTTCATGTCTGTAGAAAGGAATAAACCGAGATCTGGGGCCGCATAAGTTTTAGTATACTGTGAAGACTGTTGATATCGAAGCAGCGGCTCAAGGAGATATCCGGCCCATGTTGAATTAAAATAGAGATAGGAAGGGAAGGTTGCATATAGTATCTCAACAGCATTGACGCGACTAGAAAGCATAAATAAATCTATTGACCAAATATGAGGTATTCCGAATTGCTCACCGTGACGGCAAATTATCCATGTCTCTCATGAAAGCCATAACATCCGATCTATTCCATTGTCCATTGTCTTGGGACACTGTGATATCTATGGCCAAGGCTTGACGTGCAGCGAGTGCAACAAGATCCGCGTAATTGTCAGAGATCTGGCGCGCGTCGTACATGACTTTCATATCGAGGTCAATAGCTCTTTGCTTAGCGTTGGAGAAATCACTAAGGAAGAAATCGATCTAGACAGTGGGTGAGTCTGCAGATCTATATCAAAAGAAAAGCACATACCGCATCGCTGACCGTATTGTATGTAGTCCAAAAGTATGAACTGCGGCTGTTATTTGCACTTGTCGAGTCAAAGCGAATTACTGGGTCACGGACAAGCCCTATTGCCCAGACAACTGACGAAGTTGTCCTAGTAATGTTTTTCAGATTAACGGCATGACCAAGCACAGGGAAGTTGCTGACAAAAGATATCAATGGACATATACATGGAGAAAAGGCAGTAACGTACTCTTCGATTCGACGGAAATTGTTGTCTTCGCTGTCAAACAAAGTACCATTTCTCATAAAATCATCACCAACATCATTATAACCGCCGGTCTCATACGTTGCGTCGTTGCTCTACAAAGAATCTGTCAAAATTCGTTGGCTGGAAGATTACACAAACAGACATACTATAGGAAATGCATAGTATACCGTTGCGTCTTCAGCTATATTATTTATCTCTTGCATAGTTTGAGGTGCCTGTCGAGCAGCTTGATGGATCGTCGAAAAATCTGTTCTAGTGGTTCTCCACGCTGCAAAAGAATTGGAATCATTAGATATCCATTCTACATAGCACGGGGTAAGCAAAGATAGTAGTCTCATAAATGTGATATATACGCGCCGGCGTTAATATCCGTATAGAGCTGGATTGAATGCTCTTGTCCGTCGTTTGACTCGACATCGATATAAACATAGGAAAATGGCAGTGACTGAAGAACTAAATTTGATGGCTAGATCCGTAAGTCAGTGAAGACAAAGGATGTATTTGCCGTAAGGTGCTCACTTCTATTGGACTCAAAAATGTCACATTCACATTCGTTGTATTGGCCTGTACGGAGAAAATGGTGCGAGTAGGAGTGACCTCGAAACCAGTCAAATTCGCAATAGATGCACCGTAGTTTCCCCACAATCTGAAAGTCGAGTTGTCGATGCGAATCCATCCACTCCAAACCAAAACCTAGGAAGGATCAGACAATATGGAAGGAAATAGCAGACAACAGCATACTCTATCATTCCAATACTGGGGACGTTGGTAAGTAACCCTGCTACCGTTGCGGGTGTCGAAGTAGCATTGGAAGTATGGGGAGCGAACGGCCAAAGGAAGGGCAGCCGGGTAAAAGGCAGAGCAGACAAGTGCCAGGCAGGTGAAGCAAACAACGAAAAAAAGGACAGGTAGCAGCATAACCAGTAGGCCCTCGAAAAAAAAAGAGACTGGGCGTTGGAGTTGGAGTTGGTCCCGACGTAGGCCTTTGCACCGCAAAAAAGATTACTGTTGTGGGCTCTCACCCCGTAGAGGACGTCAAAAAGGTTCAAATGAAAGCACCAAACTTCTGGGCATCAACGATGGATCGAAATGATAAACACGGCTGTGCTGCTAGCGATTCTATTACTATGCTTACACGATGCCAAGTACACCCTCAAACCAGAGCTAGATTGAATCTTGTCTATATTTATCCAGCAGTTGATTAGTTATTAGAACGTACTATGCACACTGCAGTGGCTGGTGGTGGTATTACCAGCGCCAGGTCCCAATATGCGTTTTTGATGGCGTAAAATGGGATTTTAAAAGGTTTCGGTTTCAGCTTCAGGTTTTTCACCCCCATCTTGGCTCTTGGCTCTTGAGTGCTGTTAAACTAAAGGTTATCTCAATTCCATTGTTCTACAGAGGGAAAGATTTGGGAAGGTTTTTCATACCGTTTTACAGACGGCCTTTTCAGCACTGACAAGAGCTTCTCATTTTTTACGAAGACTCGGCCTCCACTGTGATGGCTTCGTTGGAGTTGCGGAGTATAGTAACGGACGTATGATGTTTTTGTTTGCCCACTGTTCGGGCGGCATCTTCAAATCTGCGATTGGCTGTGGCCGTGGGTTTTGCGAGCGTCTGTAGGGTATTGTCTGTCACTGGTTCGGCTATGGTGTGGGTATGGAGACAAAAATACGTGTTACACTATATTTGCCCTAGAATCACGGTATTCACCAGTAATCACCGGGAATCACCGGTAATACCCGGTAATACCTGGTTTTTCCAGGTATTTCCAGGTATTCCCCAGTATTTGCTGGTAAATTGCAGTTGACTTAGGACAATATGGACCTCCAGCAGTACCCAGTATCACACCTAGACACCCCAATACCTCGTTTTCCTCGAACCGGAAAAAACCTTCTCAGACCGAAGAATACCGGATGTTCCCTTACCCTAGCGACCATTGTAGTAATCCAATCTGGTCCGGTTCCGGGGTCTTTTCTCTTATTTGCACCTGTTATGCCTCAGCTTATGTGTTGCAGCCACCCCCCACCTTTACCTTTTCTTACCACCACACACGTCGAACTAGACCGCCCGGTCGTTCGTTGCCTTTCCCTTGACATTGTCGAGAGCGAAACATCTTGCACCGGCCTTGAACCTTCAGAATTACTTGCCACCCCATTTACCTCACTGTCCCACTCGAATCCGCTGGTCTTACGAAGCCATACCCTTTCTGGTCCCACTCCCTGTTCTTGCTACCTCAGTCAGTGTTTTCTCTCCCAAGCTCCCCCCCAAACGTTACACTGTACCACCTGTATCTATACATGTATGTCCTGTAGATAAGATTATTACAACTTGTCCCAATGTTTTTATCTCTGCCGTGCGTGCTCTGGACGTAGTCCTATATGTTTCTCCCCAAACTGTCTTGATGAAGTCTCCCTCCATCGTCTGTCCAATCTTGTGGCCTGCCCACGTCAATGTAATCCCCACATATCTATCCCTGTCATTCCCTCCCGCTGTTATAGTATTCATGGGATTGACGAGGCGCCTATCGCTCTATGTGCAAAAATCCCGACTACTATAAAATCCCGGCTGCCAGCCCAAACGCATTCTTAACCTTCTGCTCACCTCAATATCCTGTGAGTCGTCGTCACACCTGTTGGGCCACCTACACTAATTTTGTTCGACCTCAGATGGCACACCTCTCATTATCCGTTGCCATCAGTGAGCTTCCCCTCTGGCATGCGGACGCTCTCCATCTCGTTCTCACTTGTGTGGATGCGTTCCACGATCAGATTTTTCGAGCCCTCAATGGTCGCTCTGGCATGCTAGCAGTCCGGTAAGTACCCTCCTCTTACTCACTTCATACTGCTTAACCTACATCCAGTTCAATCTGACCATGCCCCAATCATCCTCACAAAACCCTGAAGCTGTTTGACACCGTTGGAGTTCATCTGGCTTCTATCCATTTTGGTGACGCCTGACACGCAGACGAATGGTTGCCTCGTCCTCCAATCGACATAGCTCTCAATCGGCTCCGCCTCCTTATGCAACACATTTTACCCAACAATGTCCAGTATTATCCTCAGGACCATGTTGATACCCATCTTATGTTGTGAGTGCCCTCGTTGCCGTCATCCTAATCCTGCTGAGTTTCGCTCACTTACAGACTGGTTTGGCTGGCGTAACCCGGAGAATCTGGATGTATTGCAGTAGCTCATGCGCCTTGACAGTGCAGTATCCTCGTCAAAATCTAGTGTGTTTGTGTTGTCATGTGGAAAATATTGCTGAGCAACGCGTTGTGCACTTTTTCAAGCAACTGCCTTAAGGACCATTGACAAGACGATACGCGTTTCCCCTGCAACAAGTATTCCTCATCACGAAGTACATACGTACATGCATAACCTTGCCTAACGTCACACCATACACACACTCTCTCAGATATCATACCCTCTTCTACACCCACTAGCTGACTCCTGCCCTCCGTCTGGCATGTCGCTCCCATCCTGTCCTGGGTAATAACGGCCCTCCCCGTCCGCTCTCCCACACACGCCATTACTCATCACACCGGCTGGTTGGTCACAGATCACTGTAGATGGTCGTTAGTGTGCATAAACTAAGTGTAAAGGGATGTACTCACAATATTATATCAATGTTACCATCTGTACACGTACTAGCCTCATTACGCCCTAATAAACCGATCCTCATCCTGAAGCAATGAGTCCCGGTCAGCACGCCGAGCCAAGTGTTGAGGGTGGAAGAGGGTTGCTACGTTCCAGCGAGCTCTTGCAGGTCAGCCTCGGGCTTATCGCATACGATCGTACCTGGGTAGCTCTTATCGATGGCGCATACAAGTCGGCACGGTGACGAGGAAGGTACGATAGTGCAGGCCATGTTTGTGTTAGTAGATCAATGAGAAGAAAATATACGTACCTGATTAAACCTTACTGATACCCCCGGACAAGCTCGCTCTTCCCTCACAGACCCAACTAAAAGGATGCTCGACCTAGCGAAAGAGAACGATGCCAAGTTAGTAGAGAGTCAAGAATCCCAGTGATTGTAACAGCCTACTTTGTCATACCTGGCCTCACATTGCGGCCTCTTGCGTATCGTTCGTTCATTATCCAGCCTCTGAAAACACGGCGTGAGTGGGGGAATGGAGAGTCATTAGGGATCACGTACCATTCGCCACCCTGCGCAAGCAAACAGTAGGTCGTTGAGAGGACTGTCGGGGAATGAACTGAAGGGATAATTGAGAAGATAAGAGAATCATGATGGCTAGGACACACACCTTAGAACCCATGTATCCCACCAGTAATAGTCGTAGATGTTCAGCTGCAGCTAGAAAGGTATCTTTAGGAAAGTTTCAGAATGAGCAATAAAAATTTTACCTCGTGAGTCCAATCCATACATGTCGTCAGTGAGGCGTGCCGATTGCGAGATGGATGGCAGCAGAGGACTGCAGATGAGCAGTGAGAAGAGAAACGAGACGGGGGAAAGGAGCTGAGCTCACTGTCACGCTCGACGATGCCAACATGGCAGTCAACGAAGAAAACGAAGCGATCACTGGGATGTGCCAAAACAGGCACATTTCCCATCATGAGATCATGACACAACCATATTCCCACAGTGCGGAATGCGTTCCCCAAGACGAGGAGCACGTCGAGCTTGATGGATAGCTAGTGATTTGAAGAAGGTATTTGTGGGGGAGGCCTGGAGGGATCGAGCTGTAAACGGGTGAGTACTTGCAAATTAGAAGTCATGGAGGCACTTCAGCACTGACAGCCGAGGACTGATAATCTTATCAATGACTCATAGATTTCAGTCCTCAAACTCGTCTTCATGCTCTTACCACCGCCGCCGTTTTTGTGTGTTCCCCCTCCTCCTCGATCACCGATCTTGATCATGAAAAATTTTGACATTGGTAGGGCTATTCTCTGTGAGTATTGGATGCTAATTCAGATGATTGTACTGATAAAATCTTTTTCCATCCCATACTGCAGACGAACGCGAATCCCACAGACAGCTGAGGCCGCCACAGTACGCCTCGATTCTGTCGTATGTCTCCCCTTCACAACTGTCTCTCCAATTTTCAATGCATTCCAGACACTCCAGGGCACACAAATGTCCGTTCAAGTGTAAATTTGATTTTTCAAAACTTCTCTGGGGACGGCTCAGCTCGGCTGTTCAGGGATCGGCTCAGGCACAAGTGGTGATAGGTGTTCATCAGAAGTATTATGGCACCTGTAATCGCTTGCGAACGAAATTCAGAACTTTGGGAGAGGAAGATTTCAAGGTTGGGAGGGATGGAGGTGTTGGGGGTGTTGAATTGGACCGGGAAGGAGTGAGGGATGTCGTGTTTGGACGGGACAATGTGGGAGCGGACAATGTGGGTGGAGAATGGTGCGGAAATTGTGTACCATGGCGAATTCATGCCAGGATGTGCGCAGCGACATTTCAATGTGAGTTGTTCAAGATTTTGTTTGATTTCCAGGGGTTATCCGTTGACGGGTCTAAAAGCAGGTCGAAATCTCATTGGATTCCCCATCATTCAACACCCATTTTCCATCAGCTGTGCCGTTGACAGCTTTTGTTGTATCAAGCTCACAGAGGGTGCGCCGTTTGAAGAAACTAGTCAGCGCAAGGTAGGTCGCTTAGGTTTTCATGCCCTTCATCTTGTGCTGACCTCATTACTTGAGCTAGTTGCTTGGACTCAGTTTCTTCGCTCACTTACAGACATCAACCATGTACACATAAAGGTATGTAGTTGTATTCTACCTTTTCCTTTCCACTCAAACTGAAGAAGACTGGCAGGTGCCGTTACTGTAACAGAAGGGCAAGATTTCCCATCCGTTGTATTCCTCTGCACTCTCCATACTAATCTAATACTTACCTTGACCTTGCAGGTCAAGAACACGGTGTTACAATGAGACACGTCAAAGTAAGTAAGCTTTACAGCTTTAGTTTGCATTAGAATACTAACCAAGGCTTCGTAGACCTCCTCAAGACTTGTAATGTGAGATGTTTGCGTGCCGTTAACAACTTTTGCTGTATCAAACACTGAGACGGCATCTCGTTCATCGCGCTCACAAGGTAGCTCTGATTTGCGTATGGTTTATCTCGTGCTAACGATGTTCCACTAGCTAGTTGGTAGAGTCGTCATTCCCTCACTAACGAGGGGTTTACAGATCTCAACGATGCATGCACAAAGGTCAGTAGGTGTAGTCTAGACTTTCTACGTGTTCTGAACAAGCCGGTAGGCACCCTTTGCTTCTCCTTTCCACGGCGTCTACGATGTTTCGCTAGCGAATTGCTAGGTACGTGCCTTTGTTAGATAACGAAACAGATTCCTCTAACCTCTTTCCTTACAGATGCTCGACATGGAATCATGGCACCAAGTTTGACGGGCCGAGGTATGTGTATTCTTTCCATTGCTTACCCATTCGAGTGCTGATAGCCACCTTTGCAGCGCTTATCCTTGAAATTACTTACGAGGGTATGTTGTAGTCGCTTCGATTTGGTCTTACTTCACTGAGCTCATTCTGCTAGTGACAGAACTCAGCCGTTACGGCTGACCTTGGTTCGAGATCGAGACCACGTACGTGCGCGCTGTTTCAAGGTTATGAACTATAATCTTACGGGTTGCCAGTTACTGTTAGCATATTTTTACATTAAACTATGTCCATACATGAAAGCCGTATGGGCACGTTACTTACATTTTCCTATGGACACTGGTCTGAAAAGGGCTGGCCCGACTGATCCTCTTGTCAAGTCGGCAGGTACGTAAATCCGATGGCCATCCCCGTTCTCTCACTGATGCTTCGTCATGGTAATATTCTTGGTACGTATATATGTGAAGTGCTGACCTTGATTTTAAGGTAGAGCTGAGGAACGGCTGACTGCCATGGAATCGGGGACACCGTTCTTTGATTGGAAGGTATGTTCTCTTATCTCTTGTTTGCCTTGTACTGACGCTGAGTTGATTTAGGTGAGATCACATTCCAGGGTCGGGGTGGTAACCAGGCATACACTGCTATTTTGCTGATTGTGACTTTGGCAGGGAGTCATCGACAGGGTTCCCGGTGTGTGCATGTTCGCTTTTCTTTGGCCTACCTTGAATTAATGTTTGAGTTATTGAGGTGAGATAAGGTCTGGGAAAGAAGGACAGGATAGTCACAAGGGAAGAAATCTCTGTGTTTGACCTCGCGTTTAATGCCCTCGATTGCCTTGCACGATGGGTATGTAGCAGCATGTATGGACGCGTCGTGGTCTCGTGACTGGGCCCATGCAGTCATTTGCAGAGTTCAGTGATCGTTTATTTTCTCTTGACCACGATGTGGATTGGCCTAGTCGTCGTTGAGCTCGATGGTGAACTTGTTTCTTTGCCGTTCTTTCAATTTCATTCTCAATCCTTTTTTCCAGTCTTGCCGCCATCGTCGTCTCGATAACCGTGGACCCAGTCTCTACTACAGAAAAAATCAATGACATAAGCATTTTCATATTACGGCCTTTAAAGCCTTTGACTAATTTTCGTGCAGGGCAGTTCAAGATTCGATGCGTAGGAATTCACGGGGAGGTGCAGCAGGCAGGCTACAGGTGCATGTACTAACCTTCCCATCACTTTCTCCTTGCTCACCTTTCTCTCACCCAGGACTCTTCCGATCCTCTCCCCCCCGAACACGATTGACGGTGCTGCCGATGACTCGCAAAGGTGTACCATCTCCCCATCTTTCATTGATGTGTCTTCACAATGAGGGTTATCGACGCCGTCCTCCCTTCGATACCGACGGTACGCGATTTCTCCTTTTCCTTCCCTGCTGCTGCTCATGTCGTCCATTCAGATAGCAGGCGTCTTTACAGAGTGTTGAATGCTGGCTCGACACACCGTCGATAACGCCGGATCATGTACGATAAGCCAGAATTCTACCTGCCTCGCTCAGAGCATGTCCACTAAGCTGGGCAAGTGCTTGACCCCATGAAAAGGGTGTACGTCCTAACGAATAATTTTCAGTGTCACACCATTTGTCCTCCAAGGACAGGGGAAGCTGAGGACTAAACAAGTGGATGCAGGATGTTGAGAGTCGGGCCGTGGGGGAGGGAGCGCCTCTGGATGTATCTATTAAGTGGAGGTGCACCCCACCGCAGTGGTGTGTGGGAAGCTAGTATTGGGGATTTGAAGCAGAATTCGACCTGTATTTATACAAAATGAGAACGGGTCTATTCATGACAATTTCCCAACCTATTCCTTGATCTCAGGCTTTATTAGCCGCTGACTGATCAATCTTTTAAGAACTTGGTGGCGTTCTGGTTGCTAAAAGCTTATATGCTAAGGGCGGAATTCTGATGCTATAGATACTACTAGTAAATAGTTTGTTCCCAGTGGTAAAAGGTATTACAAACGCTCTAGTATGAATCTTCCATACTGAAATCATCAAAGTAGTTACGATATTGTACATTAACCTTCAGGTTTTTGGCCATTTGCCTGACACGTTCCATATACTCCGCCGTTGCGTCTGCATGCCGGCCCCCATAGTAATGGAAGCCCACCCCAAACTCCACCGCTGCTGACCATGCCAAGTATCCTTCTAACACGGGAAGCATTCCGTCAAAATCCTCCAAACACCACTGTCCCTTTGGGTCAACACATGTATGTCTAGCCAAAGTCGAATCACTCCTGTACTTGGCAACTCTCTTGAACAAATTAGCCCTGGACCGTGCATATGTCGCGTGACAAACAAGCCCTAAGACGCCTGCAACTGTGGGTTCTCCAGGATATCGGATCTTGCCCTCACATGTGTTGTCGACTACTAAGTCGATAAGCTCCTGGGCCAGCATCTGAGATCCCGGTCATTGCGTCAGTGCAGAGCTTATTATCGGAAGCCGGGATGTACCTGCAATGTCGGCACTTGCTGATGTACCATGGTTTCGTACCCTTGTGCGATGGCGGAATGAGTGTAAATGCCTAAGCCTAGTCAATCTGACTGCCTGAAAAGAGCCATGGGACTCTGGTCCATCAGAAGTCAGGTCCAGCTATAATTGTTCTCGTCGCCACATTCCGTAAACGTGTGACATCATTGCTTCCATCTTTCCGATCTACTATTGATACCGCGGATCATGTCGTGAACTGTCTTCGAACCCCAGGCCAATATTATCAGCAGCAAGACAACATATTAATTTACAATATTGAGTCTGCGTCCTGACATCCGACTATGTCGTAATTTAGGTAGTGCAGTCCAATCGAACTGGCTTCCCTGGTTCGACACATTAGTAGCCGTGACAGCAACGGTTGGTTCATGTGCGAGTCTAAATCCTAATAAGCCTACGTCACCTTAGCCGTTGCTCAGGGAGATTGGGATGGATGCACCAGCGATTGCCGAAGGAATTCCTGTGCTGGAAAGGAAATATTGATTCTGCGGGTTCTGTCCAAGTTCTGTATTTCACCATCCCATCATCTATTCCCTCCTATACGCGTTCCAAAGATGTGAAACACTCCACAAGGGACAACATCTGGGTTCATGCTGTGGGATCTGCTCGTCATGTGCAATCTGTACCCTTGATGTTCCTAGTTCGCTTCTGTTAGCGACCGATTTCACAAACAAGATCAAACAACTAAGCGTGACTCGCACTTCGGTCAGGCACTTTGTGTTGTCCGCAGGTTTGCGTTAAGGGAGCTATCGCTTAGTTGAGCGAGAGTGAGTTCAGACTAAGTTATCGGGTGAATAAACTTTAGTTCGAGACTGAGGTTTAAGACCTACAGTCGAGCTACTTAAATACAGTTTGGGTTGTGCTAAATATACTACAAGTGTCTGCAACGGTGCGGTAAACGTACTGAACCCTCATGGTGAAATGCGATCAAGTCCGGAGAATTAGCATAGCGGGATTACAATGGAGCTGATAAGATAAGATAAAGCATGAAATCATAATATTACCCCCTTGTTAAAGCAGTCGTCCCGACTGCAATACAGTTTGGTTTTGGAAGGTATGCACCCACCAGGGAAGGTGCGTTTGGTTTTACCAAGTATTCTTGGATTGCCTGTACCAATGGGTGGTTGACTTCGGACTCGGTTACGGATTCGTGTTCGGACCAGGAATCTGATTCGTCTGAGTCCTCCCACCATTCTGCGGGAGGTCGCGTGATGAAAGAGACTTGTTCAAAGTCCTCGATTGCATCCCTGGCGTTGTCCAGGTCCTGTTCGTCCACCCAAGAGTTTTCCTCCCTCGGATACCCTTTCCACTTGACGAGGTATTCGATTCCGGTGCGTCGTCTTCGTCCTCTTCCCCTGGTTCGTTCCCTCCGATCTACGATTTCTTCTACCTCATATTGTTCTTGTCTGTCCACGAGGTCTGGTGGTGGTGCTACAGGCTGTATTTGGATTGGGAACTCCGGCGGGTGATACGGAGTGAGTAGGTTTTCGTTGAAGCGATCATGGATCTTCCAGGAAGGGGGAAGACGTAGTTTGTATGCCGATGCGCCATGTTTGGACAATACTTCAAATGGTCCAACTCATTTATCTCCCAATTTCTTCATTGGTCGAGGAAGATGTAAGTTGGTGGAGTCCAACCATACCTTGTCTCCTGGTTGATACTCCACTGCTTGTTGCTGGTGTTTGTCATATTGTTGCTTCATGGTTTCAGCCGCCTTTTCCAAGGCTTTGGTGGTCTGTTCATGCACCTTCTGTATGTCCTGCCACAAATTCCCTGGCTGCCGGGTTTGTTCCTTCCTTTATCGTGAGCGGTGCGAGATGAGGTTTTTGTCCATGATTGATCTCGAAGGGAGAATAGCCGGTCGCGGAGTGCTTCCGGTTGTTATGCTGAAATGCTGCAAGAGGTAACCACTCACTCCAGTCGTTTTGCCTGTGATTGATAAATATTCGGAGATATTTTTCGATCTCCTGGTTCGCTCGCTCTGTTTGTCCATCAGTCTGGGGATGATAGGTGGTGGACAGATTTCCTTGTATGTGTAGCATATCGTATAGTTCTTTCATGAACTTGGATACGAATTGGGGTCCTCGGTCTGAGATCACCTTTTGTGGCATCCCATGTTTGGCCCAGACGTGGTCTCTGAGGATTTTTGCCCATCCTGCAGATGTTAACTCAGTGGAGCATGGTACGGGGATGACTTCCTTAGAGAAGCGGTCTACGATCATAAGGATGGCGTTATACCCATTGGAGTCGGGCAGTTCCCCTATCATGTCGATGGTGATGTGTTCCCATGGTCGGGAAGGTACAGCATGGGGATGTAGGGGTGCTCTTCGACATTGGGTGCTTGTCTTGGTGCGTTGACAGGCTTCACAGCCTTTTACGTATCGTTCTACATCGCTCTTGAGCTTTGGCCACCAATATTCTTGTTGTACGAGCTCCTTGGTTTTCTCGATCCCAGGGTGTCTGGCTGTGATGTGGTCATGGCGAATGGCGATTAGTTCTCCTCGTAGTTTGGCGTCTCGAGGCATATATAACCGTCCATCATAATGCATTAACCCCTCTTCTTGAGTTATCCCTCTAGGGTGATGAAGGGATGCTTCGATTCCCTTGTCCCACTTGGTGATATCTCTTAGCGCTGTTCGAATGCGCTTGT